GTGTTATATCAGGTTACTGTAGTGTTATATCAGGTCACTATATTGTTATATCAGGTCACTGTAGTGTTATATCAGGTTACTGTAGTGTTATATCAGGTTGCTGTAGTGTTAAATCAGGTCACTGTAGTGTTATATCAGGTTACTGTAGTGTTATATCAGGTTACTGTAGTGTTATATCAGGTTACTGCAGTGTTATATCAGGTCACTGTAGTGTTATATCAGGTCACTGTAGTGTTATATCAGGTCGCTGTAGTGTTATATCAGGTTACTGTAATGTTATATCAGGTTACTGTAGTGTTATATCAGGTTACTGTAGTGTTATATCAGGTCACTATATTGTTATATCAGGTTACTGTAGTGTTATATCAGGTTATTAGAGTTATATCAGGTTATTAGTGTTATCATGTTCAGTCACTGCACATATTTGTTGGTGTGATGAAATACAAAAACATGGAATGTAATATAGACCAATCTCTGCCTGTGTAATTTCAAATCACATCATCTTGTTAATTAATTATTAATCATCTACTTAATGTCAAATTATTATTACCATTTCTGGTGTGAAATTTAGAATGTAAAATCAATGGATCAACTTTAACATATCATGTTTGACATTTTTTCTGACTAATATGCCTTCATAAAAACAGACACTCTAATTTGGTAAACACTTCAAAGAAGTTTAAATGGCATGAAATCTGATGTGGCATGTTAATACTAAATATGAATGCAAGGGTTTGTGAGTATATATATATATATATATATATATATATATATATATATATGTAGATGGACATGTATATGGGGCATTTACATATTAGTGAAGCGTATACCTAGTATTGGTGAAAAGTGTCTAAAAAGATAAAAAATGTTTTTTAAGTACAATGTACAATGAGCAAGCAATGATTGCCCAAATTAGACAAAAGAATGATGTGCTGTAAAAGCACAGACAAAATGAAATATCAAGCTCATAAAACAAGGTTACATCTCACTTCTGATTTGTCATAATGATACACATTACTAAGCAAGATTATTTCTTCCATATCAAACTTGTTTTCCTTCAATTAACATTGCTCTGTATATGCAAGCATGTTCACTTATATTTATTTACAAAATTACAGAACACATTTTACAGGGAAGTCACATCAGAAAGTGGAATATTACACAGAAATATGATGAAATTAAACAGTAATTTTTGTAAATTAATGTCAATCATTCAATTAGAATAGCATGATCATGAAACTAAAATGATATGTTGAGTTTTATACAGCAAATTGCCTGGTAATGAATATTACACAGTACCATTGAAAACGTAGGGACCACAAGAAGATTCATCCTGAGACCAATTATAAGCAAACTAACCATGCTTCACTCAAAGGTATCTCACTGTAATAGAGATTTCCTGCATGGGTTTATATCCAGTAAAAACTCATTTTTTAGACCTCTCAGAAACAAATAATAGAAGTGGTCACAAATTTAAATTTTGTTTTAAAAAAATTCCAATAATTCTTAATGTGTATCCCAGAGGTCTATAATTCACTGGGCTCTTGTAGACTTAACCTGTTATATCTACAATCTAAATCAAAATAGGACGGAATTCTTAAATGTTTAAAACACATTTTTATCAAAGAATAACCCAAACTGCAAAGAAAATTCATAGTGTGGTTAAACCTCGAACACATTTAGCATTAATAAAAAAAATCTTCCAATAGAAACATATGTAGTATCAATTGAAATCCTGTGTGAAATTTTTCATACTAAGAAGGGCAAATACACCTACACTAGAAACATTTTCAGTATCAACAGAAAATCTTTCTAAAATGTTTCATATTGACAAATATTTACGCAACAGAAAATGAATCACATTTAAGGAATTTTACATATAATATTTGTTGCGATAAACATCTTAAACCAAAGATGTTGAAAAACTATTTCAATTGAACAATCATCAAATGATTAAAAATATTTTACACTTTATTGCTATCTACATAATTTAACATCTTAAAAGAACACAATAAGGTTTGATTTTACTTGTAACAAATCATAATTAATTGGATAAAAACAAGAAAATTAATACTATTATCTCTATAAACATTACAACATTTGATAGCCATAAGATATTTCAAAATTATCAAACTACAAAGATTTCAAATAAAATACAAAACAATAACGACAGTGATCACAACAATGATATCAATACAATTACTGACATTTATTCCAACTTAAAAAATTATTTGTTTGGTCAGAAACAAAGTCACAGGCTTGATATTTACAATGCTGCATACTGGGGTATTTTCATCCTGTGTTGTTTTTGTCCTTGCTTGAACTATTTTACACAAATTCACCTCATTTTCATTTCACCCATTTTTACTTCCATATTAAATTTACCTTCCAAGTTCATGGACAAAAAGGGCAAATTAAAAATTAAATTTCCTGGTAAAAAATAGCTGAAACAAAACAGGAGGCCTAAGGGCCTTAATGCTCACCCAAGTTACAATGTTCTTCATAGAAATAATTTTGTTAAAAAAAAGTAAGATAGATAACTTTAACTACATTGTATACATAATGAAAATGTAAACTGTGCATAATGTTAACTGGTGTTCTATACAAAGGCTTCCAACCAAGTTTGAATTAAAAAAAAATTAAACTCAAAAATCAAATTTTCCTATGGAAGATTAGAAAATCTTCCATCCATGAACAGTGGAACATCTTTGAAATTTCAGTCAATAGGACCAATTTTTGGGCCCGTCCGTAATTGCCTGGGGTCAACCGAGTTCAATATGCGCATCTCATCAAACTGTCATCTTATAGTGATAATTCTAACCAAGTTTGAACTATTTTCCAAAAGAAAATAAACAAATGCTCAGAAATCTAATTTTCCTTTATAAACTATACATAAATTTACCCCCTTCCCAAGGGATAATGTGAGACCCTGGAGCCATGAAATTTACAAATTTGGTTAAGCCTGTGAAGAGTACCTAGTCCTAACTATACCTCCTATTTGAGCAGAAGATTTTTGAAATTTCGATCAATTTGACACTTTCTGGCACCGCCCCTCAAGCCCCAGGGGTTGGGGACCATATAATTTACAATTTTGACATGGTAGTTTTTTGTAAAATTTCATTGAAATCATTTGAGAAGTTTTCTAGATGAAGTCGATAATGTTTAAAGTTTATGATGCACAAAAGCGGACAAAAGGGGATCATAATAAGTTGTCACCTTGAGACTTTGTTTCAGGTGACCTAAAAACTGAACTAATACACAAAGTAAATCTTTTGTCTCCATCCACTCCCCGATGGGATAAAAAAGTGGGCTTCCTGTATAGCACCACATTCTGATCTTTATTGACAAAACAAGACTGGTATATCACCAATTGGAAGAACATTGGTGTCAAGACATAATTGTCATGGACAATTGTGCAAACAATCAAAGTTGCAAACAGCCTATCAGAATACAGACATGTAATTTAAAAAAAATTAAAAACAAGTTATATATGCATATATTAAATTAATAGTTTTGTTCCTCTGTTGGATGCTGGCCTATAACTGTAGCAGGGAAGTAATCGAGGTACACAAGAAAAAACTGGGTAAATGGTAAGATTTTCTACTTCCTATTAGAAACCAACCCTGGTGGCCTTGGATTGTTACTACCAGACAACACAAATATGGTTCTGAATATAAGTTTTCCTCATGATGATTAAAAAATTGGTCCCAACAATATTATTTCATAGTCTTAATCCCCACTGTATCACAAGTATAGAACAAAGTAGTGTTCAAACATCATTCCTTGATTTACAAACAAATCTGATGAGGACAATCTCTCAATAAGTCTTTAAATATGTACTGGTAAATAACTTTAATTTGATATAGCTTTAACTGATAAATGATTAATGAACTCTTACATATACATTTACACCTATAAAGTGTTACACTCTATGTACAAAATTGTGTACAAAAAAAGGCGATGCTATTTTATTTTTAGTGGTCATCTAGTGATAGAAAAACACTGTCTTTATTGCAGTAGTATTTCTGTGACTCAGATGTGACAATTTGCTTCTAAAGACAAAATATTTAATAAGCCAACATAAACAAAGCGGTGATAATAATGGAGTAAGCAATTTAAACACTTAGAGAAACCTTTTTTTATCTTAAAATTCAGCACTAGATTAATTGAGATAAGCATTTCTTAACCAATACCATTTGTTTTCATCATAAGATAAAGTATTAAAGATTATAGTGTCTGACTCCATCATGCTGAATGTTGGAATTCATCCTACAAACCTCAAGCCAACAAAACATTAATTGAGAAAATTCACTTAGAAAACATTTGTAAGTTTAACAGCAAGTGTAATCTATGTCAATGCTGAAATTTCCATACAGAAGAATGATGTGGAATGAAAATTTTACTTGTGTAATATTGCCTATTTTGCATCACATGGCTTTGAACAATCACAACAGAAATCCTAATTATGAATTTACACAAAAGTTTTTGATTTTAAATTAATACTTAAATCATTACTGATATTTCAGAATTTATCACATATCTGGTATCTTGTATTCAAAAAACCATAAAACTGTTTATAGTGTTTAAGATAACACTCTATTTGGTGAAACATGAGGCCTACCTTCAGTATAAAACACTTTGCCATTCCATGAGATAATCTTATAAAACTAACACCTGAATATGAGACATATATACCCTGTACAAAAACATACACACGAAACAAAGGGCCATAACTCTCTTTATCTTGGGAAAAACAACCCATTTTTAGTATATGATACACCGTCATCCATAACATCTTCATCTGTTATAATATAATGTCAGTAAAGAGCGAGAGTATCAGAAATATTGCCCCTAATATTGCCTAAGGGACCTTCAGATTGATGGACTTGACGCCGGTGTCAATGGACAAAGTACAAATCTTTAGTCCCCTGCTGTAATGCGACTGGTACTTAAAGATAGGATGCAAACCCTTAGTTCTCTCCTATAGAAAAGGTTGGGGCTATTGTCGAATACCTTAGCAAGCTGACTAGATTAACTACAAATAGGTGAGGCCGTAATTCAAGTACCACATCACATTATTCTGACTGCATAGAATAACTAAAGATCTTCTCGTAGTGGTGAATACTTTTTTGTCCCTCGTTTGGACTTGCTTTGATCATGTTTTTCATAGAAGTTCATGTCTTCAACACGAGCTTGAAAGTCATCTTCTGGAACACTACTGAAATTAACACCTTCATGATCATCCTGCAGCTCTACTGTCCAAAATGGTTTTGCTGCAGGATGGTCCTTCCACTTTCTATAAATGATGATTCCTGCGATGGCCGAGAGGATGAGCACCACTAACACACACACCAATGCAATCATGACTGTGTTTGACTTTGATTTCGGCTTCAGATCCGCTACAACACAAAAAAAACATAAGGAAAGTATATACACAACAAGTATTAAAATATGTATGTAATGATTACAAAATTTTATTATATCTATATTGATATGAAAAGTGATACATAACATTCCCAAACACGACAGTGCAGGAGCTTTATTGATAGAAAGGAGAAAATCGAGATCTTCTATATCAACATTAATGAAGGATGAATTTCATGTTCTGCAAAATACACATCATTATCTGTACAAGAGAAGCATTCTGAGATTACATGGTTTACCTTTGTGGGTACAATTTTTGTGAACATTAGGGTCTCCTTCATAGTCTTTCTTGCATTTACCACAAGAAAAACCTGTTGTATTATATTTGCAGTCAATACACTCTCCTGAAGTAAACAAAACAATTTTGATTAGTTACAATAAATTTCAAACCACTCTAAATGCATATTTTCTTTTTTTCATCTTATCCTTTCTAGAGACAGTGGTAAATATTTCGAAGAATCATTATTTTAACATCATTTAAAATTATTGATACAAACTATGATTTTTCTAACAGAAAAAAATACCAGAATTTTTTAGCACTTAGAACTAAACAAAAAAAAATCTTCAGTAAACAAGTTTTTGAAATGAAAAATACAGTTCTTACAGGTAATTATAACTTTAAAGTACCAATAAGACAGAAACATGTTGGCAACCAGCTATAGACAATAGTAGGAGCTATTATTCTTCTTTTTAAATTCCTTATCAAAAGGGTTGTGTATACATCAAATGTCATCCTCCTGAAGCTATGTGGATGAAGTATATCTTACAAACAGGAGGCCCACAGGCCTTAAGGTCACCTGACTATTATAGACATATATATCAAAGAGGCCAAATAGGTCTAAAATAAATTGCTTAACTAATCTACAACTTATAAAGAAGACAATGTTGGTTCATAAAAACACTGTCTGCAAACTTGAAATCATATCCTTTATAAATGCTGCTACACAAAAATGTCATTACTACACAAACATTGCTTGTTGAAAAAGAAATTTTAAGATCTCAAACCATTTAACCAAGGGAACTTGATTAAAGGTCAGGGTCAATTATTTTAATAAATCAATAGCTCTTCATCCATTTATGTTAAAGAACCAATATCAACAGCCTGGACCTTTTTTATTATTGCGAAGGGCTGGTTTGAAGATTTTAACACATTTGACCTCTGTAACCTTTAAAATGAGAAAAGGTCAATCACATAAACAAAATTGGTAACCCTTCGTCCCAGCATGCCACAGGCCCAATATCAGTACCCTAAGCCTTTTTGTTATTAAGAAGAAGTTGTTTAAAGATTTTGACATAATTGATCACGATGACCTTGAAAGTGGCTCAAGGTCAGTAATAGGAAAAAATTTGGTAGCCCTCAATCCCTGCTTGCTACAGGTCCAACATCAGTACCATGGACCTTTTGGTTATTGAGAAGTAGTTTAAAAACCTTAACATATTTGATCCATGACCTTGAAGGTCGGTCATGGTCAATAATATTAACAAACTTGTTAGCCCTTCATCCCAGTATGTTACAGGCCCAATATCAGCACCCTGGGCTTTTTGTTTATTGAAAAGAACTTGTTAAAAGACTTTATCATATTTGACCCCTGTGTCCTTGAAAATTAGTCAAGGTCATTAATTTTAACAAACTTGACAGCCCTTCACCTCATCATGCTACAGGTTGCATATCAGCACCCCAGGCATATTAGCTATCGAGAAGAAGTCATTTAAATGGAAAGTTTATGCACAGTGACAGACAAAACATGATGGCTATATGGCATCCTGGCCCTTCAATAATAACTTAATAACTTAAAGGTATGTTGGCTCTTGGAGATTTAACTGCTGTTTCATAACCTTAAATAGCATCTGACAATATGTTCTGACCTGTATGCCTACTAGTTATATAATCTCACCTGTATATGGGTTGCATTTGTCACTGTTCCCTTTACAGGCGCATGGTTTACAGTAGTCTGAGGACCCATACCGAAAATATCCTTCAGAACACTTATGACATAGATTCCCAGCATATCCATGCTTACATTCATCACAATGAAGAAATTCTTCCTCTGCAAAACAAAATCATGGTATACACATATGTAAATCATATTCTAACAATTATCACTCAGGTCAAGTAAGTACTTAAATGTTAGGGACATCTAATTATGATACAATGGCCATTTTCAAAGACTTAAGGTGTATAGACACATTTAAGTTTGTTAAGAAATCAGCATAACCAGTACAGCCTTGACAAACTCATTACCAACACAACTGATTTATATGCCTAAAGCCTTGGTAAATGTTACATCACTTTATTAACAAATTTACAAAATTATCTGGCTTGTGTAGGTCATCACGTACATCTATGTCCAAACTGATGACCAAGTCCTCAAGCAAAAGTGTATTTTATTTCACTTGGATAGTTGTCATATAGATCAACTTTTTCCAGAAACAATATTTTTGTCATCATTTTTGGGCAATATATGTAAAATCATGGACAATAATAACTAGGTCTTTCTTCAGTTATACTGTCAAGAACTTGTATTAATACAGTTGTAAATGTATTATGTATGTAAATGTATGGTACCATAGTGGTACAGAGTATGATTTAAGTAAACTAATAATAATATTAAATATACCTTTTTTCATCTTTATCCTTATTATGACAATTTAACTTCCCCACACATATATTTATGGTACACTGTATTTGCAGGGAGACAACTCTCACTTGGAAAGCAATGAGATTTACACATTTCTTTCTAGTGGCTACATAAACTGTGTGACTTGTTCATATTTCATTTCATAAGATCTGTACATTATTCCTCAAAAAAGTAGTTTGATTAATATGTTTCATATTCGTATAATTCAGCAAATTGTGACCTCAAAACATGAACTAATTTCATGTATTTTCATGTAAAATTATATCAGAATAACTTAGGAAAACAGAGAAGCTAAAATAATGACAATGATGCTGAAGTGAACAACCTAAAATATTAAGCATTTTCCACAATGTTTTGACTTACTAAAATGACAGGAACCTGTGGAAGCATCATCATCACAAGGACATTTCCAACAAGGCAAGCCTGCAGCATTCCTGTAATAGCCTGCAGCACACTGCTCACAAAACAGGCCCCCAAAACCAGACCGACACTTGCACCATTTGCGAGAGGTGAAATTACAGGCATAATGTCCAGGTACTGTTCCATATGTGTCACATTGGCAAGCTGTTAAAATAATCCAGGTAGGTTAGGTCTATACAGCAAGTCAAAAAGTATAAAATTTTACAAAAATTTACACATGTCAGAAAAGAATGAGAAAGGCATTTATGTCCATAAAAACAGTTATGGTTTTAGAGTTCCATTTTCTATAATATAAGTAACTATATATATACATATATATATATATATATATATATATATGTACATGAATTACATACATTTAGTGGTATCAAAGCTGGTTGTAAAATAAGATGTATTGGCTGTAAGAATCTTGTTCCCATCATACACAGCAGACACATTTATTCTGTAGGTGGTGTTAGGGGTCAACTCTGTAAGGTGCAACTCTGTTACAGTCTGATTCACTTGCTGTTCAGTAAAATTAGCTGAAATACACAACATGACATTATAGACAGTATCTATCACAACATTTCCGTTTCTTGAAACAGCTTTTGACAATGTAACTGACATTAACTTGTGCTAATTCTTCACACTTACATTTCAATCATTAGTAACCGTGTTATATATACTACATGCAAAATATGAACTAATTTATTCTGCAATCAGCCAATAAAGAGCTAACATGTAACTTCAGGGTTGGGCTTATCATAATATTACATTTAATGAAATCTTTACCTACACTTCAATACAGGTTAGCTTCATATATACTACAAATATACGAATATTGTAAGTTTCCAACTACAGTAACAGGCTTCTTTCAAAAACGTTTTGCAGAGAATACAGAAAAGTAGTTGGTCTTTTAATATATGTACCATTATGTCATACCTACAGAGTATATCCAAGATCTGTATCAGAATTAAATGACTACCATGCCCAGAACTACATGCATGTAAACATACACCTACATATAGCTTACTTGTCAGCTATATGACTTTTATTTTGCATATTTACATAAATGAAGCCGTCACCATATCAGGATCACAATATCTAACATATCTTAGACAACAATTTGTTATATTATTAAAACACATGTAATGCAAATTAACTGAATTTAAAGTGGGGATATATTCTTCTGTACACAGATATAAACAAATGAACTTATAAATTTCTATCTTGAAGAACCAGACTGTGGAATGAAAACAATATAAATTGATGATTGATGAATATTATAAGAAACTAATTAAAATTAGAGTATTTCTTTGTTTTATCAAAAAGCCTGAAGAATAGGAAGATTTACAAGTATTTGCAAAACTTTGACAACTGTTAGTGTTACAGACAGCTTTAAAGAAATCATTCCATTTTAATGACCCCAGAGTTATGTGACTTAAAAACATATATATTGTACATAGCATTTTTATCTACAAGGCCAAATGACTACAAATAAAACTTCTTTATATACTGTATAAGCAATGTCAATATGCATAACATGGGGAAAATGGACACATACTTGACCCATCTTGCCACCACTTCACAATGTAGCCTATCAAATGTCCACTGAGGAAATTGACAACATCTTTTTTTTCCAGGGGTTGTTTGTCTTCAGAATCATTATAGTGAACATACTTTGGTGTCCACGCTGTCCATATTGTAACATTGTGTTGATGCTGAGTAGATGTATAGTCTGCTGAAGAAGAATTTGTTGATTCTGAGCCAGTTGTCGTTGTATTTGTGCCTTGAACAGAACTGGAGTTTACAGTTTCCATGGAACTGTTATTTGTCACAACTGAAACAATATCTGTGGTGTTTTCAGATTCTGTATTGTATGTATAAGATACTTCCTTTTGTTTGTCCAACACTTCTGTCACAGTGTCTCCGTTTGTATCACTGTCAATATTACCGGGTGCAGGTTCATTTGGGTCCCCAAATGTGTTATTAAACTTCACGTGTATGTAAACTGGAGGTGCAAACCAATACACATATGCAGTCTCATCAGATATGTACCCAATAGATACATTCATGGGTGGATACAGTGTTACATACACACCTACAAAATATAATAAACATTCATTAATGTTGTTGTGGTCTTAAATACAATTTGCATTTTCTATTCAGTTAGAACACAATGTCAAATAACCACAATTTTATGTAGTGCTGGTTTTATTTGTTTTATTAAAAACATTTTAAAGTCAGTACGGTTCTGGTTATGTGTTCAGTGGCACAAGATGTTGGCAATGTGCAAACATCATCACTGAATGCAAACAAATCAAAATGTATATAATAATATATAAATATATAAACAAAATATTAACATAGGAACTTAAATTCCAAAACATGATCATGTACGTTTATATTACATTAATATATTCAACAATAAAATAAGTACCTGCCCATTTTAGGGTCCAGGTATCTGATCCATATGGAATTTGCACCTATAATTGTATACTGTATTGTAACATATGTTTTAACTGAATATCATATATTAATCCATTTGGTTGTGGTGTCTAGAATATATATATATATATATTTACATATATCTAATCAGTGGATATCAGAGATAAGACAATCCTAAGTCTTCATTTATCAGGTATTATTAATATGTGTACTACACAGCGTTTTGTATGATACATTAATAACTTCCGTAACTTGTCAATCGCGATTGCAACAGTTGGTTGATCCTATATAATCCTAATCTTTTACAGAGAGTTTGATTGTTTTAAGGGAAGAATCTCGATAACTGTATCATAATAATGTATACAAACTACAAGTTCAAGACATCACCTGTTATCAAATAAATATAGTGGTCACTCATTACTGATCACTGACCAACAACATAATATGCAAGACAAATCAAAGTTATAAATGTGTTGGGATTTCGTGATGTGTATAAATAGCCTTGCAGTCAACAAACCATAGCAATACATCTAGATCTACATACCAGCATGTTCTCGCTGACATATTGACGGAACTAATAAAGTTACAGAAATTCCACACACTAAAGCAAAGATCAACGACATTTTGAAGTGATGTCAACATCAACCGCGTATATTGTGACATGAAAATTATACGACAGCCCGCAGGGTTTCGTGAAAAAGTTTACCTTCTTCACGGAAGAGTTCTTCTAAGGGTGGTAACTTTTCCCGCACTGTTCTTTTAATCACTTAATTAAATGTTAGATTTTGATTTTAGACGAATCAGAGTGCGCAATCTGTACGTGAATATTATGCTTCACAATAGCCGTATTTTCTTTTGGAACACCAGCAAAATTTGCAGGAAAATCATATTGTTGGTGGTGTCCATTAGGCCTACGGTAGACAGAAGATGAAATATGTCTGTAAATACAAGGAACTGTCATACTGATGAGGTTTATTGATTTGAGCTACTAAGTCATTTTTTCGGTAATTAATACTGGGATAATCGCCAATAAGTTCTTTGTCCAGTGTATTATATGCTGACCGAGACACAGGGACTTGTCACGAGTTCTCGGCCCACGGTGTACATATACAGTATAGTTACCTAATGTAAGTCACTATAACACATCTATATGGACCATGGATCGGAAATTTGTGCAAAATCCCGGTGCACCAGAAGGAGCGACTAGGACATTGAGAACCAGGTTGCACTAACGAATTTAAAATCACTTTTTCGCCCGAGGTCCATTAGTCAGTCTGTCCAATAAACTTGTAATTCGCATAAACCATTTTTTTTCTGCTAATTTTCTTAAGCAGTGATCTGCTTCAGGGATATCCGGATGAGCAGCGTATGTGAACATATGCTTAACTTCTGACTTGAAGAATCACTGAATTTAAACATATGTACCAAGTGTTTTTCTATTCTAGTTGTGTGTGACCCATTTCGAGCTTCATCGGAGTTTCAATAAGGCCAACTGTACAGCAGCCATTATATACATATTTAAAGTTCGCTACCACCTTTTCTGATAAACCAGTGCAGCAATGTCATCTTGCTCTTTGTTTTGCGTGCTATATTGTGAGGTTTAATCTAAATTCAGTATGGCCACCAGCAGCCAATTTTCATTTCACAGTTTGTCACAGCTATTTCAGACAGATTCTGAAAGGACCGCCTTGAAATAGTTTGAACAGTTTAGTATGGGTCATAGCTGTGCATGCCATACTCTGCAAGGATTTTCTGGATCACCGCTAGTGGCGCCCGGCCGGCCATAATAAATTTTGACATTTAAAGTTTGTAATCACTATTTTTTATCATGATATTCACGCCTTTTCTTAGTTGATTAACCAAAATGTCAGAAGCATTCATGGGATCAAATGTGCATAATGACTCCTACAGAGCAATACCGGATAGCAGTAGTCATGTAACACCAGCAGACTACAATGATAAAGTGCAAAGATATCAAACCAAGAAACATGCGAAGAAAAACCGACACTGTCCAGCACAACCAGCTACTACCCAATGGGTCAAATCTTAAATTGTCTGTTGTCAAAGAATAACAATTACGATGGCTGTAACCTATTTTAAGAACGATTTAGATACAAATTTAGAAGAGAAATTATCTCACACAAAAACAAAACATAAACTATACATTCAAACATATATTATTGACACTCGATCAAAGGGCACAAGTTCTTTCAACTTACCAGGCTCTCTCCCGACATCACAATACACACTAACTACAGATAACACCACTTACTGGGCCCTGTCACAACATTACAGTATACAATAACTACAGAAAACACAACTTACTAGGCTCTCTTCCGACATCACAATACACAATAACTACAGATAACACAACTTACCAGGCTCTCCTCCCGACATTACAATACACAATAACTACAGATAACACAACTTACTATGCTCTCTCCAGACATCACAATACACAATAACTACAGATAACACAACTTACTAGGCCCTGTCATAACATTACAATACACAATAACTACAGACAACACAACTTACCAAGCCCTCTCCCAATATTGCACTGCACAACAACTACAGATAACATAACCTTTCAAGGCCCTTTCCCAACATTACAATATACAGTAACTACAGATAACACAACTTACTGGCCCTGTCACAACATTACAATATAGAGTAACTACAGATAACATAACTTACCAGCCCCTTTCCCAACACAACTTACAGGGCCCTCTCCCAACATTACAATATACAATAACTACAGATAACACAACTTACTAGGCCCTCTCCCGACATTGCAATATACAATAACTACAGATAACACAACTTACTAGGCCCTCTCCCAACATTATGTTGCATAAGAGCTACAGATATTACGTCATGACATGATACAATTTTAATCATATACCAGCACTCAACTGTAATCATTTATATTCCATATATCGCAGAGAAGGAAAGAAGGCGAGGGAAGGAGGGAAAGATAAGGGGAAGTTCTGGTTACCTGGGTTAGCCACTAACTAGTTGTTAATTTGAAGTACGGTCAGTATACTATCAACATTAGTTTGGAATGGAAGCTCTGGATCTCCTCACAGAAATATATTGACATAGGGAACTAACTGGTTGGCTGCCAATGTACGATAGAGAATTTAATGAAACTGTTCTTGAATATCAAATTTGCGAACAAATGAAAAAAATGACACGTATCTGCGTTACCGTAACCACAATGGCAAAAATGTGATGGACGTAAATAAAGGAAATAATTTTAAAACCACTGCACTTGTGTCTGGTTCATGCTAAAAGAATCGCGAGGTATATTAGATATTTAGGTCAAATAGGTGGTATAGGCGATGTTCTCAAATTGAAAGCTGATAATGAAATAATATCTTATTTATTTACAGAAATATCTAGTATATTCCGCGAGGTAATTGTAGAAGGGGTAAATGCCTTTTAAGTACATCTTGGTAGTTATCTGGGTTACGGAGATCACGACGAATATCGCCTCTATAAGAGAGAAGCAAATAACGAAGATAATCCGGAAATTGTCTAACATAAATCTATAAAAAGGAAACCGTTAATGAGTTTGAATTTCTCGCGCGACTAGATCTTAAAAGAAGTCAGCCAGTCAGGATATAGTACCCCACAGTGCTGCAGATGAGAAACAAGTTATAAGACTGGTGGCTTCTAAATTGATTTTTTTCTAGGGCGTTTGACAGTTCATCAGAGCAACCTTCAAAGATACTGGGGACATATTCGAGAGTTGGCCTTATAGAAGACGTGTAAATAGAATGAATAGTCTCTTTGCTAATTTTATATTACAATAGTTTCAAAGTAGTTGCTTTAAATGACGCTCTTTTGACAACATTCTGAACATGGACATACCAATTACAATTTCTACTGAGAAAGACACCAAGATAACAACGAGAAGCATTGAAGGTAAGGTTAAATATCAAGAGGTCAAGAAGAGAATGGCTTTCGTACTTGAAAAAAAAGAGTTGCATTAGCCACTAATTGAACCAATTTTGTAAAGGTTGAATGTCATGGTTCAAGCTTTGTTCTATAACGTTTAAGTCTGCCGAAGACTCTTGAAAAGAAGAGATATCGGCAAAGATGTCTGGTAACAGTTTTCATAGCGTCGACAAGATCACTAATATAGAATTAAAACAAAGTGGGGCCGAGGACTGATCCTTGCGGTACACAAGCGGATATATAGTTGAAGAACCAACAACATTTCCACAAACGACAGATTGTTTCTTGTCAATTGCATAGGCATATTAAGAAAATGTTCCATCTGCTGATACATTGTTGAGTAACCTGGGAGAATCCAAGAATAGTATTTACAAAATATACCATAAGAAGATCTATATTTAGTTTCAATAATTTTCCATAAAATCAACAGTGCTTATCCAATAGAGAAAACCATGACATAATCTGGTACACAAACAATACACAAGTAGTAGAACAAGAAAACATCCAGCGGCCAAAATAACCAACACGATCAGAGATAATGACTTAAACGCTAGCTTGGAGTTGAGCTGACATAGAAAAACTACCGTCCTCAACACCAACAGCCGAGGGAACTACAACGTTTTCGACAAGGTTTTTCAATACTTCATTTGGGATATACGGTTGGCATGATCTTGATGAAGCATAGGACTTCTTTGCTGTTACACTATCAAAGGTCCTCAAAATGCATCGGTGAGAAAAGTCATAGAGCAACAGGCAACACGAAATCTAAGTAAGTGGAGGACCAAACAAGACTATATATATGTAAAAGAAAATGTCGACATCTTTACAAAATCATAATTTCAACTCAAATTCTATAACAAAAGGCAAAATATGAACAAAAGAAAGATTTACATCAAAAAGACCATGTGTTCAAGGAGGCTGGTCGCCTTCTGTTTATCGTCTATAGCCGCCATGTAAACCTTGTTACTAACGAGCATCAAGCTTCTCTATAATCGTATTAAACCTGCATCTCGAAAAAAAATCTATGACTTTTTATCAAATGATAGAAAAAATTGGTTTAATCGCCAGACTCAAGAGCATGATTAAAAATGGAATCTTTTATTACTTATTCAGTTAAAACGATTGGCGAAATGGATGAGGATATTAAAAAATTCAACATCTTCAGTAAACATTTGATATTCTGGATATGTCGATTTCTATTTTTTGCCTTTAGATTTGAGATTTGTCATACCGCGGGGCTGCTAGTTGTTTGATGACCTCCTGGACCCTATCCCAAAACTACCTTACTATGACGAAATCAAATCTTATTCCGACAGAAGTAGACGAGGTTCGATCAAGAATAGCCATATGTTAATTTGCCTCCATAAATGCCTCATGTACAACATCCTGTCAATAACGATAACACAGCATTGTTCATGATATATACAATGTGAATAGAATGTTTTAGTACAGAATAAGATAAAGTATAGCAAATTAAGGGATTAAATTGCACTTGTCAGCTGTTCGAAGAATCTAAAGCAGTGGGAAACCTTGCGACTTAGGAGATCAAATTTGGTGACAAATTTCAAAACGACAGAATGCCATGTGCAATATATCTTGGTAGCACAATTTTGAAAAAAATCTATGCTGAATGAGAAGCTGTTAATACACACTGGCTGATTTTGAGTGCCGACATTTGAACGAATATGCCACTATTATATTTATAGGTGATAAATGTTTGTCATCTGTGCACCATGACATAAATGCTATCATTTTAAACATACTATATTTGTGTGTTCTGTTGTAACGGTTCCCCCATTGAAAGTCCTCTGTGACAAATACTCTACTATCAATTCAATTTATTCATTGTACTACAAAAAGTTGTTAACAGTTACTGGAAGTTTTAGTTCAACATGAAGGTACTGCTATCGAGCTTAATTTTTTTCTAATAAGAACTTGGCGAATAATATGTCAAAAGTAATATAACAAAACTTGCACCAGATTTATTTCTTGTTGAAATTCTTTATATACAAATGTTTTGAAGAGCAAAATTTAAGGCCATGTACCGTAAATACAGAGTGTCTTAACAATGCGTAATTAGCATATTTATAATTAAGTGCCTCCTAACGAGAAAGTTAATTGTTTTCGGTAACAGCGTGCATGTCTCCAAAAGCATTTCTTTCTATATGATACACGAAAACTTCATATCAATTAACAACAAATGTGGAGAGCCTATAATTTTAACAGCAGTCCTTTAGCATTGCTGTCTAAAGTATGAAAAATATTTGTTGTATTTAGTTCCTTAGATATCAACAATAACGTAACTATTAACTGGAAATTGTAACTCTACAACAATTATTTTTAGTAGATTCCACACTCATCACATACATGCAAAATGTATAATAATGACTCCAAATCGTGCAGTTAAATAAAGGGAGATTATGATAGAGGCTTCTTATCTTTTAAAAACGATAACGTAATCAATAAATGCGTTAGGACATGCTTGATTTCAATCTTAGATTTCACAGAACAAAAATGACATTGACATAACTTGTATGATCATATACGGAATAAGAAATATGTACTAAGTGACACCTGCTGCTTCACGTTTGATTGTCGCTTTTTGGACCCCATTGTTCCAAATGAAAGTATTCAATTTTTATATCCTAAAACAGAACGGAAGACAACTGGTCGAACATAAAAAAACAAGCAAAGACAGAAACATGGACTGGAAAGATTCGTAGATGCAATACCGAAAGAATATTATGAAATTCCGTTGTTGAAAGAAAAGCGACATGGATTATGTGGACAACAAAACAATAAGAATTACAGCAACAGAGTTCAAGAAGCGTCAACGACAAAACATTAAGAAAGCAAATAATGAATGCCACCAACGACAACAACTAAAGGAAGTGGGACACCAAAACAAAGGGAAGGACAACAATATGAACAGAAGAGACACAAATAATCAATAATGAGACCAACAAGGACCGGAAAGAGTTAAAACATTAGAAATGAAGCCAGTAGGATCAACGAAATGAACTGTGACATTACAGTCGACTGAAACGCCAAAGCAATAGGAACTAAAAGAACAAGGTCCAAAAAACCACTGAAATCTTAGAAATCTCTCATGAACGTTTACGAAATTTCCGGTAGACTACAGCTAGCGTTGCTGTTAAGAAGTTCTAATGGAAGTGTGATTTATAAACTGTAACGTTATATAATGTCCAGTCAGGTGTATTTATACTTTTGTGCTACTTTAATTTTACATGTGACGCTGTCGTGTTTGCCAGTGTGAGTTAAAACCATATATTTTAGTTTTAATATGTATAAAGATTAAGAACTGCAAGACATGGAGGAGAGGATGATTTGGAAATTGTGTTTATTATCCAGCTTCACCGTTAATCTACAAAAAGAGTAACAAGAATGCGGTTGACACACCTAACCATCAAATAATATATATTTCGTATATCTGGTATATACTGTTGCTTATTGTCCCTTGATATTACGTTTTCTTTTGTGTACACATCATGTTGCACGTGATTCATGGTACTGTCACCTTCTATTAATAATCTTGCGCTCTTGGGACGCAATGTAACACTACATTTAGGCTTTCACATAAAATGGTACTGAAGTATATATGTGACAATGTCCTGTTACGCATCCCCCGACTTTTTACCCTACGTAAAAGCATTGTACATATTAATGATAATATATTATCTTATCACTTACGGCCCAGATATATACACTTACCTGTCTGTCATATGAGGACAGGGAGGCGTGGTCTGTGAGTCGTGGTGCTACAAATTCTGTTGCACCGTCACACAGCTAGCATTGGTCCAAGACGCCACATCTGCTCAAAATGGGAACGAATATTTTTGTGAGTATGATATCACACGGATAACACTTTTTTTTTACTTTTCGGGTAAAATTCGTATTGTTATAATGATACAGTTATGTCTAGGTTATCTTTAATCATAAGTCGCATATTTTTTCTGAAATAAGACTAAAATACGAATATCGGGATTTATGTGTAATCAATGGATTTTTTTATTAATTGGTATGTCGTATTCGTTATATCCTTATATATATATCAAATCAATTAAACCGTATTTAGTTCTCGGTAAACGAAATCGATAATGCGATGTGTGCATTTTTGTTGCAACGTAGAACGCTATACCAAACTATTAAAAGTACTTATTATTTGTTATGGAAAATGTTTAATTCGAGTTTTTAAATCAGGATTATATTTTAGTAAATTGATTTAAAATCTATGTTTCATTGTTTAGTGAATCGTAAACCTAAACACCATGATTCTGATAACAATCAATATATGGAGCCTCTGCAATGCCTATACTCACCACGAATTTCTAACCCACGGTCCATACATATTATAATGACTGTATGATTTGTTTGGAACATGGGTTTAGAATTTGTGTCAAGTGCCGATGATTCAGCCAGTGTTTTTATATATTTCACTGTTTAGAATAGGTAACTCGTACAATTGTATTTGTTTCTACCATTTAAACACAAAACAAAATTACATGTATTAAGACTATTTGACCCGACGACTTCTCGTGACATCATATATTGGATTGAAACAATGGCGTGACTTTTCACAGACATAATGAACTTAAATCACCAGGTTGAAATATGTTACTAAACAGTGTTCAAACATACTTATAAAAAACTAATGTAAGTGCCGTGCTATATCAAGTATGTGAGAATAACGTTGAGGTAAAAAAGCCGCTGATACATTCGTTGCTAATTTGCACAATCTTAGTTCTGAAGTCGAATATCATTATACATGTAAATGTATCCATAAATAATTTTACAAATATCTGGTGAGAATTTCGATCACTTAATTTTTATATCTCATTCTCAGCGTTGTTTCGAAAACGGCTAATGATATAAACATTGTTTTGATATTTGAATTTACTATCATAACCCAGAGATGTTTTATTAAGTGTGATTTTGAGCTCAAGGGACATGTATGTCAACTGTTTAATGAATTTTAGGATAGAAGTAATCCTTCTTCCCACATTTGGTATAGTACTAAACTGGCGTCAGTGACAATTAGTTTCCGTTCTTTTGACGTCGTTATTCATAATACGTAATACAGGGTTAGAAATATACGAATTTCCTGTTGACAATAGTTTCGTTAAGTTTGGTGTCATAATCACCCAACATACCTTGGTGAACCATCTCACTTGGTTGACTTGTAAAAGTTTTCATACGAGGCTTAATTTGTTGAAGAGCTTTCATAAAAAAATCAGGCCACAAACATCTTGGCAAGTTCTTCCAATTCCCTTAAATATGTTGTCTTGAAATGAAAAGGGATGTATGAACAATCGCAGATTGTGCTTCTACGTTACTTCTATCTTTTTCACGGGCTTCCTAGATGGACGAAACAGTCCATGATGCAGCTTAATGCATCATTTGGCTCTGCCTTATATAACTCCGAATTGTATAGAAAGTGCATGTTTTGTACATTCTGGGTACGTCTTGAAGCGCTCATTCTGATAAGAAGTGAGATTTTTTAAAGGAATCTTATAAGCAAAGCTAACTTCATATTGATACGTTTTTAAATATCCTATTATACGAGTGATTCTTAATATTCTTATATTCTTACAGATGAAAGAACGCAAGCGAATAGCATCTTTTATTAAAATCAGATAAAGCAGAGCAAAATAATGACGTAAACTGCATTATACAGCTGTTTCGTACCTCTCGGTTTCGTCAGTGACGCTAAATGTTTAAATTAAAGAAGCCTTAAAAATATGGTACATTTTTTTATATAGATTAAGAGTACGAAATGACTGAAGAATTTAAAAGTCGCTCGTATAGAATATTTTCAGTGTTGGACACAATTTGTTTTGGTACACGTATATTTATTGTTTTTGTCTTAGGTACTGTACACAGGAGTGGTATTATAAGTTGTGAATGTTTGCCTACAGCATTGTTATAGGTACGAGTACTCCCGTCGCGTCCTGATCGGAAACTGCCATCTGGTCTCAAGCAAGATTATTCATATTTTATTTATCCTATCTAACATCTAACGTTCATTAGACTACTAGATGTGACGCGAGACATCCAGGAGAACCACTTGTGATGCCATCACCTCATTTTATTATCATTATTTTAAAGTCTCTCTGTTCAACTATATTCTCTTTGGGCTTCTATCGCTTGTTATAAAAATATACGAAGGCCCACTATCTGTATCTTCGAAACATTTTGTAATGTCAGAACACACTAACAGATATGTACTTTACACGGTATATGGAAGTGATAATGTCACCAGTCTGCCTAGATACATAAATTATTATACTGACGGACATGTTACTTGTTATATCTAGGTAATCAGGTACACAATGATCGATTATATACATCTTATGCGAGGAAATGTCGCTTGACTAACATTGACCCTTTGCACGATGGCTATTTATGGCTTGGTGGCGATGTTTCTCTGCTTACTGTGGTAGGCATATAATACACCCATTGATTTGACGACAGAAATCATGACAGATTTCTCATGTGGTACACAACCTGATAAGATATTCTACATTGTCTGTATTTGAAAATGTCAGCTACATTATTGTTGGTATGTTTTGCTTTAAAATATTTCAAACGTTAATAATAATGTTTTCAAAATTTGGGATAAATAATAAAACATAAAACAAGTCCTCGTTCGGATGTCATCAGTGGATTAATTCATGATACTTTCTATTGTGTTTGTGTTTCATTAGTTCATTAGAATTTCTAGCATTTTATTCTTCTTTTTCCACGGATCGATCTTGCTGTTTGTCCATAACGACCAAAACCTGCACCAGACAGTTATATATGTTTGAAGCATGTGAACCTGATAACTATGGTGTCACATTATTAATAAATAGAAAAATAGTTCTGTGACAACAGACAGCATCAACATAAATGTGACAGTAAATACTTTGTGAACCTGACATTTATTTTTATTTTTTTATCTACTTTTCAATGGAATCTAATCTTTAATGTAACTGTACTTACGCATATATATTTTTTCCGAGTAAATTCCACACATCGTTTTAGTAAAACGTCTGTCATGAGAATGCTCTAACACAAGTCAGACACTCAAAAACAACGTGTTGCACATAATATTTTCATGGAGAACGATTCTTCCAACCAAAATGATAAGTTAGCTCAATAGAGTTAATTATAACTCGATAAGTGTTTCTGTCTAACATAGTTTGCCAAAAAAAATAATTTTTTATACTGAATATTATCTATGATTAAACGTCAACGAGTGAAGACAGAGAAGGATATTAATTTCTTATCAGCATTATATAGTTGAGAGAGGAACCATCGGATCTTTTATCTGTATTTAGTAAAGCGTAATCAATGTACTAATTTTGCAACACGCAGTTTTATATCGACTGAGCATTTTTAATCGGTTTCGATTCTACAAGTAAGATGTCAGTTAAAGACAAAACAAAACAAAAATGTGTATTTTCCTTTTTGATCTATAAGAATACTAATTGCTATGAAAGGTATTATTAATTACCGTCATTATGTGTGTGTCAAATAACACTTATTACCACGTCACGATATCCACATATTCTGGTATATATCTCGCCGCGTGTATATCATAGTGAAAACGTTAGTGTAATGGAATGGTGGCTAATGAAACCTCACTACAAGAACAACGTGTAATATATTGCAGTCGTGATAATTATGACAGTGATAATTAACTTTCGCGGTAAAAACTCATTAATTTGCAAGAGATATTAAACCTCAGCTAGGACTTGGTAACTGCGTTTTATGTCTAATGCCATAACAGTATAATTATATTTCTTCTACAAGTATGATGTGTTGGAAAATGTATTGTCAGGGTAACCAGAAGGGTTTCCAAACTGCATTTTGTCTGGTCGAAAATGCCATCATTCTAAATGGCTTGTAACGAAATTTACAAACTCATGGAAAACATTGTTTGAGTGGCATTATGGATAATAAACTGAGCTTGCATACGACGTCTACATATTTGTATTTTGAATGAACATTGCACAAAGATGATATCTACAGATACATCAATAAATACAATAATAATCAACTCTGTTAAGTTGTGGAAATTATCTTAAAGGAAATGCATTAATTGTTTGATGAAGAGTGTTAGTGAGAAAGTTTTACAAATTCGGCTCAGTCTTGTCAATTACGACACAATACCATGAAATTGTGATGATTCTTACTTTCATAAATCTATTTATGTTAATGTCATGTCACGTTTGCTTTCGGAAGTGGAATTATATATATTCATATTTTTTCAGTTGCTATTAGCAGTAATCGTGGTGGTCTCACAGGCTCAATCACAAAAACCCTCACCGCGTTTAAGTAGTCCAAAGTTATCGAAAGGACGACCTAGTGGCAGAGTTGGCAGACTCTCTCAAGGCAGTGTTCCCAGACCAGCTACCGTCACTACGCGGAAACCATCTGGCTCTAAAGTGAGCCCCGCCGCAGGACCGAAAGTACGACCCGCTGGCCCAAAGCCCACAGCAAGGAAGGCCCCAGTGTCACCAACTCCCTCTGGAACGCCTAAAACAAAATGTGTTAGTATCTATGCTTTTCATATTGGTGTTGTCCAGTTTCAGGGAACGCGATATGTTTATATAGTATCAGGAAGGTGTAAAGTAAGTGTATGAGTGCATAATGAAAAACCGACAGAACCTTCATTTACATGATATGTTCGATCACGTCTAACTCTTTGGATGAATGAACGTACCGTCAAAACATAATCATGATACGTAACAATAAGAACTCTTTTTAGACAGTAAGGTAAACGCCTTACGAACAAATACCTGTCTTAAAATAGAAATGCCAATCATATAGAATATATCTTTATAAAATCTGAAGTAATATCGATAAGATATTGCCGAAACTAAAATCCACACAAACGTATTAAAAAGTCAAATGTTGCATATTGAATATCTTTCATTGATATATCTCATATATATAAAGACATTCTATTTTGGAGACAATATGTTAACTTGACGAGTGCGATGTTATACAAATTCAATATCATAATCTGGAAGAATAACAGGAAAAGAAAGAAGAAAACACGTGTCTAGTGGTACGAGTAGAAAGATGTCATTAGAGTTCATGTCATTTGTAGTCAATGATGTCAGAAAGCCACGTTACCCAAATTGGTTTAGTATACTATGGTTGTTTGTTGCTATAGATAATATCGTCAATGATTCATTTTGTCTCGTTCAATGTTTTTTTAACTAATAATAAACAAACAACTATAAAGCGATATATCAACTACTAGTACAAGGGGACAATGATTCGTGTTTTCACGTGACACCTTAGACAATGTACTTCTGGGCTGAATGACATAAAGTCCCCAAAAGGTTTGATGTGATAGCAGCTCAACTGACCAAAATACAAGAGAGTTTCAACCACCGCCTTGTAGTTGTACTATGTCTGTGCCATAGCGTCAATGAATCGTTATATTTTGATTTGCATAGAGCCGATTTTGTCATAAAAATAGTGCAATAGATAACTTGAGCTCGACATGACCCCTCTAAATTGAATATTAAATGTCAGAATGCCATGAGCATTGTGTAATTTTCTAAACAATTTCATGCGAAAACTTTTAACCTTAAGAATGAAAATGATTATACGGTTGGAATAATAGGATAAGCAAATAGACAGAATGGCAAATTCAATTTGGCATTAATGAAAGATAAGAAAACAATGTACTACATAGGATATTTCTTATTCTCGATATAAAACAGTTATATTTCGTCACGTTGGATGGACACATATTTTCACTCGGCCTGCACTCTCACTTGATGAAATATAGCTGTTATTAATAGAATAAAGCAAAGAATATCTTTTATGTCATGATGTTTCATTAGTCGTATGATGGAATGGAGAGCTATCAAAAACCCATTTTACGGTTACAAAGGCCAGACTGTAACATTTTAAAATATCTGAAAACAGAAGAATTGAGGCGCTAAGAATTTGATATATCATTTGTCATATTAAGGAACATAGAAGCATAAATTTGGTAAGATGAATGACTTTGACACTTGCAATGTCACATGAGTTAAAAGATTTATTGTCTTTACTGTTTGAAGCAAAAATGACTAACGTCATTCCAAAATGTGTATAAGCAGGAGTTGCGAATTTGTTTTCCTTAAGTAACCTTGAACAACATGGTCATGTTGTAAGTGCTTAAAACAGATCCTCTGGGTAACCAGTGGACCTAGGATCAGAATTTCAAGCCACTATCAAGTTGGATGAAGCCTTGGCTCACTTTCAATGTTTTAACGGTGAAATGTAATACCGACATCAGACAGCTTGTAGACTGCATTAAAATCTAAATCTTCCCCATTAGGTTACCAGACTTGATAGTCACAACTATGATATAATTAGCCTGTAATCAATAAGACTGACAAAATATGACCGAACGTCCATACTGGGGTTTTTGTTACAGTGCCATGTAATTAACAATAGATTTTAGTAATGTATTAAACACATCATATGTGTTTCAGAAGGGAAGATGTAAGTTCCCACAAGAGGTGTGTGTAAGGAAAGCGAGATGCCAAGGACCTTCATGTTTCTTCTGTGCAGGTATATCACAGAATGTGTATCAAATAATCCATTCTAATCCGATCTGCTATAGTTTGAATTGTTTAGGAACGCAAAGTATAAAACAAATGCACCTGATTTTTCATTTGTGTCAAAACATAAGTAAATCACATTAGTTCCAAGCATCTACATACTGCATGAAAAGGATCTTACAAAAACATTACTCCACTTTCTTACTGATTGGATTTTTTCCGTCATGTATTTCTTTCTGATATTCCAAACCAATGTTGAAGAATATTATCTGATGTCGGGAATGTTGCTGTAGTTATTCTATTTCGTGTTATTGGTAAATATGTTGCTATATTGTCATTTCATGTGATTAATATTCATGACTTATTATTATTGATATTCAAGTACTAGTAGTGTTTCTATTGTAAAAGAACGGACAGAATGCATTCTGCAGCTTTTACTTTACATGTTCCTCATTTGCTAGAAACGAAAAGCATTCCTAGCCTTCCCGGGAAAAAGGCCGCGCCGACTCCTTCCTCGCCTGTGAACCTTGGGTTTAGTGGTATGGGTATGAATAACATGGAAATGTTTAGCATGCCGCAACAACGACAACAACCAACTGACATCTTCTCGGAACTATTCGGCCTAGGTAAGCACGAAGTTTTCAGTATATTACAGTTTAGATAATACATTTTTTCCCAATGGTATTAATTACAGATGCTGGAGTTATATCTGTTTTACTAACGCACTCTGTCTTAACGGTAGTGTATTGCAAACTACAGTCAATTGAATGTAGATTATGCAGTATAATTGCACTAGCATATCACTAAGATGGTCAGATGTTTTATATAATCTGCTTATAATAACAGAGTAAATGTCTTGTTTTGTAGGTCCAAGCACGGGAGGATACGATATTTTGTAAGTTGTCTTGTCATTTTTACCATTTCTGATAAATATCAACCACATTTATATTCCTTTGCAATAGTTATATGTTTTAACCTCTTCTGTGTAAAAGTTATAGCGAACCATCTGCTTCGCTCTTTTGAAAGTCATGCGCATTCTGTATTCCAAAAACGGACAGGAAATACCACATCATTAATCGTCAAATATATAGCAACATATCGAAGTCATGGCAGTTGTCATTTATTCTCAGGCCAACTTTATGAACTTCATCAAGAACTGAATTTAGTGTAGACACAAAACTGACAAAGAATTAACCACATATAAGAGAGTAAGTGCGTTAAGCTAACTTCTCTATTTAGTAGATGCTAGCTAACGGGGGATTATATCAGGCGTTATATATGCAATAGAATACTTATAGTAGTTAGTTTTGCTTGAGCGATATGCTATTCCATAACCTTATATACGTTACATAGATAGACTTACATGAATATAGATGTAATAAAGAATTTAGTAAAGGAGTTGATAGAAATTACACCCGTTTCGGTGAAGTAATATGAAAATATTCAATGTGCTAAGCTAATCTCATATTACAATGCCACGAAGATAGAATTGAATAAGTACGAAATGAAAACATTCACATTTGGATTCTTTATTTAAAATTTGATATTACCGATACTATCATGTAAAATTTATGGTCTGATCTCACAATAGCTTTTCACGTGTGAAACAAAATTCATATCAAATAAAAGAGCATGACAGTCATTTAGTAAATGTCAATTAATCCTCAGTGCTTCTTATATTTATCTTTGAGATAATAGTACTTTTAATTTCACATGATTACAGAATTTGTTAAATTCATTTTACTGAGAAAATAGTTAGACACAATATAACGTGGACTGTCTGGTAGTGTACTAACTTGGAGGGTTGGAGAACCCGTACAAAATGGCCAGAAGTAATGTTTCACAAAGAATTTTTTCTATTCTAAGGCAATGAAATTTTTATAGCATATTTTAACAGAATTTAGTCATACTGATTATAGTTGAACGTGTTCAGTGCCATACTAGATGTAGCTTGCTATTCCAATGGAAATGAAATTTGATGGAAAAGAGGAATACTTCTATATATTGTGTAATAATATGTCTAACGCATTGATACCTGTTATGGCCTACATGTCATAATGGACATTGCCCAAATATGATATTATAGATTTGAGACATTCAGTATCACACCAAGCAAATACGTTTCGTTGTTTTCTGCGTCCCTTATTTGCCTTTTTTCAATTTAAATGTGTAAGGAATAACAGGCTGAATGAAAGAGGGAACTGACAATATAGTGATAGAAATTTGTTCTTTGATCACGTGTTCACTGTTTTACTTATTAGCGGATCAAGGCAATCACAAATGAGCAGACAACCAGTTCCGTCAGGATATCCAAATAGTTTTTAGTAAGTAATGCCGATATTGTTAACACTGAGGAAGTAGCTAACACCAACTCGTAGATAATATCTGTTACAGATATCAACTGTTCTTGAAGAAAGAATATCTCATCACGTAGATGTAACCATATTTCCTCTATAGATACTTCACTCCCCAACAAACCATTGAAAATGTTGATGCTTTAATGATTTAACCTTAACTCAGCCAGCCTCTCCTGAACTCAGTGTGGTGGTTTATACCTTAGGGATATTACATTGTACATCAGCAGGCAATATCGAAAAAGTTACCATACTTTACGACTTCAGTAAGGATAAGACGTCAAGATTCTTGGCGCAACTCCGAAGATACAAAAATGGAAATTCATTAAGACAACAAATGATATTTATTTGAGACAATCACTTGATTACTTGCTCATCTTAATTTAACTTTAATAACATTTTGGCGTAGAGAGTCCTGGAAAGGGAGTTATTATCATAATCGTTCAAGAAATATTTTCCTTACCCTGGTTTTCATATTGCTGTTGCGCTTTTTGAATTTCTTGTTGAAAGTAGTCAAATCTTTTTATTTTTTTTTATTTTTATTTCTTATTTATTTATTCATTTTTTTTTCAGATGTTGAACAAATAGTTTTTTATATTGATATATTTAAACGCGATAGTGTTTTAAACATGATACCAATTATAACGGACAAATTTCAATGTTGTCTGCACTGTTGTACCAGCAAAAACAAATAACATTGATATCAATTTTAATTATAACAAAACTTCATCATCCAATTGTTTGTTATTAACCCTGTCAGCCCTCCAAACCCACTCACATCCATCCCGGTACCTGGACAGTATGACACGACATTTAGCCAAATGGATTTCCCTAAACCTTTGTAAGTAAAGCTTGTAGATGTGTTTCAATGTTGCTGTAACGTAAGTGATATATTTTCTGTCGGTAAAGCTGTTCGTAACATGACAGGCAACTTGTAGAACCGCACTCTGCCATAAAACAAAACGTTGTCGTGTTTTCGACTGTCACGGATGTTTTGTGAATGTATTACCTGTAAGCGTAAGTTATGTTCTCCTTGCTTATCGTTACAAATATCTAAGAAACATTATATTTATAACATATTGCTATAGAAACCATTTGTGTAACTAACGCAGATAAATGATAAAAGAAAACGATATATTCAGGGGGTAGAATTTAAAATAATATGGTGAACGTTTCTGATAACATTAAGTATGCAATATCCATATTATTTAACAAGTAAACACGTACAGAATTTTATATCATTAACCTGGTAAATATGAGCAGAAGTTCATGTCATTTACCTGGTAAACATGTACAGAATTTTGTATGATTTAACTGGTATACGCGTATAGATTTCCATGTTTTGGACAAATCGCTGAATGAAGGTATTTCACCATGGAATAATAATTTAATTTTCACAAGCTTCAGGTAATCCTATAATTAAGTATCAATTTCACAGTGAAGCATGTCGTTTTATTATTCAACCGATGCTTCATGTTTAAAACACTATTCACTATACTTTTTATTTCGTTATTTTGTTACAACAATTGTTAGAAACTTTATCAGTACATAATACAAGATTATAATATAAGATGTTTCGTATCCATGAAATAAATTGTATTCGAAATGGCATTTTCCTGAAAGTGGTTTTATAATGCGGAAAGAGGATCGTTTTTGGTTCTAACGGCTAATCATCTGTCACATATCAAAGTTAAAATGAACAAGCACATATTATAATAGACCCCGCAATTATAGCATTGTGCTTGTGTTATCTGACTTAAGTGTCGGTCTGTGCTATAGAGCGGCTAAAACACATTCTGGTTAAAAAATAGCAATTAAATGTGACCTTCCACAACACAACCACGCATTCTTTGAAGTCGGATGATGCCTAATTGTATCTAATATTGAAATGATAAGTAAATAGGTTAGTAACACTGGTATAAAGCTGATATAGATAACTCCGCTATTTGAGAAGTCAGTGGGACCATCAAAAATACTTCGTAGAAACCGAACTTCGTAAAACACGACACCAGTTCAGTTCTGTTCACTAGAAACGTTTACCTAGTCGCACACACAAATGCAGGTCCTTGAATTAAAATCAGATCAAAGTTTTGCAAACAAGTCAGTCACGTGGTATTTGTGTTGACAAATACTGACACTAGTCAGCAAAGTTATATAGTTCAGTGGAACACGCAAATACATTTTCGTCAGTATCCTCACGCGATACAATGAAGATATTTTATAATGTCAACACTATCCACATAGTGTGTATATGGAAAAATTAATGTTTATGTGACTAAAACTTCTTGTTGTTACCTTAATGCTATTTACGACCTTTGTGTATACTTGCTGTAAAATGTCACTAAGTGACTGAATGCATCTCTATAGTCCTTCTGAATGTTAAGTTGACACTATTGTCTCCTCAGCTTACTATCCTTTAACGTTTAATATTAACATTTAACCCTTTGACCAGTAGCTCTGGAAACTCCAAACCTTCAGGTGGATCCATGACTGATAGTAATTCTCCTCCCTTTTTGTAAGTATTTCGCTCAGAGTAGCCGGAAATCCACTTATCATATTTGTTATATCACATGCAACATCACTGTCTTCCTCATGCTCAGAAGACCAAAAAATATGTCGTGAAAAAAAAAAATGTTCATCGATATGAAAGAATATTAACTATATTTTGGGTTCCACAGAAGTAGATTGGTCTTACTTGCTCACTTTTCTATAGATATAAGAATAGAAAGATACCATGGCTATCGTCACGCGAGAATTCTTGTGATCTTTATGTATTGTCTATCCAGTACACTGAATGTTGACCGCACACGTTCATTTCTCGCAACCTTATAGTACTGAAGGCCATGTGTGGTTGTTACGTTCATTAGACAAACACGAGCAATTTAGATATTTAACATGAACAACAAACATATACATGTATTTTTAGGTATAGAATTTAAAACTACACATAAACAACAAATATATGTCGTGTGTATTTTGTCAATTAAACACTACAAACACCAGATACACGTGTAGTTACACACAAAGGTATAAAATTTAAAACTGTACATAAACAACAAATATATGTCGTGTGTATTTTGTCAATTAAACACTACAATCACCAGATACACGTGTAGTTACACACAAAGGTATAAAATTTAAAACTGCACATAAACAACAAATATATGTCGTGTGTATTTTGTCAATTAAACACTACAATCACCAGATACACGTGTAGTTACACACAAAGGTATAAAATTTAAAACTGCACATAAACAACAAATACATGTCGTGTGTATTTTGTCAATTAAACACTACAAACACCAGATACACGTGTAGTTACACACAAAGGTATAAAATTTAAAAATGCACATAAACAACAAATATATGTCGTGTGTATTTTGTCAATTAAACACTACAATCACCAGATACACGTGTAGTTACACACAAAGGTATAAAATTTAAAACTACACAGATTCAATGTATATCAATTAACTACATATAAATCGGGAAATGTAGTATGAACATTCATAATATTCGTAGTGCAGTTGTCATATAAGGCCACGAATGATGAACATAATATTCAAATTACAGGAGAATAGTGGGCCTATATTTCTCATTAGAATACAAGCGTGTACTTTGGCACTGTGGTATATTATGTATAGGCCATACATGTAATGTGCCATTAATGTCTCGTGTGGATATATAAAACACAGATCAATATAAAACATGTGCCAGTTATTGACAGGGCCGTTATAATCGTATAGCGTATGGCAGGTTTATTGCTTTTTAGTTATTTTTGACCTATTCCTCTAGGTGTGCATCACGATAGATTTGGGATATTTGGGGAAATTATCTACTTGATACTCAATCTCTTCCTTAATCAGATCTCATTAACAGGATTAAGGTATATATCATTGTTTTCTTCTCACCAGTAATCAATTGATACTGTTATATATTAACATGACGCCAATATGTACATCGTTGCTTCACCACAGATCAATCAGTATACTGATCAGTAGAACAAAAATATATAGATACGATGTAAACTGAAATGTTTGATTTTTAATTTTCCTATTAATTTGGACAACACAGGAAATGGGAAAAGTAATGAAGGTGATAGCTGTCGTTTGAATACTTGCGCATTCTATTGATTTAAATGAATATAATGCAGGTATTGAAATACATCGAAACAAATGATGTGATGTTAGTTTCTGGTGGTCGTGGCCGATAAATGACGCAAAATATAAGGCGACAGTATACTCAAATTTTCTAGCATGAATTTTAAACTTGAACTGTTCACTCAGACGTGGATCCCCACAGACGCCCGCGTCTATGCCACCGCCTATGTTACAGCCCTATAACTTTATGCGTGAGAGTCCAGCAATGGATCGGTCATCAGGATTATCCAATTTGTTGTAAGTTGGGATGGAAGCTGGCTTTAACCTTGTGTTATACAGAGCTTGCCTGTGGAGTTGGTACCTCATTCATTTACTCAGAATAACAAAAAAGCAGGATAAGTAGGAAGTTATGATATAGAATAATATTATATTACATTAATTGTTTTACATTGTATTAAAGCATTTTAGCATCCATACCCTGAAGGTCAAGGAAAATACTGTCGTATTACATTAATCTTGAATGTCATGAACCAAAAGTATACTAATATGTTAATGATACACTGCCCAGCCGGTATCGCAAGGAACTTTATCAGGATAAATAAACGACTGATATGTCGCTAACATTCTTCTAATTTGAAAACGTGACATTACCTAAATAAATGAGGATGTGTATGTCGGCAAAGAACCAGACAACGCTAATCCTTCCGGAACTTTGGTATTGTTTCTGGTTCTGCTCTTTTTCAGAGGTCTCCATGTGAGTCCTTCTTTTATTCATATTTTATCCACGTTCCATCAATATCGGGTTAGAATTATAAATTCTGTTTATATATCGAAATGTTCTAGCTGTTTGTGTTTTGTTTGTAAGCTCATTTGTTATCATAAAAAATGTTGAATTTAATGAAGAAAATCAAATTTGGTCGAAATCATTTAAAAAACTACATGGAAAGTTGCACTTATCCCAAATTCCTTTAATTTCATCATTCTTAAATTTTATGATTTTTCCTAAAAGACGGCAAATGCATGTGTATATTTAAAAAATATGCAAGGAATATTCTCACTTTGTCATCAGAGCATTGTGTCAGTTCTACTAACATAGTGGGTTTATTTCAGAGGGTTGTGGTATGTATCTTATTTCAGAAAAAAAAAAAACATGTCTGCAGTGTTACACCAAATGGCAATGCTTTGACCTTGGTTGTCGTTTCAAATTACAAACAGCTGAAAAAAAATAGCACAATCGACTGAAAAAAATCAGCACAATCTACTTATCAGATAATTATATATCATATGTGGTTTTAATTTCTATGTTTGATGACGTAAGTATAAAAAAGTAACTTAAACTCCCTCAGTAATTAACGAAACAGACAGGGGTTTATAATCTGATTTTATCGACATCTGTCGTTGACTTTCCATATATAACGCGCAGATATATCTGAACAGTATATAACAATAATGTATGTATAAGGTAGTGTGATAAGATTAATGTTTCCAGCTAAAATATGCTATATATTTGTTGTTGACACATGTGAATTAAGTATTTAATTATATCAAACAATGCCTGATCATTTATTTTTGCTTCATATGTAACACTTCTTTCAGGAAAATAGTATCCTCAACTCTATAAATAAAGTAATAATGCATGATATGTTTTGATTCAAGACAGACTCCGCTTTGCTTTTACAGGCCCATTTGACCGAAGGCGATGGCTGTATTTATGTATTCTTACCATTAAGAACTCATTTACATATTTTAGGGTCTTTTCCCTCTATTTTCATTCTGATTACTGAAGTGAAATATATGTAAGTAACTTGTGACATTGACATGGACACTTGGATTGAAGTTGATTCTTTATCAATTCGTTAGTAAGCACGACATTTTGTTTACAGTGGTGGGTTATTTGGGAGTGGATCAGGAGGAATGGGTGGCACCACTGGAATGAATCTCCTGTAAGTAAAGGACCGAGTAGTACATTAATAAGAACTATCGTTTATATGTATAATCATTGTGTCTGATTTCGATTTCTAATACAAAGTTTATAATATTGATATTATTATAAAACATGTTTTAGAATGGTGTTCCATATTACCGGAGTACAAAATATTCGGCAGGTGTTCAAATTCAAACTAATAATCAATTAAACCATTACGTTTCCAATTATGTTTCACTCCCACAAATGATAAAGTATACATGCCATGTGCATGCATACTATTAGACGTACGGAGGGAATGGTAAATTTAAAATTAATGTTTATACTATTAAGCATACTAATTAGCAATATAAAATGGTTGTCTATTGATGTTGGACTGATGAGAATATGTGAACGCCCTGTACCTGTAAATCGACTTATAAAGAAAGGCAACTTTTTAAACAGACGTCATTTCATCGCATTTGCTTATAAATTGTTTTTGTTTTAGATCTATGAGCATGCTTGGAATGGATCCATTCCAGTTGTTTTAGGAAAAGGAAATAAAATGACGACTTAGTGAAGTCTTCAGTCGCTCCCTAGGAGGAGTCGAATCCCGTAGTGTATGGTTGGCCATTTTGACAGTTCACATCGATCCGTGCTGCGTTCATCGTGCTCAAAAATTAATTATCTTCTGTTGGGTGTAAAAGCGACAGATCCGTGTATTAGGTGTAAATGACAGCGTGAAATGTGTAAACAAGAGAACATGGGCTCTCCGTTATGGAGTTCGGATCATTAGGTTATAGTTCGTAAGTCATATGTTTTTGTAAGAAATAAAACATGATCGGAAGTACTCTGCTTTGTTTGTATTGTTTTCTTATATTAGTATTCTCACGCTCTTCTAGCATTTGTTTCTCTTACAAATATCATTGAGGTATCACAAGAAATACCCGCCATGTTTCAATGTGCCACATGTATGAATAATCTAAAACTCTATATGAATTTTACAAGAATCCATCTGTCCTATAGCCCTTTCATCCATATGTTACGGGAGACAACTCTGTCAGGTAATAATAACAGCTGAAATAATTTTCTGATACCGATTGCCATAACGCGAAGATGAATTACAAAGTGAATGTTATTTAGATGACTGACGAACAAACAAGAGATGTTTCAAGCCTATGTGGTCAGTTGGAATATGATAAAAAAACTGTAATGACCTACACATTTAAGCTAAAGTTAAACAAAATGTCAGAATTCATACTGAAGCAGTTTCTGATCCTAACAGTAATTTTGCATGTATGAAATATAAGGTCAATTTCACTTAAGCCGTTTTATGTTGTGTGTGTGTGTGTGTGTGAGAGAGAGAGAGAGAGAGAGAGAGAGAGAGAGGGGGTGTGTGTGTGTGTGTGTGTGTGTGCGTGTGAGGGTTTGTGTGTGTGTGCGTGTGAGGGTTTGTGTGTGTGTGCGCGCGCGCGCAGACCAGTTCAAGGGACAGTGAACTGATATTTAATTCTAGGAACAGTTTGACTGATACTAATACATAGTATATAGGATATACAATCAATCTTTTTAAAAATATGTCTTTACTTAAGATATCTTATCTAATTAGATGGAACACGTGATCGACATTGTTCAAAGAATAATAAAGTATGTTAACCATAATCAGCGGCTAACAAGAGAAGGACAATTGGAATTTAAACTTAAAGAAACTATATCAACAATAAAACAATGGGACGGGAAGACGTTAATGTTGTGTTGAGTCATCAAACAGTCATAAAGTCAACGAAATGAAGGCGATTGCAAGAACAAGTCAGCTTCTTTATCATGATCTCACACAATGCATCAAAGAAAAACTCTCAGCACATCTTAAGCATGCTCTCACACAATGTATCAAAGAAAAACTCTCAGCACATCTTAAGCATGCTCTCACACAATGCATCAAAGAAAAACTCTCAGCACATCTTAAGCATGCTCTCACACAATGTATCAAAGAAAAACTCTCAGCACATCTTAAGCATGCTCTCACACAATGTATCAAAGAAAAACTCTCAGCACATCTTAAGCATGCTCTCACACAATGTATCAAAGAAAACTATCAGCACATCTTAAGCATGCTCTCACACAATGTATCAAAGAAAACTCTCAACACATCTTAAGCATGCTCTCACACAATGTATCAAAGAAAACTCTCAACACATCTTAAGCTTGCCCTAAAACAAAGCATCAAAGAAAAACTCTCAACATATCTTAAGCATGCTCTCACACAATGCATCAAAGAAAAACTCTCAGCACATCTTAAGCATGCTCTCACACAATGCATCAAAGAAAAACTCTCAACACATCTTAAGCTTGCCCTAAAACAAAGCATCAAAGAAAAACTCTCAACACATCTTAAGCATGCTCTCACACAATGCATCAAAGAAAAACTCTCAGCACATCTTAAGCTTGCCCTAAAACAAAGCATCAAAGAAAACTCTGAACACATCTTAAGCTTGCCCTAAAACAAAGCATCAAAGAAAAACTCTCAACACATCTTAACCATGCTCTCACACAATGCATCAAAGAAAACTCTGAACACATCTTAAGCTTGCCCTAAAACAAAGCATCAAAGAAAAACTCTCAACACATCTTAACCATGCTCTCACACAATGCATCAAAGAAAACTCTGAACACATCTTAAGCTTGCCCTAAAACAAAGCATCAAAGAAAAACTCTCAACACATCTTAACCATGCTCTCACACAATGCATCAAAGAAAACTCTGAACACATCTTAAGCATGCTCTCACACAATGTATCAAAGAAAACTCTGAACACATCTTAAGCTTGCCCTAAAACAAAGCATCAAAGAAAAACTCTCAACACATCTTAAGCATGCTCTCACACAATGCATCAAAGAAAAACTCTCAACACATCTTAAGCATGCTCTCACACAATGTATCAAAGAAAACTCGCGACACATCTTAAGCATGCTCTCACATAATATATCAAAGAAAAACTCTCAACACATCTTAAGTGTGCCCTCACACAATGTATCAAAGAAAACTCGCGACACATCTTAAGCATGCTCTCACATAATATATCAAAGAAAAACTCTCAACACATCTTAAGTGTGCCCTCACACAATATATCAAAGAAAACTCTCAGCTCAAAATTAAAAAGTAAGTTTGGAATGAAACATGGGAGAGAATTTTTTTTTATATGCGGTGGATCTTCAAGACTAATTAATACCCCTTGGGAGATATTCAAAACATGGTACATAAAGAATGAACTATAACTGTCACCATGATTTGATAACATTGACATAGGAAATAAGATGGTTGGAGGAAGATTGGACAACTATCCGATCCAGCAATAAAACGTCACAGCTGAAGATTCATGTGGAGAACAAGAACCATACATAACGCGGAAGATGTGGAGTCGGAAGATTAGCCGGGAATCTGAACAAACTGTAATACAAAGGATATTATTATCTCGTCTTAGTAAAATACATCGGATGGTACACTAAACATACATACATCTTTGGTTTACACAGGAGCAAATCATGTGTCATTAAATGTGTGTTTCCAGGTCATTTCCGCCGACCTGATTTCGGTCAAACAATGACTGGCATATCTCCTCAAACATCATTACTCTTACTAACAGGCATAGAAAGCTTTAAGTATTTGAAAGCTATTTAACCACACTACATTATCCTCCATGATTTTACTCCACAGCACTTTTATGAGTGACGTCCCGTTATTCGTCCAATGACTTAAAGAATAGTGAAATAGACAAAGCAGCGAAAATAAATTAGAAAATTGAGGATTAATTTTGAAATAATAAAAACCGATCTCTTGTTGTTTACAATGCTTTTACACGTGAGATTCCGGCTTCTCTCGGTAGTAACCTTTAAAATGTTAAAACAGAGGAGTGTCTGAGCAATTAGGCTAATTTTCCTAAGCAATTTCGAGGATGAATCGAAATATCATTCGTGTGTCGTGACGAAGCTAGTCATAATGTATATGGCACGCTGAAAGATGGGTGTGTTTTGGTCGATAGTGCTGTTTTGGAGTCCTTTGCTTTGGCAGTTCTCAAGCCCTCTTCAATATGGTATGTTTTATTTATATTCATATTCGACAAGTGCAACATCTCTCTAGACATTGTTATCGGGTTTATTATTTTGAGTTTAGAAAATTAATGGCAAATCACAGGATAGTAGTGTAGGCAACATATACCTATACAACAAAGCGATTGAAGTTGGGCCTTATGATATATTTTTCTCGCTATGTGTAACTTTATTGAGACGCCAGTTTCTTTATGAAACATTCACGCTCTTTACGTCTATTTCATTGTTGTTTATAAGGTACGGGTAGACTTGAAATGTTGGAGGAGAAAGTATTCCGCGAGCTGCTCCAAGACTACGACAAGTCTGTGCGTCCGGCCACACTGGTCTCTCGGACAACAGTGGTTACACACGGACTCAGTATATTACGACTCGTTGACTTGGTAATATTATCTATCTATACTGAGAGGAAAAAAGAAACTCAATTAGCAGAAAGTTAATATTGTAAATTAAATCCTTGACGTACACCCTTGAAACTTGACAAATGTGTGCATTTGAGTTAGGTCCCTATGGTACCTTATTAAAGTCACTGATGCATAACTAAACTGCGCGCGCCGCTTGTACAAAAGAATAAGAGACAATAGCACGATATCTCGAACCCAGTATAAAGGATTGGTTCAAAATCTGTGTGTGCGAATCTTCAGACATATCAGTCTTGATTTCCCACATTTTAAGCATAAACAGTTCACCGTAAAAAAAGCCACGACTGTCCGAAGTTGACAGGGGTCGTGCCATTGCACTTCTTATGCAAGGTACCCCGCAAAAGCAGGTCGCTAATCAATTTGAAGTCCATCCATCGAACATTTGCCGTCTCATCCAAAGGCTACATGCCACCAGAAGGGTTGCAGACCGTCCCCGTAGCGGTCGCCCTCGTGTGACGAGGCGTCGGCAGGACAGGGCAATGCGACTTCCGCACCTACGCAATCGCTTTCTGACGGCCACGGAAATAGCAAGGAACATAATTAGGCGTCATCATGTTCCAATTGATCCAAAGACAGCGCGTACTCGACTGCGTGCCTTCAGTCTAAGACCGTGGCGGTCATATGTTGGACCACAGCTAAATGCGCGGCGACGTGCCAGACGAATGCAATGGCTGAACGCACATTCCGTAAGACGCTTCCCAATGCAACGTTGGAGAAGGGTCCTGGTCTCATATGAGTCCAGGTTTTCGTTTTACCGGGCAGACGGCCGACGTCGTGTCTATAGACGTACCCACAAGCGCTATGCAGATGCTTGCGTGATAGAGAATGACCGCTTTGGAGGAGGATCGGTCATGGTATAGGGAGAGATTGCGCATGGTATTAAGACTCCTCTGGTCGTTATTCAGGGAAATATCACGGCCGTCCGCTTTAGAGATCAAGTCCTAGCGCCGCATGTTGTTTCTCTAGTACAGCAGCACCAACTGACGTTTCAGCAGGACAACGCCCGGGCGCATATAGCGAGGGTTTGCCGTGGTTATCTCGCAGCAAACAATGTCCCCACCCTATACTGGCCCCCATACAGCCCTGACGTCTCCCCAATAGAACATTTATGGGACGAGTTGAACAGAAGTATAAGACGTAGGCCAAATCCTCCAATCAACGTCGCTCAGTTGGCGTTGGCGCTGGATGAGGAATGAGGAGGGTTAATACCCCGATCAATTCAATGCACAAAGGAGTTCGTGCAGTTACTACATCTCGCGGGGGGCACACACGATATTGATGGGTACAGAACGCACTTCATTTTGAGTGGGGTACTCTTGAATCAACGTCAGATTTGAAAGATTTACTTAACGTGCACGAATGAAATTCTCGTAGATGACAGAGTGGTCAACTATCTTCCAGTTACACCATAATTACATTCTAAAACCCTTTTCTATTTCCCGTAGATGACCTGGGAATTGCGTTTCTTTTTCCTGTCAGTATATATTGTTTTCAAACAGAAGTTTTTAGACGTACATTCTTAAATGTGTTTATAGATCTCATAGACTTTTATGAAACCTACAAATACTTAAAGTGTATTGGATTCATGAGTTCGAATTTAAATTCAAGTCTGTGCGAAACTTTTTAGTGGGATATCTCTGATATAAGCTTTATTCACTTTACGACAATTGCATAACAAGTCTGTGGTCGGGCAGGTGACCCATACCTTTTCATGTTCCGATCTGGAGATCGAACGGCTAGATGAAAGGCGAGTTCGTTACCAATGCGCCACCTGACCACCCGCTTTTCAAGGATCACTTTCATATCTACAGAACTTCCTTCAAATGTTACCTATACTTTCAGGTTTTGACTGATAATGCTTCCAGTCATATATCTGTTAGCCTATATATTTTTATGTAACGTATGACAAAAACCGAAATAATAATCTTTCACAAAATGGATTTGTTTTGGAGTTTGATCCAAAATTTGAATGACTTCCTGGATTTCGTACGGATAGGTGACTGTGTCATATTGTGGCGCTTGGCAAGGCTCCAGTGTGGTAGGCAGGGCCAACCCCCACTTTTTTCAACTGAGCATTGAGAAATGTCGGGAGGATATTTTGACTCTGATATCTCAAAAATCCCGGTCCGCCAATGGCAAATTAATTGCAATCAGCCACCAGTTTGCTTCATGAAACACGTCTCCTTAAGTGGAATAATTGATCTTCTGGCCCTGCGTTTATTTAAATCAAGGTCCGACACTGGCTTTTATATGTAAATTGCAATCAGCCTTTTTTTAACAATCATTGTTCGCTTTGATGCTTTTTGTTACCTTTACAGAAAGGTAACACCATGACTGTGGACGTATGGGAAGACATGGAGTGGATTGACCCTCGCCTACGTTGGAACCCTGCTGATCGTGATGATGTAGATCGAGTTAACATTGCCTCGAGTTTGCTCTGGGTACCCGACGTCGTCCTATACAACAGGTACGGCAGCCAATATATGCTATTAATTGAATGAGATTTATAACCAAAGCCTTAACGCAACACTGGGCCTTTTTAGAAATTTGCATGGGTGGATCCAAAAGAGGGAGGGAACCCGATACACGCCCCATCTAAAATTTGCCAAATGAATATTTTTTGCATGAATAATTAAACTGAAAATCATTATTCATAAAAAATATTATGATGCTTTGCTTCTTATTCTCCAAATAAGAGTGAATAGTTCATTAGAATTAGCATTACTCGTTACAAAAAGGAATCCTGTTGATTTTTATGAGATTATTTCACGACCGAATACTATGATTTCAGCACGAAATAATCTTGAAACATTGGTGGGGTACATGCGCTATATGAAAGTCATTTAGGGTGATACGGAAACTTTTTCTTACCCGGTCTTTCACTGGCAGCACCCGGTGCTCACACTTAAGCAAGCTGGGTTGGGAGATTGTATACGGTTTGGACGTGGTCTATCATTTGAAGAATCGGTTAATAGTAGAAAAACAGCACATTCTCCGTCAAATTTCATGACAAATCCGCAAGCTAGCACATCCTTTACACAGGAATATTGCACGAACTATAATACATATACATGGAGCGTGTTTCGGCAATTCGTGCCAAGTCCCTGTGCTCTACATCTCATATCTTTGGTTATCAGAAAGCCTTGGTAGTTTCTTTGCAAACGATTGTCCTTTACCAATGTTAGTGCGGGGGAATACCGACAGCCCAAGTATATGTTTATGCATGTATGTTGAAGTTCATGTAAAAAAGTATAATATAAATACTAAAACGTGAGTACACCCCTCCCGTTACATATAATAGATCGTTTTCATTGTTTACAGTGCTGGGAGTTCTACTGACACCTACCCGTCCACGCCCCGACAAGCATTCGTATCACACGATGGAACAGTGTATACTAGTTCAGCATCGCGACTCGTTGTGTTGTGCGGGACTGCTGACGGTTGCCCTCCAATCGACCAACGTGGTATTTTTAGTTGCAATCTTAAATTTGGATCATGGGGATATGACGGCTTCCGGTTAGATCTACGTAATAGAACGGATGGCATTGACCTCACTAACATATTCATCCAAAGTAAATGGAGAGTGACAAACTCGTCAGCTACCCGGAACGAAGTTTTCTACTCATGCTGTCCAGAACCATTCCCTGACGTTACATATACCATACAACTCGCACCGAAATATAGACCGTGTGAGCTGTTGTGATGTGTTGAAGTCAACTTCTTTTACAACGCTAAATTACTTTAAAGTGAACATTTCTTTTTCAAATGGTAATAAATGCATTCTTATTGAGATTTTGTATTGTTTTAATATTAATATTATCTTATTTTTCCAATTCAAATCAAACAACACTCAACATCTAATATCGTGGCGCGCGGCTTGACTGCTGCGTAAATAAACATGTTATTTCCATAGGTTAACTTTTAATCTGTGATTTCTGGTATTTGTCCACTTCATGTTTTCTGATCTGCGTAGGTTTTGTACATGGTATCCGTTTACTATTCCAGGTGCCGATGTACGTTACAAATAAAGTTTCAGTTTTTATAATGCAAGGAATATTGTAACGATCGTTCTTGATATTCGTTTTCACGAGATGTTTGATTAACAGCAAATCTGACATTCGAACTTGATAATGTATTGAAGGCGTACAAATATTCAAAGTTTTTTTTTTTTAAGTATTCGACCCTTAACCTAGAAAAAAGGTCAAGGTAATTATGTGCAGAATCTTCATAGCACTCAGCCGCCGCCTCATCAGTTCCTATTAGCCAAATGCGAACTTGCAAGTTTTGAATACTTGGCTCCTGTATCTTTGAAATTAAGACAACGTCATTCATATTACTTACATATAATGTACACAAATGCAGTTACCTCCTTACCAAACATCAATTCTAAGTTGCATATAGTTTTCAAGAAGACAAAAGCTTGTAGACAAATCCTTCACCATGTCATAAACTCCAGGCATGTTGTGCAATTTCAGCTTGTACTACAAGGTGTATGAAATTTGAGAAAGACTAAGTAGTTATTTTCAAAGTATAGAAATACTGGATGGTAACAGTCTCTGATTTCATTCAAAGATATAAACAAGTATTGCACCACCATGACTGTAGTAACAAGCAACAGGCTAACAGACCCTATGTGCCAGGCATTATATGAAGAGTTCTCAATCAAATTAAAACACAACAAGTAATCTGGGCATAGACAGATTTAATATTGTCATTTGTGTGTATCACAGGGGTGAAGTCTAATCGTCGCCAGCCTCCAAAGACTTCAGGAAATGGGCCTTTCTCTGTTTCACACGGTCCTCCCTCTGGAGACGACTCATCTTTGAACGGTTCCACCTGTAATAAAAAAAACTTATGTTATAAGTTTCTTTAGTAAATCTTTTGATGTGTTCCCAATATATAAAGAAAGGCTTCAAGAAATTAATTTTGAATATCTTTTAATGTAATTTTCCCTGTTTAAGGCATTCGTTTTCTGGCTAAAAGAGCAAGTTAAAACTACACTAACGCAGGAAAGCAATCATGGTGGGCCCAACAACTTTTTGTTAAACTTGTGTGTTTTATTCCTCCTACATTTTCATGTCTAGTAAGTCTACAGTAAGTGGATACAATATTTTGCCACTTTCCTCTCACTTATTCTACACCAGAATAGTGAAGAAACCAAAACCAATCTGTAGTTCCACCTACCTCTTCACCTTGCCAGCTGGTTCCTTCTTTGCCTTTGTTGCACGATCTGGATTAGCTCTGATGGCAGCATGACCTTTCTTGTACATCTCCTCCAGCTGTTCATAAACAAACAAAAATATAATTATACGACTCTTAATCTGTGAAGATGCCAGTTGGGTCTTCATATCAACCTCATTTTTTTTTCTTCAAATATTAGATTTAAGAAAAAAACTTGTGATATGGAGTATCAGAATCACATAAATCATATCCAAGAGGTAAACAATTGATCACTTCAACTAACCAGTGAAAAAACTTCAGTGGTAGAAAAATAACCAAAGTTAACTCAAGGTCAAATGACACGCATGTTTTCATCATTTTACCCAATATTACAGTTTCTCACAACTCTTTTTATAACTGTGATTGATCTATAAAATTTTTCAAAAACTGAAATAGTAGCAAAACTGATTTTCTGTTTTTTCTAAATTGTTAAAGATCAAAAGATCATAAGACCATTAATTATTGTCATTGTAAAGCTAAAATCTTTTTCATATTATGGAAAGTGGCTTATTTACACCACCACGATTCTGATAAAACAGTATCACAACATGCTTCATACATACATTTTCTGAATTGAGACCATGCTTGATGAACCTTGAGAACTGTCTTTTGTAGGCATCCTCATCCTCTTCCTGTAGGTGTGCCATATATCCAGCTACATGTTTGCCAAATATATGGTTACGGTGAACCTCAGCGTTGAATTCGTTGCTCTCCCCATCATATCCAGGGAAGCGCTTTGTGCTACAAAAAGATCAATATATATGCTGAAATTTGCTTTAGATTTTAGCAGTAATTGCCAAAGTATTTACGCTATTGTGGTCATTCTATGAACATGATATACTTTCAGGGCTCTCAATCTGCAAGATTTGGGGCAGATATTCCCAATGCAAAATATTATCTTTTCCCCCCAATTTAGACCCCAAGTTTTTCCAATTCTAAGGAAAACATCGTTATTTTTCCCAATTCTAAGGGGCCCGGGCCCCAGTCCCAAAATGGGGTGTGAGAGTCCTGGCTATAGATGGTAGGTGATTGTACTACCAAACTAAAATTTGTGAATTGTGTACATATCTAAAGTTTGATCAAGTGTACAATTCATAGAGTATTGTTGTGCACTGTGTAACAACACTATACAGATAAAATGACACAAGCAAATCAACAAAGAACTGTCAGTTTGTCACCATACTCTTTATCAGTTTTGTTTAACCATTTAATGATCAAAAAATGATTTAAATACAAAGAGTAGTCAGATCATCTTAAATCATGTCTAAAGGGAGATAACTGGACAAGAAAATTAAACGATGACAAAACATCACCATTCACCTCATGACCAGAACCAGCCTCCAGTCAAATGACACGCATGTTTTCATCATTCTTACTCTTCATCATCTTTACCCATAAATATTGAAAGTTATGGACCTTAAATCAAATAGGAAAGGAATTTATGACTTTGTTTCACCATTTCAACTAAAAAAGTCAAGGCTAATTAGGGATTTTCTGGTTTCCTTTTTCATTTCCTATACCAAACTTTGGCTATATCAAATTGACTGTAAATAGAACAAGTCTTCAACAATGACATTCTTTTTTAATCAACATACTTGTGTTTGAACATCATATTAATTCTAACCAACTTTGCTTCAAAATGTCATAAAATATGCATCAGTGAAAAGATACAAAATTTGACCTTGACCCTTGTCGTAGTGACCTTAACTTTAAGCCTGGTTGACTCCTTGTTCAACTCTGTTCATCTTTGCTTCATAACGTCAGTAGCAAAATATGCATCAGTGGAAAGAATTGCTATCAATATTCATCACATCACAAGGGTCAGAACTCATTCATGGAGACATCGTGTATAAAACGTGACAGGTTTTGTCAAAATCCATGCACAATGGCCATAACTCTAGTAAGTATTGGTAGAACTGAATTGTGTTCATAGAGAAATGGGAATATGCCATATATAACATTTGCCAAAATCTTTGGAGTGGTAGGTGGTATGTAATTGTGTCCAGGGGCAGATGGACAGACGCTGATTCCAGTATATCCCCCTTCCTCCCTTGCTTTGTTGCATGGGTAAAAATAGCATCATTGTCCATTTTTTCAAATAGCAAAATATCAAAACTCAATCAATATCTTCAAATTTTTTTCCTTAATCATTGCAAGGTGGTTTTCTTTTTCATTCAACCAGCATTTGAGACCAGTATACAGTTGCACTCTTAATTGCTTCCAAAATATTTTGCAATAAAAACTTCCAACAAAGGGAGACTTTTAACAACTTTAAGTAAAAAATTTTCTTTTACTTTATTATATGGTGATCTGAAGTGACAACAGCGCAATGAAAGTTACAGACCTATAGGCAATGTAGATCGACTAAAAACAAAACAGCTTACATTCAACTTCTTTCCCATACTTAGCAAAAGCTAAATTACTTCACAAGGATTCTAAAAGTTGAGTAATCAGATAAATCTAAATCATATCCTGGTGTAGATCACTGGACATCAGAATCAACAATGATAATACATCACCACTGATGTGAGGACCAGTGTTTACAACAGGTCAAATGACACGCATGTTTTCATCATTTTACTCACTCTAGATTTTTCTTTTTTAAAAAGATGACACACTTTTCTTGTTTCTGTATTTATCCAGCATTAAGCCAGGGGCCAACATAAAAATCCAGATTTAAGTCCGAGGTTGGCTTACTGTAGGATTGCAATAGCAATACATATAGTAGTATTTGTCACCTGGTACTGGCTTATCGTCAGACAAATATGGTCACTTGTTCCTATGCTACTCGCAAAAAAGTTTTGATCTTACTGAAAGGGGACATGTTACCCAAACTACCCTTACAATTGCAGGAAATGCATCAAGCACTTATGTTTGTATTGTCATGATATTCCCAAACAAGATTTAAATTTTTATTATATCCAATCAGATACAAGCAAATAGTAGCAAAACTATTAATCAAAAATAGTAAAACTACAAATGGTTACTGCATAATATTGAATATGCAGATGACATATTCAAGATATCTTTCAAACAGATAGTTGTGGAAGAGTAGTAGATTGATTACAGGGACAGAGGAATAATTCAACTCCTCCTTGGGGTTAATGAAAAAATGTAAAACTGGCAGGTCTCCTTACCATGTGTGGGGCACTTAAAAGGAAACATGACTAAGAGGTAATTCTTTTTTCTTCATTTGCTTCTTTATGTTAACATTTTATACGGACTGAATCTTACCTGTGTGGGATGTCTAAACCTCCATCCACAGCACCTTTCAATGCACCGAAGACACGGGCACCAGTTGAAGTACGGATAAGACCAGTATCCAGGTAACACCTGAAAGCTCCAGCCTCACCATCTACATCCTCAACGTAATACTCATCACCGTCAACCTCTGTCTGGCCAGCATATACTGAGTCCAGTTTGAACTGCTTCAGCAGCTGAAATACACATTATACAAAGATGCTTTTTAATTGCAGTATAGGTGATGGTACTATAAAATTCCAGTAAAAAATACCAATGGTTCCAGCTCTCCAACTTTGCTCTCAACCTTTCAATAAATATGACACTCTCTTGCTTTTTAAAACAATACTGAGCATGAAATCAGTTCAAAACTTATCCCTTTTCACACAGCATTAAAATTCTATTTCATACTGGTGTTTGATCATCTGCATATTTGGGTGATTATGTTGACCAAAAACAAACCACATCATAATTTACTTTGAAGAAATGTAAATTTCTATTTGCTTTCATTGAAAAACTGAATTATCAACTGTTAACATATATATTTTTCTATTATATATATTATATTATATCTTTTATTATATTTTTGTGTATATTGGTATACCTACATTTTATCACATCCCTACTACTATCTACAGCCCATTTTATTTTGACGTTTGTACAGCTACTTTAAACTGATAAACAATGCCAACCTACCATTAGTCAAGTTCTCCTGTCATTAACAAAGCAAACATCTTGAAACTAAACAAAAACTGAGCTCAGAATATCTTAAGTTCTACTTGCTGTTAAAACTGGGCCCTGAAGCCAAGTCTACTGAGCTTAATTAATAATAAATACAATTTTGTCCTGCAATATGACAATACCCCTACTTTTAGTCAAAGTTTGCTCCCTGGGTTGATTATCGGATAAATACATTATGTAAAATAGAAACAGCATTGTCCTTCAACTTGACTTACCCTTCTTGCAAGCAGCAATCCAGTGCAGTAAGCAGCAGAATAGTTGGTCAGCCCTACCTTCACGCCATATTTTGGCAGTTCATGTGCGTATGCACAGCAAATAATATGATCACCTTCGATCCTGGCGTATGCTATCTATAGTGAGAAAAAAAAAAAATCTTGCATGCATTGTTCATCTTATTTCCAATTAAACATACAACAATTTAGACATTTCTGCCCATAACATCACATTGTTCTCTGATGTAAACTTAAAAAATCTTTAGCATCAGGAGCTTGCTAAATAATTGTGAAATGCAACTAATTTTGGGGAAAATGTCCATTCTACCATCGCTCTCAGCACCCCTGGAGCATTTCATAGCAAAATTGAAGGTTGCATGTGCGACACCTTACAGATAACACAAAAAGATTAGTCTGATCCTTTTGTCTACATCAAGCCAATCTAGAGGTTGCATTGCAGTATGTTGTACTGGCTTTGAATCTGGGCATTGCTCCTTTGTAATCTTCAAAGGATTGTATCAGCCTGTGACTGGTCTATTTTTTGTTCTCATAAACTCTACAATCAAATTACTTGGCTTGTGCCTTCAATTTTGCCATAAAATGTTCCTGGTGTAGAGAGCGAAAGTGCTTGTTATCCCTGGAGTATTGAGGGTGCCACGCTATAAACATAATGCACTCTTTTATTAAGATGTCCATCATCCTCTTTTTGTACCATACTCAAATGATAAGAACAGATTATTACCTGGCATATGATGTCCTTGTTGGTGAAGCGGACAATAAGCCTGTATTTGGGAGTGTTGTACTTGTTTTTCTCTTGGACAACGAGGCGTTTCCTTGCAAAGAAATCTGTCTTGCCCTCTGGAGATATCAAAGTGTTTCAGAGTTTAATTTAAGATATTTCCTGTATAAATAATGATCTACTTTAAAGTTCCCATCAATATTTGCAAGAAAGATTGATTTTACTGTAAAATCTTATATAGACATACCAATCAACTTCTTTCATCTTTCCTTCTGACATTTTCAATTGATCAAATGTCAATTTCATTTTTCAAAAATAAAATTATTTTGCATTACTGATTGAAGAAAATTTTCAAAAATCAGATTTTTTTGTTAAGAAAAAAAAAAAAAATGAAAACAAACAAAGCCATGTATATCACAGGAAAAACATGCAAAGGTAAACTAAATACTATAAATATTTTCCTGTAAACAAGCATTTATTTAAGACATGTTATAATCACTTCTACTCACCACGCCTCCTCCTGAATTTCACTTGAAAACGTTTAAAGTATGCCTTGTTCTTCACAACTTTAACAAAACCCTGTTAAGTAGAAATACAAAAAAATAAAAACTGAAGCTATTAGAAGTGAAACACCAATTTACACATCTGTAAAATTTTAACTTCAATATAATTTCAGTTTCTAAGATTGATTTCAATACTTTGTTCACAATGCAAACAACATTTGGTCGGACAGTAAGAAAAATCTTCAGTATTTGGTACCCAAGCTGAACAAATTTGGTACCCTAGACTTTGAAATAAAGCAATGAAACCGGCCTTTTACTACTCAATACCTATATCACATGCAATTCCAGCTGTCAAAGGTAATTTTTTTACAAAGATATTATTTGAAATATTTTTGCCACCAGGACTGTGGAAATTCATGAAATGTACTTGGTTGATTTTCAAAGCTTTATTTTATTCATCTTACATATTTCCCTTTTATTCACACATCTTAAAACTCCTGCAATCAAAATGTATAAATCAGAAGACATATTTTCAACCTCAATACTTGTCTCTTAACTTGGTTCCTTGACATCCTATGTTTGTTTTCAAAAGCTGTACCTTTCCAATGAGATTTGACATCTCAAGTGTCAAGATTATCAACTTGAAACCACCTCATATGATGAACTGAAGAACCAATACATCCTTAATGTTACAATGTTGGCTATCTGTTAGTGATCACAAGCGATTGTAACCTCTGGTGTCAAGGATTAAGTTAGGTAAAGCAATTGATAAAAAATTCCACTTTCAATAATCACTACTGACTATCAGACAATGTTTTACCTTCTCTATCGAAAACATCTTACACTTGGAAACTTAGGTTTAAATGGCACATGGAAAGTCATGATGTGATAAACTTGTGCTGTTACCATGTCTTGTGCTTTTCCTATTCAAATGCTGCATGTGCGAGTGTTTTTCATTAAGAGAAAAAAAAGCAGCTGAATTATTCTGACATTCTATCTACTTTTGATAATGGCATAAATTTGAATATCAGCACTCAGTTCATACAAAGAGTAAGAAATAAGCAACTTGCACCTCTACTGGTTTGGCATTCAAATGGTATCGTAATGTGGTAAGAAATCGTCATTGTCACATAAATTACGAATTATAAAATGATAAATTTGCTTTTGTAAACAGAATGTTGAATTCAAATTTGCTGTTCTCCTATAACTTATCTTAAAGGCAATCATACTCTTAACTTAAAGCCAGTATACGGCGGTTTAATAAAGGGTATTTTGTAAGTAAATATTCTATTGATATTTTCAGTCGAGTTCAACCCTCCTTTTGACAGAACAGAATCCTCTAAAAGGATAAAGTATGGCAAGTATCATCAGTAACCCAAACTTTACTTAGCTGTCAAAATTCCTCTCCAGTCACGAAGATGCTGAAGATTTTTTGAGACAGACTTCGACAAAGTGACATTCGTGTGATTTGTAGTTTTCACAATGTTAGCCAGACGATGATACAGCATTCCGTGTCATGTTTTCTACCCCGCAAAAGCTGTTTATTACTTCGCTATATATACGAATACACGTGGGACTTTGCCGTTTTGCTTCATGTTGGTGACCAACCATTTTCATAATCCATTTTTATCAATTACGTGAACCGCCATCTACTGTAACGGATAATACGGTTGGAAGTAAACATTTAAAATGTTGCATTTCATAATAAAATCGTGAGTATGATCTCACCATGTTTAGGGTATTTCGAAGAAAATCTTCGAGTATCCCTCAGATAGCTTCGGTTGGGGGCCTTTATAGGCGGAAAAGGAAGTTGAAGACGATTCTGCGCATAAAGTGAATTCTTAGTCACATTTGCGCTATTACTACTATTCGAACGTAGGCTGAACTTTCTTTTAAATTACAAAAGCATACCACATTGAAATTTATTTAAGTATATTTTTGAAGGAACATGTACCTCAAAAGTTTTCATCATTACGGGTACTGAAAAATGAAGATTTATTTTAAAGCTTTAAAGTAACCCAGATTAATCTATTTTTAAATCCGCCAATCGCATCACAACGCGGCTGCATCCTCTATTTTCGTTTCTGCCAGAATCACATGCAACCTTTGATGTGAGAAGTTTTTTGAATCTTCAGTTGCAGTTCACCCAAAACATTCACAGCTGTTGATATGTCGATTACCATTCAAAGTGGTTTTAAAATGTGATCGTCCAAGGAAATCAATGTTTACATCTTTCATTTCAGAATCACATGTTGCAGCATGTTTTCAACTTCGTAGAAGATAAACATTGACTTCTCTTACCAGAAGCCATACATGGACCGGGTTTGAAATGGCTTATTTTCAAGTGATAAAGAACTTTCAGTAGAAAACCAATATGGAAGAATGTCAACCACAGGTCTTGTTGATGCAGAATGTTCAAGATCTTCGAAGAAGATTGCGAGAGACCGAGAGACATCTAAACAAACTCTCAAAGATAGAAAGGACGGACGAGTAAGTAGTCACGAGTAGGTTGTAGAAAGTAAAATGAAACGAAAACTCCTAATTGATAAGATAAGGCATGAACTATACATAAATAAAAGTGTCATTTTCTTCGATGGAATGTATTTGACTGCATGACAATAAACGGTATCATGATGTTTAGTTGGTATTAATTAATGATAATTGATATTTTATTGTGTTCAAGTATGAAATAAGTAGATTGAGTTTGAATTCAAGATTGAAAGTCGGGAAATATCTACCCTCTCAGATATTGAGATTCGATGCATAGTTGTGGATCTCTTTCATTTTATCTGTTATCAATTAAATACATATAACATTACAGCAACCACCAACATGTTTACTAAGTAAACTACACTGTATTTATCCTACAATAAGCCAAGGGTTTATACTTCTGACACAAAGTAACTTCTTCCATGTGTATATTTGCAGTGACGACCTTGAGTCTGTGACTACAGTCAACAGTATCCCAATGTCAGAAAGACTCCACATGTTTGATCACCTTCAGTTTCCCAATAAAGAAGCGATGGACATGGATGATAGGGAAAGTGTCCAATCAGGGTTAGCCACTCTCCCAGATTCTTCTTATGCAGGATTTGAAAGAATACAGCCCCCATCCAGCACTCCCAACAGACCACAGGTATTTCGACATCCATTTTACTTTGACATGACCTAAACATTGATAGAAAGAATACAATTTTCATCCAGTACTCCCAACAGACTACAGATATTCCAACAACCTTCTTACTGTGACATAACCTAAGCCATGATAAGCAAGAATACAGCCCCCATCTAGTATTCCCAACGGACCACAAGTACTCCACCGACTCAACCATAGCCTTGATAACACAGCCCCCTCCCAGTACTCCTAATTGACCACAGGTGCTCTAACAACCATTTTACTTTGACACAGTCTAAACCTTGATCGAAAGTCCCCCCATCCAGTACTCTCAACAGACCCCAACAACCGTTTTACTTTGACACAACCTAAACTTTTATCTAGTCATACATTTTGATATTTCAGCTGTAGGTCAGTATGCCTTGTGCATGTCGTTAAGTGCAATAGTTGGTCACTCATCTGTCAGACAAGGCATTCATCTGGTAAAGTTGGAAGAGTATAGATCATGATTATCATCAACCTTTAGTTTGGTTCATGTCAGGGAGTTATTCAGAAATGTGTATTTTCCCTGTTTTTAATCAGTTTGATGCAATAATTTGAATTGTTCATATACAAAAGAAGAAAACAAAATAGTAAGTAGGTGATCAACTTTCCAGAGATATTATGCCATGTCCACGTTTGAGAAAACATGTGCCCAGAAAAGTCATCTCAGATTCACATAACTTTCATGCTGATTAATAACACTTCTGATATTCAAACCTAGGCACTATACTATAACTCTACAAGGATTAAGGTATTAAATAACAAACATCTATTCTAAATCCAACATACACATTATATATATATATCTGTCTGCAAAAGTCTATTGAAAACTCTTTGTTCCCAAGACATCCAGCAGGACAGGTTACAAAGACAAACAGGGGTTGTTCAAAGAACCTCAGCCAAAACAGGACCTGTATCGACCAGAACAAGATGACGTACGCTACCTGAAGGAGGCAAACAGAAAATTGCTTCAACAGAACCATAAACTACTGGCAGAAGTAGAAAAGTGTAGCCAAGAGGTCAACAGTAGTAGAGTGAAGGTAGGACCAGTAATTAGGAGATCAACATCAGTAGAATATGAAGGTAGGATTAGTAATTAGGAAGTCAAAAGCAGTAGAGTGAAGGTTAGGATCAGTAGTCAGGTCAACTGTAGTAGAGTAAAGGTAGGACTGGTTGCCAGGAGGTCAAAGCCAGCAGAGTGAAGGTAGGATCAGTAGTCAGGAGGTCAAAAGCAGTAGAATGAAGGTAGGATTAGTAGTCAGGAAGTCAAAAGCAGTAGAGTGAAGGTTAGGATCAGTAGTCAGGTCAACTGTAGTAGAGTAAAGGTAGGACTGGTTGCCAGGAGGTCAAAGCCAGCAGAGTGAAGGTAGGATCAGTAGTCAGGAGGTCAAAAGCAGTAGAATGAAGGTAGGATTAGTAGTCAGGAGGTCAAAAGCAGTAGAGTGAAGGTTAGGATCAGTAGTCAGGTCAACTGTAGTAGAGTGAAGGTAGGACTCGTTGCCAAGAGTTTAAAGCCAGCAGAGTGAAGGTAGGATCAGTAGTCAGGAGGTCAAAAGCAGTAGAATGAAGGTAGGATTAGTAGTCAGGAAGTCAAAAGCAGTAGAGTGAAGGTTAGGATCAGTAGTCAGGTCAACTGTAGTAGAGTGAAGGTAGGACTCGTTGCCAAGAGTTTAAAGCCAGCAGAGTGAAGGTAGGATCAGTAGTCAGGAGGTCAAAAGCAGTAGAATGAAGGTAGGATTAGTCAGGAGGTCAGGTAGGATCTTTAGTGAGGAGGTCAATAACTATAGAGTAAAGGTAGGATCAGTAGTCAAGTCAAAAGCAGTGGTCAACAGTAGTAGAGTGAAGGTAGGATCATTAGTCAGGAGGTCAACTGCAAATGATGAAGTTTGGAATCAGTAGTCAGGAGGTCAACAGAAGTAGACGGAAGGTTTACAATAGTAGAATGAAGGTAGGATCAGAAGTCAGGAGGTTTATAGCAGTAGAGTGGAGCTAGAGGTCACCAGGCAGGAGGTCAACAGCAGTAGTATGATATATATTTATTAACAACTTTTCTACTTGAGGACTTCAGATTTTTCCATGAAGAATTGCCAATATTAGAGATTCAATTCATACAATACTATATTATATGTCTTAACATCTACAACATTCATCATTCAGTACTTTTACAGTTTCTGTAACATTTACAGTTTTCAGTAAGAGAGTAACATTTCAGTGATATCTAATTGTGTATCATCTGATAATCCTTTGTTTCTTTTTCATGAAGATAGAAGAATTGAGTAATGAGTTGGATGAGTATCGACAATCAATTCCAGACTTGGAAGACAAGATTGTAGGTCTACAAGCAGAGACAGAAGCACAAGATAATGCTCTCATGTAAGTATAAGATCTAAATAAAGCTTGTAACCTTTTTGTTTTGACAATGTGAATGGATACATTAAAGTTCATTATTATACTCATGGTGGATACAGAATCTTACAACAAATGTATTAGTGTGCTGCAAAAATTCCTGTCTCCATTTACCAAGGAATCATTTAATCCATAAATTAACTCCAATATGTGTACGTAACTCTCAAGTTTATGTCAAATGGGACTCTGAAACTGCTGTTTTTGTATCTCTGCCAACTGTGATGGAGTATCCTTTGTACTGGGAGGAATTGTGTTGTGTCCTTCAATCCCTCCTCTCTTAACATTGTCCAGGCTCTATCGCCAACACTACTGATGCTAAACTTCACACATAAAGCATTGGTTCATACAGTTGAAGCAGTGTGTCATGTATCAAAAGTAGGTCTTTTTCACCCACATTTCGACCTTTTACCTAAACAAGGTATGCATGATATATATTCAAATTAGTGCTATTTGCCGCTTTGAATTGGTGATATTACCTCTTTTTGCTTGAACTTCTGATATTGCTTATTAGTTATGTTATAGAATTCATTCACATTGATACTATTAAATGCAATTAAATAATGAAACATTGTGGAATGCACGGTGTCACCGATGTGATTGATAGTAAAATGGCAACCCTTACCAGTATACACACAGCAGATTTATTTACAATAGTACCCTGTAACAGCAACACTATTAAAAAACAATGAATTCGGCCAACAGTTAGGCTCTAGAATTAGTTCCTGCACAAATTCATCACCTGTGCATTCTTTTCATATAATTTCACATTAAGTGGGGAAGTATCTTCTTTGTTTTTTTCTGGCATTAGTTCAATGTTAAGGAAACATGAGGAATTGTATTGCAAGTGTGAGACACCACACATAGCTACATAAATTTCAAAGCCATATACTACCAATCTTCTTGCTGCAGTTTCACACTGTTATTTAGTATTTTATTACTATATTGTCTCTCCGTCCATCCCAGATGGTTTCCAGATGGTAACTTGAGTAAGGGATGACTGATTAGGTTGAAGCTTTATACAATGTTAGTTAAGTAGGAGACCTTGTTCAGGATTGTCTTTGTGGCCAAATGGTCAATCATAAAAGTTATTGTTACTAAAAATAGATTTTTGATTTTCAGATGATAACTTGAGTAAGGGATGATTGATTAGGTTAAAACTTGATCAGTGTTACTTTAGTAGTAGACCTAGTGTGGGATTATGTTTGTAGTCAAAATGTCAATTACAAAGGTCACTGTTGCTAAAAATAGATTTTTTGTTTCTAGATGATAACTTGCTTCAAAAATGCTAATTATGGAAAGGCAGGGGATGTGTGTTGCTTGCAACACTAACTGTAAGCTTGTTCAATAATGTACATTATGATGTATTTACTTGTATAGTCAGACATGTTGCATATAGAAATATGATGGTGTTCTGCCAACCTGCTTCAATGTTAGAATGTAACTGATAAGTTTATTTAATTATATCTTCAGTGGTTTTTTTTTTTTTTTTTTTTTTTGCACCCTCATGCTTTTTCATTGAAAGTATTGTACTAAGAGTTGTATTTTGATGTAGGAGTGCAGAGGAGAGATATGAGAAATGTCAGAGACAGGCTAACATCTACCATCAGAAATGTAAACAACAGGAGCAAGAAGCAGAAGAAATAAAGGAGGAAATAACACAAGAAAGAAAGAAGAGAAAGGGGTAATTTTAATGATCTCAGTTGACAGGAAAAAAGGAAAAGGGTGTCCTTTATAATTGAAGATTACAGAACAGAATTAGGAGATAAGGATGTTCTTTATAATCATAAGCTTACAATAAAGAAAGAAGATATAAGGATGTTCTTTATAATCATAAGCTTACAATAAAGAAAGAAGATATAAGGATGTTCTTTATAATCATAAGCTTACAATAAAGAAAGAAGATATAAGGGTGTTCTTTATAATCATAAGCTTACAATAAAGAAAGAAGATATAAGGGTGTTCTTTATAATCTTAAGCTTACAGGAAAGAAAGAAGATATAAGGGTGTTCTTTATAATCTTAAGCTTACAGGAAAGAAAGAAGAGATAGGGGGTCTCTTTTTAATCTTAAGTTTACAGGAGAGACATAAGATATAAGGGTCCTCTTTTTATTCTAATGTTGCAGAAAAAAAAATAAAAAATAAAAGTGCTCTTTATAATCAAAGTTCACAGGAAAGAAAGAAGAGAAAAGGGTTCCCTTTTCAACCTAAATTTAAAGTTTTGTCAAGTCTGATACATTAAGTTTACAGAAAAAAAAGAAAAAAGAGGATGCTCTTTGTATTGAAAGGTTGCAAGAAAGAAAGAAGAGCTAATAGTGCTCTTTATATTCAAAATTTTCAGGAAAGAAAGAAGAGATAAGGGCGTTCTTTATAATCTAAGTTTACAGGAAAGAAAGGAGAGATAAGGGCGTTCTTTATAATCTAAGTTTACAGGAAAGAAAGGAGAGATAAGGGCGTTCTTTATAATCTAAGTTTACAGGAAAGAAAGGAGAGATAAGGTCGTTCTTTATAATCTAAGTTTACAGGAAAGAAAGGAGAGATAAGGGCGTTCTTTATAATCTAAGTTTACAGGAAAGAAAGGAGAGATAAGGGTATTCTTTTTAACCTAAATTTAAAGTATTGTCAAGCCAGATACATTAATCATACTTTGGGACAAGTTTAATCAAACATTGTTTTGGTCTGAAACACTCAACCTTGATAAAATCTTGGTTTAACTTTAAATATTTAGAACTCAAATCCATTTCACAAAACTTGATATATAATAAGTCCTTATAATAATTTTACATTTCTAGCAACTTTTTTTTTTCAGTGGAAAAATTACTGAATTATTTTAAAAGCTAGGTGTAAAATCACTCATTTTTTAAATCCGTATGTTTCTAGTCATTGTATGTGTGGGAATTTCAGACCATTTGAAAGTTTTTGGTTTATTGGTTTATATTGTGGATGTCGGCTTCTAAACCAAAACTGTTCAATGTTCTTTGATTTTATATTGATGAGTAAATTCATTGAGGATCTCTGCTTTACTTAAAAGAGCTGAAAGCCAGCGTGATGAGGCTCTGTCCAACTTTTTAGAGGCACAGGAAACTCTAGAAGACTACCAGAAAAAAATCAAAGAGAGAATGAAAAAGGTAAATTGAAAACTGCCATGACTTCAACATATGGACAAAAGTGACCTAATTATGTTTATATGATAAGTAGATCAGTCACACAGTCATCTTTATAGACACAAAGAACCTGTTTCCAGATTGTAGATTCAAGTGAGCTTTTATTGCAAATCTTTAGAGCAACATGTACCTGCATAAATTGTACAAATACTGCTCATCTTTCTTTTAAAAAACCCAAAAAAACTGAGTAGATATACTTTAGATTATCAGTAAGAACAAAATAAATCATTGAAGGACACAGTTATACTGAATCACAAATAGAAGTTCAGTTAAAAGAAATTTTGGAGATTGACTAAATTAAAGATATCACAGAAGTTAGGGAGAATGCATCAATTTTCATGCCAATGTATATCATCAGTTATATTGTAATATTCTAGTGGGGATTTTATTTCATGCTTTTTACATCGAAAATATCACCCCTATTGCAGTGTCAGTATATTGTTTATATAGTACTTATTGTGGATGTGCATATTTGTCAGTGCTCAAATTTGCCAAAGACTGATGTTGTGCTAAATAATGACTATACCAAATTAAGTACGTATACAGAAGAGTATCACATGTGGCAACATTGATGCTTATATCATATATCCTATATCATATATAGGGAATAAAAAGCTGTTTATAAGAATTAACAGTTTTGTGCTTTTGGTATTTCATAGCTGTTTTCACTCTTAATCTTGGCACACACCATGTGTAATTATCAATACAGCTGGCATATGACTACTGAACATAACTACAGTATTGTGTTTTTCAAATGATACTTAAAACCATGAAAGTGCTTTTATATTCTGAATTGCATGATTATGCTGTATATGAATTTTACTAATATTTTGTGTGTAGATGGAAGAAACAGAGGATTACCTCAGAGACAGCCTGGCTCATGCCAACCAGGAGCGTGAAGATCTACTGGAGAGAGTCAACCTGCTTCAGTCAAAGTCAAGGTCTCTACAGGAGGAGGTCAGGTAAGAAGAATTGTGAATGTAGAAAGTGCATCAAATCCCTGTTGATGAGGAACTCTAAAGTACCAACAGTTTATATTAAATATAGTTTGAAAACCTTGCCTGTAGCTGTAACTTTTTGAAATTCTTTTAAATCAGAGCTCTCCACATTGAAGGTATAAGTTATAGTGTACAGAAATTACCTTATAAGTGTGACAAGAATGGTTGCAGCTGGTAGATGAAAAGCTGAGCTTTATCTGATGCCACAAAGGAGAACAGATAACTTTATCTGGTTAGCTGGCATAGTGTATGAGTTTAAAGCATCCAATCGTATCTGATGTATTATTGAAGGATCCAGTGTCTTGTTAAGATATATAGCATACAGTAAAAGTATGCAGTTATTTCAGTTTGTTTTGTTGGATATTAACAAATGATAGTTTTTATCAATAGTAGATCTGATAACTAGAGTAATATTATCAAAATCTCTGGAACAAAACACTCAGTGGTTCTTACCAATAGACTAATATAAGTATTTTTCTTCTGAAAAACTCCTGTATACAATAAGAAGCTCTGACAGTGACTTGTTTTGTCAAAGAATGAATTTTGCAGTAAAAAAAAAAGGAAAAGGAAAGATTAAAATGATTGTTTGTTTTACCAGGAGACTTGAAACAGTGGAAGAAGTGGAACTGGATAGTCGACAGGATATAGAACAGCAAAATATGGACCTAAGGTCACAGCTGGCTAAGGTCACTACTCAACTCAGTAAGTCGTCTGAGATAAATGGATAGGTTATAGTGCTACTTCTTAATACTAATGAAAAAATTGCCACTGCATACTTCTTAATACTAATGAAAAAATTGCCACTGCAATTTGTTATCCCATCAGGTTCCACAGATGGCCCTTCTGTGTTTTTGTTGTCTGTATTGTCCTCACTCATCCAAATATCACTCTTTCTGCTTCATTATGTCTCCATACATCAAAATCATCTCTCTCTTGTTTCATGTTGTTCCTCATCTCTCTTATTTTGTGTTGTCTCTATACAATCCAGATCTCTCCTTTTGCTCTGGAAGCCTTGATTAAAATAAATATAGTATAAGAAGTTCATTTGATGCATAGGTAAGCAGAAATGTACCAACATAAAATAAGCATGAATTACTTACCTCAAGTATAAACTTATATTTCAGTCACATTGTTTTATTAGGTACAATTAATAATGACTTGTAGTTAATATATAAACCACAAAATATTTTTAACAATTGTACACAGTTGTACTTGAAGCCAGCTAGCTCATCTTTTTTTTTCAATGTACAGACGAACTGGAGGTTGAGGGTATGCAGAATGACAGTTTGAAGAGAGAAAATACCCGCCTTAAAAACCAGATAGATAGTCAACAGCAACAGCTGAATACATGCCAACAGGAGATAGAAGAGAGTCGGACCATGTTAGCCCAGTTAGAACAACTAGCACAGCAGGTTCAAAACCAGGTAAATAATCACACCATGTTAGTCTACCTAGAACGACTAGCACAGCAGATCCAAAACCAGGTAAATAATCATACCATGTTAGTCTACCTAGAACGACTAGCACAGCAGATCCAAAACCAGGTAAATAATCACACCATGTTAGTCTACCTAGAACGACTAGCACAGCAGATCCAAAACCAGGTAAATAATCACACCATGTCAGTCTACCTAGAACGACTAGCACAGCAGAACCAAAACCAGGTAAATAATCACACCATGTCAGTCTACCTAGAACGACTAGCACAGCAGATCCAAAACCAGGTAAATAATCACACCATGTCAGTCTACCTAGAACGACTAGCACAGCAGATCCAAAACCAGGTAAATAATCACACCATGTCAGTCTACCTAGAACGACTAGCACAGCAGAACCAAAACCAGGTAAATAATCACACCATGTCAGTCTACCTAGAACGACTAGCACAGCAGATCCAAAACCAGGTAATTAATCACACCATGTCAGTCTACCTAGAACGACTAGCACAGCAGATCCAAAACCAGGTAAATAATCACACCATGTCAGTCTACCTAGAACGACTAGCACAGCAGAACCAAAACCAGGTAAATAATCACACCATGTCAGTCTACCTAGAACAACTAGCACAGCAGATCCAAAACCAGTTGGTTTTTATGATACCTGATGCTTTTCGTGTATGTAGTTACTGCTTTTTCTGTCCATCTATCTGTCTGTCCTTTTGTTTCCAAAGCATAACTTTGCTAACAGTCAAGCAAGGATTATGAAACATGGTGTTTACATTGGTCATACTAAGATAATGTGCATAGTACTAAATTCAGGGCCAGAAAGTCATCAATTACAGAGTTATTGCCATTTGTTTAAATTTCTTGTCTGGAGTATCTACCTAGAACTTTCATTTAGAATTATGAAAACTGGTGTATACATTTGCCATACAAAGAGGATGTGCAGTTTACAAAATTCAGGACCTAAAACCCCTTTATTACAGAATTATTACCCTTTGTTGAAAATTTGTGCCTGAAGCATCACTTTCAATGATATTATTTTCTTAGTAAGCCAGAGCAACAAACACAGCAGATTGTAAACGATGTAAATCTTCACAAAATCTGATACAGATATGGATGAGTAAGTGTTACAAGAAACAGAATCTGTTACCAATATATCTGTATTTTGGTAGTTAACAGGTAGTCCTGAACCAGGCTGCTTTATTGCTTCATCTTGATTACAGATTTATGATGCAAAACACTGTCTGTACTTGTTTTCTGCTTTTGTCAATGATATTCAGATATTTCATCTATGACAACTAATGCAATGTTTTACTTGGTGGTAGTCCCAGAAAGCCAACGCGAGTTTCAATGACAGTGGGATGTTCAGTGTACAGCCATCTAGTCCCTCAAGTAAAGACAATGCTTCTGCCTCCTTTCGATCTATTGACAAAAATGGAGCATCTGGAGGTGGGGCCCAGACTATCTTACAGGACCTGAGGTAGGTCAAGAGCATTATATCCTCCTGTGATATGTAGGTCAGTGTGACTTTTGCTGCCTCACCAGTTTTAATGATTGTAAATATTCTGAATTAGCCTATGTAAAATTCAAAGTTTCAGGAATGGTATTTTAAAGGAATCTATAGTTTATGTATATGATTAAGGTTTATTTGTAATGCTCTTTCTGTTCCTTGGTTTGATTGTTCAACAGCTTCAGTGCCTTGCCATCACAAAGAGAAATAATTATATTTGAATTAAAAAGCCATGATTATATAATTTTTCTCTCACTAGGATGAAACTTGCAATGAAGGATGCTGAGATCCAACGGCTACAAGCTGACATGCAGGCAAAGGAAGTGAGCAGCCAGACTCAAGTCATAGAGAATCTTCACCAGGAACTCACAGCTATGGTGCAGAGCAATAAACAAGGTAGGTGGAGTAACCCTTGATTCAGACAGAGCAGGTAACATAGAGTCCTGGAAATTAGTCCTGGAGATCTGACAGTTATTGTACAGTGCAACAAGCAAGGTAAGCAGAATAACTCTTGACTCAGACACAGCAGGCTAAATAGAGTCCTGGAGAATTGTCACAGAGATCTGACAGCTGTGGTGCAGAGCAAGAGATATGGTATGGAATAACCCTGGACTCGGACACAGCAGTAAAGATTGACTATATGTCATCTTAAAGCTTTGGGAACTCTCTCTCAAAATTAAGTATGGAAAAATGTCAACTTTTTCAGTCACATATAAGAAAACAGATATAATGAACTTAAGTCATTTACTGTTACGACTGAGTCAGATGACAGAAATCATGACATAAATCTGAAAATATGAATTTTGAAAAAGTCTGATACATATCTAGTTTGCAGTTTTGTTAAGTTGCTATGAATGACCACGTGAACATGTTTAGGGGTGACCAAGGCACAGGAACTGGAAGCTGTTATTGGACACATGGAAATGGAGAAAGCCAGGCTTACAAAACAAATTTCTGACCTTCAGCGAGATCTTGCAGACAAGGATGTACATGTTACATCTATGGAGTCCAGAGTTAACCAACACAATGTCCAGCTGATTGACTTGCAGGAAGAAATCAACGAGAAATGTACAGCCACTACCAACCTAGAGCGTGAGGTACAGCGAGATAACACGCTTTAACTAATTTATACTTCTGCATTTCAAGACAACATTATTCTAATTTTAGGTTTTATATCTGATGTGAAATTTCAAATACATTCTTTCCTCACGATGTAAAATGTAAAAATTGAAGTAAGACTTATGCATCATTTTATATTCAATTTCAACAGCTTCGAAAGAAAACATCACAAATAGCTAGTTTAGAAGAACAGCTGGATGAAAAGACCTCTGATTTGTCAGGAACGTTGGCTAAACTTCGAGAATTGGAGGAGGATTGTCGGGAATATCAGGAAGAAGCAAGTAAAATGAGGACTGAACTTCATGGCAAAAAAGAGTCGCTTCATCAGACTACAAGTCTGGCTGAGCAGAACCAACAGATCCATCGTGAACAGTGTCGTGACTATGAAAAACAGATTGACATAGTAAGTATAGATTTGTCAGCATGATGTGAACATTTTTATACTACAAAAATTTTCAATGCTGGAATGCTGACCATTTAATTTTGGTGTTATGATAATCATGATGTTGCTTGTATTTCAACAAATACATAGTATATTATAGGTGAGTCTAATACTTGGAGATTTGTGTGGAATGATGACCGTTCAAATCTATGTCTGTAGTGTTTAGAGATTTATGATGTCTGATGACAGTTCAACTCATGTCTCTAGTATTTAGAGATTTATAATGACTAATGACGGTTTGACTCTGTGTCTATTATGTAGATGTTTATGATGGCTGATGACAGTTCAGTTCTGTGTCTCTAGTAATTAGAGATTTATGATGTCTAATGACAGTTCAACTCATGTTTCTAGTATTTAGAGATTTATGATGTCTAATGACAGTTCAACTCATGTCTCTAGTAATTAGAGATTTGTGATGTCTGATGACAGTTCAACACGTGTGTCTAGTATTTAGAGATTTATGATGTCTGATGACAGTTCAACTCATGTCTCTAGTATTTAGAGATTGATGATGTCTGATGACAGTTCAACTCATGTCTCTAGTAATTAGAGATTTGTGATGTCTGATGACAGTTCAACTCATGTCTCTAGTATTTAGAGATTTATGATGTCTGATGACAGTTCAACTCATGTCTCTAGTATTTAGAGATTTATGATGTCTGATGACAGTTCAACTCATGTCTCTAGTATTTAGAGATTTGTGATGTCTGATGACAGTTCAACTCATGTCTCTAGTATTTAGAGATTTATGATGGTTGATGACAGTTCAACTCATGTCTCTAGTATTTAGAGATTTATGATGTCTGATAACAGTTCAACTCATGTCTCTAGTATTTAGAGATTGATGATGTCTAATGACAGTTCAACTCATGTCTCTAGTATTTAGAGATTTATGATGTCTGATAACAGTTCAACTCATGTCTCTAGTATTTAGAGATTGATGATGTCTAATGACAGTTCAACTCATGTCTCTAGTATTTAGAGATTGATGATGTCTGTTGACAGTAAATTCTTTGTCTCCAGTATTTAGAGATTCATAATGGCTGAGGACAATGTTCTTTTCACTAGTCTGATTGTACTCTTTTAATCATATCAGTCTTATATGAATGGTTGCATTTACTGATCTTGATGAAAACAGCTTACCCAAAAGTTGGAGAAGAAGACAGATCGCCTGGAGGAGCTAGAGTCACAGTTAGGGTTGCTGAGGAGGGAGACGAAGGAGAAAACACAACATATACAGCAGGTAGAGGAACTTCTTCGACAGAACCGACAGGTGAGGTTACAAAAAGTATGCAATCTTGATATACTTCTGGTTCACAAGTCTTCTCCCTTACTTACAGACTCAAAGATCTTAGTTTGGTAATAAACTTTTAATGTGCCTTTTATCCACCAGAAAATAAGGTTGTGTACTGAGTTACCTTGAATGTGGAAACTTGTTTCCAGGAATGTTAGGTATTAATTTAATCCTGCTTTTCATCACAGGAACTTGATGCAAAAACAAGACAGAGCCAGCGAACCTTGCAGCAGCTAGAGTTACAGGCAAATGAGGGGACAAGTCAGATTAGAGATCTCGAGTCTGCTCTCATCATGTGTAAAGAGGAAGTGAAAACATACATTGAGGCCTTGGAGGATTCAAAGGAACGCTTTGACAAAGAACTCCAGTACAAGGATGAAAAGGTAGCATCCATAGGTTACCTTGTTCCTTTTTATCCGATAAAGTAATTTTTGACAATAGGTCACTGCCCTGAAAATCATTTTCTGCCCAATCCTTTTTGACAATCATAAGTATTCAAGATAAAACAATTGTTTTTTACTTTGTGGTACAGATAGTAGATTTAGATCAGCGGGTCAGACAGATGAGCAAAGAATTGGAAGAGAAGCGTACACAGAACACAGATCTGGAGAAGACTTTATTTGAGCATCAGACAATGTTACAACAGAGTACAACAAGAATGTCTGACCTGGAGGACACACAGATAGAACTCAACAGACAGGTATATCCTCCCACCTAAAAGATAAAACTCAACAGACAGATACAACCTCCAAGCCACATATAGAACTGATTAGATGTGTACACCTTCCACCTACAGATAAAACTCAACAGACAGACAGGTACACTTTCCACCTACAGATAGAACTCAACAGACAGATACACCCTCCCACCTACATGTATAACTCAACAGACAGGTACCCTCTCTAACTCACATGAAGAACTCAACTGACAGGTGCATCCGCACACCCACAGATAGATCTCTAAAAGATCTTCCCACCTACATAAAAATCTCAAAACACAGATGCACCCTCCCACCTCCCCATAGATATATAACTCAATAGACAAGTATACACCCCCACTTACAGATAAAAACTCAACAAACAGGTACACCCTTCCATCCGAACATAGAATTCGCAATTGTGTATACCCTGTATGTGTTTTTCTTTGGTATTTATTAGGTGATGTATTACCTATTTTTTTGAAAGTTTCTCTTCAAATATGCTTCAGATTTCCCAGTTAGAACACCAGATGTTAGAAGACAAAGCCCGTTACATGACAGAAACACAGTCGCTGGAGAAAAAACTTAGCCAGACTTGCCAGAAAATTGATGAACAAACAGGGGAGATAACTCGGCTACAACAGACAATTCAGTAAGTCTTGATCTTGTAAAAAAAGTGAAGGAATTAGAACAAAAGCTTATGCATTGAGTCCATCATCTGCCATCAACCCATCATAAACACTTACTGGAATGTTTTAGCACACCTATTTAAATCGCCATATGTCTGTGGTCCATTGTCCGTCCGTCTGTCTGATATTACATAAACAATTTTTGTTAATACTATTTCTTGAGAAGTACTGGATGGATTTTTCTCAAATTTCATTTGTAGGTTTCGCTTTGTTTCTGGTCGTTCTTGGTTGATTTTTGGTCAGAAAAATGAAATAGCTGAGAGGCAGCCATTTTGGGTTTTAACTTTGAAAGTTTGTTATCGCTATTTTGTGATAACTTCTTGGTAGATCTTTTTCAGATTTCATGTATAGGTTCCCCTAGACCATTAGTTGTGCCCATTTCATTTTCACTTGGAAAGTTTGTTAACACTCAATTGTGAGAATAAATGCATAGATCTTTTTTCTAAAATTTCATATGTAGATTCCCCATGACCCTCAGTTGTGCCTATTTGATTTTGGGACTGATCAGAAAAACAAAACAAATGATAGGCTTCCATCTTGGGTTTTGACTTTGAAAGTTTTGTTATCGTTATTTTTTTGGGAACTACTCTATTATAGATCTTTCTCAAATTTCTTGTGTAGGTTCCTCTTGGTCCTTGAAAGAGATTACATTATAATGTACTTAAGACACAGATCATTTTCATCTTTCATAAGTATTTAAATATTTTGTCCTTTCAGGACACCATATTTAAAACCTGTATGTAACAATGTCCCAATTTCTCCTGAAAATGACTTTTTCCTTTGATTGAAAATCAATGATAATCTGTGTTATGTTATTTGTAATGTTTGAAGTTTTCTTTTTATTTCTTTGTACATTTTATTTCCAATGCACATTGATGAAAATGAGAATAATAATTTCAGAGATTACAAGGAGGAGAAATTGCACCTGAACTCTGACATACGCACCTTGGAGAACCAGATTCAGGATGAACAAACTAATAGTGAATGTAAAACAAAACGAGTGTCTAAACTTGAGAAAGACATCCGGGATCTCAGAGTAGAGTTGGAGAAGAAAATAGAAATAGGTTAGATTTCTTCTTTTACATACCTTGATAGGCAATAAAGTTCATATATTTTCAAAACATTTTAACTGAATATAGGGATATCAATGTGTCTACGTCAATAGTAGATTATATTGACATATTTTAACATGTTTTTAAATATTTTTTTCTGAGATCATTTATATTGTAAAAGGGTACATTGCTGTTATCATGTTGCTGCTTGGCCGTGCCATCAACTCATCACTATAAATAATAAAAGGGCGTTTAACCAATGATTTGTAATGGTAACTGTCATGACTTATGTCACATACCAGGTATGTTTAAGTTGTAATATGCCTCATTTAGAACTTTATGTTTTCAAAATTGTGAATTTATTTTAGTGGCAAGTCGGTTGTGTGTACTAAAGACATGATATTCAGTTAGTCACATTTAGAGCCTCTCTAACTATTGGTATAATTTAAAATCTATCATTTCCAGTTGTACCTGTATTTGATCTGCCATTCTATTTTAGTAAATGATTTTGAGGACCAGCTACAACAGAGAGAGGAGGACATGCAGCAACAGATGCAGTTGGTGGGAGAACTTGATGATGAAATTAAGCGACTACAGGTAACCCATGAGAACTCAGTGATGAAATATAGTGACGACAGGTAATGTGTGATAACTCAGTGATGAAATATAGTGACGACAGGTAATGTGTGATAACTCAGTGATGAAATATAGTGACGACAGGTAATGTGTGATAACTCAGTGATGAAATATAGTGACGACAGGTAATGTGTGATAACTCAATTTTGAAGTGAAACGATAACAAGTAATGTGTGATATTTTGATTGTGAAAAATGCAGGTGCAAATGTATATCAGTTAGATATGTTGGTAGAATTACATGACTGGAGGTAATGATAAAAACCTTCACTGAAATCATGTGCTCATGACTGCAGGTAGAGATTAGTTATAAATTGAAGGAGCAATGACTATATAGTATGTGCTTATATATTAACATGAATTGACTTGATAACTAGGAAGTTTAGACAAGATAGTGGTTACACTTTTAATTCTGCCCATGACAGCTTTATGATATAGATTAACAATTACATTATATGCTTTAAAAGAGAACTGTGTTATACAGGTGTCCTCGGAGCAGGATCAGATCCGTGCCTCTGATGTGGAGGGACAACTTCAAAAAACTTTGTATGAACTCAAAGCCAAACAGGAAATGATTGAAGACATGAAGGAAGCTCATAGGAAAACACAGGAAGAACTCAACGACCGTAAACGGGAAGTAGGAGAATTAAGCCACGCCCTTCAAGACCGTCAAAGTGAGCTGCAACACCGCATACAGCAGGTTAGTTAATAAGAGTTGTGGTAAGTTGTGACAATGGATTTGGTAACGGGAAACTTCAACAGTAATATTACGAGGAGTTTGGGATATTGTAGCAGTCTGTCTCAATTAACTTCTCTGTACAATTAAATGGAACTAGTGTATTAACCATTTTCTTGTTGCCCCTTTTTATGGTTAATTGACTTGCACTGTTGTTATATAGGTAACTCAACTAAACCAGAACATTAAAGAGCTACACAGTGAGATGGAACAGAGGATACAAAGGCTGGACAGTCAGCTGATCAAGTATGAGAGTGAGATCAAGGAACGCACTAAACAGGTATATATCATTGTTAATACAACATACCAGTGTCATATCATCAGAAAAGACCCATTATGTTGTTATTTTTCTTATTATGAAAAACAGTGATAAGATGGTATGTCAGACACAGTCCTTTGATAATTTATTGTAAGTATTGATACATAAACACTGTGGTTGTGGCTGTAAGGAACACATTGGTGCCCAGTAGTAATCAGTGTCTACACATTTGTATCCAGAGATGATCTCCAAACCAATAGTTTTAAAAATCATTCATTTGATGGTATGCATTTTGACAGTGTAGATGTGCAGTAAAGGTTAAAAGAAGTTCCGAAAATCAAGGTCAAAGTCACAGTCATAATATGTAGTTTATAACTATATATGACTTGTTACCCAGGTGTGTACCTACACTCAGTCATAGCCTAGAATTCATAGGGACAATTTAGGGTTTTGAAATTGATTGTTTCATGGTTTTTATCTGAATTTGAATTTGAAGTTTAAATACATGTTTTGATTCTATCAATAAAAAGATTTAATGTTCCTTTATGTTTCTGGTGGGATTAGATTTCCGACCTTGATGACAGGTTACAGTTGACACAGGCTAACTTGAAAGAGAAGTCACTACAGTTCCAACAGGCCGACCAGCTGTCTCAGAGACAACACATGGAGCTTCAGTCCAAAACCACCACACTGGAGGAGCTTCAGAAGGTAAGCTCAGTCCTATTCACTTACTCAAAACAACTTATGGTGTGTTAAATTAACCATTTCTAGACCTAACAAACTTTAACATGTTCTAAATGTTTCATTTTTAAAAACTCTGTAAGTTTAACTTAAGATGTTTAATTTTCTTAAAGAGGGCTTTTGTTAATACTCTTAATTCATGAAATGGGGGCCAACAAAATGGTTCTTCAACATTAAGAAGGAAATAAAAAGACACACACATAAACAGAATTAGAAACCCTTAAATTTTAATTTTAAACAACATAGATAGTTGCCAGTGTATGCTTTTGCTTTTTGTTTTTGCGTATTGCACTGAATGTAAGTTTTTTGTCCTTTGTACAGACAGTGGAGCGACAGAGGCTTAGATTGGAGGAACAGAAAGAGGAGAATGTAGAAATTACACAAGAGCTCAGGCTTACTAGGTACGTAAGGAGCATTGTTGTACCTGAAGCAGGGATGAGGGACTTGTCAGGTTGTTAACTAGACATGTACAATATTATTATGTTATCAGACTTAACAAGTCTTCTTTCAGTGTTCTTTCAGCTATATGTATGCCACATGCTTATCTAAAATTGATAGTAGAAAAGTAGATCTGTTATAATGGTATCTGGAGATATATGTTGTAGTTGCTGTCAATTCTCTTCATGTTTATGATGTTCAGTTTTGTACATTGACTCCTTAGTGTCTTTTTTCCAATTATTTAATTCTTGAATTTCAGGGAACAACTTCAGCAGCAGCATGCAGAGTTCTTGTCAACGCGAAGACAATTGTCACAAATGACACGAGAAAATGAACGCTTAACACGAGAACTAGAAGAAACACTTGCTCAACATCAGGTTTGTATTTCAGCACTTGTATTACCCATCCTTGAAGGCAAGAGATAGAAGATATATTTTCTCTGGGCACTGTGTCTGTACTGACTCTGTAAAATTGTTGTGTACTTGTGTACAGGATATATCACAGACTTTCATGGCCAAAAGATCACATTTGAAAACTTTTTTATACACTACAGTATATCTTGTCTAAAGCTTTAGTACATATCCATACTGTGGTCAAGTACTATCAAATGTGTTAGGTCCAGGGACTGCTCAGTTGGTAAAAAAAGAGATAAGGTAATTCTGGACCATGTATGACTTTAATGAACATGATAAGTATTAGTATGTAGATGTTTCTAATCAGGCAGTAAGTGCTAGGAACAAATTTACAGAGATGGTATTCTGTTTCAGAGCAAGGAAAGCAATAATGCACGACTGGCAGAGGAGCTTGGAGCAAGTAAGGCACGCGAAGCCAAGGCTGAGGCAAGGGTAACATCAGAGGTCATTAATCTGAGGGAGGAGCTGGCCCAGACTACAGAAAAATATGAAGACCAGGTATAAATAAGTACAAATGCTATACCTGTTTCTCTGCTATATATGCATACCACTATATTTCTGTTAGTTTTCCAATTGGATTTTATTAACTGTTTAAAAGTTTCTATTAATCTTACACAGATACACGAGATGAAAGAAAGGATGAAAGAGGTCTCCTCAGACAAAAAGAAGTTACTTACAGAACTTGAGGAGAAGTCAACACAGCTTCATGATCTTGAGGCCCACTACCAGGAGCAGTTTGAGAAACTCCAGGAAGACCTCATTGTGATTAACCAGGAGATGGCTGCTAAGAAAAAAATTGTTAGTGCTGCTAATGAGTCCCTTATCATCAAGGTAATGTATACATGAATAACTTACCTGGTCATTGTAGACTCATATTGTAAGAAACATCTTGTTTAGTTAACATTGCAAAGGGAGAATTTTCAGCAATACAGAAACAATGAGTTCTCATTTTCTTTATATGCTGTTTGATTATTTCCTTAATTCTGCTTGTTGTACATTAACTAGAGACATCATGATTAACAGGAAGAAAACAAGTTTTGGTGTTTCTTTTAAATATTGAATATGTCTTTAGGATTCACTACAATAACCTAACATATACAAAAGACTATAATCCAGTTGCCTATTATCACTGATTGTAAATCTTAAAGGTAGTATATATTCTGTATATTCTAGGATGCTGAAATTGCTCGATTACAAGCCAGAATCTCAGGAATGGAAAGGTCGTTGGCTGCAGCAAGGTCAATAGAGAGTTTCCAAGGTGATAGGGCTAGCTCTGTTTATCAGAGTTCTGTGCTCATGTCCAGTTTTTCAGGGAAACAAGATTCTGAATCAGATGATCCAAATCAGGCGAGTGTGTTTCCTCATTCCTCTGATCAAACAAAACAAAAGTTCCCTGGAAATTCAAAGGAAGTGATGCCTGACCCTGAGGATCCCTCAAGGTCAAATCATGTTGAGAAAGTGACTACTTTATCCAGTAATAAGAATGAACACATTAAAAATGATGTTACAGCTCATAGCAATGGCCATGGACCAGTTAGAAATTTAAACTTTAATGATCCTAATGGTGTGCAACAACACAACCAAAGCCAGAGAGCAAACAACATAAACCAGCCATTCCCTCAAGGTCATCTGGCTGTAAATAGGCAGGCACCAACAAACAGGAAAGGGAGACAATCTGATCAATTTCCTGGAGAGTTTGAGCATGGTGAGTAGATACCTTTTAAATTAAGTAGGTAAGGATTTCTAGTTTTTATAAAATGTTTAAATCTGGTATCACAAATCCTATAGGTGTATTCAGTTATAAATACTGCATGGTACATAACAGTACGTTTAAGATATTACTAAATTGTAGGGTACAGGGTCTCAACAAATGTGATATTGGAGCAAAAATGTTTCCTTACTTATCATTTCAGAGCCCACTACAGCCATGATGATGTATGGTCAGAGTCCTGGAGATCACCAGATTATTACAGACAAAAATTTTGGTGACCAATTCTTTAATGAACACTCTAAAGGTCAACTTGAACCAGAACAATGGTATGTCAATAATTACATCTACTAGTATATACTCATTAAAATCAAGAAAATTTAAGGGTGCTACTGTGTCGAACTATCAGTTTTTTTCATATGAATTATATTGACACATGGGTTTAGTGTGCTTATATCTTTGCCACTTTATAGCTCACAGAGCCTGAAGGGCAAAGTGAATTTACGCCGTGGCATGGCATCCATCCATCGGGTGTCAACTTTTCCATTTAGAAAACTTCTACTGACTAACCAAAAGGTGCAGAAGCATGATATTTGGGTGATAGGTTCCTAGAAAAAAGCCTGACAAAAGCCAGTAAGAAATGACCTTGATCTTTATTAAGGTAACTATTCTGACTAACCGAATGGTGCAGAATCATGGTATCTGGCAGACAGGCTCATTGGATGAAGTCTGACAAGATTTCTGAATTATTATTATTAATTCAGTATTAGTTATTGTTATGGAAATTAGTTAATATCAATTGGATGAACTAACTTTGAATGCCAGTGGTGTATTTTTCAATATATTTCTAATTTTGATGAACATTGAATACTAAGTCAGCGAAGCAGACCCAAAGATGCTTGAGTCATATTTACCCAAAACCATGAAGGGGTATAAATTTCATCATATGAATGAGCTTTACCAGCTTTCATAGCCACTAAAGTCAAATTTACTTAAATAGTGAACAACTCTGTCTGAATTACGTAGAAGTCCAATATTATTTTACGTGTAACATACTGTTAAGTGATATTGTATTGTATATTTTGGGTTGGTTATAAACTTTGAAGGTTGCATGCAAATATTTGAACGACGTCTACTCTTAATGTATTAAATATCTGGTCATTCAAAATCAGCAGATAGTTTGAACCCATGATTTGTGTAATATAAATGATGGATTCATAATATCAAGTTTGAGTCTGTATAATAACTTGATAATAGGAACCTTAGGATTAACAATAATCTCTCAAGTTTGTAACTATTACTTTCTATTAAGAATTTCATTAACTATTACCAACAATGGCATGTAAGCATTGATTTGATTTACCTTCTTTCTATTTTTCCACAATAGTATAACACTCCCGCTGATACAACTCGAGGCCCAACATTAGCTTAACATACAATCAGTGTGTAATACATAAACGTTGACTTGTGTATTATCACAGAACAATGATATTTTATAATATGACTTTATAATGTAAATACATCCATACTGTCCCTGTTGATATAGTACTTTTGAAATACTGTAACTTGCTACCTCTATTGAGATTAATCATTGATTGATCATGTATATGATAGAATACCTCAGTAAGGTGATCATTTTCTGATGACAGCATGCAAGAACTCCAGGAGAGACTGCGAGCCAATGAAATTCGTCAAAAATTGATTGACAAACAGCTACAAAGTCTGGATGATGATTAGAGACAGGAAGGAGGATGCAGCAGATGTATGAATGATTGAAAGGATGAATGAAAACAAGGATGAAAGACATCTTTTTAAGAGTGCACATTAAATATAATAATTATACATGTACTAGTGGATGACTGTACTGTGTGTTTTGGTGGAGGTTCCAAAATACACTTAATGAAATTAAAATTGTTTTACTAATAGCCTTTATACTCTATTTCATTCTTTAATCCATGTGGTACAGAAAGGTAGAAGATGTTTTAAAACTAGACTTGTTGTTTGGGGTGAGGGAGGGGAATAGGAATTAAAGCTACAAGAGCTGTCAGATGAAGCAGGAGTTGGGAAGGGAAAAATGAAGTGTTAAAAGTAAGATTATATGGTATACAATTCTGTGTTCTGTAAAATACTGTCTGTGTTCAGCCATAAACTCCAAATATAGCAACAGGGTCAGATCAGCACCAGTTCACACTGAAGTTTTCTTGATTAGATCACTGGGACCGGAGAATTCATAACATCTTAAGAGTGAATATAGTCATATAGTCATTCTGTACTAGTTTTATTTATTTATTTATTTATTTTGAAAGGGGGAGGGTTGGCTCAAAAATATTTCGGTTTAAGCCCAAGCTCTATTAATGTAACAAAGAATTACGATACCTGGGACCTCTGATATATGCCGATAATTCATACTGCATTAAAAAGTACTATATTTTTTATTTATTTATTTATTTATTTTGACTTTGAAGTTGGGGGGGGGGGGCATACACAAGTCGGCGATGGAATCCACAATTATCCATCACAACCACATCGCCTTGGGTCGAAGAAAATTTTTATTGAATGTACAGTGTACATTAACTTTTTAACAGATAATGTTGTTAAGAAAAAGAACGATCAGTTATCTCTTCATCACCTCTAACTCAGCGATGTTTTATTCAACCACAACTAACCTCAGCAATTTTTTTATTAGCATTATTGCTATTGAGCTTCACCTCAATCACTTCTTTTTTCCCTTTGAAAATCTATTGATATTGAGTTCAATGTGATAGATAAATACCTCAAAACTATCTTCCGTCCATAGCCATTATCAGCATTATTCTTACATTATATATGTCATTAACTTTCATGCTTTTTTTCTCTCTAAAATATGAACTATGTCATCATTTCTGGAGGCGTATGTATTTTTAGTTATATACACTTGTATTATTGACTATCCTACAGAAAAGTTACGTTTGATGAAAATAATACTATATTATTATTAATACATACCCACTATGATGAATTTTAACTAGCAGCTTTTCATCCTTCAAAGGTCTTAAAGTTTTTATACACTTTATAATTATATATACATAATGTTACGTTTGATGAAAATAATACTATATTATTATTAATACATACCCACTATGATGAATTTTAACTAGCAGCTTTTCATCCTTCAAAGGTCTTAAAGTTTTTATACACTTTATAATTATATATACATAATGTATCATGATGCTATCCATGGCTTTTGGATGTTTACCCTTGCATACAGAAATTCTATTTACTTAGAACAAAACAGTGCTTTCATTAAAAGCCAGATGCAAGGTCCTGTCAGTATGGTTCTGTAAAATTGAAGAGTTAATAACACAGAATTTTGTCTTTTTGTGTAATCAAGTGATGACTAGTTAAAAGCTACCAAAGTCAGTGATTATCAGGTTGTTGATGTAAGACCATGAAATCGCTGGCTATTCCTTTATATTGTTAAGCCTTTTTCCGTCTGTCATTTTACCTAATTATTAGTGCTAGATGAATATCACACATGTATAGGACGGATTAAATCACATCTCTGGTGTATGCATGGGAACAAGGAAACACTTCATATATCATATTGCTTTACCAACGACATATGTTTATATATAGATCTGTTGCATTCCATTTTTGTACCAAAATTTCTGGTTTTCTGCAGAAAAAAGGAACTTTGATATCATGATTGATCAAGGTGATTACATTCATGGTAAACTTTATGAATCTCTCAACAAATTTTTATTTTACGAAGATCTGTTTAGTTACAAAATCATGCAAGTTTTTGAGCATGTCATTTTGATGATATTTTTCTTCATTTAAACTACATTTCAGTCATGTATATAGTTTCACTAAATCCAGTGTAGAAGTTGTATGATGCTTGCCACACATTGTTATTTGTAATACCAGCTGTCCTATCAATATACACTGTGTTCCTAATCCAAAAATAACCTTTCAAACCTCCTCTATTCTTTTTCTCTTGAAGGTAATTAGACAAACCATGGAGGCATTTTTTGTCAACACCATTATGCTGTTTGTTATTATATATAAAACACCCTTCCTGGTCAGTGTTCAGATGGAACAATACTCATTGTAACAAATATAAGGTACCACAAAGTACTGTGGGAGAGATTTTATAATGCCTCAATAGCAACCTTGACCTTAAGCTTCAGTGTATTTTTTTGGAGTCAACTTGAGAATTTTCTGACTCGAGTGACCTTGACCTTTGATGGGTCTCCAAACCTCAACAGGTTTAACATAGATGAAGGTCAAGGTGAGAACACCAATTTATCACCTATTCAGTTTGAATTTATAAAATGTTTCAATGACTCACACCAAATTAAATTATGGTGAAGATTATGGTTAATCACTCTTGATTAAAATCAGCTGTTACAAAGTTCAGTATTATGCCTTAACTTAGTAAACAAAGCCATGGTGATTTTGATCAAACTGATAAAGAACAAAGGAGAGCACAAATTGTTATTTGAAAGTTGTATATACCTTTGTATAGATGAAATTATTTTAACTTAACCATTACTTAATCCTTGTTATTTTCACTGTACATGTACAACATCAAATAGTTCATTCATTGTTATAGTATTTATGTTTCTAGTTTCATTCCATGTGTTTTTACTTTAAAAAATATTACAACAGAATAAAGATATTTTAATTGATTTTAGTGTTTTGTAAAATCTTTATCATCACCACTAAAGCTTGGATAATTACAATTATATTATCACACAGCATTGATGGAACAAGGCATCATAAACATTAAAAATCCTGTCAGGTTTCAACCTTCCCTGCTGCTCTTCAAATTTGACTATTCCTCAAAGAATGAAGCCACTTAAGCCCTTGTAAAAATAGTTACCTTGATGCTACAGCAATAAAACTCCAAGAAGATATGGTCTTTTCGAAGCATGTGAAAATTTGATAAAAATTGTGACACTGAATAATGTAAGCCAGTGCCAATTCATGCATGCCATCAAAACTGTCATCCTATAGTGATAATTCTTATAAAGTTACTTTCAGTGGGAAATAACCAACACTACACTCAAAATAATAATTTTTCTATGAAAATTACAGTAAAATTAAGTCTAGTTTTCCTATATAAACTATAGTAAAATTTACCCCCTCCCCACAGGGAAATGCCAGACCCTTGAGCCATGAAATTCACTATTTTGGTAAAACGCCTTAAGATGCTTCCATCCATGCGGAGCCTTTGATTTTATCATATCTGGGTTTGAGAAGAAGAATATTGAAATTTAAGTCAATTTGACCTCGCCCATCAGTCCCTGGAGGTCAGCCAGGATCAATAAGGGCAAAACATTACACAGTTATCCTTCACTCATAATTCTAACCAAGTCTGAAATATTTCCAATGAAAATTAAACAAATTATGCTCAAAAATCTAGGTTTCCTATACAAACTATAGTCAACTTTACCCCCTCAACACAAGGAAATGTGAGACCCTTGGGCCATGAAATTCACAATTTTGGTAAAGCACCTAAAGATTCTTCCGTTCATGAAGAGCATATGATTCTACCATATCTCGGCCTTGAGAAGATTTTTTAAATCAGAGTCAATATGACCCCATTTAGCCCTGCCCCTCAGGTCCCTGGGGGTTTGGGACTGTATAATTCAGTTTTGGTTCGTCTTTTGCAAAGGAAATGTTCTGCAAAATTTCATTGAAATTTGATCAGGGATTTTTGAGTAGAAGTCGAAAATTGTTTACAGACACAGATGAGTCATTAGAATTGGTCACCATGATACCTTACAATCCTGAAACTTAAAACTTGTCCTTTTTAAACTTATCGGACTCCATCATAGAATAAGGCCAAGAATAAAGTTTTGATATAAGGATTTTCTAACAATGTGGTAACCTTAACAACTCTTTGTAATTCCTTCAGTACAGTGATTGTACAAAATCTTTCGAGGAATATGAAGTCATTAAAGCCTTTCAATTTTTCTAAAAACAGCTCTGCACTCTGAACTTTACCCTTTGCAATCCTGAATATCCAACATGTCTGTTGGATATGTAGTTCTAAGTGTGAAGTTTAACAAATTAAGCAAACAATGATGGATCATACTATAGCCCCCGCTCCCCAATTCTCGTATGCAGCGAGTAGTCATATAACACTTGATCAAAATTTGAGCAATTCGTATTTTCATTAAAATAGGTATTAGGGGGCCAACATACCATTTCATTCTAAATCAAGAGGTGGTTTTTTTAGGATAATGAAAAAAGTATGCTTGATTTTCTCATAAATAGCACTTTGATATGAATACTTATTGTCTGGAACGTGTTGACTATCAAAAAGTCTTAAAGTCAAGAAGATTTCTAAGTCAACTGCATTAAAGCCGGAGTAAAATTGAACAGGAAAAACTTAAACAATTATTGAAGCAAATTCAAAATCAAAATACATTTTGAGGTTTTATCCCATGGACAAACAAATTTAAGAAATAATCGCCTATCAACTGATGAATCAGGGCCAAAGATGGTTGAAATCCACCAATGCAGAAAGGAGTAGAGTTTATAATCTAATTTCAGCACCTCCCCCTTTTGAGCCCTGTCCCTTGACCCCTTGGGATCTAATCAAAATTTTGAATGCAAGAAATGACCATCCTCACCCACTGATGCATCAGACCAAATTTGGTTTTCAAGAAAATGTTTACACCCGACGACCGACGAAGAATGATGACTATAGGTCATCTTAACCCTTCTGGTCAGATGATGCAAGAATCCTGGTAGCTGTATCAAATTTTGCCAACAAGTTATTTAGCTAACAAATGCTTCAGGTTTTAAACTACAACCCTTGAGAATAGTATTTATTTTTCTGTTTATTCATATTCAATTAATAGTACTTTTTTTAATGTTTAAAAAGCAACAAGTAGTCGAAAATACCTAGGATGTCAATGGTAACAGGATAAAAACAATGCTTTCCATTCCTTACATTCTATAACCATTATTAAATTGTTTCCTGTATTGCATCATAGGTGTTCAAAATCCATCCCATCAGTATCTTCTCAATTTCTTAATCTTCTTTGGACATGATGGCAGCTATTGTTTTTTCTTCCTTCACACCAAATATATCTCTACACTGAACTTAATATGGGAAACTACATTATGTAATCTATCAAATACATCTCACGACTCTTAAATCAAAGATAGCCATTTTTAAAAAAAATTCTTTTCATCATAATATAAAAGTAATCTACAATTAACAATCCTGGGGTCAATTTCTGAATCAACACTTTTCAATTTTAGCAAATTTTAAAATCAACTCGAGGAGAAAAAATGTCATGAAATGCTACTGAAAATGGAACAAATAATATACATACTAAGGCATCTTTAAAGAAAGATTCATCTCTCTATCAAATCTGGCATAGTAATATATTTCGTGCAAAAAGAACAGAACAAAGATGATAGTGACACATATTTTAATCTCTAGCTCTTTATTCCATTTATTTTTCTTAAATACATTTATCACTACTAATCCCCCCTTTAAAAAAAAAGGAAAACACAACCCCAGAAACGAACAAAATGTAAAGTTTTGTTCCTCACAAAGTATATATTCTTGTCTTCCTGATTTTCATCACAAATTGCTGAAACCCCGGAATTGGTCTTTTAACATCACGATATTCCTCTTGTATCATGATTTGCAGTTCAGAAATCACAGTCGTTAAATGAACGAGGCAGATGAAGGCGAGTTGTTATGAAATTACAAGAAATGATCTCAATGTTATTTACACTGTACATATGATAAGTCCAACACAGTAACTTCACTCTTGTAGGATATCACATTTTGTTCATCTACCCTCAACTGAAAAAGAAAGAAAATACATTTGTTAATAACATTTTCAATCTTATTTAAAAACATGAGGTACAGTTTGTTGTATTGTGGAAAGAATACTTCTTGTGGTACAGGTCTACCCAAACACATGGATTTTGTAAACTGGCAAGATACCAAAACTGCGAGTAGAAAATTAATTTTGAAATTCTACTTACTATATGAAGAGATGTCAATCTCGTCTGGTAGTTCTGTGATGTTAACCTCAAATCGCTCCTGAACATCATTCAACACCTTGGCATCATTTTCATCAGAGACAAATGTAATGGCAAGACCTTTGGTACCAAATCTTCCAGCACGTGCCACCTTCACGATAGAGATGCCATTTAAAGTATTTGACATGATTTACAAATGCAACTGTTCAAAAACATGAATCTTATGCAAAGCTGGACTTGTGATAAAAACATTTTTATTTCAGTTTGAATGAATGAATGTACTCAAAATATATCGTGATTCTTAAAATCCCATTTCAAGAAACAATTTATTGTTTAAACACCATATCTTCACATACTTACACTGTTCATGTCTATTGAATTAATTCAAAATCAATTATCTAATCTTGTCGTAACAGACTTGTAAGATTTTTTTTTTCTATTTCCACATCTTTCTGTTCCACAAAGACATCCAGAAAATTACATTTAAGTGATTCAAAATGATAAAAGTATAAACTTACTCTGTGTAAGTATGTGTCGGAATTCTCAGGCATGTCATAGTTGAAAACAATGTTCACTCTCTCAATATCCATTCCACGTCCAAACAAGTTTGTGGCCACTAGAATTCTCTTCTGGAAATCTTTAAACTGTTGGTAGCGAGATAATCTGAAAAATGATGAAAGAAATATGTAAAGAAATTTAGAGGCAGAATGGTTTCAGGATATTGAAAGGAGCAATCCTATATGAATATTCAGTAAATATGTCACGAAATGTTTCCTTTGTGTCAATGTGTAAATACAGGTCACATTGACCTTCTGATATGCAACACATTGCCTACAGGAAGATTTCCCCCATACGTAAAAAAAAACCAATTGTATTCATATTGAGTTTCAATTGTCCAGAAGTAGAAAGACATCTTGTATTGGAAATCCAGAAACTACTAAAATCTTTCTTGGGCTGGTTATGCTGTGGATGCTGGAGTGTTCATAAGACATTATTGATGGATATCTCTCCAAGACTAGATACAAGGAAATAAAAAAATTCTGCTAGTACCTTTCCTCTTGTGTCATTGCCCTGTGGATGGCAATAGCTGGGAAGTTCTGTTCCACTAACAACTGTGCCAGGGCCATGCATCTCTGGACGGACTTGACAAAAATTATCACCTGTGAAATTGAAAACATCCATACAATATATCTATAGATACAAGGTCAAACCTCCCTGAACAGACTTCAAATACTATAACCTGTAAATTGGGAAAGTAGAATGTAACACTACAATGCATCATGTGACAACATATTTTAATAAGTAGTGCAGTATCTACTTTGAATTCACCTCAAAAGAAAATGGCAATTGTGTCCTTTGACATGCAAGAATGTAAGAGTGGTGCAAAAGATAGACTTCTCAACATAATGACTGAAGAAAAACCAAGACGGAATATCTGAACAGGACACATTACTGCCACCAAACCATAGTACCTCAATCAATGAAACCCGTCTGTTGACAAATCACTACAAATTTCCAATTTATCATTAACATTATTCCAACAATTTTCAGCACTATGTTGAGCACAATTTCTTACATCTGTTCATGACTGGATTACAAAGCAAAAATGCTTGAATTTTAGGTAGTGTCTGGATCATCAAAAACCAGCTGAACTTAACTGTTATCTATTACACATTATTCAAATATTGGGCAAATTACAAATATGAAAAATGTATGGAATACTTGTTGGTAGAGATGTGAAGCTCACTTCTTTGGAGCATAGAATTATGTCAAGATAACTCCAAATAAAGGAAAGTCTGACAAATAGAAATCTCCAAAACAGAAATAGAGAAAGTGGAGTTATGAAGAAGACAAAAAAAAAAAAAAAAAAAAAAGAGCAGTTAATGAAATATTCCACACACAAGGAACTAACCAGACAGGAGAATTTTTTTGTTTTTAATGAAAAAAAAAGAAACATGGTTTCACTGTGATCTCAGACAAAGGTGGTAATCGTGTTGTCCCCACTTAAAAGTAAGAGTGGTGCACGACTTTTGTCATCATTGGTAGATGTGCACTGAAGTGTGTAAAATTGATATTTAATACCTTCTATGCACCGAATTCACCTTATTTGAAACAATATTTTTGTACACAATCTCTACTACCAAATGGTAAAGTTCCGCGAAATTTTTTAATTATGTAACGCACAAATTCTGAACGGAGTCTGCAAAATTGAAGTTCAGAGGTAGCAAAAAAGTTTCCTTGAAAAAAAAAAGCAGTAGAAATTTCAACTTAAAGGTAGTTTGCTTCATTTTGACAAATTTAAAATTAAAGGTAACATAATTATGTTAAAGTTGCAATAAAAACTACAATTGCAGGTATTGAACAATGGAAAGTAAATGACCGATTTCATATAAAATTAATTAATCGGAGGACAGAACCTGATTTTATTATAAGAAACAACTTAGAGACCAGACATTGACATTACTAATCTCAGACAAAGGTGGTAATCGTGTTTTCCCCACTAATGTGTAAGAGTGGTGCACGACTTTTGTCATCACTGGAGCATGTGTCATGCATTTGTTGTTGAATTGATGTGCAATAATCTTATTACTACTTGTCAGATTTCTGAAAATTCTTCTCCTAAACAGATGTTCAATATATAAACTGATAATGCTTCTGCTCGTCTTCAAAAATGCCAAACTCTTTTATCAAATCAGTTTTAATACAGCATTTAAATCAAATTTATAACAACTAGAAACAATGACAAACGTTCCTTTAAAAATAATTTGTCTCAATTTTTTCCGATGTGGATATTTCAATTGATAAATTCAATAACTGCATCTTGACTAAGTATTAATTAGGGATTACAGATAAGACTATTGCATTCACCTCTACACACTCTATGCTTCAAATGTAGGTCTTAAATAATGGTAGGTTTTTTGGCCAACACCACATATTAAGAATCAGAGGGAAATACCTTTTTCTTACACTACGATCTCAGACAAAGGTGGTAATCGTTTTGTCCCCACTAGCAAGTAAGAGTGGTGCACGACTTTTGTCATCATCGAAAGATGTATCACAAGTTTGTTCCTTCGATATGCAATCATTTTTCACCAATTTTCCCCTATTTCTGACATTTTTGTCCTAAACTGATCAATCCCTATATGCTCTACTTATCACTTAAGTTACTTCACTATTTATAATATCAATCCTTCATTCAAAGCAATTACATCAAAGTAATAAAGGTAATCGAAAGTACATTTCAATCTTTTGGGTACTACGAATCAACTATCATTTACAATTCCAGATTAGAAATATTCAAACTGTAATCCGGCATAACCACATATATACAAAACTCATGCCTTTATTATTAACTAGCACCAAATGAAAAATAACAACCATACAACACTACAGCATATTTCTGAAATTCAGGTTCTATTGTGAAAATTGGCAATAATGGGGCATGGGGGTTTATGTAGAAAATTTACACCATGTTGATACCTGGTTGAATTCAAGAACATCAAGAAGCTCAAAAAGCTTCCTATTCTTCTCATTGTCCTTCAGCTTTACATAGTGCTGCTGTAGACCATGAAGGGTGAGCTTGGAATCATCATCCACATACACTTCCATAGGCTGAAAATACAATGGCAAAAAACTTCTCCTGCAATAACATGTATTGTTAGCTACCAACAATTCTCTAGAAATTGGAATTCCAAAGATAACAGAAATGTCACTGCACATTTTGTTTCTAACCCAACTTCCAAGGAAAGATGAGATTTTTCAAAACTACACTTGATTATATATATATATGCATATATTTAAATTTTTTTTCTCTCTCAAATGAAAAGTTATTCCAAAGCCAAACAAAAGAAATTCATGTTAATATTTCTATTTTCATTTTCAAGATATGAAATCAGAATATATTTGCTAAATAAAGCAAACATCCTGCCACCCCTAGTCCAACAGGAGCTGGACAAGCTGATATTTGACAATCAGCTAGTGCCCACCAATAAGTTGGGTATCGTACATCTCGGCAAGATACAGGCTAGGCCTGGAGCTGGTCTTTGAAGAGGTACACCCATTGGAAGGCCACAACCATGGTGACGATTAAACTCCACTCATCTCCACATGTGAAGTCCTCTCTTTACATTGCCATACTCGCGTTCCTCACCAGCATCTGGACATCCCCGACACCGACCTAATTTGTTGATTACTCGGATCTTGAAACAGCAAGTATCTTTATCTATGTCGCGCTTCTAAAAACTAGGTGAGACACAACTAGCCCGTTGCTTTGAGAGCGCAGGGACTTTGTGTGCCTCTGATGATGATCTTCTTTCTCCGCATCCCTAACTCCTAAAACGCGTCTTTCTAATCTTGACAATATAACACCTTATTAACTGCGATGTAACGACCATCCCTATACCATTTTCTTCCATGTAGATATTCTAAATGGCAGATCTTGTTTTATATGCAAGTAGGTATTTCTCCCAAATAGCATCTATTTTTTTTTAATTTCCAAGAAAAAATGTCCAAAAATTTACCATTAAAAAAAATCTGTTAAACTCTAAAATTAACAAAGTTAAAACTTGTTAATCCTGAACGCTTGCTATATTTTTTTCGTTCTGTGAAAGACTTCTTGAAAATCTATTCAGGATCCATCACGCATTGCAGTATTTTCTGACAGGCGAAGATACTATAATGTCGCGTACTGGGCCTATCTTATGAAATCTAACTTTTGCTATCAAAGGTGACGGCAATTTAGAACTGGGAACCATTTTCAGGAAACGAGTCGACGTAAAGAATTTTGTACAGTAATTACATCTTGCATGAACTTCTTGCAGATTGCTCGGACATCTTTGCTGAGGGTGGCACTGAACATCATGACTTGCTTCTCATGGGGAGTGGCCCTGAATATCTCCTGAACGTCTCGTCTCATGTCTGAAAAATTAAAATTAACATGTAAATAACCTCAGTGGTCATAACCTTTGAAAAATAACTGGTATTAGCTGTTATTTTGCATGGATTTATTTTGATGTTTTGCCATTTAAGTTTAAAACAATCTGAATTTCGTACATAGACTATTTGTTGACTATCTGCTGAGTTTCTAAAATAGAGACACTTACCTAATTCTTCCAACATTTTGTCACATTCGTCCAAAATAAAATGTTTTGCATGCTTCAAAACAAGCTGTTTTGATCGTACAAGTGCTAGAATCCTCCCTGGAGTTCCCACCACAATATGTGGACAGTTCTTTTTCAGGACCTCTTCATCTTTCTTAACCGACATCCCACCAAAGAAGACTGCTATTTTTGTGCTGTTCATGTACTTGCTGAACCGTTCATACTCTTTGCTGATTTGGAAAGCAAGTTCCCTAGTATGTGCCAATACCAACACAGACACCTAGTAAAAATGATCAGGGCAAATATTAATTTTCTGTGGCCAAGGTTTATTCAAAACATCTGAGGAAAGAAAGTAAATGTATTTGTTAAATCAACAACAAAAATAAGAATATGAATTTCATTACGTTCCTTACAAATAAAAAATTATTGAGACTAATTATTCCTCCTCTTCTGGAAAACGATTTTGGCAGATTTAATGTGTTTTGTACCCATATATATAATTTTTAGGTCTCTTGGATGTATATCAAACATACTAATCAAATACAGATAACACCTTTGACGTGGTCTATAATAGCATATTCATCCATCCTAAAATTCACATTAATAATCAAATATGTATATTTCAAAGTAATAAAATGTATCCAAGACCATCAATATTAAGTAAACTCAAACTGTAGAAATGCACACCTGACCATCCACAGGCTCTAGCTGTTGAAGAGTTGCCAATACAAACACGGCCGTCTTTCCCATACCAGACTTAGCTTGACACAACACATCCATTGACAAAATTGCTTGCGGGATGCATTCATGCTGAACTGTAAAAGAGAAATGCATAGTCTAACACTGCCACAAGTAAAAGTTGCAAAATATTTATAAACAAGAATCATTAATTGTTTCACATGGCAATCACAAGTCAAGAATAATGTTAGCGAACATGGATTGGAAAAAGTGCACCCAATACAATGAAACGTTTTATCATCATTATTAATATAGTGATTTCCCTTGAATTATTTATCAGAACTTGAAATATTATACTTGTACGAGTCATTACAATGTAACAGGCACATATTATCAGTGATAACCAAAGAGGTGCAATTATCTATATATGAATTCCCAAAATGATAATGATTTTTGTAAGGAGCACTATCAAATACAAAAACGTCTGAACGACAGTCTGAACTTTCCGAGGGTGTTCCAAACTTGTCTACAGCCCCATGGTTAATCACTTTTAACCAAAGTTCACTTTTCATTCCAAAACGGACAAATCATGTACCTTCTGAGGGATGCTCAAAGCCACAGTCAACAATGGCTCGGAGCAGCTCCGGTTTCAGAAGAAAATCTCTAAATCCAGAACTGTGAATGGATACGTATGTACCCTTAACATCTTTCTTTATTTGTTGCTGTACATCCCCTGCTCCATCGGCAGTAGCCTCATTCTCCTCCTCCTCGTAGTCCAAAAGTTCAGCTTCGTTCTCGTTGTCTGCCATATCTTAAATTTTGTTTCCTGTGTGATCTGTTAAAAAACAAAAGTGTTAATCCTGTCGGTACGAAATGTCAATTTTCCTATTAATTATTCATTTAACGATCACGTTTCATCTTTACAACGCCCGATGCTGACTAAAACCCAAATATACTAGACGATCTAGGTCCAGACCATTCCTAGTCATCGAAATTTGAATAATAGTTCAACGATTCTCAATACCGGTTCAGGATCTCCATTGTTTACCGGGTTATTTTGGCATTCCTTACCCAAAATAACTGATACAAAAGAAACATTCGTGCCAAACGTCTCTAAATAAAATAATGTTTAAAATCATAAGCGCATAATTGACATGATGATTACCGATTTATCTTTACTCACCGGTTTGCTAACGCTGTTACAATGGCGTCGTCTATCAAGATGCTACGTAAAGCGAGATGTTCTGACTGTTTTGATTGGTCGATGCCCACAGCTGTAGCCAATCAAAAAATAGCTCTTGCAGTGATATCACATGACTTAAAAATGGCCGAAGACAACAATATGAATGCCGACGACTCCAAGGAGGTCGAGAATAAATCGCATATGCAAAACGGCGTCAGTTATGATGGAGATGAATTGGACATCGGTGAAGTTGAAAACATCGATACGATAGTTCAAGAATGTAGTAAAGGTAATAGGTTGTTAAGCTCATAATAATTTCTCAAGGAGCCAGAGTAAATTATGTGAGCTTAGTTGATGTGTTTAGTCGAAGAGGCCGAATATGAGACTTGGTTGGGCCTACCTTCCGAAAAAAACAACTTTATATTGAAGTCTTTATAAGAAGGTCATACAAGCGCGCATTACAGAAGTAATTGAATAATATGTTTGGGGCGACATAGCTTTTTCAGGCGAAATGGTTTTGGGGTAGGATGATGTCTGTAACTCTGCTTATGGTGGCTATGATAACAATTAGGCAAATATATCCCTGGTTGAGTCCTGTTAACATGACTTAAATAGATCAGTCCAGTTCTGTTTCTTTATTTTTCAATGATTTGAAATGTACCCTGAGTGTTTTGCTAAATTTAGCTATAAAATACTTCATAGTATGTAATAAAAGGTCAAGAAAACAAGAAACTTTGTAGTTAGTTCCGTTTCCGAGATACTGTGATTTATCTAAAATGCATGCCACAGAGACTGCTTTGATATGGGTAGCCAACATCTGTGACATCAACATTGGCAAAGCACTACTATAGAGATATACCAGAAAGCTTCCACTGTGTGTTCAATATGCAAGCTTTTTAGCTACTTTTGTGATATATTCCATTGACACTTACTTCTATGGGTTATATCTATAAATGTAGAAATGACTTTTTACAATTTTGATTATGAAATTATTACATTTATTTCATGTGATTGTCTGAACACACATGTCGATGCAATCTAAATTAATCTGTTTTCATAATTCATGAATCTAAGGACTGTGATATTAAACTTTTTATTATCATGAACCCTTAATTTATACAGCACACACTACCAACCAATTAAAATTTCAGTCAAATAAATGACAGTACACCCCCATTTTTTACAAACTGAGATGTATAAAAATAATTGGAACAAATACGCAAGTACAAAACTCTATTTTTCTAACAAACAGCAACATATGTATTTCAGTCAATATAAATTAGCATCTCATACTTAAATACTTGAAAATAAAATCAAATATTTTAATTGCAGACCTTACATAAGGAATGCACAATGATGTCAATAGGTTATTATGACACATATATGTCATACATTTTATCAATGATCAAAAACAGCAAACACAAATGTTAATTATTTTGAAAATAATTTTCACTGATACATTTCTGTATTTTTGGACAGTAGTAGTACCATAGTATACAACTTTGAAATATAAAAATTATGACACAACATACATCAAATACAATGTTACTCTTGAGTCATCTGTTTGGTTTCAAATAAACCACAGACTTAGATTTAAGTCCATGATAAGGTTGACAATAGATATGTTTGAACTGATAACTGTCTGCAAATGCTGACAAATAACATATGGCTTTTTACTGTCTACATTATATTGTTGTCAGAATTATCTAATTCCTCAAAACTAGAAAACATTCATCTGCATTCTGACCTTGCGTAACATAACTACTCTCGACCTCACTTCTTTCCTCCATGGCAGCTACTGCCAATTGTTGAACTTGTGACATTACAACCAATAGGTCCCATTCAGCTCATGTCACCCTTAGGCTGACTAGTAGTAGAAGGACAGGTGATAATTGTACACTTTACACATCAATATCTCAGTATTCTGCCTGTCAATTTTTATGAAGTTTTTAACCTTTTTGATTTTTGATCATATTTTCACTCTGGGTACACCTTAAATACATTGTATGCTTTATAGAAATGATGTAACACAGTATTAATGGTAATTTGATTTTACCATACTTTTGTATTTGATTTTAGAGTTTGCAGACCTTGATAAGACATTGGACCAATTGGACACCTGGATGAATAAACTGGAGGACCAGAATGACAACTTGTATGGTAGAATAGAGGAATTGTTAGAATCTAATAGGCAGATTAAGAAGGAGCTTCAGGAACAAAACCAGGAAAGTCAACAAAAAGCTGAAGAAAAAGGAGAACCAATGGATGAAGAAGATTCAAAGAGTTAACAATTAAAGACAATGTGAAAATACATAACAACATCAGCTTATAAGTTCTCAAAGAATATAATATGTATTGTAGTTAACATGACATGATCTGAGGTATTGTCATAAATCTGTTTATCAGAAGTAGAACAGGAAAATTTTATTGTTGGTATTGTATTTAACAGATGATAAACACATAGTAATAAGCAGAATTTTATCTATTGCACCAGGACAACTACTGACAAAATGTATTTCTTTGTCCTTCAATAAGCTCACTCCTGCATTAAGTCAAAATTTATGTCTAAGCCCTGGGCTTATTAGAGGATAAATAGAAAATATAGTAATGAACCTTCCTGAGGCTCTCTTACAGTTTCTGTTAGAAACTTGAGGAGATCAGTAACCAATTATGTAACAGATACATATAATTAGTAATAGGCTGTTAAAAAAATAACACTGCTTTCAAAAAGTTTCCATATTTAAAAGCTATCAAATGATTCTGTGTGAATAGCTGAAAATGGTAACTGTAGTTCACTTGTATGATGAACATTAATAAGACCTGTTGATGAGGATGATTTGTGAAGCACCTGAGAGTGTATACAATTTTATATGGATCTTAAAATTAACATTACAAAGGCACTGGAAAAAGTGTTTATCATAAAGAAGGTAGTGTATCACAAATACTTATCTTCTCCGGTAGACATGTACCTATCTATCTATTTGGTAGATATATCTACTTATAAATGTATCTGCTTGATTTAGTGTCCAACAAATCTGAAAGTAGCCTTATAGAAAAGTGATGGATACAATTTTGAAAGAAACATACAATGATATTCTGTTGCTCATAAATGAAAATGCTTTTGTGGAATAGCTGTATCATATAGTTATGTGTTCATTGTTTGGCTGGAGTGTATATTGTCTGTGCCCCATGTTGTTTTATTGTATTAGGAATATGTCCAATGCTAGTCCTGCTTGTAGACAGATCTATCATTAACATTAATTATGATTCATTCCTATATTTGATATTTTAGAAAATACTTCATTGAATAATGATGGATGACGATGTTAAATTATTTGAATAAAGATGAAATGAATATAAAGCAAAGAGGATGACTTTCTTGTGTACTTTGAATAGGTAATGACTCAAAGGGTAATCATAATTTGTAGTCATCATGTTTTTATCTGTCATTTATCATATGCCCTGAACTACTCCAGTGTGAACTTTGGCACTTCTCAAGTTTGGCATGTTGGATTTGGCTGAGACTTCACTAGGAAGATTGTGTTGTTTTTGAGATGTTTTAAATTCAAAATGGCCACCATCTTGAAAAACACTTTCAAAGCTGATTTTTCTGAAGTCTCACTGGGCACTGTTTAATAGGAATTATTAAGGTATATTTTGAATGTCAACAATTAAAGTGTATTTAGTATTTTTAAAAATGAAAATTAATACCAATGAGCAATGCAGATCAGTTCTAAAACTTTCATGGTCTCTAGACTTAAATGAGTTTCCACTTACCTGTGTATATTTAGCTTACCAGGCCGAAAGTGCTAAGTGAGCTTGAATGCCATTGTGCGGAGTTTGTTTCTCTCTCCATGAAGCAACATCTTCCCGATAACTAAGAGGCCTACAATCATGATACTTGGCTGGAAGTTTGCAAAAGAAACCACCTTGATTCATATTCAAGGTCACAGGGAATGTCGCATTAAAGTGACTGCTGATGATGAATCAGAAGTCCTAGAATCAAAATCCTAGAATTATGGTATTTGGTGGATAGGTTCCTTGGATAAAGCGAAAGAAAGCATTTTTTTATACAATGTAGCAGGGCTTAACTTTGTTGAAATCGTGACAACTACTTTGAATGTTAATTACATAAAATGTTTTTGTGTTTATGAAAAGATTTGCAACACAAAAAAAATTGAATGCCAGGTGAGCGATGTTGGTGATAAACACCAAGTATTAAAGTAAACACTTCCTCCCCTTCAAATTTTAATGAATTAAACCCCTTCAACTTTAAATATGGGTCAAGGTGATTTCTTCTCACAAATGTTTTCAGTCTTCATCAGGGAGACTAGGAACTATCATGCAAAATCATGCTTCGCTGCCTTTTTTTTTTTTTTTTTTGTCAGAAAAAGCAGTTGAAAGCTTTTAACAAATTCAAGCTCTGTGACTTTGAATATGGGTCATTTCCGTTTTTGTGTTTTCAGTATTTGTTGAGCTTCATCCTAGAAACCAACCTTACAAGGATTAATGATTATTACAGGGATTAAGGAATATTTAATGATAAATGATCATTTTATGATAAATGATTATTATTGTGATAAATGATATTTACTGGGATTACTCATATTGTGATTAATGATTATTACAGTTATAAGAAATTGAAGGAGAAAACAAAGTTGGAGAACCAACACTCTTGAAGTCTTAGATTGCGGTATGGTTCCTAGATGGATACCACATTATAAGAAATTATAATTATGATTAATGATTACTACTATGATTCATGATAAGTAATTATTGTTATGATAAATGATCATGATTAGCAATAAATATTATGATGAATTACTGGTATCGTTACTAAAATGATTTTTGAACAAGCTAAGATTTATTGTATTACAAACATCACTGAGCAAAAATCGTTCTCTCTGAAGGTTGCCAACCGGAACTACATGCCAAACAGTACAGGATTGACAATAAGCCCGGAGGCCATGTTTTCATGCAGGATTGTTTTATATGATGTTATGGCAATCATTGTCACAACATTTGGATGGAAACAAAGCTGTCGTAGCGATAACAGGTATAGTTCAGCTCTTTACTGTTGTAGATTTGATGCAGAAATATTACAGTATTTTTATTTTTCCTACGGATCATGTGACTTCCGCGATGAAAAGAAAATAAGTCGAGAAAAAGATTACCGAATTTTGTGGACATTTTTAGATTTAGATTTTTGTTTCACATCAAAACAAATAAAATTTATTGTGGTCACCGATTACATTTGTTGTGTCACGCATTATACACACATGCTCACCACATAGAGTCGACAGAAAAGCTTTGCGAGAAATTATAAGTACCGTAACGGTCGAAGTAGGAATGATTCAAATCAATACCATTGTGATTAAAGTATACTTGTTTCTAATTTGTGTGGACATAATTTTAGTCACACTTACGGCATAGATGAGCACGTGAACGAAATTGGCTACGTCAATAATGGATGAACTGTATAAAACGCTCAAAAGAGAATGTATCTGTTTTCAACTGCGTTAAGGTACAGCGCCCGTGGTATAGCGTCTTTTTATAAGCAGTGACTGGTTCTGAAAAAGGTGAGACGACCCAAAACATTTCCATACCGACACCGCGTTGTGAAAAATTGTTCCTTGGGGTAATCGAGATATGTGGTGCGATGCGAGTTGCTAGAGACAATCAGTTGTAAGGTTGTTTAAAGAATATTTAAATGACGTGTCAAATGATTCCTCTGGAAAATGACTTAAACACCCATTCTAGCTGATTTATGTATTCCATCGATACAATATGTACAACTCGTATGCTCTCAACTTTTAGTACATTGATGTTCCAAGTGAGAATATCACTTGTATCACTTTTGTGGTTTAAAAATACGACGTCCATTTAATCAAATTTGCAGATTTTGGCGAACATCAGCTGTGGTACTAATAGGGGATAATATGACAATATTGCTTATTGTTCGCTACGCTCTTTTTTTGAGGAGGAGGGAGGGGGTGTGGCTATTCTTTTATGTATAATCTTTATGGTTATGAGCTGTATCAGAAGTGTATGTATTTTTTGTTCATTTTGAAAATATGAGCATGTGTAGTGTACTTTGGATGTAAAACTGTATCTTTGTTAAAAATTAAACATAAGATGAAACATTCAAAGTACAGAAGATGCCATTTTATTTAGCTTCACTCTGGATTATGATTTAAAAACAGGTTCTGGTCAACTTATCTGGATTTATGTACAGACTAATAACAAAAATAACGAAATTCCAGAATGGAGCTATTCACTTTATTGCAGTAAATATGATATAACTAGATATCTCATAGACCAGTATAATATATACATAACACACGATAAATTAAGTCACTCTAGAAGTGAATTCAGTATAATTAAACTCCATTGCGGTTTCCGAACATTTAGAATGCGGTTACACGACATTTTGCAATTTATAAATGTTCATCGTTATTAATGGAAGAAGGACGATTTCATCAAATCATTGTAGATATACGTAGTCGTCTGCTGTAGGAGCAATGCTTATTGATTCATATTAAGCTACTCTTTGTGGTTTTGGGTTGGAATGAATGAAATCCATTAATGCTGATAAAATACAAAACCAGTTTTCTAAACACCGTGTGTGCATCTGTAGGAATAAAGACAATAGGACCAGGGGTCAAATATTCCGGCTGAATACCAAATCAGTCTATTTTTTCTAATAATTGTTGCAACGAAAGTACCTCGCTGTCTTCTGTGATACTAAAACGATGTGTAGTGTACCAAATTCAGGACCCGCGATCCCTCAATTACGGCGTTGCTGCTGCCCTTTATTCAGACTTCATGTCAGGAGCATAACTTTGCTACCATGTAAACCAAGACAATGAAACTTGTATACAATCGGCATATTAAGAGGACGTGTAGTATTCAAAATGTAGGACGACGTGGAACCCTTAATAACAGCATGGTTGCCCTTGAATATCCTTTGCATATTTCTGCTTTCATTTCAATTAGAATAATGAAACATTTGTCATGCTAAAGTTATGTGCAGTATTCCAAATGCAGTGCTTGCAATGTCTTAATTACAGTATTGTGTTATTGTTGTTAAAATTATATATCCAATAAAGTTGTTTTCCCGGAGCATTCATCATTTTCACTGACACTCATGTTTACTCAAGGTTCCGTAAATTACTGAACATTCTCTAAATACTTGTAAAACATGTACCAGGTATATCTGAACATGTTGTTAAATGCCAAGACTCGTATAATCTCTCTAATATCTAGTCAATTCACCAAAGTGATATAGACAATGATGTTACGTCATGAAATCAAAATGCCACAGCAAAATGTCTGTCGTCGTTTGATTTTGTTCACTATAGCTTGTAGCTTTCCTGTATTGTATGATAAAAAGTATCTTTTTTTTCATCTTAAATTCTATTTGATGAAACTCGTCTCGAAGTTTTATAAACGTTTTTTCATAAAATATCTTAAATGAAAATTCATTAATGTCCTATGTACAATGTTTACATCACCTTTCAAATCAAGACGCATTTTATGGGAGAACAATACCAGCAACTTTATTAACAAGTTTGTAAAGTAACACTCTGAACAAGTAGATCGCTACTGACTGTCACTGAATGTCCAATTATGGAATCCGGCGAGCACGCGACGTGTAATTACAGATATATCAATAATATTTTATCAATCAAATTCATCAACTCATGAGTTAAAGTTCATGCACTGTAAAGTTTAATACGCTTTATGTTAAATAATTACACTACTGTCTATTTTACTTAAATATACATTTTAGTAATGGCGTATACATGTTGAAAATGAGTCCTTACCAGATGAAGCCAATAATTAATATGGCTTGCGTGTGACATCTCTCTTAGTCTCTTTTCACACACGCCGTCAACACAACGTATATGAATTGTTTATGTATCACTGGAGCAGATGTTGCCAGAGGTTTCATTTTGAAAATTAGAAAGTTCTTCGGTGAACGAAGTACTGTCTGAAGCTAGGATCCCAAACAGTTTTTCTAATTTTGTCAAATCGGGTCTGTCTGAATTTAGTACAAACTGTAAGGGATTGAACCCTTTCTCCATCAATCTAGTACACATTTCTCCTCTTTGGTGTTGAGCCAAAAAGGAGACAAACACAAGCTTTGCTGGATAAACCTCTGCATGATATTTCTCAAAGAGGTCTGCAAAATTTCCAATGTTTTCTTCTTCGTCTGTCACAATAATGAATGTTTTAACAATCTTCTTCCTCTTGTAAAAAGGTTTCAAAGCCGCTGACGGATTTGTGCCACCATGTGCCCGTGTTTTCATAGCGAGCTTCAGTGCTTCATCGACATTTCCTGGTACACTTGTTGGGCGCTGACACCGATTGTTGAAAACGACAAGGTCTGCCGAACAAATAGAGCAAAGAATTCCAGATATGACAGAACTAGTTCTTACCGCGATGTCCATCGATGCTGAACGATCTCCCAGTACTACAACAGGTGAATCCAACTTCAGCTTGATGTTCTGAAGTTTCGAATCAGCAAGGTTTATCAATGTTTTCATGAAAGGAATTTTGTATTTTTCTATTGTTCTCTTGCCAGAACGGAATCCGCGTGCTAAATGTTTCAATGTGAGTAATCGATCCATTAGTTTTCCTATCGGTAGGTTACTTGTGTCCCCAGTATCGAGCCGTTGCATGATTACTTCATCAACCTGACGGCATTCTAAGTCTTCGTAATACCACAGCACAGTGTCTAGCTGAGGCTCTGATGTTGCAATTTTGATTTTTGACTCAACATTTAAGTATTTTCGGAACTTCCTGCAGTGGGTATATGGAATGTCACATATTTTCAGTTTTTCGTTTATGTTTTTTCTGTTCAAATCCTTACAAACGTGCACTACAGTTCCACTTGGTGCTGGTTGGTCAAAACAGTAAGGAAGAAACCATGGTACACTAGGAAAATCATCAACTGGGTTCAAATGACAAATATCTGCTAGTTTCTTCCATGGTTTCTTGGGCAGGTGGAGGGCATAGAGCTCAAGTTCTTGCTTTCTTAATGTCTTTGTCCATTTACGGACATTTTTACAAACTGGTCCATTTGCAGATCCATGTTTTGGCTGTAAATGTCTCAAATTATTGATTTTGTTTTTCAGGTTTTTAATTGTGCATCGAGACACTTTCCCCGGCGTTACTTGAAGCCGTTTTAATTGTTTTTCTTTTTGTCGAATACACCTTCCCGAATCCAATATTTGTAACGCTTTCAGTATCTCCACAACTCCATATCTGTCACGGTCACAAAGGAAATCTGTTGATAACTTAAAGTCATTTCTTGCCCAGCTGGCAGCTAAAGCACGAACTCGGACTCGCTGATGCAGCTCTACTCCTTTTTGGTGTAGCAATGTGAAGCCCGAGATATATTTCGAACGATTTTGGTTTTGAGCTTTGAAATGTTCATCTACTGAAGCGTTGGCAAAGAAAAATTCGGTAACATTTTCATCAATATCAACGGGTTTTCCTGAATCCTTTTCATGTTCCTGTTGTGCTTTATTCTTCTTTTGGATTTTCCTTCTCCGGTTAATTCTGCGACCTCTTCTATTAATACGCCTTCTGGCAGGCGATCTACTTCTGCTCCGGCTCCTGGAAAACGATCTACTTCTGCGACGCCTTCTGGCAGGCGATCTACTTCTGCTACGACTCCTGGAAAACGATCTACTTCTGCGACGCCTTCTGGCAGGCGATCTACTTCTGCTCCGACTCCTGGAAAACGATCTTCTTCTGCGACGCTTTCTTCCACGCGATCTACTTCTGCTACGACTCCTGGAAAACGATCTACTTCTGCTACGACTGAAAGAGCGCATTATTTGTGGTGATCGACTTCTGCTACAACTCCTACTAACACTGCGGCTAGATAAATCTCCAAAGGAACCACTTGAATATCCAGAATATGACAAGCTTCTGCTCCGATTGCTATAGTTGGGTGATGGACTCCATGCATAGGGTGATCGACTTCTACTCGGACTACTATAGTTGGGTGATCGACTTCTGCTACGACTCCATGCATAGGGTGATCGACTTCTACTCCGACTACTATAGTAGGGTGATGGACATCTGCTACGACTCCGTGATCTAGAAACTGATCGTCGATTTTGGGGTCGTGACGTAGAACATGAACGTGTCCTTTGTTGCTCGGGAGATCGCGACCTAGAGCGTGATCGTCGAGAAGGTGAATAAGAACCTGAAACAAATCTTCGAGTTCGCCGCCTGCGAGTCTTTCCCATCTCAGCTACCGAGGAATGATTCTATCAATTATATTGGTTTGTTTATGAGAAAGTTTGAGAATGATAAATTTAAAGATGGAAGGTGAAATCTCGATGACATGCACTACACTCGGTTTCGTCCATATAATATATATTCCATAAAATAGTCGATATTTGTTGTGAACTTTCACCTATCACAACAGTGTCACATGTCAATGCCTGGTTGCGGTTTATTACATGATCAGAATATTGATATATATATTAGATATTGATTTCGAATTTCGTATATAAGTTTATCATTCACTATCGTTGTTATAGAAATAGTTATGCAATACACACATATAAAGCTATTAATCCAAACGGGAATGAATTGCTAGGGGAATGCAATACTCCACACGATATCCTGTAGTAGCATGAACTCCACACTTGTAGGACGCAAAGAAAATCATTGAACCTAATCTACACAATTATCGTCAGTAAGTTTCATTTAGTATTACACATCGAAAAATCCATGTCACTGATGTATACTTATACGCCTTTCAAGAAACGCTATTCATGTCCATTTCCAGTATATAAAATGTTGTAATAAATGTTCAAATATATTGATATATACTGTACTCTGTAATAACGACCACTATACTGACGTATCCGGACAAGCCACCTAACAATATATACTAACACACATACACCTATAACGTTCTGTATACGAATGTACCACTAAACGTTTGCTTGTCGTATATATCGGCTGTGTGCGCATGTGCTTTAACCGAACAACATACGCTGACGCAAAGAGATATAGTACCATGTTATCAAATGCGAATCTTCCTTACAATAACATCATTCATGCGATATCTCGTTATCATTGTCCCTATACATTTACATATAGGTAAATATTACTATTTTCCACAGTGCTCATCTACATATATATGGTGTAAAACATGTTGTTGTTGTGCAATATTTCCTCAATTAAGTATTCAACTCCACGTTGATAAATAAGAATATGCTTATGTATGCAGAATTGTGGTAATTATAGATTGGTAAAATGTTTGACTTTACGTATTTAATTTTACGATTACCACTACAATGTTATTTAGACGATAACCCGCCCACTGGTAAACGTGTAGAAACGTGATTGTAGACTAACCTGTGTAGTTTACGCTTGGGTTAAACTATTGGATAATTTCATTGGTTTTGTTTTCTGGTTATAATGAGTAGTTTATATACTTATTTCATAAACATTCAACAACATGACTTAGACCATGTGGTAGAAATATTTGTCGATATAATAGAAAAATGAAGAAAAGTTATCGTTGTTTGTTTTTTTCTTCAGTTTTTAAGAGGTATATGCTATTAATCACCTGCAACATGCGCTGGGAATGGATTCTTAACAAAATGATAGTAATAAAATAAACATAAAACAAATAACAAACAATCAACCAAACAAAGATCAGTGTTTTTTCTGCTAAAAGTATTGATTGATTGATATTCGCTGTTATATCATAGATGTTCCAAACACGCACCATTTATACCTATATCCACGAAGTCACATTATTCACCACTTGTTTCATAGTGTCACACTAATCAATGCTTTACACACAGACACCTACACACACACAGACACCAACACACACACAGACATCTACACACACACACACACCTAAAGCGTTCTTTACACGTATGTGCCGCTGAACATTTGTTTGTCGATGTAGTTGTACTATGTTATTTAAAAGCGAATTTTTCCTATAATAATATAATTCAATATAACAATGTTTATCGACAGTACTCATATATATATGGTGTAAAACATATTGTTGTTGTACAATATTTCCTAAATTAAGCATTCAATTCGAATACCTTAGGTTTTTTAAAGTCCAAGTTGATAAATAAGAATTGGCTCATGTATGCAGAATTGTGGTAATTGCAGACCGGTGAATTGTTTGATAGTAAATTTGATACTGAAAAACAGACATGGTTTTTTGCTGATTCCTGTACATAACATATAAACAGATGTCAATAATAGTGTGTTTAATTTTACGATTACTACTACAATGCTATTTAGACGATAACCCGCCCACTGGTAAACGTGTAGAGACGTGATTGTAGACTGACCTGTATTGTTTACACTTGGGTTAAACTATTGGATAATTTCATTGTTTCTTTTTTGTGTGTTTTATTTTCTGGTTATAGTGAGTATTTTATTTACATTATAGAAACGAAGAACATGTTGTGTGTGGTTTTTTTTAAATATTAGTAACAGCTGTTTAAAGAATACTTTTGAGAAAAACAAATAAGCAAACAAACAAACAAACATGAGTTACTTCTTTTTGTTAAACTGTTATAGTGATTGATATTCGCTGTAAAATTCTATTTGTTCCAAACACGTACCATATATACCACGTACTCATGTTATTAACCACTTGTTTCACAGTGACACTAATCGGACATTGAACGTTGCTTCAGATCTTTTTCATTCTTATTGTTACCATAGTTTCTTCTTACTACAGAAAATAATATCGATGTAACCATAGAGAATAGTAACGATGTAACCATAGAGAATAGTAACGATGTAACCATAGAGAATAGTAACGATGTAACCATAGAGAATAGTAACGATGTAACCATAGAGAATAGTAACGATGTAACCATAGAGAATAGTAACGATATAACCATAGAGAATAGTAACGATGTAACCATAGAGAATAGTAACGATGTAACCATAGAGAATAGTAACGATGTAACCATAGAGAATAGTAACGATGTAACCATAGAGAATAGTAACGATGTAACCATAGAGAATAGTAACCATAGAAAATAGTAACGATGTAACCATAGAGAATAGTAACGATATAACCATAGAGAATAGTAACGATGTAACCATAGAGAATGGTATCAATGCAGTTTTTCACGAAATGTGCATGCAATTAGCACATGCCTTACAGTTTTAATGTCCAACTTCAGAATTTTGTTGCAACTAGGGGCATAGTGGTTCATAAACAGATCTTATTAGTTTTGGGTTTTTAATCAACGTACCATCCATCCAACATCATCATAAGATGCTTTTTCGCTGATTCTGTCTAACCTTTGGTATCCTACTGCCCGAGACAATTTGATATCACTGTTCTCGGCTTTAGTATATAACTTTGTCTCTGTTTCATGTTCATTGTAAGCTGTATAATTTGTGTGATATTCTGTGGCTTGATAAAGAGACGAACGGTCTCGATAGATCATATGTGTGTACCTAGTGCAACTCATATGATTTATGAACGTCAGGCTAAAGCTGACAGATGTTCTGATTTTGTAAAAATCAGCGAACAGAAAAGTTAGAGCTGGCGTCTTAACTTTTTATAACTTCAGAAAACATTCTTACCAATTACTAAGTAGTTATGTTCAAAACCTTGACCGAATAATAAGAATTTATAACATGAATAACGAAAGTATTCAGAGATATATAAATAAGGTAGACATTTTGTATCACGAGATCACCACTGAAATTGTATTCAAAACATCGATGAAATAGATTCATAAACAACATGAGAAATGTATGTGCTAAATAACAATTTGTAATCTATCCATTGTGATAAACAAAATATTTTATCTGTTTCTAAAACCCTTCATGGTTGCTGAAACAAGTGTTAGTGTTCTTTGCCTTTACATGTTGCGCTACACGATTTTTTTCTTTATTAAAATCTTCAGTGAACATGATAATATGCTATCTGTTTTTAGGTCAATATTTGATTGTATTAGGGTTGGGTGGATAGTTGTGTGCGTGCGTGTGTGTGTAACATCGTACTTCTCATTAAAGCTATTTTGGGATATCTGTCACACTATTTTTTTTTGCTGTGTATTTTAGGCACGTTTTAAGCAATATATACATTTTTCTTCTTCAAATAATGTGATTCAAACATACAATCAATGGATGGTCGATACAATGATAGTTTCACATATTTATGATTTGTCCTCGGGTTTTAGAATCCTTCACGATTATGAAAATATTACCAATGTAATATGTTTTGCTAAAGCGTTCATCATTTTACAATTCTTTAAAAAAATGATTTTCGAGATTTTCTTTTTCTTTTTAAATTTTTTGTCTTTGTGTACATCATCACAGTGCGAAGGTTTCGAATTTAAACATGTATCAGGCACACGTAAAGACTAATCTTAAATGTTTTTGTTAAGATAAAATTATAACAACATTAGTAAATACCGATATCATAAACGTATATCTCGGCAGTAAATACCGGTAATATATAAGTATATCTCGGCAGTAAATACCGGTAATATATAAGAATATCTCGACAGTAAATACCGGTAATATATAAGTATATCTCGACAGTAAATACCGGTAATATATAAGTATATCTCGACAGTAAATACCGGTAATATATAAGTATATCTCGACAGTAAATACCGGTAATAAATAAGTACATCTCGACAGTAAATACCGGTAGTATATAAGTATATTTCAGCAGTAAATACCGGTAATATATAAGTACATCTCAACAGTAAATACCGGTAATATATAAGTATATCTCGGCAGTAAATACCGGTAATATATAAGTATATCTCGACAGTAAATACCGGTAATATATAAGTATATCTCGACAGTAAATACCGGTAATACATAAGTATATCTCGACAGTAAATACCGGTAATACATAAGTATATCTCGACAGTAAATACCGGTAATACATAAGTATATCTCGACAGTAAATACCGGTAATTTATAAGTATATCTCGACAGTAAATACCGGTAATACATAAGTATATCTCGACAGTAAATACCGGTAATATATAAGTATATCTCGACAGTAAATACCGGTAATACATAAGTATATCTCGACAGTAAATACCGGTAATTTATAAGTATATCTCGCCTGTATTTTGTATTGATTCATTACAATAATTCACAAATACAAATATTCTTTTTACATTTGTTACTGATTTATTTTATTAAGTTACCAGTACAAGAATTCTTTTTACATTTTGTATTGATTTATTACAATGATTCACCAGTACAAGAATTCTTTTTACATTTTGTATTGATTTATTACAATGATTCACCAGTACAAGAATTCTTTTTACATTTTGTATTGATTTATTACAATGATTCACCAGTACAAGAATTCTTTTTACATTTTGTATTGATTTATTACAATGATTCACCAGTACAAGAATTCTTTTTACATTTTGTATTGATTTATTACAATGATTCACCAGTACAAGAATTCTTTTTACATTTTGTATTGATTTATTACAATGATTCACCAGTACAAGAATTCTTTTTACATTTTGTATTGATTTATTACAATGATTCACCAGTACAAGAATTCTTTTTACATTTTGTATTGATTTATTACAATGATTCACCAGTACAAGAATTCTTTTTACATTTTGTATTGATTTATTACAATGATTCACCAGTACAAGAATTCTTTTTACATTTTGTATTGATTTATTACAATGATTCACCAGTACAAGAATTCTTTTTACATTTTGTATTGATTTATTACAATGATTCACCAGTACAAGAATTCTTTTTACATTTTGTATTGATTTATTACAATGATTCACCAGTACAAGAATTCTTTTTACATTTTGTATTGATTTATTACAATGATTCACCAGTACAAGAATTCTTTTTACATTTTGTATTGATTTATTACAATGATTCACCAGTACAAGAATTCTTTTTACATTTTGTATTGATTTATTACAATGATTCACCAGTACAAGAATTCTTTTTACATTTTGTATTGATTTATTACAATGATTCACCAGTACAAGAATTCTTTTTACATTTTGTATTGATTTATTACAATGATTCACCAGTACAAGAATTCTTTTTACATTTTGTATTGATTTATTACAATGATTCACCAGTACAAGAATTCTTTTTACATTTTGTATTGATTTATTACAATGATTCACCAGTACAAGAATTCTTTTTACATTTTGTATTGATTTATTACAATGATTCACCAGTACAAGAATTCTTTTTACATTTTGTATTGATTTATTACAATGATTCACCAGTACAAGAATTCTTTTTACATTTTGTATTGATTTATTACAATGATTCACCAGTACAAGAATTCTTTTTACATTTTGTATTGATTTATTACAATGATTCACCAGTACAAGAATTCTTTTTACATTTTGTATTGATTTATTACAATGATTCACCAGTACAAGAATTCTTTTTACATTTTGTATTGATTTATTACAATGATTCACCAGTACAAGAATTCTTTTTACATTTTGTATTGATTTATTACAATGATTCACCAGTACAAGAATTCTTTTTACATTTTGTATTGATTTATTACAATGATTCACCAGTACAAGAATTCTTTTTACATTTTGTATTGATTTATTACAATGATTCACCAGTACAAGAATTCTTTTTACATTTTGTATTGATTTATTACAATGATTCACCAGTACAAGAATTCTTTTTACATTTTGTATTGATTTATTACAATGATTCACCAGTACAAGAATTCTTTTTACATTTTGTATTGATTTATTACAATGATTCACCAGTACAAGCATTCTATTTACATTTTGGTTGTGATTTGTTACAATAATTCACCAGTACAAGGAATAGGTTCTCTCTATACATTGACAGCTATCATTGGTACAAATACATGTTTTATCTGTATTGACACAAGTGCATGCATAATAGGTGAAATTTAGTAAGGAGAAACAAAAGGGGAAAATGTATTTAGTTCACAAGCCTTGCTAACATTTAGAGTTGATTAATGTCTTATCTTGACAGTTAATACGGTAAGGTCAACCATTTCGGTCCCAAGATATATCAGCTTCTACACTTTTTCATATGCATTCCTTTGGCGAGATCATGAAATTGTTTACAAGAGACGATATATTACTTCAAATGGGGTGCTGAAATTTACAATTTGACAATTTACTTTTTCATCTCCACCGTTGCCGATGTAATACAACACACCTTCCCCGATGAAACGGGCCTCTTCTACACCATCGCTTTGGTGATACACTGCAGCTCCTTTTGTGACCTGGTAAATGTGACATACTGCAATTCCTGCTATGACAAGACCTACTCCTACTTCTGCTTCTACGCCGAGGTGATGTACTGCAACTCTTATGAAACGACCTACTCCTACTTCTAGACCGTCGCCATGGTGATCTACTGCAACTCCTATGAAACGACCTACTTCTACTTCTAGACAGTCGCCATGGTGATCTACTGCAGCTCCTTCGGTAACAAGAAGTACTCCTACTTCTAGACCGTCGCCATGGTGATATACTGCAGCTCCTTCGATAACAAGAAGTACTCCTACTTCTAGACCGTCGCCATGGTGATATACTGCAGCTCCTTCGGTAAGAAGTACTCCTACTTCTAGATCGTCGCCAAGGTGATATACTGCAGCTCCTTCGGTAACACGACCTACTCCTACTTCTAGACCATCGCCATGGTGATATACTGCAACTCCTATGATACGACCAACTCCTACTTCTAGACCGTCGCCATGGTGATCTACTGCAACTCCTTCGGTGACGCGAACTACTTCTACTTCTAGAACGTCGCAGAGGTGTTTTACTGCAGCTCCTTCGGTGATAATGGGATGCGTGGGTATCTTGTTTTCTATACCAATAATATTTACGCTTTCCACTGCCACGCCCTCTAATATGATTCCTTCGGAGAGGTGGACAACTGGTGCTGCGACTTCTCCTCCTTGGAGACTTACTAGTACTGCGACGCCTTGGCTGTGGTGACTTACTAGTACTGCGACGCCTTGGCTGTTGTGACTTACTAGTACTGCGACTCCTTGGCTGTGGTGACTTACTAGTACTGCGACTCCTTGGCTGTGGTGACTTACTAGTACTGCGACGCCTTGGCTGTGGTGACTTACTAGTACTGCGACGCCTTGGCTGTGGTGACTTACTAGTACTGCGACGCCTTGGCTGTGGAGACTGACTAGTACTGCGACGCCTTGGCTGTGGAGACTTACTAGTACTGCGACGCCTTGGCTGTGGTGACTTACAAGTACTGTGGCTCTTTTGAAGTGGTGATCCACAAGTACTGCAAGATGTTTCCGTGGACGATCCACTGGCAATGAGTTGCATTTCCGTTTTTGTATGATATGTCGTCAATGTGTGATAGCAGTATACTTATTTGTCTCCTCGTACTACAAAGCTTATGATAACAGAAATTTCTTTCCGTTGGTCATCTGTTCTTGTTGATCTCCTACAAAATAAATAAATAAATAAATAAATAACAGCAGTGCAAACTTGCTAACCGTTCCTCGTCTGATTTATTTTATATGAATCACATCACAATAAAGTAATAAGATGTATTAACATACAGGACGTGTATTCCAAAAATAACTTATTTTAGAAGAGGGGCTGGTGAGGCCCAGTTAATAGCGAAAAGTCATACGTTATCATAATCATTATTATCGTATCATTCCTTCGTAACAATAGACTTGTCCGTGGTTACATCGACACATCAATCCTACCAACAATGGTAAAGTATGATTTTTCCTCTCTTTTTAATTGTTAACATTAAGGATATGTACACGGTATGCCTACCTCGTCTCGGCAGGAATGTTTGGCGGTCTCTGTGCGGGTCTCTGTTTCAGACTCCTCGCATATCAAACCATCTCTTTCTATCAGTTAATGGTTACTCAATAGGGAAGATCTGACGTATTGATCAACATTTCACAATACCATCACATTTATTGTGATATAAATAGAAGATTTAAATGATAATCATGACAGTTTTCACAGTGAATAACCGAGTAACAACATCCCGATATGTTTTCAGATTAACACTTCAATCAGAACACCAATGATCACTACTCATAATCCCAAAAAGCTCGTCACATGGGAACATTGTAATCAATTGTTGTCTATGAAATTGAGAAATGAAATTGTATGAGACACTCAGCCAAAATTTATCAAACATTTGTCTTATTCCAGTATTAATATACATATTGATAACTGTAAAGCTATTGAATTATTCACATCTCTACATATTTATATGTTTGATACTAACTGGCGATTGTTTGCATTTTGTGATGAACCTGTGACCCAAACAATTAAATTATTATAATTCTTCCTTGTTTGATTGATATTTAATGAAGAATTAACACATGATTTGCAGGATAATGTTTTCTGAATTTTTTGTTTACACTACAGCCTTGGAAAAAACACTCAGTTGATGGTATTGTGACAAATATTATATACTATCAGTGTTGTTTGACAATGTCCGTTTGTACTTATAACTACAAAATGCAATTTATCATCAAACATCACAAAAAATAGTAAACAGATTAAACAGTTCTCACCTGTTACACGAAAGTTCCACACAATCAATAATGATTTAATACAATGAAATACTGATATGTTCTTCAGTAAATTCCTGTCGTTAATATATTTACTCTACCCAGCATTATTATATTGTAACGTGCATATTCTACACCATTCACTAACATAGATATACCCTGTCCGCTCGGACACCCGTATAAATACCTATACAAACGTATGAGGTACGTTTTACTACGTAAGCCTCCGTATGTAATCTATTCACACTTAAAAGTAGTCCCGTGCCTGACCGAGTGTAATGGGCGCATTAATACTTACTACTTTGAGTTGTGAAACAATCTGTTGCGTTGTGCAATATTGTCAATGTGATCGTATTGACAACGTTTCGGAACGTTGTAAAACGTTCATATATATCTGTTATATGTTGAACAATATTTCCAGTTTTTTTGAAAAGTGTATTTTTAGCTTTTTGTTTCGTTTTTGTATTGTTTTTGCTTGTTCATTCAGAGACTCTGGTTCATTCAACTTCAGTTTCAATATAACTTTATTCCCGTCTTCGAAGTTGGGTATTCCAAGAATTCAAGACAAAAGGGGTTATGTGAAGATGGGCCTTGATTTGTTATACATTCTGGAGTTGCACATTACTTTACATATGTTTTCTTCTAAACAGGATCAGGTGTAAAGTGGACCATATTTGGTCATAAATGAACTGGGTACAGTGTCTGATGGTCCATATTTTGTCACCTCAGAACTGGTTACAGTGTCTGATGGACCATATTTTGTCACTTCAGAACTGGGTAAGCCTACAGTGTCTGATGGACCATATTCTGTCACTTCAGAACTGGTTACAGTGCCTGATGGACCATATTTTGTCACTTCAGAACTGGGTACAGTGTCTGATGGACCATATTTTGTCACTTCAGAACTGGGTAAGCCTACAGTGTCTGATGGACCATATTCTGTCACTTCAGAACTGGTTACAGTGCCTGATGGACCATATTTTGTCACTTCAGAACTGGGTACAGTGTCTGATGGACCATATTTGGTCACTTCAGAACTGGTTACAGTGTCTGATGGACCATATTTTGTCACTTCAGAACTGGTTACAGTGCCTGATGGACCATATTTGGTCACTTCAGAACTGGTTACAGTGTCTGATGGACCATATTTTGTCACTTCAGAACTGGTAACAGTGACAGATGGACCATATTTGGTCACTTCAGAACTGGTTACAGTGTCTGATGGACCATATTTGGAAAGTTGTTTCTGTGGGAGGAAAAATTTTCATCATTGATAAATGAAAGGCCATGGCCCTTAACAGTCATCTGACGAATGAATGCACAAAACAGAGAATTCACCGATGGTGGTCTGACAAATCTGACGAGTTCAAATTATCTGAGACTTCCATTCAATCATTAAGGAAGAGTAGCATTTTGAAACAAAATATATTGTCTAACTTCTAGCTTTGGGGCCCCACCTCCCAAGTCCCCTGGGGTCGAATCAAATTTCTGAATGTAAGAAATGATTCTCCCCACTCCCAATTATGTTTCAGACCAAATTTAGTTGAAATCAATTCAAGCATTAAGAAAGAGTTGCATTTTTAAGCAAAATATTGTTTAACTTCTCCATTTGGGGCTCCGCCCCTAAGTCCTTATAGGGGTCGAATCAACTTTTATGAACTTAAGAAATGATTTACCACTCTTAATGATATTTCAGACCAAAGTAGCGTTTTGAAGCAAAGTTATATCTAATTTCCCCTTTTTGAACCCTTCCCCCAAAACTCTAAGGGACAAAACAAAATTTCTGAATTGTGCATGGCGCACGAAGACAGACAATGCATTATAGCAATAGGTCATCTTGACCATTTGTGTCAGATCACCTAAAAAGCCTGTGCATGTAAATTAAAAAAGATTGAAGTTTGTCAATTATCATGAAAATGGGAGTGACCTACAGTCATTAGTCTAGCAAGCTTTCCTTCATTTCAGTTCAGAGTAGTAGTTATCAACTGAGTGTATCCTTACTCATATTTTATCTTTGCAGAACTGGAGTTGTCAAGAAAGGTGCTTTAGTGCAGGTACTACAGTATTTTCTTCAGGGATTGCATAACTTATCTTGTCTACAAGACTTAACATGTTGGATATCACTTGCACATTTACTTGCCACCCATATATGGTAACATTGCAAGGGACAAACTGGACTTTTATGAACCAAATAAAATTATCACAGATCAGTCTCTCTTCAGATATATGTTGCTAATGTAAATAACAAAATTTGAAAATATGATGATTTATAAGCTCTAGCAACATCATAGGGGAGGTAGCCCGGGTTTTCAGATATTGTCGGTCAACCTTACCATATTTCAGCTCGCTCAAAGTTTTGGAATCTTCCTACCTTTCATCTAATAATAAATTTGAGAATTAACATTTGGAAGTGAAACTTATCAAAATTACATCTGAACTATGCATGCAAAATGTAAAATTGACCCATTAGTCTGTATTATTTGGTGATTTGAAACATTTCATTTTTTTACCAGTTTGTTACCAGACCTCAGACTGCTAGCTTGCTTGCAATTATTAATTTGATATTTACAAATAGTTTAAATATCAACAAGAAGTAAAATGAAAACAGAACATTAAAAAATGCAGATATAAAAATTTATTATTATTTTATTGGTAAGTGCATATATAACTTACTTATATCATTAAGTATACCTGTTGTAAACAAATGTGAACACTTTTATATAAACAGATAATAAAAATATTCCATACATTATAATTAATGTTAGATCGGAATGTCAATGAGGTGTAACCATACAAAATCTGTCCTTTAAAGTATATTTCCAATGTACATTATATAATGCAATTTTTGGTTAAGTGTGATTTTGTTTCCAGGTCTGGCACATCATATCCTAATGTTTCATATTACTAACACTCTCTGGAGCTGAAAGAAAATTATTTGGACTTAGAGAAAATATAATCTGAAAATTTAACATAAAGGTAACCAGAGATAAGCAATATAGCATGCTGCTTCATGTTTATCATGTTTCATTTTAATAACAGACAATGAATTGATACATAGAATATATGTATACTAGGCACTGCTACCATCATTCTATCCTTTTGTATAATACTTATCCAGATAATATTTTTTGTTGTAATATTTAAAATACTATCTCCATCATAAATTCTGGTAAAATGTAAAAATATGCAAATGTTTTACATAAAAATGAAGTGAGATCACATGTAACTGCTGCATATTAACAATATCTTTTATAATCAAGGTACTATATTTGTAACAGAAAATATCAAAACAATGAAAACATTTACCAAAATGATATTTGAATGTTGATAAAATAATAAATTTTATAAAACATTTCACCATAGAAACAAGAAAGTGAAGTTAATGTTGATATGGTTGTGTGAACACAAAATCAATAAAATCATCACCAGTTAATGACTTAGTGATAATAAAGAGTAAATATGCACCCTACTAATGGCAAGGTGTTCAGTCGTGAAGTACATTAACGTTCAAAACAAAACCCTAAAATCTTCAACTCTAATGTGTTAAATAAGCCGCACTGGTATATTTGCTGCATTCGTCTTGTGAGACAAATAAAAAGGTGTGGCTTATAATCCAGAAAATGGGGTAGTAAAAATATCTCCCGCAGGAATGGTAAATGAACGAAAAACAACATAAAACCTATATTTATATGAAATTCTTATATCGATCTCTGTTACTTAATCTACATTTTCAACACAAAAAAGAATTGTGTAAACTTTAATTCTATTTCAATTACCGGTAAGTTTTGCACTTAATTTCTATGAAAAAACTATTGCAGAATATCGCAAAAATTTAGAAACATGTGAATGTTGGAATATCTGAAACATTAAACCTCTGAAATCAAATTTAATTTAGATAATTTGTGAATCCTGTGTATCAGTATACAACATCATATAAGACTGCACTTTTCATTCATTCAAGACATCTTCAAGCTGTATTTATTTAGAACATGAACATAAAATTCATATAAGAATATTGTGTTTTTATCTTTAAGTCATTTAATAACAAACAAGAGTATCACTGAAACTGATGAATGTTACCTGAAATGGCTTTATGTCACAAAAAATTTTATCAAAGGGCAATAATTCTATAATTAAGTAGTTGTAGGCCATTCATTTGGTATACTACACATTCTCTCAGTATGACCAATATATAAACCAAGTTTCAATAACTCCTAAATTATGCAAAAGAGAGTTATGGTTCTTGTACTTTTAACTTCTCCTTATCCAGATCTATCTATGTATAAAATTTCATGATGATACCTCTTAGTTTTTGTTATATACTCTAGACAAAATTATGATGGATGGACAAAGCGGCAACTAAATGCTCATGGAGAGCATAAAAATATACAGTGGTGTTAAGATGTAATCAAGGTATTTACATAAAAAATATGTACTAATTAGCTGCTTACCTGTTTCAAATAAGGTGATAGAATGCTGGATAAGATTTAATAACAACCCATGAAGATATCAATTCATGAAAACACTTGTGAAAGCAGTTCTTAAACCCTAGACGAAGGGAGATAACTCCGTTATGACTGATGGAAATTTTTATGACATTACAGGTTTGTATTTTGAACACATGGACAAATAATAATTTTACGACAAATATACACAGGAATTAGATGTACAAATATTGCTAAAGGTTTCATACTTTAAACAATGAATACACAGGCGACTACATTTCTTACAAAATAATAAAACATCTGATATGTATATAAAATATAAAATCACAATTCTATTCTGTACATCTTTATCTATAAACATGTTATTTACAAATTAATACATCTACCAAAATAAAAAATTGTAAAAAGGGTATCAATCTCTTTAGAAAATACCTGATGTATAAAATTACAGGTATTAATACCATGCTAACACTTTATGTCACATCACTCGGAACACAAAAAGTATTGCTTATTTTTTTACACAATAATTTCAACAGAATAATGAAAACTTCATGAATAACAGAGGAAACCTGTTCCTTTATAGAAAATGGACTCCTGTAAATTTTTCATTGTTTTTCATTTAAAGCATTTTTCCAAATTTTTTTACAAGAGAAATCAGATATTGCCAAACAAATGTATGATAAATGAGACTATGCTCTTGACATTTGATATGTTTTAATCCCTTTCTAAACGGATCTTGGTCTAGTCCATGAATACAATGTAAAATCCAATCAAATTGCTTTATAACCATCTCAACAAACCTGTTTTTAACAAATTTCTAGAGTCATTAGCAACATACAGTCAACCCTAGTTTTTTTTCTTGTTTTTAACCATAAGCACAAAAACTTAAATCTGGAGACGCTTCAAAATAATGAACCACAGTGTCTCTAGGTATAACCTGTAAGTTAAATTTGCTTTAACATTCATCACATTCTTTTGCATAAAAGATATCTCGCATAATTTATTAAAAAAAACACCAAAATTTTTTCCTCATTCGTCAAACATAGACAACATCCATACACATATGATAAAAAAGTTTGGATAATACAAACATCCATGAATTATTATTATAATTAAAAAATACTACATACTTTAAAACTGTTTCCTTCACAACTTTTGCTAGTGTTGTTCTGAAATTATGGGCACAAAATCAACTGTATTTAAAGAAATGATTAAAATTTATAATACTTTTAACTTCTGTAAGAAAGTGATTTTTATTGGAAATTAACATGTATGAAATTAATGCTGCAATTAGTTTCTCAAGCTTCTCTTTGAATTCATTGAAACAATTCTTGTAGCACTTTTCAAATGTTGATATGTAGATGACGACGTCTTCGTCTTCGTCGTCGTCATCAACATCATCAACTGGTCTGTTTTTGCAGGAATATTGTGTCATCATAATGGGATGGTGCTTTATAGTTTTGTCATCAATACTGGCTGATATTTTCACATGAAAGTTGTGTCATCATAATTGGTTGGTTTGTTTTGGGACCTTGCCTCAAACAGGTCACGGACTAGAGTTGCCTTCTCTTTCTCCAGCTTTGATATTGTCTCTCCCTTTTGTCCTACTTCCTGATGATAAACAAGGTAAACCCATTTCATTACAACAATTTCACAGTACATGTAATACAATAATTTAACCCCTTTAAATAATCTTTCTAACACTAAGCAATTTCTTTTTCCTAATTAAATGGACTTCTCTACCAGATGTTTTAAGCTGAAAAAAGTCTAACTTCTTGGCTAACTGTGTAACATGACAAAGTATGACGCTTATTACATTCTGTATGTTGAAACTCTACCAGACGTTTAAGCTGAATAGTTTAACCTCCTAGGTACCTGTATCACATGACAAAGTATGGTGCTTGCTAATTGTGTTTGATGAGACTCTACCAGATGTTTCAGCTGAATAGTCTAACCTCACAGGTACCTGTATCACCTGACAAAGTATGGTGCTTGCTAATTGTGTTTGATGAGACTCTACCAGATGTTTCAGCTGAATAGTCTAACCTCACAGGTACCTGTATCACATGACAAAGTATGGTGCTTGCTAATTGTGTTTGATGAGATCCTAACCGACGTTTCAGCTGAATAGTCTAACCTCCCTGGTACCTGCATCACATGACAAAGTATGGTGCTTGCTAATTGTGTTTGATGAGATCCTAACAGACGTTTCAGATGAATAGTCTAACCTCACAGGTACCTGTATCACATGACAAAGTATAGTGCTTGCTAATTGTGTTTGATGAGATCCTAACAGACGTTTCAGATGAATAGTCTAACCTCACAGGTACCTGTATCACATGACAAAGTATGATGCTTGCTAATTGTGTTTGATGAGACACTAACAGACGTTTAAGCTGAATAGTCTAATCTCCTAGGTACCTGTATCACATGACAAAGTATGGAGCAAGCATGCTTATTCTGTATGATCAGACTCTATGCTCTCATTTCTCACATCTAGACAAGTGCTTTTCCCACTGTTCATAGGTGGTTTCCCATAACACCAGGCTAATAATATATGAAGGTGAAGGAGAAAAATAATCAATTACCTCTATATGAGGTAGAGTAGATATCATTATCTTTGGATAACGCGTTTTGAAGGTTAGCACTACTTTAAGCCTTGTGCTACATTAAAACTGGGTTTCATACATCTGCCATCTACATGACAAGGAGGTTAAATCTTCTATCAATCTAATGTTTTCACTTCAACAAGAAACCCATGGACGTGTTGACCTAACACAACATTTAAGTATGTAACATGGCTCAACAGATTCTCTCAGGCAATCTTACCTGAGTAAGCTGTCTGTTCTGGTCCTTCAGCATCTTGATGGTCTCCTCGGGGTACATGGTGCTGTTAGTGGAACGCACAGCAAGGTTCATGTGCAGTGGAAAACCCTGAATAAACCAAATAAAAAGGTGTGAGGCATATAAACAATAAACATAAGCAGTCAGTCTAGGGACCAATCACATTACCTTTAACTCCCAATCAGGAGAACTTATTACAGGACAATGATATAGGATGCTTGCCATCTCTTCTAAAACTACAATAGACTCTGGCTGGCTTGCTGGCTAGAAGGATTGTTTTATGAAATCATTAATAAAAGAACAAGGACTTCATACAATGATGAGAAAGTAATGCAATTTGTGTCATTGGCTTCAGTCACTTCATTTCCTCTTTTAAAAGTCCATCATTGGTTCTGTAGTGGTATGGGGGATGATGATTGGAAGGCCATGGATTTGAAATATCAAATTTTTAATGGATAAGGAAGAAAAACAAAAAATAAAAACAGCATTATCTCAGATAAAGAGAGAACCAAACACCTAGAACCAAGATATACAGATAACCTAGCACATAGAACTAAGTTGTAAAGACAACCTAGCACATAGAACTAAGTATATATAAATAACATAGCACCTAGAACTAAGATATAAAGACAACCTAGCATCTAGAACTAAGTATGTATAGATAACCTAGCACCTAGAACTAAGTATATATGGATAATCTAGAACTAAGATATAAAGACAACCTAGCATCTAGAACTAAGATATAAAGATAACCTAGCACCTAGAACTAAGTATATATAGATAACCTAGCACCTAGAACTAAGATATACAGACAACCTAGAACCTAGAACTAAGTACCGTATATATAGATAACCTAGCACCTAGAACTAAGTGTATATAGATAACCTAGCACCTAGAACTAAGATATAAAGACAACCTAGCACCTAGAACTAAGTATATATAGATAACCTAGCACCTAGAACTAAGTATATATAGATAACCTAGCACCTAGAACTAAGTATATATAGATAACCTAGCACCTAGAACTAAGTATATATAGATAACCTAGCACCTAGAACTAAGATATTAAAACAACCTAGTACCTAGAACTAAGTGTATATAGATAACCTAGCACCTAGAACTAAGATATAAAGACAACCTAGCACCTAGAACTAAGTATATATAGATAACCTAGCACCTAGAACTAAGACATAAAGGTAACCTAGCACCTAGAACTAAGTATATATAGATAACCTAGCACCTAGAACTAAGTATATATAGATAACCTAGCACCTAGAACTAAGTATATATAGATAACCTAGCACCTAGAACTAAGATATTAAAACAACCTAGCACCTAGAACTAAGATATAAAGACAACCTAGCACCTAGAACTAAGTATATATAAATAACTTAGCACCTAGAACTAAGATATAAAGACAACCTAGCACCTAGAACTAAGACATAAAGGTAACCTAGCACCTAAAACTAAGTATATATAGATAACCTAGCACCTAGAACTAAGATATAAAGACAACCTAGCACCTAGAACTAAGATATAAAGACAACCTAGCACCTAGAACTAAGATATAAAGACAACCTAGCACCTAGAACTAAGATATAAAGACAACCTAGCACCTAGAACTAAGTGTCTATAGATAACCTAGCACCTAGAACGAAGATATAAAGACAACCTTGCACCTAGAACTAAGTATATATAAATAACTTAGCACCTAGAACTAAGACATAAAGGTAACCTAGCACATAGAACTAAGATATAAAGATTACCTAGTGCCTAGAACTAAGGATATATAGATAACTTGCATCTTGAGCTCAGAAAAAAATAGAATCACACTACTTTAATATGGCAGTACAGATGTATTGATTTCTGGGTACAAGCATGGCAGTAATGACATGTGTATGTTCAGCCAACTGTTACAGTTGTTTGAAACTATTATTGATTTCAGTATTTATTTTTCCAGCTGTGAATAACTGATTGGTATCAGCATTTGAATACTTCCAGTGAACTTAGATACTTTCCTGTTCAGGTGTGACATCATCCTTTATTCATAAGCTCAGAGCTCATAGTGAAGATAAAATATTGTCATGCTTGGAGATGAAACAGTTTCTTACAATTCAACAAATCAATTTGTCAATTTGTTTTCATTTCATATTGTTTGATGCTACGATAACATCAATACTGTTAAGTTATTTTCCTGAATATAACATTTCATTCTTACCCAATGTATCAGTGATATTGTCAGAATAGAGACTTGTGCGTACTTCCAGAAATTTGATTATAAGTAAATGACACTGTTATGGAAGATTTGTTGACTAGCTAACCCACAACACACTAATGTGTTAAGATGTCACTCTTAAATCCATGTTTTATTCATGTTTTGTTTTATCTATTGGACACACTAAGATAAAATGATAATATTCTCATATAAAGTATGCTGCCATATTCCTCATCTGATCCAATAAATTATCACACATGGCAGTTTTCAAAGGCTGTAATCTAATTTTATGAAAACACAGATGTCATAAAAGTCCAGATTTGATGAAGCAACAAGCTGTACCTTTTCTGAACTCTCCATGAGAGTTTTCACCTGTTGGTTAACCTCTGAAATACGAGCCTGCTGGAAATTCATCCTCTCTTGATTTGCCTCCAAGTTATTATCCTGCATTAAAACAAGTTCAAATTTCAATAATACATTGAATTTTTTAGTTTGGGTTGTTTTTCTAGAATACATATTAGATAATTTCAGATAATCAAGTGTTTTTCATGCCTATATGAAGACACATATTTTCAAAATCGAGCAAATGGCCTAGTTGATTTTCATTCTAGATATATAAAGTGGAAATCATGAGACTAAAGGGCAGAATATGTGAGGTGTCAGTGAAATAAACACAATTTTCAAACAAATTTTTAATGTGGATTTAATAGTATAAAAAATTGACAGTTTAAATCTTTTATCCCTGCCTGTTAAGACAGAATGAAGGATTATATAGAACACCATAACACCAGTTATAAGCAGTGCCTTACATTATATGTGGCCTTGCCAACATATTTCTGCTTCTCATCAATCATCTGAACTTGTTTTTGGTACCACTCTCGTGCTTGGTCTACTACTTCTAGTCCTTGTATCAACATCTCCTTCTCTTTTTCTAACTGTCTCAGTCTCTTGATCTGAAGATAAAATTTATTACTTTTTTTATCTGAAGATCCATAACAAGCTACAGCTTTGTGTTAGGATAATAAGAGATACATGGTATATCTTAAGTCAACTATATACAGAACCAACACAGAATATCTATGAAGTAAAACCAGATTCTTTTTACCATCTATAGGAACATGTTTAACACCAGAAGACCATTAGTGGAAAGAATCAATATAATCATTTTATACCTTGAAAGTGTAACAAAAGATCTCATTGATTTGTGCTGATGTTTTAAAGCATCCTCAAGGTAAGGAAAGTTTCTATTCATTAGTGAATCAATAAGAAAACTTTTGTATTCATATAATTTTGTCAACATATATATGATTACCAAAAAAACTGCTTTAGAATACTAGAACATTAAATTGCCGGTCTACACTCTCACTGAACTGTAACCAATACCATACTGTTATAAAGCATGCATACCAGCCATATCAAAAGGATTTTCCATTTTGCCAACTTACATCATAAGAATTTACTATCAATTGTGAAAAAGATAACATGGCTAAAATCACATATTCTGGTTTTAACACAAATGGTGAAATGGTGCATTGGAAAACAAACTTGTTACATAGTATGACTGCCACTTCAAAAAGTCAGGTTGGCAAGGTTACTGTATTTTAACTGATCTTACTGCTGTGCTTATTCCTCTAACAAACTGCTATTTGAGAGACAAGTGAAATAACTATACGGTGCAAAATAGCATTCAATAAAACAACATACCATACTGTAATCTACCCCACTAGACAAAGTGTGTCGTCGTGCTGAGTTCTGTCTGCGCACTGTAGCCCCTGATTTCTGTGGGAGGGAGCTGGAACTTTTGGTCTTAGTATCTGAATCACTGCCATGAGACACCCGGCCAGCCTGCTCGATATTAGCTGTATAATGAGGAAAAAAAATTCACATGTTTGTACCTTTAAAGTTATGGAATAAATAAAGATAAAACTATAACTGTGACTTTAAGGTCAGTGAACAAACACCTTCCGACTAAGCAGAAGAAACATTGCCTGCTGCTGGACCTATATATATGACCTGTAATATGAACTTTTGCATTACTACCTCCTTCACAACTCTGCCTACAATAAAGTTGCTGAGGACCAAGAACTTCCCACTGTCCTACAATTTACACTTAAGACTTGTAAGAATCTGTATTGTATATTAGTATAAAATATCGTGCCCATGCTTGGGATCAAACAAGTGACTTGTCTGTTCTCTAAGTAAGCAAACATCCTCATGTCAAAGCTAGTAATCATATCACAGCCTATAGAACCAAATGATATTACAATAATACGGTTTTAGATCATTGATCTATCTATCACATTTCATTCAGTTTAAATAATGGATTCTTGCATGTTTCTGTGCAATCTCTGTTCCCCGTAGAATTGTCTTTGTTTGACACTTTGATGTTTCATGAGTGCACACCCAAACAAGAAATATTCTATTTATTATCATGATTCACAGTGCATTGAAGCCAGTCAGAATTTGTCACTCTGTCTATAAGCATGCTCTTTTATCATAACTCTGTCAGATAATACAGTTTTAAATCGAAGATCCAATTCTTCAAATAATTTAATTCAAGGTAAGTAAACACCAAACATAAATGTTCTAATGATAAATTCAGATTGACCTTATCCTAAATCAGGAGTTTTCTGCTGTTGTCATTCCATAAATTTAAAATGCACAGGACTAATACTTTCACTGTAAATGGTGTGATCTGGCCCCACTTGTATAAAACATCTCAACTTGAGATTTCCTCAAGTCGAGATTTTCCTCAGCTAATATCTCCTTGAAAATATCTTGTATGAAAATTCCTCAAGGAATTTCAGGACATCCTAGCTGATGACTTCCTCCTGTTCCTTGAGAAAATTTTATACAAGCCGTTTTTGAGGAGATATCAGCTGAGGAAAATCTCGACTTGAGGAAATCTCAAGTTGAGATGCTTTATACAAGTGGGGCCTGATTGGTCAAAAATGAATGAAAATACCAAGACTTATTTTCACTCAGGAAAAATATCACTTAAATTTCCACTGCAAAAAATATTTCACTTCAAAAAAGTAAATAATTGCAAAGTAACTTCTTAAATACATGGATACCTGTTGTTTTCATTAAAGATGATTTTATAAATCTCTCTTTATTTGCTTGGCAGAAATGAGTGAAAGGAAGACGAAAATTACCATGTTTCTACTAAACCATAAACAGCTTAGATACACACCAATACAACAGGTACATTTTGTCTGATCTTTACAACCCCTCCTCTAGTTTTGTAGGTTACAGTTTTTAGATATCAAATGAATGTCAACACAAAATGTCAATGCAACAAAGCCTTGTAAAATCCCATCGATCAGGTCCCTGAACTATTAAAGGACCTTTAAATAAGCCCTCTTTGGGTTATTTATATTGTTCTAGCCAGTCAAATCTTTAAATCTGAATCCCTTTCACTACCTGTAAGCATAAATCTGCCATCATTCACATTTCATTTGATATTTAAAAAAAAAATATAGTCCTTGTACTCTTTGTGTATCAATCTTCATGTTTTATGAAACTTTAAAGGAAAATGCAAATATTTTGTCCTTTATTTGTATCAAACATAAAAAGTTGGCAAGCTAAAGGAGAAGGAAGATATGGACAACTAAATTCTGTTTTACACAAATGTTTTTGAATTAATTTTTTTTTAAATTTGTAATAAACTTGACTGTCCTGAATGTGTTTTACAAAGTAACTCAAATAAAACACACACACATCATAGCTTTGTTCTTTAAATCCATTTTCCTTCTCTTGTCCCTCATGTTCCCCTCATGGTTCATTTCATTTTTTTCCTAACACAAGGATAAATCCTATGTGATCAAATCTTCTTAGTTTTTTTCACTGGAAACTCAACAGTGTTACCAGGTAAGCACTTTTCCTTCAATGTCTAGACTGAAGGTTTTACACAGTACAGGAAACTACTGTGAGCAACACAAGGTCAATCTAACTTTACACACAGTAATGAATCAATGTCTCAAAATAAATGTTGGTGAATATACAGAATCATTTAAAAAGTTAAATTGATCTCCATTTAAAACTGACAAAGCTTTGAATCTTTAATCATTGACAGAATAATGTTTCCAGATTTCTTTACAGTCACACAACACTCTACTGTTAGAGAATCGGTTGGCTAGTGTACTGAGAATTATTCAAGTGGTATCTCGTCAATTGTGTTTAATCCTAAACAAATTGCCCTGTGTAAACATGTCTGTAGAAAAACTGTTCAATGTTTTTGCTCAGTTCCCAATCCAACAGAAACTAACATAATCCGATGCTGTGAATACACTTTTGAGGTGAAAAGAAATACACTGTACTAATGGTTTCTCAAGATGTCAGCTATATGAACTGAAATTTACCGTTGTTTATAAAAATGAACATAGTCATGTGAACAGCCATAAATAAATCCTAACCGAAATCTGATGAGTATCACAAAACTAACTTAAAAATGCAAGTGTTTAAAAAAGTATAGCTGTATAGCTAATAGGATTTACTGTTAAATTTTGAAGAAGTGCACTTGAATGTCATTTTAACAAATCATGATCTCTCAGTATCAATTAAGATTTCACACATGGAAATTTCTGCTCATATTCTTTGGTAATTTTGGGTGCTTTTTATATTTACTTTAAATACAAAAACACTGAGAATTATATTGTAAATTTCATATTATTCGCATGATTTGATTCTCAATAGAAGCAAATTCTATATTAAATACTGAGAGAACTATAAATAACCAACAAATTCACAGGTAGTTAAAGGGAAAAACATTAATTTCATTACAGAATGTAGGTGTTTTCATACATTTACATTTCTATGATATCCAGATATCCAGATATCCATAGTTTCCAATGTCCAGCTTGACCACTAATTTAACAATGATAATATTACGTTTTGAAAAGGAGGTGGTTCATTTTGAAAGCATGAACGCATGATGCCAGGCAGAAATGACAGCAACAGCATTAACCTGTTTATGTGCATATTTCAGCGAAAACCAACTGCCATTGTTCATAGAAGGTGACACATATGATATATAAATATGCAATAAAAAAATAGGTGAAAAAACTTGTTTTACCATGATGTCGCTATTAACATAGATAATAGCATCCATTCCTAATCCAAGATACATTCATTCATAGGTATTTTACTGAACAAATAATCATTTTGGAGGCAATACCTGTATACCAGAATATGTTCAACATTTTAAACCCTTAGATTTAGTTTCTACTGAAATTTGATGTTTATTAGCCTTCAACAATTTACACTAGCAGGGCATATACCTTAAGATGTTTGAATTAATTTCAATGATAAGTTTGTTTTTAGATGTCATTAGCTGATCCTTACATCAACTTCACTACACTGAACATAACATATTAATCCTGCAGCAAGCCAAGCTTGCTAACATCTGACTTTTTACTAAGCAAGAGGGTGTGGGCATATTGTGGGACAATGAAATAGCACTGATTACATTTAACTATGTTAATGAGTGGTCTTATTACCAGGTATGGGCTTATCATTGAATAAATACACTTATCAAATAATTTAAGGAGGTGAGAACTATCTCTACAGACGTCCTTATTAACAGTGCTCTACACCTGGGCTAATTACGAGTAAAGGGTTATGTTACATTTAATTCACGTCTGTTTGTACCATTAATGCCCAATTTGAAGCAATGTGCAAGATTTTATCAGACAATTACGAGCTCTCAGTGCAATCATTGCATATCAAATTAACTGTTCGTGTAGCTTTAAGTGAAGATTTTCTTTTCTTTTGCAGATTGATCGGCAAGATCATTAAAGTCGCAAATCACTTTAATAACGACATTGGTATAAAATTCTCTAAGGTTGCAGATCTTGTCAGAAGGCAAATGCATGTAGCAGACAGAAAACAAATTGATAGAACATGTGCCAAAATATTCCAGCTTAAAACTTGGAGTTCAGGTGAAGTGTAGATTTGTATTCTCTTGAACAAATCAAGATATAAGTCGGTGAAATTTTACTATTAGGTGTAAGATGTCCTTGCTTGTCAGCTTTATTAACTACCTACACTGATGTAGAGATTTTTAGATACATTAAGAAGCATGAATATAAAAATAAACCATCTCTTGATGACAAACAGAAAATGCGGCCCTATCATAACTTACAAAGAATAAGGTATATGATAATGGTTTGTTTACTGATAAATTTTGCAATAGACTTTTTAAGATGCATTTTCATTTTTGTTTGCAACATTTTTACCTTTCAACCAAATATGATCATGAATTCATATAAATTATTTCATCATAGATACATTACATGACATCATCTAATAAGAATGATTTATTTTCATTATATAATTATATTTTTTTAACAACTTTTTAAAATCTGCTGAAATCATATCTAAACCCTGTCAGATGATTTACAGTACTTGCTTTGATTGGTATCTCAATAAATCAAATATTTAGTATTAGAGTGTGATCAAAGACTTCATTAATTTCCCAACAAAAAGCAACCCTACATGGCTTTCAATGCCAACATACATGTTCCAGCATCATTTCATAGGCCAAACATAGCATGGAGATCGTGTAAAACATAAACATATCAGTTTTCTGGAATACCGTTACTGAATTCTTATTGCTAAGATACTTAAACCAGTCTAATACAGGATAATAGTACCACTAGTTTGATAAACAAGAGCTTTTTAAAAAACTCCAACCCTGATTATAGATTACCTGATAAGTATTTCTGGTAAAAACAGGCCAGAGATGACTAGGTACAACCTAGATCTGATATTGTATATACCGAGCGGGTATACCTAATTACAGTACTGGCCAAGTTCAGTACCAAAAAGAACTTCTAGTATTATAAATGTGTTATTATTACCTGATGCTATATATCACATATCTGCTTTCCTGATATCATATACCTATGTGATCATATTTAGAGTTCTGTCCAAATGGTGGCTATAAGAAAGGAAATCAGAAAGGACACTCTGTGTGATACATGTTTGGCACGGAGTTAAGACATTGACACAGCATATCAGGGTGATTTCAGAGGTGACAATCTGAGAGTGACACTAATCAAGCCCTTTATTTACCTTACCCTGACATAGGTAATAACATACTGGGATCCTTTCAAAACTGACCAGACTGGTTTTACACTTACATAACAGCAAGGTTGGTATTTCCCGGCCTCTAACTTATACACACTATAAATGGATTATGGTACCTCATCTACCACTTATTTGTACAATAACCAGCCAATAAATGTAAAAGGTCTAGCTTTCACCCTTCAACCCTGATTCACAACTTGACAAAACCTTCCTAACAAAAAAAGGTGAATAAGATCTTTAAATCTTGTTCTGTAAGGCTTTTTTAATCTAATATTTTTTTCTTGATTGGTTGAAGAATTTTCTTTTACTGGAGACTTTTCATTACTGGATTTTCCTGGAATAAGCTCACAGAAAAATACACCTGTATTTCATAAAATACCTGTAAACATGTATGAATTACATCAAGATATCAACCTTCAGGTTTAATCAATTATGACTAAACCTTGACTTTTGATTCAATTCACTGAGCTTCATTATAAGGATTTCAACAGGATTTCCTTGAAACTTTTTTACCATTCAGAGAAGTTATTGCAAACAAGGAGCTGCAAACTGTGGCATTATCCCTGCATTTAGTTGTTGGTGTAAAACCGAAATATGATATAATATTCACCAATACCAAAATAAAACAATCTGTGATGTCACTCAATTATGTACCGCTATTATCACCTGAAGATAAAATACAGCGAAGGTGTTAGTGCAAAATATATGTCTTTTTTGTCAATTATCAATCAAATTTCCTAACATCTCAACTTCAACATTTTATATCTATAATATAAATATATATATCTTGACATAGGTCCTGTGTTTGACCTTTGATATTCGAATAGAGCTTGGTATTGTCCATGAACAAATTCATGCATAAGTCTTTAAGATCTAAAGTAATACAAGAAGTCACCAGAAATAAAAAATTTTTTAAGGTAACAGAAAAAACATTAAAATGTCCTCAATAAAAATGAAACGCATCTAGGGCACTAACCATATATATACAGAAGGTTTTGTTGAGTTGAGTGGAATAGTTTTGAAGTTGCAGTCTGGAAAGGAAACTTAACACTAAGTTTGTGTTTTTTTGGCATTTCCATGGTAACACAAAAATACAAAAAATGATATATAGCAAAAGACACAACTAGGGCACTAACTTAATATATACAGCAAGTTTTGTGAAGTTGAATTGAACAGTTTTGAAGTTATAGCCCCGAAAATCCCTCGGACGGACAGAGCCCAAATTATTATCTCCCGCAAAAAGTGTTTCGCAAAGAATAAAAAGAACAATAGATCAACCAGAAATGAAGTACCTATTTAATTGTGCTTTTAAAGTCAATGAATGATGTCATCTGTAAATCTCAGACTGAAAGATAGCAAAATATACATGCAAACCAATTCTGATTGAAATCTATTCATATTAAGCAAAGCTATTGCATGGCAAAACACCCCATTTGATATCCCCCTTTTTGAGTTTTTCTTTGCAGTTTCACAATATTACCACAAAATTTCTGCTCAATGGCACTAGTGGATGTGGAAAACATAATTTAGTATTTTTTTTCAGGATGTGCTATGGCAGCCATATCAGATTTCAAACATACATGACAACACTTGGCTAGGACCATCTAAAGATCATTTAAGGCGAACTTGAGGTGAATTACATTGGTGGAAACTTTTGAACTTTACAAAAAAAGGTGTTGTTTTGGATATACATGAAAGTGCATTTTACAAAAAGGGTTTTTTGCTTGGAAAAACCATGGACAAAATATGATATAGCAGGTCTTTCTGGCCCTAATAGGTTAAATTTTGCCCACAGTCATTTCATAATGAGAGCATGCTATCCCATTCCATTGGGAAATGACCAAATACTTTGTACATACATTCTTTAAAGTTTGGTACATATCACATTGAATCTGAAGTCACTGAATGATCTTCCATTTTCTTTACTTTTGAAGCATGATAAATTGTTACTTGCCTGAAGGTTAAATGTTGAAAAATTAGGTTTTAAGAATATACTTATCACATTTTACATTCTCATCATATAAATCAGATAACAATATGGATTTCTGGGGACTCTTTCATGAATCATTTTTTCTTGATATCCTCTACCATTATGTTCTATCTACCTCTCATCATAGTACACATGCATTCAACCATAGATCAAGAGATCCTATCAATGTTCCTTCCTGCAGAAAATTTCACTAATTTCTTAGTCACGCTTTACAATTGAAAGTAACAACTTCAATTTTATTCCACAATAACTGGTTATGAAGTACTATGACTATCATAAAACTGATGAAATTTCATAAAAGTGAAGAATACAATGCTCTGAAATGACACAGATGGATCAAAGGCATTAACCATCACTTGGGAGGGTATCAAGTGTCCAGTGGGTAATTTAGGAACAGTTATAATAGGCACACCTAAGAGGCAGTGTTATCTGGCCAGGTAAACTATTTACCTGTGTGTACCTTGACAGTTAGATGATATGGTCTAGTAGTCGACAATAATCAGATGTTGTGTAGACGACACTTGAGATCTTCATGGTCCATACCAGTAGTACATTACCATATAAAACATTTCAGGTGCTGTCCAATTTTATTGCCCTTATCTATGTATAGTAATAGTGGTTTCTCCTCTTTCTTAATTTAACATTTTGAATCTATATAGGGCAAGAATGTAGAAGGAAATACCTTTCTGCAAACGTTAAACATTCAAAATTTTATCAAGTGTTTGAAAACTCTTATCTGTTATCCAACTCACTGTTCACATGATGACCTCATCTTTAACGAACAGTTCAAAAGTTTGATTTGAAAATTATATAGGGCAAGACTGTTAACACAGGATGTAGAATAGAAAACTTTATCTTTTAGGTCTAGGTATAACTAGATATCAACCAAATCATAGATAATTTAATATACATTAACCACAGATTTATTAATAACTATAAACACATTAAATTTTATAACAAGTCATGGTGTCAGGTCCTTCCTTTGAAAGCAAAGAAATAAAATCAAGAATGTTTGATCTAGCAAAAACTGATTTCTCCTGAAGTTTTTCTTTCTTTTTGTTATAATTAATTCCTTTATAAAGAATTACAAGCTTAATGGCATAAAGTCATTGTAACAACTATGCCCTGTGGGTTTAAAAAGTTAATCTATCAGTGGAACCGAGTGAGATTGCCTTAGGTTGAATACCTATACAGATTAGACAGTGGCGACAATTACCTGTACAATCTAATCCAAATAAAACAACAGGTTATTATTTAGGAACAGATAAACATCAAATGTTTTTATCTAGTTTTCAGAACCTGTCACAGATAACTATATCAGCTGACAGGTATGGGATATCTAATATATTTATCATTTATTCTGGATTTTATATACTTTGTATGAGATCATATTTGACATCAAGAAGCTACTATTATTTTGAATCTGGCAAAAAACATTTTGGAAAATAGTGTTGACGACATAAACTTCACTGACATTGTAAATTAACACACTGATATAACAGTTTCAGTTTTTTTTTTTTTAAATATTGAAACCAAGACTGTAAAGCAGTTGATATCATGCTTGTGAACAGTACATCATATCCTGTACAACAACAATGAGGATGCAGCTGCCATAACTTTGGAGGCATGCAGTCATGAAAAAATGTACATATAAAAATAGGACACAGTATACCTTTTAAACAGTTATGTACTACTAATGTCTCCAAGTACATATAACTTAAACAGAAACATATTGTCATGGTTGTATAATTAATACCATTTGTACAATGGAACTCCTTTGAACCTACTATGCATGGGACATGAATATTTGGTCGGTTTAAGAAGGGTTCGGTTTGTAGAAATGAAGCATGCTGACCAGTCCACATCCTGATATAATTAAAATGATTCTGTTCTGTATGTTACATTAACCATTCCATTTAAAGAACAATCAGAAAAAGCTTTAGAATTAAAGAATAAAAATATTTTGGGAAAGTAGAAAAAACATAAATACCTGTATACTCTATGTGGCTTTGGTCAAAAAGAAATCAGTTTATTACCCATTAAGATTAAGATGCAAAATTGCATCAGTACTTAATTCACTTTTCCTGTAACCAATTCTCACATCGGTGAAACAATGAATTTGTTTGATATGGCTTCAATTTTTTAATAGAGATAACATGCATTACAATTATTATAATCCTCCAAACCTGGGATGAAGTCTACCCATGGTAGGTGTACATATTGGGGGTAAAGCTTACAATTGTCACCACAGCTGTTGATTTCATGGTAAGCAGGTCGGAACTTGGGTCCTGATCATTTGTGTAAGGCCTGTTTTCAGAAGTAATTTTCAGTATATTTCAATTACTTGGGACACAAATTTGGTTTGGTACTCAGAATTGAGAGGAATCGGTCTTGGGAAGGTTTTTTTTACTACAATAAAGAGGATGTTACTCCATACATGACCACAACCTTTGGTTTCAAGAGGTGATCGGATTTGAGAAGGATCGGCTTAGGGAAGCTGCACTGTATAATATTAATTACACTCTTGTTTATTTATTCAAATACATCAACTTATGTTTTGTAGTTCCTTACCGTAATTTCCTGAGGCCGATGCTTGATTATTTTGAGGCAACAGGTGTAAATCACAATTTGCTTGATGGAAATGTTCTTTTTTTGTAACTGGTACGGGTCCAGGTTCATTTACTCTCCGCTGCCAATTCTTCAATTCACTTATAATACGCTTATTACTTTTGTCCCTTGGAGGAACTTGAGGTGGGTTTGCTCCATTTGTATTTTGATTATCTTTTACAGAGTCGGAAGATTTAGAAATTGGTGAAACTGGAACATCATGATGAGAATTATGTGATGAAACCTTTTCTCTTGGATGGTATTTTTCTTGATGATCCATAATATCTTTTCTAATATTGCTTCGATCATGTAATGCATTCAGTACATTATTTGGTTTCACAGCTGCAGTATTGATTGTGTGGTATCTATTTTGGTGTAAAGCACTATGACTAGATCTCTTTGGAGGCTGAGGAACATCACTTCGTGTCTGGCTTGTTCTCCTGATAACATTTTCGGATCTATTTTCCTTTTCTTGTATGTGCTTACCATCACTGTTATCGCCTTGTCTTCTGGGATCAAACTTTACGTGGTTATTATGCGTACGATGTTCAGGCTTTTGATGGTGATCAATTGTTCTGGAGTCTCTACTTGTTAACATGGCAAGTTTCAAACCGGCGACGAATCTGTCAAAACTAAGGTAACCGTTTTGAGGAGTTACTTTTCGTAAAGCTTCGATAACCCCGCTTGGTAGCCCCTGCACCCCTTCCTCGTGCCATCTGCTTTCGATGTCGACAAATCTGACATAACCACACCGCTGTTCGTCCAAAATGTCGAAAAGGACACGAAGTGATTTCACAAATTGTTTCGGTAACCCTTCAATGCTATTCCATGCTGTTACACTTGTCATATCGACTTTCGGATGTTTCTTACTCCAACTACCTGACATCGACACATCTCTCGCACCGACTGACTGACAGCGTCTAGTAGGTCTACTTTTGTTTTGATTGGATATGTGCCTCTGAGGTCGGTACAATTTACAAACTGACTTGATGGAACCGAAATTAAGATATTGTTGGAAAGATAAAAAAAACCTGTGTATTTATTACTATTTTAGTATTCCATTAAATTAATTTATGATTCTTACAGGGAAATCTTGATAGAAAAAGTTATGGAATATATTGATAGAACATATTTTGTTTTATCCAATTTACATCATTTGCTAGTGTGAAAAATATATATATCCTACTACTCTCAAACAGATACAATCATAACATTATCGATGTTTTCATGTTTACAAAGTTAATTGCATATACAATTAAATGCATACTTTATGATTGATAATAATATAATTGTCTTTGAAATTATAGCCATAGTAATGATCCCATTATAGTGAATCTACGTTTAGAGATTAGGTGAGATATCAGGAGCCATTTTGATTCTGGACGCGACGAAAGGTAATGTAATCACCACCGTGTGAAATTGTTTTTTTTTTCCCTCTCGACAATTTGCATGGGGTTGCGTACAATATATTAGCTATTTTGTTTTGTTTTCTTGCAGAAAAAAGTCATGTTTAGCAAGAGTAGCACTACGTTACTCGGGCGATTATCGTTACACGCAAAACAATCTAGCTTTCCGACTCGGTAATCAAACCGGTTTTATAAATGGTGCACGCTAAAAAAATCAGTATGGCCTATTTTTCTTCCGCATTCCCGAGGCACGTTAGCACTAAGGCACTTTTGGATACACTAAGTCTATGTACTGCACATAGCGTAAACATATATTTCCTTATGTTATTGTCGGCTCATGGAAGTTTAAAAAAAATATATCTCCTCTAAAATAAAAAATTAGTTTTGTTATTCACATTTGTTATTCTGTGATAGAAACGCATCCATCATGGATGCGGTGAATTCAACAGTGATTCCTGCAACGTACCCAGATTCATGGGTTCATTTAAAACCAGAACAAGTTTATTTGCCTCCCTGGTCTTTTCAGACCTTACAGTTGGCCTTTTCTAAACCATTCTAGTGTTTTGCCTTTTCTCCTCTTTAGCTTAGAAATTCAGTTGGGCTGCCATTACAAGTTATACTAATAACAGCCTTGTACTGTGAAGTGCTACCCAAAACAACCTGTTACAGTTCAGTTTAGTTATTTCATTTACTGAATATTTTTCTACTAACTTGCATATTTGTCACAGCATTTAAAGGTTGTAAACCAAGTATTTCCACCCATTTTCCTTGACAACTTTAATTTCCAGCAAATTTACAATGACTGTCATCATGCACAATCTCGCAAGAATTAGCTTTTTGATAGGTTTAGAACCACAAGTCTAATAATAATAAATAAGACCAGATGTTTTTGGAAGAAGAATGTTTAGTTCTGGTAAGCATTGTTTTACCACAGTTATCTGTCTTGTACTGACAAAAACTCTCTTTATGCTCATTTTTCACAGCTGCATATAAAATAATGTTGAATTGAATGTGATACTGCATGGTATTGCTTGCTCAAAGTCTGTTATTAATAATTAAGACATCAGCCTTGGTCAACCGAAGCCTGACATAGTCTGAAAAGTCATGAATGCCTTACTTTTTCAATCTTATGATTAGTGCTTGAATGGTTAGTAAAAATGCCAACTGGATAATCAGCTCTTACTAAATGAATCTTAATTGGTTAATTTTGCTGTACATGTCACTGATAGTGGTCATCAGATAATTGAAATGCCATCATCAACACTTAGGAGGTACCAACCAAACCAAGACCCATGTTCTGGCTCTAATTTTGGGGAGCACAGCAACAGCATGGTAGCATGGTATAGATGTTCATTCACTGTCAAGAAAATGGCTGTTGTATTGGACACTGAAGCATGTATGTATATTGCTACAATGTTGTAGCTTTGACAGCACTAAAATTTTATATACAATAAGCACAAAATTTGCCTTTATCTGGTTTTCACCAACAGGTAATAGAGTAGGCCTTAGGCCTATTGTGAAAGAAGGACATGAAGACAGGTAATAGGTTCAGGTTACCAAAGGAAATGTCACATAACGTTTGTCGGAAGTTATGATTCTTGATATTGGAGGTTTGAAGTGGAAACGGATACAGATCTAAAAGGAAGTAGTCCCAGTACCAGATTAATAGATTGTCAAGCTTCTTCACAGATCCTGCCAAACACAGTATTTGGAAAATTTGCGCAGCATTACCTGGCAAAAGTTCTTGTCTGATCCTATATTCACAAAAGCTCAAAGGAAAGTCTTAAAAATATCTGATGAAATTTGATTGACTGGAGTTATTTTCACTATTTGACAAGATAACCTATTTTCTATTAGATGTTAGTATTAATGTCATCATGTTGTATTTCTTCTGTGAAATCCTACTCCTCCTGTAGGAATGAATGGATATTGCCAACTTTGGTCTGAAGCAGTCTTGTTTTTTTATAATCAGGGGGTCTCAATGCCCAGGGGTAGCAAGGAAAGGACCCATGATATGGGAAATAGAGCAAATTCTTTAAAACCCTTTTTAAGTAGGAAGGGCAAGATTTTGTCTCACTTTGTCTGAAGCATGGTTGGCTGATCCCTCGGGTCAGTAGGAGGATTTGGGCCAAATATGAAAGTAAATATGTTCTGTTATGTATGCTTGGATATTTAGAATTCTTTTTCCTTTAGTTTTGATCAAGCAATTAGCCAAGCAAAGTCCAGTTAGTGATACAGGTCCTATGGGCCTCTTGTTTAGTAAGACCGGTTTTGCATCCATATTGGTCTGCTAAAGTTGTGTATGTATTATTAAAAAAGAATGACAGAAGAGAAGTTATTGCAAATTTGCTTCGTGAAAAATCATATGTACAGTGTAGTTACAGTGCCCACTTTGTTATTTATCTCTGATATAATCCCCATAATATTGATCTGTAGCATGAATACAGCATCAAAAGTGAATGACAAATTTCAAAATGAGACAGTCTTGTTTGTTAAGCATTCTGCATTGACAACAGCAATAAAGACTGCAAACATATTTCTGTTGTTTTATTTGACACATTGTTTTCTTACATCTTAAACTTTATTCAGTATACTTATTTTATAAGTCCCCAGATACCTAACATCTATATGTAGGTCAAGTTAAAATCAAGCATAATGAAGTGGTACTTTAGTTGCATTATTAATAAGGCAAGCGACATTAAATTACATTGGTCACATATTTCTATAAATCATGAATTCACACCTGTGTCATATTACCTTAAAATATAAAAAAAAAAGCAGTTCTTTACAATGTACAAATTCTCTTTACAACAAATAAACATGATGGTTGATTGATCAACTTTGCTTTACAAGAACACAGGCAGTTTCTTCATTTCTATGGCAATTGTTTTACTGTTTGAAATCTTGCTGTCTACCATACGAACTTCCTATCCTTATCCTCTGATTATCTTAACACCATTTGGAAATGCTTCACTTTCTAGCTAATGTGGTAACTCTTTGTTTTGCTGCTGCTTCATATGGAACATCATTGTGTACAATCACTACTTTTTCAATACATGTATAGTTACATTTTATTGCTGGTTGGCAATTAAACAAAAGGTAGAATGTGCTTTAGCATTTAATGTGAAGGCATTTAGATTTAAGTACTGTACATGCATTTGTTTATCCTTATAGATGTAAATATATATTCATAGTCAAATATTGGGGAGGCAGTATATATATATCTGATTTATACTTCTGTAAAACTATCCCACATAAGTGCCTACATGGTCATTTATTTTCTGCCTACAAAACTGTGAACATGCCCATATAGGACATTGACACACATAGAAGGTGAATCTATTGTGGAAAGGAATTAATTTTTTGATAAAAGCTTACATAATCATTTACTCTTCTGGTTACTGAAGGAAAATTGTGTTAATAGAAACTTTATAACTATCAATTCAGGAAAAATACTGATACAGATGTATATATTATGAGTAAGCAGGAGGTCGTCTTTATATGATGTGTCTTGTAGATGTACTTGGACATTCAAACAAAACAATATCATGCATTCTGTTAATTAATGTCAGGTAAAAGTTAATGAGACACTTAATAAATCTTTCAGAAAAAAATATAAATTACTTTAGAGGGAAAAACAAAATGTTTCTATTATTAAATAATTTTGGTATAATGAATTCTGCTGTTATGTATTCAGTAGGTGTTGATTTGTTACATGTTTTTAAGTAAGGCACCTGTCTCATGTGTAACATTGTATAATATATGTTACAGGCCAGTGTACAATGTATTCAGTATAAGTTGTCCAATGCAGTCATTTCTATTTTACCGAGCTTGCGCAGTGCTGTATATATGGGACATTCATTGTATACAAGTGTTTGCAATATGGAAGGAAGTAACCTTTGAACATAGGTTTAAAGTGAAGACCATCAATGAATTTTTTCTATTTGGCTGATTTATTTTGGGAAAATAACCAAATGCGTGCAATAAATTTACCTATTGCATTACCTGCAATGCGATTTGGAATATGTATACCAACCCAAGTACTTCTTCCACCTGGATTTACTATGGGGACTAACAAAATTGTGGTGCATACTTTTTTTCCTTTGATGATGGTTTTTGTGACATTGTGTTACATTATTTTATTTCAAATAAGTTGTTTTATAAGTATTCTTGTTTTTTTTCTCACAGACACTCAACGTTCAGATGAATCGGAATCAAAGAAATCATTCCAACTTTCGTGGGAATCGTGGTGGCGACAGGGATGGAGGGATTGATTTTAATAGACAAGGGCTGCTTGGAGAACCACCAGGGATAGGGGGAATGAATAGTCCTCCAATGACAGGTGGACTAGGCCTATTGGGGAGTGCTCCAGGACAGGGAATGCCAGCAGGGAATCTCTCTGGGCCATTAGGAGCAGGAATGAACCAAAATATGTTTGGTGGAATGGGAGGAATGGGGCCACAGATGGGGTTGGGTCAAGGAGGAATGGGACACCAACACCAGGGAAGAGGAGGAATGGGACAGACACACAACCAAACTGACATGAACCGTGGCGGCCAAGGCGGTATGAACAATGGGGGAGGTAACCAGGGTATGATGGGTATGCAGCAACAGATGGCAGCAGCAGCAATGAGGGACTCACAGCTCCAACTGGTCAGTAATCTCATACAGCAACAAGGAGGCATGTCCTCATCATTGATGGGTAGTCCTAACCAGGGTGGAGTTATGTCTGGGGGCCATGGCATGGGAAGTGGAGCTGGCTTGATGGGCATGGGTGGTATAGGCATCAACGAGATAGATCGGAACTCAGAACGAAGAAACAGTGGTGGAAACAGTATCCCATCACTGTTTGACATCAACACCAAAAAGACAGGACTGCTTGGAAAAAGAGGAAACAACAACAGTAGAGATCGTGAGAGTCGCTTTTCTAACAACCAGAATAGTAACAAACGGATGAGACAGAACAGTCAGGGGGTAAGTTACATTTATACTAACTGCTCTATTTACAACAGGAGCATACACAGAACTTGTAGAAGTTTTTTCATCATACCAAACAGCTAGATTTACATAAATATGTTATATTACACTCAAACACTGTTCACATCGTAAAAAGTGAAGGGGTATATATTATAAACTTTAACTACATTGTACACTGCAAACTGTTGTTGCTAAATCTGAAGTGTACAGAGAAAGAATAAGAAATCTTGTGTTAAAATTCTTTGCACGTTTCTGATTTAAAGGATATATGAAGTTGTGGTAATTGGCATTTAATAGCTGTCTTGTCATTTTACATATATTAGGTAATAGAGCTGGTGATTGCATAAATCATCATGATTCAAGAAAAAATTGATTAAAATATTTCTGTTGTTAACTGGTTTATGATAAGGAGTGTTTTCATAAATATTCCAATTCACCTACAGATATTAGTTTGTACAGTTGTAGTAATTGAAGAAGACAGTGACATTGAAATGGTGCTATATTTTAATAAAAAGACACTTGGATGATACAATATACTTTTCATCACCGTTATATTCAACTATTAAAAAGACTGAACTTTCTATGATAATGACATCCTTCAGAATAATATCTGCATGAAAATCATATCACATTACAAGAAATTTTCCTGCAAATTTTGGACTGGGGTCCTATGCATTGGGAAGTTTATATGTGGTAAAATGTGAAATTTGATTACAAATAATCAGCACTTCGTTTTGAGTTTTTAAATAAGTTTAAGATATTTTCTGGTTCAAAATTAGATGAGGCATAAAACTTCAATTAATTTTTAGGTGTCTTTGGAAGATCCTGTTATGGGAAAAAATCTGAAGAAAAAAAATAGTGTAATCTTCATTTCATTGAAAATCTAGATTTTCAAGTTTTGATAGCTAAATTCTCTGGGAGAAGTTATTTAAATTTTCTCTTCCATCACTTTTAATATTGCATTTACCAAATACATATACTTCAAGTTGTTTAAACATCATGATTGCAAGTTTGCAAGTAAAGGGAATATTAACTCTTTTTTTCTTCTGAAAACATCAAAACAGCAACTGAAATATATTTGGTACGTGTACCAGCTGAACTGCATGATTTTACTGTTTAAGATGTGGATTCTTTCATTTATATCTCTTGGCATCATTGTAACTTTGTATTGAAGTCAAATCTACTGTGTATAATTTACTACAGTTATACATGTAGGCCTGGTACTTTTGGAGATTACATTCAACAGAACATCATGTCAATCATATCAGAAAATATGCACACTATCATATTTGGAAGGAATTACACTTGTCAAAAATTTAGTGGCCAGCATGAAGTCGTTGGTGTCTCAGCTATCAGAGGATTATGGTCATGGGATGTTTTATATCTTAAGACAAAGGAATAACAGATCGTTTCCTATTTCATGTTTGAGGTACCTATTATCTTTCAGAAATTTAAAGGTTTTTCATCTACATTTAATTCATTAGCTCAGTTAAAAACAATGCACACATGCTGGGGAAGTTTCATTTCTGCTTTGATGTAAGTAGTATCTTCAAAGCATTTATTTTTAGATTGCATGAAACATTCCCAAGTTGCTGTGTTTATTTCTTCTCTGATATAGCTCTGTGCAAACTGTCATATTCTGGTCAGCTTTGGATTATATTTTATTTACAGAGAAGATCTCTTTTTGAAGGACAACAGATGTTTACAACAGTTCATCCATAAAACTGACACCTCGGGAGACATTTTAAAACATCCTCTGATTGGTGTTTTATGTGCTTTGTTAAATCATTATTGATTACTCATTAACTGCTGTTTTTCAACAGTTTAATTCTTAATCGAAATTGAATTTTATCTGATGACAAATGTGTGTAATTAATTTGTGTCTGTCCTACATTCTAGCTATCACCATTATGAATAGAGAACAAAGTGCACATATTCGTTCCCAGTACACCACTGTCAAATGATTTCTATTTACCTCCCAGCAGTTTAAAATCTTCAGTACTGAACTGTCTGTTGATGATTAAATTTCATTCCCTAACAGATTTTCTCCCTTTGGTCCTGGTCCCTATTTCCCAACCTTCTGTGTATCTTTGTTCAGATCATTTTCCCAGTAAATGGGTATTTTTTGATGTCATGGTGAATCCAGAATTTATTTCGTGTACTTCATAGATGTGCTGTGTTTTCACATTGTTTGTCTGTAATATTTTGTTCATTTACTCATTCATCTGTCGTTTACTCACTCATTTGTTCATTCATCATTCACTCATCTGTCATTAATTCCAATCACTCATTGTGTATATCAGCTATTGTTCATGCCTGTGACAGTTCAATTGATCGGATCCTAAACTTTGGGCCCCCTGTCTTGTCCCCCTTTCAGCTATCCCCTCGAGGCTATCACCAAAACCGTCAAGGTCATCAATATCGTCAGAGTCGCTGGAGCGATCGCAGCCCCACCCGAGCTGGCGGTGTCCGCCCGAGAGAGCGAGATTTCCGACGTCCGTCAAGCAGGGACTCAAAATACTCTGACCGTTCCCCGAACTCCCGCACTTCGCGGGACAGGCGGGAATCAGGTACTGTAGTTCTGCTGCTTTTCTCATTTTGCAGTTGCCTCCCCTTTACTGCTTACACATCTTTGTACTTACTATACATCTTCATACATTTGTTATACAGTGTAGCTTTGTCTTTGTTTTTGTTTTTATTCTTGAAAATATGAAAGCTGTACATCAAACCCTTTGTCATCATTCAGCTATACATTTAGTACAGATTTTATTTCAGAAATCTGATGTTTTGTGGAATACCCATTTCTGGAATAACAAATTTGAGTGAGGTAGTATAAAACATAATATGTTCTAAAGAGGTCTTTTAAGGTCATACTTTACAGAGATGTTTTCATTGTATTTCACCTCTTTGATGCATTTGTCATTAAGAGAGTGTGTTCACTACAGCAATCCCAAGGTTTCCATAAGTGATCTGTATTATCATAATGTTTATACAGGGTGCACCTGTTCTAATTAACTGGATCAAAGCACATTTCACCATCTAATGCCATGCTGGTGCCGGCTGTTTATTTTCTTTATAATATATACACACTAATACAAATCTGTTGGTCCACTATATCATTGAATCACAGGATTGGATGAGGGGCCTTGCTTGAAAAAATGTTCCACTTTACTCCCGAGTATTTCTGATATTCTGTCTTTGTCCTTAAGGAAAGTTGTATTTGCAGGTCTTTCAATACCTTTGAAAAAAGATCAACATGCAGCAGTATGAGAACATCCTCAGTTAAAACAACATCTTCTAAAAGTCTGGTATCCATATGAAATGTCAGAATGGTTTGGATCTTACCTGCTCTGGATTACATTACACTACTTTACTGTAAGGTGCAATCATTGTCCATCAGAAATATGCTTCCATTACACATATCTGTAAATACATTGATTGATGCAGCACAATGTTTGAAATGTTTGAGTTTGTTTAGAGGTGTTTAATGCTCTTGTCTGGAATTTTAACAAATCTTCTTTTCTAATAAAACCTTAATTTATTTGTCTAGTCCATGCAATAGAAAACATGTTATATTCTATTAAATAAAGGATTCTTGGAGTTTCTTTTCAATTGAAGCTATAGCTGTTTGTGGTGTAGATGTGTATATTTCACTTGTCATTTCCCTTCTCTGTCTTCAGTCTACTCTTCTGTTTGTCTCTTTATTCTCTTAAATCTGTATTTCCAAAATGTGCATACACTGGTGGTTGGCTGCATCGAACTGGATACTACTTTCGTATCAAGTTTATGTACATTTCAAAATTTCTTTCAGAAATACAATTGCAATATATTGGTTTGTATTGACTCAAGAGATGTATGTATATACACTTACATATTTATTATGCCAGCATCTGCAGCAAATGTACCCGGTAGACTGTATATGGTCAAGCATTTCATTATACTTGCTTTCCTTAAAGATTTTCACATCTGATATTGCAAATACGTCATATTTAAATTGTGAATTAGATTTAAATGTACTAAAAGATATTCATTTTGTCATTTTTAAAAAAAGTGCTGTCATTATTTTTAGTCATACCGCCATACCTTTACAGTATCTGATACTTTTAGGTCTCCATGTATTGGTTAGACCTACATGATAGCCCCAGTACCTACTAGTTCTACATGATAGACCCAGTACCTACTAGTTCTACATGATAGACCCAGTACCTACTAGTTCTACATGATAGACCCAGTACCTACTAGTTCTGCATGATAGCTCCAGTACCTACTAGTTCTACATGATAGACCCAGTACCTACTAGTTCTACATGATAGGCCCAGTACCTACTAGTTCTACATGATAGACTCAGTACCAACTATTCCTACATGATAGACCCAGTTCCTACTAGTCCTACAAGATAAACTCAGTACCTACTAGTTCTACATGATAGCTCCAATACCTACTAGTTCTACATGATAGCTCCAGTACCTACTAGTTCTACATGATAGACCCAGTACCTACTAGTTCTACATGATAGACCCAGTACCTACTAGTTCTACATGATAGCTCCAGTACCTACTAGTTCTACATGATAGACCCAGTACCTACTAATTCTACATGATAGGCCCAGTACCTACTAGTTCTACATGATAGACTCAGTACCAACTATTCCTACATGATAGACCCAGTTCCTACTAGTCCTACAAGATAAACTCAGTACCTACTAGTTCTACATGATAGCCCCAGTACCTACTAGTTCTACATGATAGACCCAGTACCTACTAGTTCTACATGATAGACCCAGTACCTACTAGTCCTACATGATAGACCCAGTTCCTACTAGTTCTACATGATAGACCCAGTACCTACTAGTTCTACATTATAGCTCCAGCACCTACTAGTTCTACATGATAGCTCCAGCACCTACTAGTTCTACATGCTAGACCCAGTACCTACTAGTTCTACATGATAGCTCTAGTACCTACTAGTCCTACATGATAGACCCAGTACCTACTAGTTCTACATGATAGACCCAGTACCTTCTAGTTCTACATGATAGACCCAGTACCTACTAGTCCTACATGATAGCTCCAGCACCTACTAGTTCTACATGATAGACCCAGTACCTACTAGTTCTACATGATAGCTCCAGTACCTACTAGTTCTACATGATAGACCCAGTACCTACTAGTCCTACATGATAGCCCCAGTACCTACTAGTTCTACATGATAGCCCCAGTACCTACTAGTCCTACATGATGGATCTACTTGTCCACTTTTGCATGAAATGATCTCGGTATTTCCTTTTTCTTTAATGACAAAGTAACAATGTTTTATTTAGAAATTATCCTAAAAATACCTTCAGATACTAGAGTACAACCCTCCTCCACAACATCCTAATATCTCTCTATTCTCTATAATAAGACCCAGGAAATGGCAGTCTTAATACAGATCCCTGTTCTTTCCGTGCATGTACCAGAGAGTTATAGTAAAACATGTTTATAAACGAACCTTTGGGGACCAAGAGAATCAGTTTGTTATATACATAATTCATTATACACTTAACCAATAACCAATTTAGGAAAAATATTGCAGGATGTTATCAGAAAATATGGAAAAACAAAAATTAACAGAAGACAAAATTTTATTTGTTCAATTAACAGCTGTACTTTTCCCAACATACAGAACGACACATAGTTTTACAAGTATGTCTCATTTGAAAAGTTGCAACCATGGCCAGCCATTAATAAATTCAAAGATATTCTCTCCAAGTCGTTTTTTGAATTTATCAAATTTTACCAATAAAATATACAGAGATAACAAAAATGTTTTATTTCTTTTTTTCTACAAACCATTGATATAGAGTCTTATCAACAGTTTCGTATGAAGCACTCCGTTGTTTTTTCCTGCTTGGCAATGAATTTAGGGCACAGTACTTTTTCAGAATTTCAGTGCGATTTTTCAAAATTGTACTGAGTGTTGATGCCAGGATTTCAAACTTGCCTGCAATTTCCCATTGTAGTGGTCCTATTGTCAACTTTGTTGATAATTTAATACTTAGTTTCAAGAGTAATAGTCTTTCTCTTATGAGGTGGTGATGACAAAGCCATTTCAAAACTAACAACAACTTAAATAGTACTGGCTGTTTTATTATTCGATAAAAAGAGTTCAGTAACTCATAAAATCTAAAATGCAATAGAACACCTGAGGTATGTAAAACTACAATTCACTATATTTATAATTACCTTTCCTGCGTTTGGCACTTATTTGGACATGGGTATCAAAATTTGTGTACATGCATGTAAGATCTGCACCATTATTGGAAGGTCACTGTGGCATGACGACTTCCGAGGGCCACTTCATGATATAGTCACTAATTAGCATTGATATTTACCCGAGAGGATTTAGAAGATGCCTTGTAAGAGACCTTTATTTTCTTTGTGAAATCCATTATATTTGAAATTTACATACAAATGATAAGGCACTTTTCGGGAATGAACAAGGCTACGTTATAGCAATAAATTTGCTATAAGTGTGTTCGTTATAAACATGTTTTATTGTAAGTTTATTCATGCTCTTTCAACTTGTAGATCAATCATGCATGGAGGAATGTTCTATACCAATTTCTCTTTTGGAAAAAAATCTGCACAAGGAATGTAGGTTAAGAAAAAACGACTTCAAACTTTACTTGTAGAGTTTAATAAAATAAACAAGTATTTCAACCTGTAATCATTGGTTGTAAACACACAACTGGTCAGCATTCCCACTGGTCAGTCCTATTGGTGCCATGAACTAAGGAAGGTTGCACATACTTTCTAAGTATATATGAGAAGAATCTGTCACATTGCTAGACAGAGTGTGCCTAGTTTGGTATACTAAAGTAAGATAACAGCTGAAATATGCACAGTATCATTACTGTATTGTGTGACTTTTATAGGATCATCGAGAAAGGAGGAGTCTGAGGAGTATGATCCCGCTCAGCCAACAGAAGAGGATGACGAGCTTGAAGTTCCAGTATGTAATACTATATTTACTTTAGATGAGATATCCTTTTGAAAAGTATTAGTACTAGACCTATTTCTGGTAATTTCCTCTCAGAACTAGTAACTTCATGGCAGTGTTAAAAGGTTTTTCTTACATAATTGGCCTGTTAACATACCCTAGATAGTTTTTCACTGTCACAGTGAAATGACTGTCTGTTTGATTTTGTCCTCCACACTTTCCCTTGAAAACTTATCAAAATGAAAGTCTCTGAATCATGTGATGAAAACTATCTTAGATTTGTTTCATTTCATGAGGAAATATAAAAACTGATCTCAAAGTTTTAATTTTTTCTTTCCAAGGCCCACAAAAATAAAATCTTCTAAGACTCCTTTCATAAAATCTTGTATCAAATAAAAAAACTTATTCAAGAGCCTATATTATTTACTATATAGGAAACTGCATCAACAGCTTGTCTTAGTTTAGTACACTTAATTGCTAACCTCTGATTTATATATAATTGGCCTGGCTATTGAGATTTTAGAACATTTGTATATAGATATAATGGTATTATACTCTTGTGATGTTAATTTGTTTTCCTTTTGTACTGTAATTTGATGACACCAGTATGTGTTGTATAGCCACTGGAGAGTGACCCAGAGGATGTCCTGATACCTGAGGTAACCGTTCAGCTGGACCATGATGACAAACAGTCCAAAGAGGAAGATGTGGATGAATCTATGGAAGAGGACACCAAGTCTCCAGGATTAGCAGAGGGTGGTGACTCCAGCCTTACTATCACACTCAGCGGGTCGGGACGCTCTGTAAATGATACCAACACAGAGGTATTTAATGCAAACAAAAAAAACTAAAAGTTTAGTGAATATTTTTGCTTAAAATTTATGTACAATTGAATGGAGGCAAACAATGGTAACTTAAACATAATTTGACGTTGTAGAAGACTGATGATACCACTCCAACGAAAAAATCCAGTTACTACTGCCATGCCTGTGGAGTAGAATGTCGTACAGAGGAGGTATGTACCGAAATTGTATGGCCAATTACATGTTACTAAAATTTGACCAAATGTGCTTTGAAAACGGTGCGACTGTTTACTGTAATTTATAATATCAGATTGCATATTTTAAATAATTAAGCAAATAAAAGATAAAGAAATCACTGTCCTCAATGGAAAAACAAAGCAAACTACTTTTAATTTGGCTTCATATGATTTCATTAAAAAAAACCTGAGTCAGTTTGGCATATCAGAAAGTTTTAGTCAATGACATGAGATATGAAGGTATTTTCATGGTACTGCCTGTAACCAGGAAGTAGGCCTGTCAGTTTCTTATGGTAGAAATCTCATCTAAGAGAAAGAAAATAGGTAAAGAATTAAGGAAATTTTCTTTTTTCATAGCATTTTGGATTAGAAAGATTTGCATGTGCATCCAATGTCGCAATTTCAAAAATATATTTTTTGGATTCAAAGAAGAGATCTGTCAAGCAAGATTCAGAAGTATTACAGCAGTAATCTGGATACCTTTCTTACTGTTTATGATAATGATTTTCATCTTCATTATTATTGTCTTGTTTTGAAATTTTCATATGCTGTTTTGATAATTTTTTTGTGTACATCATATCATCATGAATTCATATATGTGATTTGATGACAGAATCAATAAACAACCAATTCTGTTGCTTGATCTATCGATGCTCTGAATTCTTCTACCTGGTAAACCAAACCACTGCTCTTAAAAGTGAATGAAAAGAATTAAGACCTGGTGAAATTGATCACAATATGTATGACAGCTTTCAGTGCTCTGCAAGTGTTCATCAGTGATCTTTTGTATTACAGGGGTTTGCCAAACATATGAATGGAAAGAAGCACAAGGTGAGGATGGAAAGTCTACTTACTTTGCATCAGGAGAAGTCAAAGCAGTTTGAGGCACGAATCAAAGCTGAGGAGCACCTGCGAAAGATTGAGGGGAAGCCTAGGTAGGAAGCCATAGATAAGTCTTTCTCTATAGAAATATGGTATCCAGCTGGAATTGTCAAAAGTCTCATGCTAAACAAAAAATGTGCAGATAACTGTTTACATCATAATGTAATTAATAGCATGATAATGACATTTAAATATTCCTGTTATCGTGTAATGTTTGTCTTGTTCTAGGAATGAAAGACGCAGCAGTGGTGGAGATGGTGGCCGGTATCAGCACTTTTCTGGGCGATACTCCAGAGAGGTGAGGGTGGTAATATTACTCGATTGCATAGTGAAGGTTTCAGGAGATTGAAAAGTATATGATTTCTGTTTTGTAAATTATTGTTGTAAAATCACCTGTCTTATATTCTTGGCGATATTCTTCGTTAAAACTTAGCTACTCACTAATAGAATTGTTGTGTAGTTTCCAGGACTTTTTTAGTTGCCAAATTAAGTCATAGAAATTTGATTTAAATACATTTTTAAAGTAACAAAATTTGCTATTAAAACAAAGGTATACAATGGATTCTTTTTATGGTGGAATCTAAGGTTTCAGTGCATTTGCTGTTTTCCAAAGTATGCTGTTGTGATACTAAATGACCAATATTTGATTTTCATTTATTGTAGGTGACAGTGATAATGTTAGTCACTAAAGCATAAACATTCTACTAGTTGTTTAATATAAGCAGGTTTCAATAGACAATGCCAAATGAAAATCAAATATTTTCTATGGTAAAGAATTGTTATTGTGCCAGAATCTTTAGGTAGAGCTAAGGGTAGTAAGTAGAACCAGTCTGCTGCAATTGGCTGTCATTTTATCCTGAAGATAAATTACGTACAGTTGAAACTCATCTCGAAACCCCTTGAGTCTAAATTCTGTTTGAGTTGAAATAATTTCCAAGTCCTGATTCTTTGCCTTTCATTATCATTACAATTTTAGTGTGGATGCTTCGAATTCCATTTAGTCAAAATTTAGTTTGAGTTCAGTGATTTTTCGGTCCCTTCAAAAGCAAGGGAAAAGTCATTTGTTGTCTCGAAATTAATTTTTGTGAAAACATCAGCATTACTTCTAAAGAAATCAGTCCATACATACACCGTCAATGTGTGTTACATATGACTAGTTACAGTGTATCAGTCCATCGTACATACAACACTTGGTCTCTGATAATGAATTACTAGTTTAATTATCCAATTAAAAGTTGGCTTCTTAATGTCACCATCCTGTAATAGTGACTTCCTTGTAACTTAAACAAGTAGCATGTTTACACAAGACATGACAACAGCTATCATGGTTGCATGTATCTTTAGGAATGATAAAAACAAAACGATAAAACCAGTACAAACTTTGTGACAAATCTGATCCCCATAATTTCCAAGAGAAACTGGTTTTGGTGTGTGTTTACTAAAGGACTGTGATCAGGTACTTTACTAGATTTAGTGCTCAGACAATGCAGTGCTGGAAGAATTTTTTCATTGATACAATCTATATATGTACATGATTTGTTATGTCTTGACAAGTGCTTGTATACTGTAATCTATAACTGGTAAAAACTTTCCAGTGCTGCCTTTTTCATTTTTATTCATTCATAGTAAAGTCATGTCAATATGATCTATAGCTTCATAGATGATTTCTAGTAGCCTAACAGATTTTTAGGGAGTGTACACGTGTGTGGGTCAAATGAAGTGAGTACAAATGAAGTTAAATTGTGTTGTTATTACTTTTTTTGTTATTTGGATGAGTAAACAATGAAAAGTAAAAAAGCAGAAATATATTTTTTTCTGTTTATATACTGCCATTTCAAATAACAGATTGAAATAATCTATTTTTTAGCACGATGTACTGTGCTCTCATAGCCCTACTTTGTTCAGCCATTATCAACATGAGGACAATAATATCATCAACCTTAATTTGGCACTTTGTTTGAGTCAAAATATTTTGCACTGTCCCTTAAATTTCGAGATAACGAGTTTCAACTGTATATGAAAGTAGAGCGAACAGGTAGGGGAAGAAAAATGTGGAAAGGGATGCCATGTTATTTTAATGTAAGATTTGCCATTCATTTAATCATGTTTTTCTGTTATTTCTATGGAGTTGTTTATAATGGGAAAACAGTTGTATCCATGGTGATTTAAATTGGGAAATTTACTGGAGATCAGAAGCTATGGTATTATTTCATTCGGGGCTTTCTCAAAATGACAAAACCCCATGGATCTCGATGTGCCTGTTGAGTTCATTTATACTTTTATATTATCTAAACTTATTCTCAAGCTATAACTGTATCTTAAGTGTTTTCTTCTCATATTTCATCTTGAAGCTCTATGCTTTCAAATTTTGATTTCCATTTATGAAATACACTATATTTGTATACTGTTATATTACTGTTTCCTGCTTTTCATGTATTTCCACCTTTGAAATCTTTCCTTCTGAATTGTCTTTTCCATTTAATACTACATACTTCATATACTGTAATTCAAGTATTTCTATACATGCCAGCAGTATTTTTCTACTTCAACTTTTCTCTCTGTCTCTGAAGAACTTTGGTAACACTCCACCTTCTGGTCACTTCCGACACCCAGGACCCACCCACATGACCCATTCAGGTCAACGACGTGGCAACCAAGGAAGCTCGGGTGGGGCGTGGTTAAGAAAGGTACCACCAAAGATGTCTTACTGCTGCATCTTTTATCTGCTTATTGCTGCAACACTTACTCACAGCTTGATTTGCTTTTGCTCTGTTTCTGTTTTGTTTTTGGCCATGACAACTTTTAACATCTAGCTGGAGACTAGGGTTTACTACTTGTTTTACTATTTGTTTATCACAATGGTTATTTCAACACAATTTTTTCGGATTTTTTTTATTTATTCTGACATTGCGTATAATTGTTATCATAGATTGTTTATTTGGTGTCTGCCAACAGTTTATAGGTTAAAGGTTGGTTCAATTTTCCAATCTTCTTACACATTGTCAGAACAATTTTGTGAATTGTTATGAAATATTTGAGTATTCTGTATTTAACTTACAAAATTTTGTTGAATGTCTTTAAGTAGATTTCTTTAGACTTGTTTGATTGTTCACTTCTAGTAGTAGTTGTTTAACCAGGCATTGATGTTTTCTTTCTAAAGTTTGTGAAGTTTTGATCTAACACCATTACATTGTTACTTACCGGTATTCTTCATGAGTGGAGCCAATAACTGATATCAGAATATTGTTTGACCTATGTAATTATAAACATGACTCCTGTATATACAGTCATCACCAGTTACTCCACAAGTTTTGATTTATAACATTCTAACTGGTAATCTGATCATTTCTTTGGTTGTGATAAGAAGTGGCCTGGATATTAGTCTTAAGTGGATTTTTCTGAAATTCTTTGTTGTGTGATCTGTATAAGACTACTAGCACACATCACCTCTGTATCTGTTTGTCACAGGAATAGGAACAACAACGTATCATCTTTGACATTATAATAGTGATTCAGGTACTGTTGGTATAAAGCTGTATGATAATTAGGGTTTGTATTACTTGTGTTAAGGTATATTTATTTGTGAAACATAGTTCTATTGTTTGCACCCAAGTTATTGATGGATGTATACTTGGTCTTATGTATCACCTGACTGGACGATTCTTGTGTTTTGACAGACGTCTCGATTTGACTTATGGCCCAGATGTAATGTTTGTAGCCAAATGTTCAAGTCCCCTGAGAAATTTATCAGACATCTCAAAACACCACATCACTTGGAGGTGCGTTAGATTTTCTCAGACTTTTTAATGATCTTAACCCTGATACAGGTTTTATATTAGTCATCCAAAAACTATTAGCAAAGAATCAGCTTTATACTTTGAAACTTTATTGTTTGGTGGAATAGTCAATGTTTGTTCTTTATTTTGAAAAACTTTCTCTTAGGGAATGTACCAGGTAGAGTAGGAAGCCATGTTCTTAAAATGTATTAACCTGATGTGTTTGCCAGTGTGTATAATACCTTTTAGTGAAATAAAGTTTTTTCTGTGGTGGGTATATCATTCACTTGACTCTAAATGCATTTGACAATATGTGGCATGGCTACTGTTCCCATATTCATACATGTACTCTATCTTATAAGAATATGAGACAGCCACCCAGTTTTGTTATTCTCTGTACTCAAATATATTGGGTCGTAGATTCAAGCTTTTTCTGTTTGATTCACTCTAATTTGAAACTCCACGCTTTCCCTTGGTGATGGATTTTAAAACAAACTTACGGATGTATATATATAATTAGAAAAAGATATTGATGAATTACGTGAGCATCAGAACATCTGGTTATTAGATTGCTCACCAGGCAGCCTTATAGATACACGATACTTGTTCTTTGATACTAACAAGGCACAATATTTTTCTCCAGGAACACATTTTCTTTTCCCTATGTATATAGAAACCTCGGACATCTGATAACTGATATACAGTTGCAAAAATACAACCTCCACTCTTTTATTTTGTTAGAATCTTCGTGATCGTGCAAGGAAGTCAAGTCGAGAAGAAGATGAGGACAACGGTTTCCCAGATTTTGGTGACATGGTCACTGTTGATACTATTGGATTTGAAGATGATTATTTATCACAGGTACAAGATTTGTGTAATTGTTTTCATTTGAATAACTTCAGGAGCTTATAGTAAGGAAATGTTATATCATATAATCTATGGTGTCATTGAAATGTAAATGATCCTGTAACAATTTGAAATAAGAAAACAAAATCAGAGGGCAGAATGTATTCATTTCTAAATACAAATCGATACCAATCATAGTTTTACATCCTGGTGTCTGAATATAATTCTCAGAAAAATTATCTCTATATATAGTCTGTATGATTTTTAGAGGGCGACATTTTCTGTATGCATATGAGAGGTTATATAAATATTTTCCTTTACAGGATGATGAACAGGATGTGTCGGACCGAAACCAGGCAGAGTGCTCAGATAAGGATGACAAATTGGATATTGCTCATACAAAACAAGTCTATGACCCAGAGACAGCTGTTGGTATGTAAAGTGATTTCTTCCCCTCCAGTTGTGACACATGCTTGAGATCGAGATATTGCTTAAACATACCTGTGATTGAGGTTATGCATTTGGAAAAAGAAATTGTAAATGGTACGAAAAACTTATGGAAAGTGGAGTAAAAACAATTATTTCTTGAAAATTCAGTTACCACTGTTTTGGAAATAGTCATATCCTACACTTACAAGGTTATGTTTGTAGTTTTGCAGTTGTGAAGTTTAATGTTAAATGCAGGTTATATTCAAAAAGAAAATGTTCAGATTTGTGTGATCGGAAGATATTAGGTATAATAGATAATACCTATTACAATTTACTGAACTGCTTACAGGTCAGAAGTACATAATACCAGTCTCTGGATTCTTCTGTAAACTCTGTCATCGATTCTATAACAGTGAATCAGCTGCCAAAATTAGCCATTGCCAATCAGAGTCACACTTTAACAATTACCAGGTAACTATTGTTTGGCAAGATCCCAGTTACATCTGTGTGCTAGATAAATGAAAATCACAATACATTTCATGTCCACTTTAACAGTTTCCGATAACTAAGATAAGATTCCATGTACATGTATGTTGGATAAAGGAAAATTAAAATACCCATTGTGACACTTACAACAGTTTTCTGGTAACTATATATACAAGTCCAGATGTACAGAAAACAAATATATTATGCAGTGTCGCTATAAAACAGTTTCCAGCTCATCTTTGTCATTGCTATTCCAGATTCCCAATTTACAAATATTTCATGATTTGAACAAAGGAAAAAAAGAGATATAGTGATAAAAAATGCATACTGCACAGAACACTGACATGAAAATTAGGTGTAACTGATCACAACATTGATGTATATGATCGATCATTCCCTTGATTAGAATTATCTGAGATCTGTTATAATGGATGAGATAAAGATGATGAAAATTAGATGAAATTGCACTGTAACAAATCATATGTACACTTACACTTTGGATATTTTTTCTCTGCAGAAAGCTGTGTTAAATAAAGCACTCAATAAAAACAGGAAAATTCTAACAAAGGATCAGGCAAAACAAAAATCAAAGGAATCTGGAGAAAATCCTGATGACCCATCAGAAAACCAAGAAAGCAGCCAAGCAGAATGTAGACAGGAAACGAATGATACACAAGATAGTTGTAAAGAGGAATTGGGCACAGCAAAAACCACACAGAGTAATGGTGATATCAATACTGATGTGATAGGCCAGTCATGTGGCTCTGTTATGAAGACAGAAGCCAACAATACATCAGAAATAGATCCGGATACAGAGGTAAAATTATTGGAGCATTCAAGTGAAGCAGGAAGTCCTGATGTGCCAGATGAAGATGGCTTACTTGAGGAGGAAATGGAGGAGGGAGTGGAAGAGGAAATTGAGACAGAGGAGCCAAAATCAGAACCTGTCATTACTAAAGTCGATCAAAAAGGAAGGGGTGGAGGTCGGGGTCGGACAAGGCGAGGCAGACGAGGAAAAAACTGATGGTCGGGGCAGTTTTAAATTCGATTGCAAATTAAGAATTTTGAAAGTCAGATATCCAGATATATGTGTAAGAATCTAAAACTAAAATGTGGATGTGATCTGTTGAAAGACCATAAGAAAGTTTTTGATACTATCATTATTACATCTGGGTTTATGATCGATTAAATCTTTCATTGGGGGATTACTTTTTGATATTAAGTACTGTAACTTTTTGTTATGGTGTTTGTTAAGACTTACGGCAGCCATGATAATGACCTGGAGTGATAGGGTATCACTGATGTGGTAAGAATTCCTTTGGTATAATGTATTTATATTATACTACATATTTCTGTAATGTAGCAGTACATTATATATATATGATTAATCCCAAGATAAAATTGCTACTGAACACTCAATGTTACAAGGTTGGTGTATGGAAATCTGATGGTGATTGGTTGCACAAAATATTTTATAAATGATTTTCACTGTGAAATGGAGGAAAATATCCATGGTTTGTAATATGTTTTGACCACCAGGTTTTGTTAAAGTCTTGATATTTTTGGTACTTTTAACTGTAACTTGCCCTGTAAATTTACTTGTAGTTGTTGTGGAAACTTTTCTGGAGAATTATCTTTTTTTAAGTGTAATTTTCTTTAAAATTTTCATTGAATTGTAGATGGCACAAGTACTTGTTCTGTGTATTAAAAAATAAATGATCAGAATAATGGACCAAAGGTGCCATAGATTGGAGAAAGCTTCATTACAAAAATACTGCCAATTTACATATCCATAAATGTGTAATTTTTTGTTCTTGCCATTTTGAAAATATTGCCACCATTATATATGTTGTATAATTTTGATATCTCAGCCAATAAACAATGCCCTGTATTTGTATTTGAATTGTATATTTTTATCATGAAATGAAATTATGTTCATGTTATGTTACAAATGAGATTGACCTAGCAGAAGGCATATAATTGCATCATCTTTTTCAGATCTTTTAACTTCTAATTTTTGTCCGAATCTTTCAAAAATCTTGTCTAAAATCTTCAGATAATCTTGGTGGACATCAAGTGGTTAGTTTTGTTATGAGTGTTTATCTAATCATTATCATTACCGGTGAATCAAGTGGGAAAAAGTGATTCTCAAGAGTTGATTTGATGTACATTTGTATTTCAACAATTGTCCCCATAATGTCTGTTTAAAAACTCCATTTAAAAGATATAGCTAGCTATTTCTTTAATATGTGTAGTACAATATTTTTCTGTCCTAACTTCAAAATGCATTTAAAGTATGTATATCTTTTCCTTAAAGTAGTTACAACAGGTCACATTTTAAATGATTTCTGTGTTTATACTTATTTTACTTGGTTAACAGTTAATTATGTTTTTAAAGCATGTTGTGATTATGATTTGATTTAGAATGGTTTTACAATTGGTGTAATTCAGTAGATAGTGGAAGTAATTACTCTTCAAGAGAGCGTATCCACTCTAAGCTTAAACAATGTATAAAATGGATTGATGTTATTGTATCACTTGAAGATTTGATTTTGAAAGTTTTATTGTTGATGGTTATAGTCAATGTTTGTATTTATTTGGTGGAATTTTTTAGTTAGATTAGTTTACAGTCTAGACTGTCTTGTGTCAAACACGGGGTCCTGAAAGACGGTCTGGGATTTTTGACGGGGTGGTCATGATGGTAATAGATCCATATATAATGAAGATGACTAACATATATGCTATCTTTTAAATGATATTTTTTTAAAATACATGTATCAAGAAGAAATAAAAATACACATTTTTTCATCATTACCATTAAAATAAGTTAAATGAGGTATGTAGAACTACCTAAACTGGATAACTTTCTCTGCTCATTGTTCCATATATAATGTTGTTTCGAGCCTTGAAGCTTTGGAGCCATCTTTTAAAACTTGAAAATCATCATTTTGCAAACTTTGGTGGTCCTGTCAAATTAATACTTCTTTAGTTGGCTTCATGAACCCAAGCTAGTGTTAATTCATTTACGTCCTCATTACCGGTGTTATGACGGCAGCATTTTGAATTTCCTGGAACATTGTTCTCATAGTCACTGAGCAACTCTTAACTTCCTCTTATGAAGATTTTGCACTTGAGCCTAACTGACACTTAACTGTTCTGCGATTTTGTATACGACAACAACCCGATCCAGCTATTTAATAGTGTCAGTTCTCTGTCACAGTTAATATCACTTTTTTTTTTCTTCTTGTCCGCCATGTTTGTTCACTCATTTCTTCAGGTGATTAAATCTCGAGATATTAAATTCTTGTCATGGCCTCACTTATGCAATTAAATTTTATTTACTCAATTGTTGATAAAAAATTATTGAAATAGGAAGCTCAAGTAATGTGCAGAAGTTACAATACCTGTTTTTCATTAAGTCTGACATCTGTTAGTAGTATAAATAGTTTAAAAGCTTGAGGAGTATGGTACTTTGACTGTCAGTTTGATAGGTGTGGGAACTGAGATTATCACAGATTGTATTGCTTACAGTGTGGTGTGTCCATGAGGGATGAGAATCGGGGAAGGTGTCAAAGTCGCTTAAGACCTGGACTGTAAAAACATGACTGGGAGTTACTGAATACAGACTGACTGAATAGCAAACAGCATTTGGAGGTGGAAGGTATGGTCGAATAAGGGATGGAGTCGTTTAATACAGGGGTCACTCAGGCAGTCTAGACTGTAGTTGTGATTTATTTGCTTGGGAGAATCAAATTATAATAACTGCAGAGTCATTAATTAGATGTGAGCACATTTGTCTGTTCTACATGATACTTGTGATAGCATTATTGTGTATTTAATGTACATGACCCTAAATCAAACATTAATTTATGTATTGTCATTAGTGCTGTTTTTATACATATAGAAACCATACTTTGAGTGTTACTGTTTTCTATATGTTCCATCTTACCTTTACACCTTGCTTTATATTCCATGTCACAAACATTGTCCTTATATATATTTGTGTGTATATTGACAACTTTACTTGTGTGGTGAATTTGATATGTGTGATGGTTTCAGAAACAATGAAACTTGCCAAGAGTAGGTCATGGAATTGTTGTATTAGCCAACATTGACTACCTGTTTGAAGGTTACAAATGTACCCAAAGATTCCATTTTACTAATGATGCATGTGTAGAAGTATATTTTAGAGAATTTTTTTTCTCACTTCACTTGCAATACTCAAAAGTTCTTGCAGTATTCAATTTAATTTTGAAGTTTTAATTGAGTAGAACTCGAGAAAGATTACATTACATTTTATAGAGGTGTGGACGCATACAAAATATAGACACTGGTTGAACAGTAAAAGGATACTGTTGTATAGACTTTGTTTCTTTTTTGTATTACTGTAAATGTTAAAGCAGCATCACGATAAAATGATTTTTATTTACAAAACTTTTTATGATTACATTGCATTATTCCATATTGTTATATAGAGTTTATAGCCCTAAGAACAAAGTCAGCGGTTTTTGCTGAAATATGCCCATAAAGATTTTAATAAATAAATATAAAACGAAAATCTCTCACTGTTGATCAACACACGCAAAGAGCATGTCACCTGTAAACAAAGTCTACCTGTATGAATAAGCCACGGTAGAAAGAGGTTGCAGTATCAGCCCCTCAGTGAAAGAAGGTTAAAGTGTTAATCCTGATTTTCACTAGGGAAGCAACATCTCCGACATGAATTATTTGGGCATGTTTTTAATTAGAAAAACAGAGGTTTATATACTGTCTCAGTACTGTCATGGTCATTTGTCTCCACCATCATGTGTTCACGTTTTCAGATGAATTGCCTTGCTTTCAAAAATTCACATATCAGATTAGTTTTCCCAATAAGATTAGTGATCAAGCTAGACATAGAAAATCAAGTGTGAATATTGAGATAGAATAGAAATGGAAGTGTATAAAACAGGTACAATCAATAAAAAAGGGTGAAAAAAAGTTTTTTTTACCGTGATGGTGCTTTAACCATTTCTGATAGTTTGATTATTCATGAGACATGTCTGTTATTGCTGCCTCAAATTTAAATGTGTGGATTACCTAGATGACTACTTGATACATTGTTGGTATGTACAGAGTTCAACAATCATTGTCTAGTGCATAGTAAGACTCCTTCTCTGTCCATTTGTCTGCCCATCAACCTATAGCTAATGCTGCACAGTATAACCGAAGAAAAAAGATGGTTTTTGATATAAATCACTTTTTATACTGATGACACAATCTGTATTACAATGTATTTGTTCATGATCTAAAAAAAAAAGCTTATGACACAATTGAGGAAATGAAGGATACTAGCACTTGTAGTGTGTGGAATGAGGGAATTACTCTCTGCACTACTTTGTCAGTCTGAAACCTTGTAATTGAAGGCTTTAAGTATAATGTATAAGTATAAAACAGCCTAAAGTCCTCTAGGTGGAAGTTCAATAATGTCAGAAAACACTCCTGTCCTGTAAAATCAAAGTCCTGCAGGTGGGGGCTCAGTACTTTCAGTAAAATACTGTCTAAAGGCCTGTAGCTGAAGGTTCAGAAATGACAGTAAAACACAGTCTGAAGGCATATAGTTGATGGCTCAGTACTGTCAATAAAACACTTTCTGAAGGCCTATTGATGAAGGCTCAGTGCTATTAATAAAACACATTTTGAAGGCATATAGGTGAAGGTTAAGTCTTGTCAGTTTAAACAATGTGAAGGCCTGTAAGTGAGGACTTCGTAATGTTAGTAAAACAATCTGAAGGCCTATAGGTGAGGACTCGGTGTACTTTTGAAGGCTTATAAGTGAGGGCTTCATATTGTCATTCAAGCACATTCCGAAGGATTACAGAAAACACAATTTGCCTGAATGCCTATATATGAAGGCTCAGTACTTAAAGTAAAAGATCAAATGTGTTTGTTGTTCATTTGTGAAATGTCAGTCAGAAGTCCTACAGATCAGCAGTATTCAACAAACTTTATACATTGGTCCAGTCCCATATGTTGCTAAGTGAATTTCTCCTTACAGTGTGAATCTGCATTGTTTTTTTCCCTGAATGCGAGTCTTTTCTGAAAAGCTTTAGAATACTGTGAAAAGAATTTTCAATAATATATAAAAATTGTAAAAGAAAATAATAATGTTTCATCAAATTACTTATCAAATGATATTATTCAAAAGAAATCCAGAATGATTGTTTGTAGATCATGATCATATTCAGGACATTGTCACAGCACATAGTAAAAACATGCTCTTGGTGGAGTGTTGTCATCAATGGTTTCAGTTGGTAATAAGAGACCAACAGAAACTGTATCATTATATATATTTTTTCCCTATTTAATAGGATAGAATTACCTCTAATCAAGTGAAATCAATATATGAAGTAAATATATTGCGAGTTTTGAGCATAGAAAAGCAGAAAAAGGTTGTAATATTTAATTCATAGATCCAGTATATTGCATATTGATAACCAGAAATATTATTGTGAAGTTCTACATTTTCATAGTGTTCAAATTCCATAGTGTTCAAATTCCAAAAACAGCATTTGGTGTGTGCTTGATTTCGTAGATAGGTATCATATTACTAAAGAAATCCACTAATCCTAAATTCATGTCAAGTTTATGACTTCCTGGATTAAGGGTATACCCACGAAATTGATGGAAATCAAACAGAAATTAATGATATCACAGTGAAACAATGTTGGCATAAAAGTGGGGAGGTAACATTATTGTAATAGTATCACATTGTTTAATGTTGACAGGAGTATAGATATGACACAATAGTTCCATGTTCAAGATATACAAATATTCATTCTGATTACAAATGGATGGTCCAAAAAAGCATTTCATATTTGGAAAATAAATCTGTTATTTTCAATAAAGATATAATTATTTGTTTTATTTATGGTGGTTCTTAGATTTGTACATTCTCTTAATTGCAGCTACTAGTAGTTCACCTGCTCTTCATCCTGATGTCAGCAGTTGGTAGCCTGTTTAAATTGCCCTTCATATGTGGTCAGAAGACCCTGAAGATGATGTTTATGAACACAAACTTTGGTTTTTTACTCTCAAATAAGAAAACAAGTATTATTATTATAGAGTTGCAAAGTCATATATAATTTGAACAAAATTAAATACCAGCATATACTTCTTTGACACTGCCCTTCTTAAGTATGATGATATGTTTTGGACAATTACTTTAAAACTGGGTAAAACTAATTTCAAAAGTTGATTATTGCAAATTTTAATTTGATTATTTGTCATAATGCTTGTATCGTCAAGAATATTTATATGGGTTATTGAAAAATAGAAATCCTTGATGGTGTTTTCACAAACTATTAATATTTGGAAGGATTTTGGATATTAGCTCACCTGGACCAAAGGTAAAGTCGTGACACAGTACGACGTCCATCCGCCAATTCTTGTTATTGCTATTTCTTGAGAAGATTTGAATTGATCTTGCTCAAATTTCATAAATGGTTTCCCTTTGGTCCCTAATTGTGCTTATTTGACAGGTGGCCATCTTAGATTTTTAGCCCACCATCTAATAGATGGTGGGTTATTCAAATCGCCCTGCGTCCGTGGTCCGTCCAGGCGTCCCTCTCCGTCCGTCTGTAAACAATTCTTGTTACCGCTATTTCTGGAAAAGTACTGGATGGATCTTTCTCAAATTTCATATTCAGATTCCCCTTGGTCCCTAGTTGTGCATTGTACCTTTTTTGGACTGATTCGAATTCAAGATGGCCGACAGGTGGCCATCTTGGATTTTGGAAGTAAAAGTTTGTTACCGCTATTTCTGAGAAAGTACTGGATGGATCTTCCATAAAATTTCATATGCAGTTTCCCCTTGGTCCCTAGTTGTGCATTGTACCATTTTTGGACTGATTCGAATTCAAGATGGCCGACAGGCAGCCATCTTGGATTTTGGAAGTAAAAGTTTGTTACTGCTATTTCTTAGAAAGTACTGGATGGATCTTTCTCAAATTCCATATGCAGTTTCCCCTTGGTCCCTAGTTGTGCATTGTACCTTTTTTGGACTGATTCGAATTCAAGATGGCCGACAGGTGGCCATCTTTATTTTGGATGTAAAAGTTTGTTACCGCTATTTCCTGGAAAGTACTGGATGGATCTTTCTCAAATTTCATATGCAGTTTCCCCTTGGTCCCTAGTTGTGCATTGTACCTTTTTTGGACTGATTCGAATTCAAGATGGCCGACAGGCAGCCATCTTGGATTTTGGAAGTAAAAGTTTGTTACTGCTATTTCTTGGAAAGTACTGGATGGATCTTTCTCAAATTTCATATGCAGTTTCCCCTTGGTCCCTAGTTGTGCATTGTACCTTTTTTGGACTGATTCGAATTCAAGATGGCTGACAGGCAGCCATCTTGGATTTTGAGAGTAAAATCTTGTTACTGCTATATCTGAGGAAGTACTGGATGGATCCTTCTGACATTTCATAGATATTGGTTTCCCTTGGTCCCTAGTTGTGCATTGTACCTTTTTTGGACTGATTTGAAATCAAGGTGGCCCACAGGCAGCCATCTTGGATGTTGACAGTAATACAGCACAAGCAAATTGTCCATTATCCACCTGTAATTGACTGCTATCTAATAACACTTTGGGATCTTTTTCAAATGATATTTGCTAATAGGTGCTTAATAAAAATATCTTGTGCCATCATTGAGTACATTCAATGAAGACCAGTTCATGAACATTTACAACACCTGTAACAAACAAAAAAAATAAACAAATCTTCAAGAACTGAAAACAGATCCTCAAATGGTGGGCGCCAAGATCCCTGTGGGATCTCTTGTTTTCATTGAAAATTGTTATCGCTACTTCTTGAGAATTACAGCATAGATCTTCCATCTAATTTCATATGTGTGTTCCCCTTGGTCCTTGGTTGAAATCGTCTGATCAGAAAAACAAAATGGCTTACAGGCAGCCATCTTGGATTTTGACTTTATTATTGTTACTGGTAGTTCTTTAGAATTTCTTTGTAGATTTTTCTCAAAATTTATATGATTTCTGTGGTCTATAGTTGTGCCTGTTTAATTTTGGGAGAGATTTTTTCTGTGCAAGAAGTCGTAAACTTACTGAAACTGGTATCACAAGGTTTCAAAAGATGCAGGTTGATGAAAATTATGGGGAAGTTTTATGGTCTTCATAGTGATCTCATTGAAAAATATTCTGTTTCTTTGTGTGACATGTGGCTGGACATACTTGATGATCATTAGTTTGCCCGTTTGTTGTATATCTTGTTCTCATTTGATAATGTGAATTTATTTATTTGGATTGACCAAGGTTTACATGGCAGGTATCGTCGGTGAAGCAGAAGACACTTACTCTTCCTGAAACACTTGGTTTTATTCTCCTTGTACTTTTTCTGGAGTCTCCTTGTAAATCTTTCTTTGTTCATATTTTGCGCTGGTTTTATGGAATTTGAGTTTGAATTATGATTATGTTGCCATGTTGGTATTTTCTGGGTTTTTTTTTTCAATGAAGTTTGTTATGGCTATTTCTTTAAAAGTACTGAATTGTGATCTCTCAAATTTCATATGTAGCTTCTCCATGTTCCCTAGTTGTGCTTATTTGGTTTTGGGACTGACCAGAAAAACAAAATGGCTGACAGGAGGCCATCTTGGTTTTTTTCATCGAAGTTTGTTATGACTATTTCTTGATGTATCAGATTGATCTCTCTCAAATTTCATATGCAGGTTCCCCTTTGTCCCTAGTTGTGCCAGTTTAATTTTGGGACTGGTCAGAAAAATGAAATGGCTGAAAGGCAGCCATCTTCAATTTTGACTTTGAAAGTTTGTTATCACTATTTCTTAAGAGATATAGCGTCATGTGTAGTGTCCCCTTGGACCCTAGTTGTGCCTCTTCAATTAAAATTTGTTATCGCTATTTCTTCGAAGTACTGAATGGTTCTCTCAAATTTCAGAAAAAACAAAATGGCTTGCGGACAACCATCATTGATTTGGCAGTTAAAGATTATTATCACTAGTTCTGCAAAGGAATGTTCAAATTTCTTATCATTAAGAGCAAAAACAGAGAAGAGAAAAGAAGGGAAAAGATCCAAACTTTAAAGAACAAATAAAGATCAAACAATAGTAGGTGCGAAGATCCTTCTGGGATCTCTTGTATTACCAGTCATTTATTGGAATCGTCAGCATTTTAAACCTGGATATATCACTATTTAGATAAGAGACGACGTAATTGTAGGTCTAATTTATTGGAACAAAGCTGATTATAATCAAATTTTCAATGGTGTAATCTTAGTATCATAATTAAATATTGATTAAAAAGTAAATACATTTTACTAGTCACATCAAGTTCACCCAATTTATTCCAACATGTTCAGATTAAAACTCGACACCAGGACTCTATAGATGATTTAATTTAATGACTTTGATACCAGTGATCACAAGAAACAGGTAAAAGTAAAAAAAATGATTCCTATTTCATTAAGTATAAGGCTCTCATTTTACCTCCAGACAACATCTAGACACAAGTCATGAAATGAAAAAAAAAAAAAAAAATGTACAATTTGAAGTTTATCTACATCTTGCATACATAGACATACAAAGACAATGTACTTAGAAAAGCAAATGTTGAATGGTGATTATGATTACCGGTAAGTAAGTGGACGGCGGAGAGATAGCACTTCAAAATAAGATTTAAATTCATACTCTATTTAATTTGATCAGCTCTCTTTCATTATATCAGAAAATGTTAAGAAAAACAATTTGTTCTTGCCTTGACCATTAGTCAATATGATGTTGACGACTGGCATCATCATTTGACTTTCCATTCATTCCTATCACCCAATATGAAATGCATTTTTTGCATATGACCCAATCACACTGACCTATGATCAGCCTTTTAGTTTGATAGATTCTTTCATAAACAATATCTATATCATTCAGAATACTTACAACTGTAATAAAATTAATAACATTTTACACAGCTAGTGATGAATACATGTCAGTATTGAGCATAAATACAGTACACAACCAAATGCACAGAAAATACATTTGTAACTACTGAACAAAAATTGGCCTGTGAAATAATTGGCCATTGTGTGCTTTTTTCAAGCTGAACTAAAAGTGTTTGAGGATTTGCACTGTTTAAGTCTTATTGACAAGTAACAGTACATGGTCAAATGAATTCTAAAAAAACAATGAAGAGGAGAACTATTTTGATTAAGCTCACAGTGAAGTGGCTCCAATTTAGATTTTTCGGCTTGACAGGTTGTACAGATATTTAACATATAAGAAATATTCATAAATGATGTAACAATGTAGGATCTTTTTGGTGAATGTATTACTTCCAAACTGAAGTGATGTAGGGAGAAAGAGAAGGGCAGAAAAGGTCATTACAAAAGACATCTTAGAATAAGGCCAATGACTCTAATGTTTAACAATTTGAAACACACTCTACAGAAATCTCCTCTACAAAGTATAACTGGCAGTGTATGTAAAAACTTTATTCTCTGCAAAGTACATGTATAAAGTGGATACATCAGCAGGCAGTTACAACAGCACATATAAAACTTCTCTAATTATACAATTAATTGATGAAGCCATGATGTAATGATCAATCAAGTTGTTTCAAAGCTGGATCACACAACAGTTACCTATCCCATATCAATTTTGGAAAAAAACAGAAAAAGTTTTAATACAAAACATTACTGTAACATTATCCCAAGTTTTAAATAATTGGAAATAAAAGTAAAATACAATTCACATATACCTATACCAGAGGCAGTGACAAGGTCTGAAAACTTTCAGTTTTCTGTTCAAATTACAACGTAAATGTTTACCGCATTTCGAGAATATAAACAAATATATGATAAACTTAATATCAAAATACAAAGGTGACTTTCTTTTACCTGATCAACAGTTCTTACACAACCTTTATTTGGACAGGTCAGTGACATTTTCCTGTCATTTCAGACAATGAAATAGAGAAAAGCAGTACATCAACACAAAAAATCACTGATAACTTACTTTTGCATATTATTATTCAAATATATAGCAATATACATGTGTCTATCTGCAGTAGTTTAACTGTACATACAAATAATTCAATTTATTTAATTCAAATCAGAGTACTATCCCTCCGTTAGGATTTGATAACTTCTTCAACGAGGCATATAATCTCCTAATCTAATGGATATGAAAAGTCATGAAATAACATATATTTTAAAATCTTTCTTACACACGTATTGACCAAAACAGGTCTAATATGTTACACCAAAACAGGCAGAATCTGTGTATGTGAGGTGAATAACTGTTCAAAACTCTCTGGGGAATCTCACAGGTGAATGTAACAATGCAGTAACCTCTGCTACAATATTTGACCAATCGGAAGTGTTGATTGTCATCATATAATAAAAACAATTATTCATCTATTTTCCAGCCTCAGGATTCTTGGGTTGATAAGTCCTTGTATTCATCTGCAGACAGGTTAATAATTGTTTATTCTTACATAGCTTTTTCCCACTTTTCTTGATTAGCTGACATTGAACAGTCTCACCTTGCTCAAACATTACATCAACCCAAAAACCGTGATCTGGGTTAATATAACAAAGCAAGTCTTTTTACCCAAATATAGTAACAAGGGACTTCCAATATTTCATGACATCTAAACAACTATGTTGTGGGTTGATACCCAAATATAGCACATGTAATAAGGGACTTCTCCACTTTTTGCTTGAATGATTAGACTACATCATCTGAAATTGATTTATCAAATGGAATGATGTTGTACAGGCAATGTCTCGTCACTAAGTTATCATTTATACTGCTGTTATTTTTATTATAACTTTCAAATTTGTAATTTGAAAATGTTATGGAAATGTCAAAGCACATGTTTAGAAAAGTGTTAGTCCTTAGAATTGCCACAATTTATCATATTCCTCTACATGAGGTGAAGATATTTTATTACATTCCTCTACATACATAAGAAGAGTTATATGCACATTATAGATATTTACATATATATATCATGATACTGATAGATTTGAGATCAAAATAACATGATTTTTAAAAATTGTTTGTACAAACAATATCAAATGCATGTATTGCAAAATTACAAATGACATCTCATCACCTGATTTGTAGAAAAAACAAACACATTCACATTAGTTCATAAACTAAAAGTTTAAACATATTGATTCAATTGATTCATTAAAGGTAAAAAAGAGGTGTATTAAAATCAAAGCCACAATATTTTGTCCAGAGAACTAATTGATGATTATACACCAAAGGTACGAAAATCAGCGAAACAGCACATGTATATCACACTGGAAATGTTAACAAAATACTTCACATGAATTCTTAACAACCATCATCTTCACCTCTGGAAACCCTGGAAACCTTGGAATTTAGTTTTCCTTGGAGGGGGAACATGCTCCTTGGTTCAAATACCTGACACTTCCTCAATGACTTGGCCAGTAACACAGATACAATGCGTATAGCCTATGGTTTTTTTGTAGGGGGGAGGGAGGGGAAGAGGTCATGATTATGAATCAATTTAGATATAAATTATCAGTACATGTAGTATTGCCAGAAAGCTGCGTCAGTTATGTTGTTTCAATGTGATAAATAAGTAGAGGTCTAAGAAACTACTTTCCTGGACCTCAAACTACGAACACATACAAATTTCCCCAAGGAATATATTAACAAGACAAAGCGACGGACAAATATTCATTAATATTTTTTGGAAAACTCAAATTCTGTTCTCAAGATTGTTTTCTAATATTTCATACCTATCAGATATAGATTCACTTTGCTTGAATTGTACTAAGTAGAGAACTTAGTTAAAATGTTAGCCCATGGTAAATACAGACATCTATGCAGTTAGAAAAAAAAAGTATCACACGATCTAAAGACAAGAATGGCAGGAATGGGAGTTTTTATGCATATGGGTCAAGTTGTCTGATTTGTTTCTAGCACTGCTGACCTATACGAAATGAAGAAATAATTCTAACTATATAACCTAAATGTAGTCTTCAATATATCCAAGTTTTTTTTGTTTCCACTCATGTACTATATGAAACATCTGCTGATTACTGTGTATTTATGCTTCTGGAAAAAAATCAAATAATAAAGATAACAGGGAACCAGTATGATGTGATTAGGGTAGAGGAGATGCCTTTGACTGGCACAGAGAAGTTGAGCAGGGGAGGTGGCACTGGCCAATTCAGAGGAAGGGGAAACGGCATTGCCAGGAACGGTGGGATTACAGAACGAGATGGCATTGCCAGGAACGTTGGGATTACAGAAGGAGATGGCATTGCCAGGAACGGTGGGATTACAGAAGGAGATGGCATTGCCAGGAACGGTGGGATTACAGAAGGAGATGGCATTGCCAGGAACGGTGGGATTACAGAAGGAGATGGCATTGCCAGGAACGGTGGGATTACAGAAGGAGATGGCATTGCCAGGAACGGTGGGATTACAGAAGGAGATGGCATTGCCAGGAACAGTGGGATTACAGAAGGAGATGGCATTGCCAGGAACGATGGGATTACAGAACGAGATGGCATTGCCAGGAACGGTGGGATTACAGAACGAGATGGCATTGCCAGGAACGGTGGGATTACAGAAGGAGACGGCATTGCCAGGAATGGTGGGATTACAGAACGAGACGGCATTGCTCGTAATGGTAGGATTACAGAAGGAGATGACATTGCCAGGAACGAAGGGATTACAGAAGGAGATGACATTGCCAGGAATGATAGGATTACAGGAGGAGATGGCATTGCCATGATTGTTAGGATTTAAGGAAACAGCAGTGCCAGGAACGGTAGGATTAAAGAAGACAGCATTGCCATGAACGGTAGGATTAAAGGAGACAGCATTGCCAGGAACGGTAGGATTACAGAAGGAGATGACATTGCCAGGAACGGTGGGATTACAGAAGGAGATAACATTTCCAGGAACGGTGGGATTACAGAAGGAGATGGCATTGCTAGGAACAGTGGATTACAGAAGGAGATGGCATTGCCAGGAACGGTGGGATTACAGAAGGAGATGACATTGCCAGGAATGATGGGATTACCGAAGGAGATGGCATTGCCAGGAACGGTGGAATTACAGGAGATGGCATTGCCAGGAATGGTGGGATTACAGAACGAGATGGCATTGCTTGGAATGGTAGGATTACAGAAGGAGATAGCACTGACCAGTACTGAAGAATTGAAGCAGGAAAGGTGGCATTGCCCAAAACAGTGAGGTTATAGCAGGAGAGATAGCATTGATTGGTACAGAAGGGTTTGGGTAGCGGAGATGGTACTGACCAATACAGTGAGACTTACAAAGATTTCATTAACTACAGTGGGGTTGGCAGTTTGGAAATGGTATTGACCTGTACGTTGGAGTTTGGATCAGGGAGATGGCAATGACTGGTAAAATCAAGCTGGGAAAAGAGGACATGACATTGGTAATGTAGTAAGTAGTACAAACACATTCAAACAAAAACAAAATCACATATTCTTTGGTCTTTCATAATTTTCTTTTCTAATAAATTCTATTCCATCTCCTGGTAAAGGAGATTCAATAGTGGGAAATATCCAAAATATATGCCATTTTGATCCAAACACAGAGAGAAAATTGAGCTTTCCGCCAAGATCATATGCATATATATTATGAGTTCTTTCATGGGTGACCTGTCCGTAATACACGTGTTTAGCATGGTAAATCATCAGAATTGTTAGTAAAATGAAAAACACAGATGCCAGCAAGCAGATGAATGATGCTGTTGTAGTGTACAAACTCAACTGTCCAGTCATGAAACATATCAGAGGGAAGATGAAGTAGATAACATTCCAGAATGAAAATCCTCCAAGGACATAACTCCAGGTGAACTCAAAGCCCATGACGATAGCAAACATTGTACCGAGCCAGACGTAGAAGATGAGTAGCAAGTAGTGGCCGTAGTTAAAGTAGCCGATACACTTGCCAGTGAACATACAGTGGTGGTCACGCTTGAGAATACATTTGTTACATGTTCTGCAGTGGAATGCACGAGGAGGAGAATTTGCCTCACATATTGTACAATAGTACCAACCTGTTGAAATAACAAAAGAAAATATTTGTAAACATATATACATAATGTACTAGTTTAAAAATAAACATGTTTCAGAAAAAACTTTTGTCTCAACATTAGGCCAAGAAATACATTGTTAATAACTTTGATAATTGTACATATATACAAGAGTTTTATTCACATTAAAGAATTTGTAACTTTGCAGCTTTAACAGTAAACAATTTATATAAGTGTATATATATATATCATTTCCTGGTGTTAGAAATACTTCAATACACATGTAATTTAGAATTTCATGTAATTATAAATTTTTCCTGTCCTGCTTTGTAAGTGTGATAATTCTAATCAAAATGCAAATATAGATGTATACACTCAACTGTATGTCTCCAAATAACAAATCCAATCTTAATTAACAATATGTTAACATCATAGATGTTGGGATCAAAATGACACCTTTTGGGGAATGTAACCCTACTACTGGGCATCTACAGATTCGCAGGTTTAAATGATTTCTCAGCTCAAGGCCAAATATACATGACAAAAAGTATTTGTGACCTGTGTATATGTTTGACTGAGGCCTCATAAAAGTAAATGCTCCCTGTAGAGATATTATTTTCATTCAAATCCCTTTTGGAAGAACAGGGTTGACCGTTACTGGAAAGTGATTTTTGGCATACAGATATTGGAATCATAGACTTCTTTTTGGATTTGCTTCATTTTGAAAATTAAACCTCACTACTTCTTTGTAATCAATCTCATCAAAGAGTGCTCTGGACTAAATTGAAAAAAAAATCCTACAAAATTATTAAGAAACTTCCGTGTTCAGTTTGCCAGTACAAATACATATTGCAATAAATGTGCGTAATTGTTACATAGTTCAGGTTATCTCCCTTCTGCCAAGTGCTACGAATATTGTGTATAGTCCTTACATGATGCAAGTGTATCATATTAAAAGCAATTATCAGTACCAAAACATTCTGGGTATCTAGAGTTTTATCAGCAATCGCTGATACTATTGGACTTGAGACGTATCTTGGTTTCAGTAGTTCAGATCAATAATTTCATTAAAATGCAGTTTGTACCCGGCTTTAACAGTGTCGGTAGAATCTTTCCAACAGTTGACGTATTAGTTGAGCAGATTTTCCACATTCGACCGATAACGTTGAAGTAGATAAAGCATGCATACAGATGATACATGCAGATTTTTGCAAACCCAACATTGTATGTCTCGATCAGCCATGGGAGAACCATAAATTTTCCATACATAAGGCCAGAATGAATCATGATCTGTGCGTATATAATAGATAAGGTATCAAACAAATTATTTGGTTTGATTCTCTTCCAAATCGAACCCATCTTCTTGACTGACGTTCTTGGAATATAAGAGGGGTGTATTGTTGTGAGATTTCATCGCAATCTTGGTAGAAGTGCACATTGCCACAAGCTTGTGTTTCTATCGTTGACTAAAACATTGTAAAGATACAGATGTTTTGTAAGTCGTCTGGTTTCATAAATGTTAGTAAAGTCTAGCTATTTTATTAATATATTACATTTTTGAGCTAATTGAACTTTTAAAATTTCAGTCCTTTACGGTTCTACGTAAATGTTCTTGTTTTGAAGTACAAGGTCCGAGATACTGCAACAGTGTGCCATGACAGCCTCGCTAAATACAGTAACGCTTCATATTGTATTGGCGTTAAATGAAAAACTGATGGTATGATCGACAAGTCTGGGCACAGTGAAACATCATAAATCTGTTGATAACATTATGTGTTATTTGCGACATTGTAGACTACTGCATTAACGCATGTTTCTGTTTTAGTTTAGAGTAAAAAAACTAACTATGCTTTTAAGAATCGGGCTCTAATCATCAGACGCAAATAGTCGATAAACTTACCGACCGAAGTGTGATTTAATGTGTTGTTTACATCGTATAAATACGTTTTCTACTTACCATTGTATCAAAGACAAAGGTACCATTGTGGATGGGTGGAGTTTTTATTTATTTTCAGTCATTTAAATATAAAATACATTGTGGACTATCACGCCCATGCACTTCCGGATCAGGTATATGTGCTTCCGGGGTAATCTGTTGCAACCGGCATCGTGGTGACTGCAATTACAATCTGTTCGTGAGGTGGCGTATATAAATAGCAGCATTCAGATCAAGAAAACGAAACTAGACTATATTCCACTACCGTTGGCAAAGTTGATTCTAAAAGATGTCGGAACCTGCGGTACCACCCCAGGCCGGTGGAGACAACACCACAGACGGTGTGCCGAAAGTGAAGACTGAAAAGGAATTGAAAAAGGAGAGGGCCAACCAGCAGAAACTGGAAAAGTATAAAGCAAAACAGGAAAAACTCAAACAGCAGCAAGAAAAGGAGAAGGATAAAACGAAAGAGGATGAGGTATATACAAAATTACACAACAATTGATTATTTACAGGGATATCATTATCAGATGGTCTACAAGTTTCTCCGCTAATTTAGTATCCTCAATCTCCTCATAGAATATCTGTTTATTGTGCCTAACTTGACATTTAATGAAGCCTTAATATGAAACCGACAAAGCCTGATTCAGTGCAGTGTCAAGATGGTGGATCTGTTGTGAAAAAGTTAAATTAACTGTTTTTGGTTAAACCTGTGACTGTATTCACAATACCATTTACATATACAGATCTTCAAGGTTGAATGAAAACAAATCATTTATTTTTTATATCAAGAAATTTTATAAGCTGTTCATTTTACCGTTATGCAATGAGATGTTCTCTAATTGAAGTAATTAGTGCTTTATTATAACTTTCTATTGATTAATTTAAATGTGATACATTTCCTGTTATATTTTAATCATAAGCATGCTGATCTGAACATTAAGAATGTTATAACCCCGCCTCATTTATTTTAATGGAAGGCTGGCAAAAAATGTCCATGTAAGGTTCCCTTTCTATTGTGTTTCTTCACAAATCAACATCATCACTTCGTCCATTTCTTTAGGAATTTAGATGAAATCTTCCACAAAGTTCAACCAGGACAACACCCTGTATGAGCTTGTGTTTAGGGGTTCTAAGGTGATCATTTTATTTAGATTAAAACACAAAATGTAGCTGAAATTTTGTGGGAATGTTAAGAAACTGAAATGGGAGGTATTTCTTGCCTTTATTACTGAAATATTCCAATCTTCAAATCATTTAATAACTGTTCTTACTATTACTGTTGTTATGTCCTATATAGGTCTTTATAGTCAGGTGGCTGTTAAGGCCCATGAGCCTTATTTCTGGAAATTGCCCAAATTTCAATCAAGAAATTCAATTCATCTATCCTTGTATGCCGATTTGAAAGTTGAACGAAATAAAAATGTAGTCTCTCCCTAGCTAACAAGGAGTTTGTACCTGATTTTCGTTTCATCGCGGATATCATTGTTTGGAGAATTAATTTTTTATAATTTTATCTCTGCTTAATTGTTGTTAATACAATTTGAACAGAAATTAATAAATTGCTGATGAGTTTCCATTTTGTGACAAACACAGCAATGGACATGTTTCAAAAACTGTCCTATCATTGTGAAGCTGATAGATATGTGTATTTCGTTCTCAGTGGTCAGTGTTGGGCAAGGTACCCTGATAGCTTTGGATAGCATGCAGTGGATCTCCCACATGTTTTTCATTGAATAATTAAGCTATGAAGACACCCTGCCTGAACATTCCCAGGGCTTTTGACAACATAATAAAGCAAGTAAACGTAGTTAGATGTGTTTTATACTGCTATTAAATATGTCGAAAAAAAAGAAATCGGCAGTCTTGACAACATTTAATGTAACTGTAACAGTATCATTAGTTAAATGGTTTGATAATATGAAGAATTATCATCTGTGTCTTTTTCTTAATTACATTTGAACTTCATAGAATACAGATAATCCTTTTTAACATGAAGGACTGTTATTTATCATTTTAAATTGTCTAGTGTTTTTTCCAAAACTGATTATATTTTGAATGATCACCTGGAAATAGCTGTGATTATCAGAACATTTCTTTAACAATTGAATAGCCGGATGCCTGAACCAACATTTAAAAGAAGGAAAATGTCTGTAATTCTAATCCACATACAATGATGACATGCATTTCACATCATCAGCTACACAAGAAACCTCAGAGATATCCTGGGAGTCCTGATAGCTTCCTGTACTGTTCAGTCCTGGGAGATCACATACATCATTACTACAAGTGTTTATCTTGAGAGGAATGCTATCTGGATTAAGTAATATTGGATTGCCATTCTTGATGTTGAAGCTATTGTCTTTCTCTGACATCAGTATAGATGTATTTTCATTTTCATTTGCAGCTGTTGTAACATTCCCTTGTAGTATTCCATCATTTGGGCTTAAAGTTTCTGGTTCCCTTTCACGAAATGTGTTTTCATCCTCATTGTTTGAATATGTAGACATGTTGCAGCTTTTTGAATTGGATTTGGATGTCAATATATTGTTCTTCTCAAACCTACTCTTGTGTCGTAACCACCAGTCTGAACACTTCTGGTGAAAGGATTTTCGTAAGGTAGGGTCAAAGTCCAATAGCTCTTTGATTTCTTGGTCCAGACTTTCACCATCAGAATTTCTGTTTCTGGTAGTAGGATTAGCTTGTTCTAATGACTTGTTTTTAACCTGTTCATCAATAAAACTTTTGGAGTCGTGTGTCTCTCTTGTTATTTTCCGTTCATTGCTTACATCTTCAGTAATGGTGTCCTCCTGTAGATTTGCCTCTATTTCATTATGGCCATGCCTCTCACCAGGATATGTACCTACATGGTTCATCTTAACTTCATCAGTGGTGTCTTCTGCTGTTTGCCTATTTTGATTAAGGGTGCTATTGCAATTATCAGAGTTTATATTGAAGAGATCTGATGGTTTTCCAAGGTAATCTTGATGCATTTCGATACGATTTGATGGAGATCTGTTTTGATCTGCAGTCGTATTAAGAGGGGATGTAATGAAATCTTGTAAAGGTTTTGTTTGATTTGGTAGAGTAGAAATTGGCGTTTTCTTTTCTTTGTCATTCAGTCCATTGATCCCTCCTTCTGTGTATTCAGTTAACTCCTGGTGTCTCTGATTACTTCTTTTGAAGTTCTTCTGTGTCTCAAAACCACATGCAGATGCCAGTCTTTTCTGGACACAGCTGTTTGTGCTATTTTTCTCAGGTAAATTATGTTCAAAACGTCCTTGATACAGTTGGTCATGGTAGTCTTTCAAACTTTCTTTAAAGGAAATTTCCATTCGCTGAAGGGGAAATGGTGATGGCGATGCTGGCTTCTCCTTTCCAAATGTTTTTTGTCTTCTGATATTTTGGTTGTTGACTTCAACTGAAGTCATTCCAGACAATTGTGAAAATTCCTGGTGTGGAACAGACAAGTTCCCATCGATGAAAGGAGGGCAGCTACTGGATGTCTGGGATAATTTTGCTCCCAAATAAGAGGTCTGGTCCACAGGATGTGGTGTCATAATTCTGTATTGTTTTAACATTTGGTGAAAAAGTTCTGCTGATGATTGGCAGTCAGTATGTGGATAGAGCTGATGGAATGGATGTAATCTAAACACGTTGTCTAATGGGAATGATGGAGGTTGGTCATCTGTTGTGGTAAAATTAGTCGATGTTTTTGGGAAATTCTCGGGAAATGGAGCTCTACTGAATGTTTGTTTTGGACTTTGTAGATCTGATTCTGTTTCAGTTGTACTATTTTCATGTGTAGTTGTTGCTTGACCAGGTTTCGTTTGTGTCCTCAGGTGAGCAGTGTCTGTACACGCCGATGTGAAACCATTTCTATACCGGTATAAGTGTTCCATTCTAGGTTGATTTGACAAGGCATTGAGGTTAGTTCTGTATCCTTGACTGGAAATGGCTTTTCCATGTTGAATAAAGCTGTTCTGGGGATGATTACCTGTCAAGGTTTCATCACTAAATCTTTGTTCTGTGTAATAATCAGGAAAAGGCCTGCTACTTTCGGTCTGTGGTGTTTCATTAATTTTGTTGACATTGGTGCTGAGAAGTAAAGTTTGTTCATCAAGTAGTAATTTGTTTACAAATGATTGTGTATTCAGAAGGCCCCTAGCAGAAATCAATTGATGTTTTGGTGTTCCTCTTCCTGCATTTATAGCATTTGTCATCATGTTTTGTGTACTTGTCATTAAATTTAGGGTATCTGTCATCAAGTTTGGTGTACCTGTCTTTGGTGTGTCTGATAGCCTGGTTGGTGTACCTGTCATCAAAGGTGGTGTAATTGATATCTGGTTTGGTGCATTTTCTTGCAAATTTGGTTCTTTTCTTAGACTTCGTAAAGCTGCTCTAGAATTTGTCCACAGTTCCTCTTGTACCTGATTTGATGCAGAAGTTTGTGAAGTGGAAACTTTTTGTGTGATATGAGTCATTGTCTCATCATCTTCATTTTCCTCACTTAATAAGTATTCTGCACAGTTCACCTTTCTTTGTGTTGCTAGTGCGATGACTTCTGGATCCACATAAGTCAATGAAGTTGGTGTCAGTTTGGAAAGATGTGATGGATAAATATTGAATCGCCGCTTTTCAGTGTCAAAGTCTGTAAAAAGCGGCAGTTTTTTGTAAAAACGTGAAGATATCAAATCCTCCTGCAATTCTTGGATCTGTTTGTTATTCATGGCAGTACTTGAAAATCTCTTAGTTTTCTCTTTTGTGACTGTTCCGCCTCTACATGTGATAGTATGAGGAAGGCTGTAGAACTTTCCATTGGGCTGTATGCTGTTTAAGTATTTTTTGAAGATGTTGTATACAGAATAATTTTTTCCAGTATTATAAAGCTTTATCTCCTCTACAGAAAGAATGCTATCTTTATCTTTATATGATGGCCCAGCTCCCTTTAAATTTCCAAAGAACTCAATGAAATCTCCACCTTTGTCTGACTCAAGAAGGTACTGATTAGTCATCAACAAACTGTGTGCCTCTACTGTCTCTACACCAAACACAAAGGTATTCAATGCAAAAACAGCACGTAGGAGTCCTTCTGGCGAGTCCAAGTCCAGAAAATATCTATCCCACAAATGATTCCTCTGATCAGATTGATCTGCAGAGCTCACGTTGACATGTTTTCTGTATGTTGTTTTGTAAGCTGCTTTTCGAAACTGAAGAAAATTTTCATCATGATGGTTCAAAAAATTCAGATGTGGACATTTAAGGTTGCTGATTAAATGAGCAGCCAGACCTCGGTAAATATTTTGGGCTGATTCTTTCTTAAATTCCGCACCATCTCCACGTCTCATGTTGTTAACAAAGTCTTTTAAATAATTGTCTAGTTGTTTTGGCATTACAAGCTCCAGATTGTCAGCTGTTGGAATTGGTGGTTCTCCAAGTCGTCTCTGCTGGTTTGCCTTTCTCGTCCATATATTCCAAGCATTCATGGCCCATTTGCTGTATATAGCCCAAGACTTAGGGACATGAGGAATCCCTTCTGGTTTTTGATCATCCATCTCCTGGGGAAAAAATAATCGAAATTTTACTGCAGATAAAGTATTCACACCTGATCGGGGATGTGAAATCAGTACAATGGTTTATCTAGGTAATGGCTATGTAATGTTGATTAAACAATATATCATCTGTTGTTAGATTTTAACCTTTAAAGCTGGTAATGGGGGCTAACTTACACATGTATCACAAGCACTGAAATTGTATCACAGAGTTAACAGCAGTCTGTATTTATCATTAGAAATATGGACACATATCAGACGTGTTGTTTATCAGTTACAAGAAAGGATGGAAACATTTTGTGTTTCTAAACTGAAAATAACTATTGTATTTGAAGACAATGGAATCCATAAAAAGTTGTAAACACATAGAGGTTTTTTAGGTCACCTGAGACAATGTCTCATGGTGACCTATTGCAATCACCTTTTTCTGGTGTCGTGCATACTTCTCAAAAACCCTTGAACCGATTTCAATGAAATTTTGCAGAAAACTTTCCTGGTCATAGAGGGACCAAAAAAGTGAATTATTCATTCCCCACCCCAAAGGGGTCTGAGGGCAGGGCCAAAAGTGTCAATTGACTCAAATTTCAAAAATCTTTTTCTCAGTACCCAGATATGGTAGAATCAAATGCTCTTCATGGATGGCCTCAGGGTCTCACATTTCCCGGAGGGGTTAAATATTACTATAGTTTAAATAGGAAAAATACATTTTTGAGTATAATTTGTTTAATTTTCATTGGCAATATTGGTTAAAATTATGAGCAAAGGATGACGGCTAGATGGTATTGATCCTGACTAGTCCCCAGGGTCTGATGAGTGGGGCCAAAATTGGTCAGACTTGAATTTCAAAAACTTTCTTCTTAACAACCAGGTTTGGTAGAATCAAATTCTCTTCATCGATGGAAGCATCTTAAGGTGCTTTACCAAAATGGGTCTCACTTTTCTCCCTGTTGAGGAGGTTAACTTCACTGTAATTTTCATGGAAAAATTCCATTTTTGAGTATAATGTTGTTTATTTCTTCACTGGAAATAACTGTATTGTTAGTATAGGATGACAGTTTTGACACTGACTTACTATTATCAGTGTCACAGTTTTGTTTTTGATGACACTTGAAAGCTACTTACCATTTAAGCTCTATGCTCAATATTGGTGTCACAGGTGACCCTCAAGGTTCCAAGGCCCCTTGTTTTAAAAAATTATTGAGTTGTTAGTGGTATTTAAAGACTTGGAGACTTTTAGTGGATTATTGGACAGGTAGGGAATATTAGGGGATTTGTAGACAGTTTGGGCCCATTAAGGGATTTGTAGACAGGGAACATTAGGGAACTTGTAAACAGTTAGTGCCCATTAAGAGATCTGGAGACAGGTAGAGAACATTAAGGAATTTATAGCAGGTAGAGATCATTAGGAATTCATAGACAGGTAGAGAACATTTTGTTATTTGAAGACAGGTATTGGAACCATTTGGGAATTTGTAGACAGTTTGGGAACATTAGGGAATTTGTAGACATGTAGGGAACAGTAGGTTATTTTTAGCCAGGTAAGGACCATAAGGGGATTTGTAGACAGGAAGTGTCCATTAGGGAATTTGTAGACAGGTGAGGAGACGAAGCTATCTATAGACAAATTGGGACCATGACATTATGTTTCTGCAGTGACTAGGGAGGTAATTGTATAAGACATAATACCAGTATTTCTGCCAATACCGTTTTCTCTTATCATTGATAAATGGAAGTAATTACTGCCCATGATAACGACACATACCTTAGTGGAAGATTTTTATGAAGATTGTTCATAGCCGGAAAAGAGGGTGCAGAAGGGGGTTATTCAAATAGACATTTTGCTTTTATTTTGTGTGTGATTTTTTTCAAGCTTTATACGTCATTTGTCTAAGATTTAACAAATCTTAACGGAATTCAATTGCACCAGAATTTTTTTTAACCTGACCTTATAATTTATCTCTGATCTGGTTTTGTTTAAAAGTCATTGAAAGAATGGCATGTCTTTATCAGACACCTACGTCATACTAAACATCACCAGTTATATGAGTATTGAACTGTCACCCACACTAAACATCACCAGTAATATGAGTATTGAACTGTCACCCTTTATTAGGATATATTGATACTGGCCTGTAATGTTATACTGGAACTAACTATAAACTTGAATCATTTGAGCAATCAGTATTTACTTAGTGTTCCAAGTCAATGGGTGTGTTTATAGATTATACTAATTGGTGAGTTTTTATTTCAGAAATATGTTTATAAAAGTATGTAAAATCGTTCACATCAATTTTATCATATTTTCTGGAGTTTTGTTTTCTCAAAATCCATTTAAATTTCATGTTTTCTACCTACTTTTGAATTGATATATGCTAAATCACTAGCTTTTGTCTTGATTGGAGTTCTTTACCATATATCCCATCTACAAGCAAAATTTGGTTGCTAAAGTAGGTATACTTTTTAATATCTTCTCAACTTTAATGTGGAAGGATGTTATAAACCAAATTTTCTGACACCCAAGGATGCTCTAGGCCAGACTTGGTAAAATAAAAAATCCTTGTTCACATAATCCAAACAGAGGGACCTTCAGATTTACCATAACCTCTCTTTCACCTTTTCGGCCATAAGGTGGTGCAGACCCTACTTGTGTACAAAATGAAGTACATTTTACCTGGATTCACTAACACAAATACAGTTGAGTCAAAACCCTTAATCTAAACAGAAGGAGGTTTTACAAGATTTAGACCTTTTTATCCTATTGGGCCCAGCTCCTTCTTTAGATTGAAAATAACTTTTCTTTACTAAAAAGTGCTTATACAAAAATTTTTCGTGACTCCTTTTTTGTAACACATGGATTTACAGATTCAGTACCATTTCCCAATTGGGACCCATCATTCAGTGTTTTCCCTATTGGGTCCTAACACTCAGTATGTTACCCTGGCTTTAATGGGCTCAGGCCCTCAATTTATACAAAATAAAATCTTTTTCACCAAAGGTGAATTTACACTGATTCTCGTCAAAATGCCATCATCCGAACAGAAGAAAAGTTTTTAAAAATTACCTCTGTTTCCCCTTTTCAGCATAACCTCTTTTTTCTCATGGGGCCAGACTCTTGTTTTATACAAAATGAATTGTCTTCACCTAATGTGCCCTAGGGCCATATTTGGTCAAAATCCAATTTGGCAGCCAGATAAACAGACGGCTCACCACTACATAAGCTCACTAGAGCCAGAAGAGCTATATAGAATACACACATATTTTCACATACTTACCTGGACAGCTGGTGTTGGAAGCCTGTGTTTTAACTGTTCAGCTGGACTTCTCTGTAAAGCATATCTTCAGCTTTTTGGTGTCTGATACGATGATAATTTGTCCTTTGTTCTGGTGACCGCTGGTCAGATGTGACTACCTGAGCTGGTCCCTTTTTCACACCTTTCAAACAAGTGTTGATATCATTTACAGACTTTTTTAAAATCTTTTGAAGTCCTGAACACAATCTCAGCTATGTCCATCCTTTAACCTATCAAGCAATCTGTTTTTTTGAAAATGTCCAGAGCTGTGTGGGATAAAGAATCAACTTTGTTGTAATTGTAGAGTACCATTAAAAACCCACACAACACAAGTAGATATGTGGTTAGTGCAGAGAGCATTTCCACCATCACACAAGTGTCTCTGACTGTGTCCCTCCCTGTAGTGAGGTACAGCTCTAGGTCTGGTCAACACCAAAGGCTGGGGCACTCAGGGAGCTAGCACCTGCTGGTATGTGATTATGATGGAGCTGAGCAGCTCCTAAAACCTGGACTGGATAGATTGTGTTTTTCACCCAATATTTAAAAAGTGTACTCTTAAGTGAACAATTTATAATAATCTGTTAAATGATCAAAATGGTGAACTGTAAACTGTGGCTAACCCTGCATTTGGTGCTGGGGATAAAATTATGCTGATAGCTATATCAATAAGTTAGATGTTTCTCTTTGAGTTCCCAATAATAAAATGAAAAACAGAAAAACGGAATTAAAACTACATGAGAAATAAAAGAAATGTTATGCACATGTCTTGGTCAATTGGTCAGTCATTGGTCAGCCTATACTAAACCTGAATAACAAGTCACACTTCTACCCATGATGTACAAATTACATGATACATATTTATGCCTAATATGGGCTTGCTCTATACGATAGGACACTGTAAACATAGGTTGACTATACATATACAAACATAGGCCAAAACGAAAGTACACATTATGAACACTCACACAAACGACTGGATGTTGCACCTCACATTACAAATTACATAAACCATATAACGTTTAATTGTGTTTCTTTTCGATATAATAACATGTTTCTCATTAGGATATTGGCATGTTGAAGCTCTGTATTGCATTGTCATTGGTTTGTACAATACAGTAATGCAATGAGAAGTATACCATACATGTAGTTATTCTGCAAGGCAACACTACCTCGGACTTTAAGACAGGGGATGGCTTATTACACAAAGACAAAATAGTATTTGTTGTAATACAATGGTCTTATCTGGGATTCCAGTCCCTCCAGACTGACACTGATGATATTTCTGACATGCAAATATTGTTCAGTGCAGATCTGACAGTTTTTGTCCAATAATGCTAAGTTATTTACTGACCAGAAGTTTTTGGTCAGTGTTTTTGGATGAGAAAACTGCCAAAGCAAGACTCAAGACGGAAGACCTGTGAATTTAACCAGGAACTAAAAGTACTGGTTACTGATGCCATCTAGATACATGGCATTGATAAAAAACATTTATATGGTGTAACAATGGACAGCCTACTTTTTTATATAAATTTCACAAAACATTAAACCATGATAATTCCTCGAAGATGTCTTGTGGTGATGATTCAACCTTCTGCTTGTTATATTGCTAACTCCACCTTTTACAATAATGATTTTACTGCTACAATTCCACTTTCCAATGAGAATTCCACCTTTTACCTCTACAATTCCACTTTTACAGTGAGAATTCCACCTTCTACCTCTACAATTCCACTTTTACAATGAGAATTCCACCTTTTACCTCTACAATTCCACTTTTACAGTGAGAATTCCACCTTTTACCTCTACAATTCCACTTTTACAGTGAGAATTCCACCTTTTACCTCTACAATTCCACTTTTACAGTGAGAATTCCACCTTTTACCTCTACAATTCAACTTTCCAATGAGAATTCCACCTTCTTCTTGGAAGTTTGTAATTGCAGTCCATATTTTACTGTTAATACTACATGGTCGGTCAGACTTCATCTTTGACTGGTATTGTAAATAGGATGATGGTTCACCAGTCTGTGTGAAACCTATTACCTAACACTGATGGTCGTCAGTAGACACACCAGGGACCAGGAGGGAGAGGGAGTTATTTATAGAACCTGTCACTTCATAGTGTCCCTTATCTGTCCCACTTAACTCCACTGAACCTTCAAATGACAGAAGAAACCTGCACACTATTTAAGTGAAACCTTAGAGTCTAAAAATTGTAACAATTTGAAATTCTTTAAATTATTAAGTCATTAAGCAGTCATAGGACTTATTGAATGGATGTGGATATGTGAAGGAGGGGAGTGGAGAGAGAAGGACGAGGAGGAGGGGGGGGAGTTATTTATTGAACCTGTCACTACATAGTGGCCCTTATCTGTTCCACTTAGCTCCACAGAACCCACCTCCAGTGATATTTTGTGTTGATAGCTGTGTTTTGAGTTTGTCTGCTGAAAGGCAGTAACAGTGAACAAAAGTTGATGTAAAAATATGATAAAAAGACAGCTATATATGTCCAAATCTTCTCATGTAAAATCATAGCTTCATATTAGAAACCTCTTTTTTATGCACAACTTAATCCTTTTCCATTCTAATTTATGCAGAAAAAAAGATTTTAATTAAAATTATAGTGTCTCTGTGAAATCAGTATATGGTTACCATAGTTGTCATTACTTTGTCCGTTTGTTTATATTATCACAGACTGGCATTTCATTTTGGTTCATGATAGACTGGATATTAGTTGGGGATATTTGTTTGTGCATGTCTTTCTGACAAACCACATGTCTTTCTGACAAACCACATGTCTTTCTGACAAACCACATGTCTTTCTGACAAACAACATGTCTTTCTGATAAACCACATGTCTCTCTGACAAATCAAATGGGTCTCTGGCAATGTCTCTCTGACAAATCAAATGGGTCTCTGGCAATGTCTCTCTGACAAATCAAATGGGTCTCTGGCAATGTCTCTCTGACAAATCAAATGGGTCTCTGGCAATGTCTCTCTGACAAATCATATGGGTCTCTGGCAATGTCTCTCTGATAAATCAAATGGGTCTCTGACAATGTCTCTCTGACAATGTCTCTCTGACAATGTCTCTCTGACAAACCACATGTCTCTCTGACAAATCAAATGGGTCTCTGACAAATCAAATGGGTCTCTAACAATGTCTCTCTGACAAACCACATGTCTCTCTGACAAACCACATGTCTCTCTGACAATGTCTCTCTGACAAATCTAATGGGACTCTGACAGTAACCTGTCCTGTTTGAAGGTTAGTTTGATGAACATTCCTAATCAACCAAAATAACATGGTGGTTCCTTTGATCAAAGCTGTTAAGTCCCCATGTCTGATAAAATGGTATTTGAAGATATCTAGGTTAATCAGGAGACCTGTGAATTAGAATTTGTTGAATATTTCTGAGAATTTAACATGTACCATGTTTATTCATAATAAGCCCATGCCAAGTGATAATTCCAGTTTAGATTTAAAGTCACATTTTTTTAAATCTGCAATGCGCCTACCCCCTGGGCATCTTACAGAATAAATATAGTTGGATGATATTTTAACATACTCTTGTCACAAGTAGATGTAAAGGTTAAGACCAGCAAACATTAAAATGTTATGAATGTTATCTTCCCTTGGTTTAGATTGCTTATCAGATCTGAAGGTCAAGGATTAAGTTTATTGGTAAAAATGGAAAATAATAATGATAGTAAAAGTTACACACTAATGTTTAGACTGTTTTTCCTTTTTGTTGATTTACAGAAGAAAAAAGAACCAAAGAAAGAAAAAGCTGCCATTATATATGACAAGCCAACCAAACCAGGAGAGAAGAAAGGTAAGAAGTCCAAAGGATCAAAGTGAGGTTATCGGTGTAGCGTAACATGGCATCTGCCTTTTGTCCGTCATCTGTCATCTCTCAACGGTTTCTTAATAACACTAGTTTTCTGGAACGATAGCGGATTTTAACCAAATTTGGTTAGAAGCATCCTTGAGGAAAGGGAATCAAGTTTTACCGGTAAAAAATAAATCTGATCGTCCTCTTTCCTTCTCGGGATGGGGCCAAAAATAGGAAATTTGGCAAATTTGAACAAATTTTTGAAAGTCCTTATTTTTCTAAAAATTCCTAATAGTTATGAACAACTACAACTGAGCATATTTTGGCCACATTTGTTAAGAAGCATCCTTAGAGGAGGGGGGAACAAATTTTATTTAAACTCTGGGTATTGTCCTCCTAGGGTCAGAGATGTAGAGCCTAATTGGGGAAATAGAGCAAATTCTTTAAAATTTTACTCCTCCTGTAGGAATGAATGGTTTTCACCATCATTTCATTTAAATGAGACATCCTGGGGAAAGTGGAAACAAGTTTTATGTAAACATGACTCTCAGCCCCCTGGGGCGGAAGGGGTGGGTCCCAAGAGAGCAAGTTCATTAATATCCAACTCCTCTGTGTGAATGACCTGATTTTCCCAAATACAGTCTGGAGCATCCATTGGTGAAGGTGAGCCAGTTTTGTATAAATGATGGGTCTTGGGCCCATGGGACAGGGCCCAATAGGGGAAAAGAGCAAATTCTTGAAAGTTGGATTTTGCCAAAATCTGGCGTGAAGTATACTTTGATGAAAGGAACTCAATTTTCTATACACAGTGAACTCTTGGATGGGAAGGGCAGGAACCATTGTAGGGAAATAGAGCAAATTCTTTTAAATCCTTCTTTTGTAGGAATTAAAAGAATTCTGTCCCTATTCAGTCTGAAGCATGAATGGTTTTCCTGACCCCTAAGGACAGATGGTTAGGGCCCAATGGGGAATAGATACAGTGTGTGTTGTGTGCCTGGATATATAGAATTTCTTTCCTGAAGTTTGGATGAAGTGATTTCAGTCAAACAAAGCCCTGTGAATGATAAATGCCCTATTGGCATCTTAATTTCTAGAAATTATTCAAATTATAATCTTATATAATCATGATCTGGGTACACAATTGTTCTTACACTACATTCTGGTTATTCTCAATTCCACACTTCCATTTAGGTAAGAGATACTACGAAAAGATGCTGTACTGTGAGTGATTTTTTTGCTCCACTAATCTTTTACTCAGTGTTAAATACATTTTTCTTCAGACACCACGGGTGCAATGCCAGACGCCTACAGTCCCCAGTATGTAGAAGCAGCATGGTACGACTGGTGGAGTAATTGTGGCTTCTTCAAACCAGAGTATGGGGTAGGTCCGTCTGTATACCTCTGTCCTGAAATATTGGAAATCAGTAAAACATATGTCACTGCTCAGCACACCTGGTTATCAGTTCTCTACTGCTGTCACTTCTCGTTTCACGGAGACACTAATTGATATGAGCATATTGATGTAAAAATATTTCTCTTTGGGATCATGGTCTCACCATACTACAAATTGAAACTGTCATCACTTTTCAGCCTATTTAATTGAAACTACACGTAATTGTGTGAATGATTTTGTGTTTCAAGGTCAAAGATCCAAACTTGATGGACAAAACATCTATGGAAAATAGAAATTAAATGTCCAGTCAGACTTGCTTGCAGTTCACGGAAAATTTTCACTAGTTTCTTATCTGTTAGTTGTTAATTAGAAATCAGCTGTATTTAGGAAGCTGTCAGTTCTGAGTCGGTACATGTTTCTAAACTCACAAAAATATATCCAAGGTTTGGCTGTCATTTCATTTTTAGTTTGTTTGAAATTGGGTTGGTTTTTGGACACATTCACGATCTTTATAATGAAGTAAACCTGTTTATTGAAGGAGTTCAGTGATTGAAGGCTTGTGTCATATCATATCATTGAATGAGTTTAGTAAATTCAATGACATGTACCAGGTATTTAAGTGTAACATTCTATTTATCATATACATGTAATTTGTGTTTGTCAGAAAAATAAGAGAAAAATCTGAATTTCTTTCCCAGTTAGACTGGCAAATTTTGAGCTGAACAGGTCCTTTTTCACTGCATGGAAAATTATATGATTTTATGAGATTTTATGAAAATGAGCCTCAGAAGTTATTATTTTTGCGAGTTTTGGCAAAGAAAAATTACAACTTAGAGATAAGTTCCATAAAATCTCATAAAATTAAAACAAAATTAAGATACTTTTTATCACATAACTTGGAAAACTTTTATTAAGACAGGATTTCAATAAAAAATATGGATGACAAAATCAAAGAGATGTAGCCATTTTATTGTGCCATTCCATACAATCTATTTCTGACTGGCATGTTACACAAGGTAGATATACACAAAAAAAAGGCAAATTTACTGGATAACAGTGAAATTCTGTGATAAAGTAGATTTATGACGTCATGCTTACAAGTTATGATGTGTCTGAAAGGAGCATATTACAGGTCAGCTGTGTGATTATTCACGTTGTCTTTGATGTTGATTTCAGGGTCGTGACATAAACAGCGTGCCATATGAGGACAAGTTTATCATCGTCATTCCTCCTCCTAATGTGACTGGCTCCCTCCATCTGGGACATGCACTGACCACAGCAGTGGAGGATTGTATCGTAAGATGGTAAGTAATTATTTGAGCTTCAAAATTACAAGAGAGATAGCTCCTCGGTCAATAATTCAGTATTCTATTTAGTTATAGTCATGTAATCATTTATATATTAATCTATTCTATCATTTCTTGTTTGTATTCTTTGACCATCTGAAAATTATATTAAGTGTCTACTTTCACTTTCCAATGAATGAACACAGGAATAGAATGAATGGGAAGATGACACTATGGAACCCTGGCTGTGACCATGCTGGAATAGCTACACAAGTTGTTGTAGAAAAGAAAATCAAGAGAGAGAGAAATCTTACACGCCATGACTTGGGCCGAGAGAAATTTGTAGATGAAGTTTGGAAATGGAAAAATGAGTAAGATAAAGATATGGATGTTAACATCTGATATCTTATTGAACATGTGTTAAATTCTAACATCAAATTCTTTGATTTTAATTTGTTAACACAAAATTGGATGGAAACTTTTAAACATTTTTAATGAAAAGTTTTCTTGCTGTTTTTATTTGTTAAGATATGACATAAAATAACCATTATTGGTAAATACTGCTGAAGAACCGAGATTTTATTATCTGTTAAATAGAGTGTCTGTGAAATTATGTTTGTAGGAAGGGCGACCGTATATACCATCAGCTGAAAAAGCTAGGAGGATCGTATGACTGGGACAGGGCCTGTTTCACCATGGATCCTGTAAGTTCTTGAGATGTGTATAAATTAGCATTCTAGTTTCCTATTGTACCCCACCCCTGATATTATAATGTAATCAACATGTCATTGTTTACACCTGATACAATGATAACTCTCCTTTATTGATTTGAAGAACTATGATTTCATTGTAATTCCTGTATCACTTTTAAAAATCTAAGACCTAGACTGGTTTCCATGATAGCATTAATCAAATTCTTTGTTATTTTTGAAAAAAAACTGATAGATTATGCCCAACTTTCTAACTTGCACTTTTATATTCAGAATTTGATCAGATTTAAAAACCATGTGAAAAGCATCATTGAGTACTTTACTTGTTAACATTTTCATAATTTTTGACAGAAATTGGTGCGGGCAGTGTCCGAAGCATTCATAAAATTACATGAAAAAGGACTGATTTACCGTAGTGTTCGTCTGGTCAACTGGTCCTGTGCGCTCAATTCAGCCATCTCAGAAATTGAGGTAAGTGTTAAGTGTTAATGTTTGTCAGCCGTTAATGTTTGTCAGCCATTAATGTTTGTCAGCTGTTAATGTTTTTCAGCCATTAACATTTGACAACTGTTAATGTTTGTCAGTCATCGGCTGTCACAACTGACTTTAGGTCTGATATAAGAATAAAAAAAATGGTCATTACGAGTTATCAAGCCTAGATTTAGACCACAATATATAACATTCATTTAACTGTATTAAAGCTTAATTATCTCCCTTTACTACTGGAGCTCACAGGCTTCCATATAATTTAGAATAACAATGTTATAAGATCTATCTTCCCAAATGTTCCTGATTTTCTGTCCTAACCTTTGGAGTAAAAATTGATGTAGAATTAATTTTATCAAGTTTACTTTTATTTCCCTTTACTACCAAAACAAAATGGCATGATCATATACATATGTACTGAAATCACTAGATGTAAATCCTAGTATTTTCACCCCTCCAATTCAGAAGTGTGTCCCTAACTAAACTGATGAGGAAACATTTGTCTCTGCTGATACACATTGATTACTAACCTGTTTACAGGTAGATAAAAAGGAAATCTCGGGCCGTACCATGTTACCAGTAGCGGGATATAAGGAAAAGATCGAGTTTGGAGTCATCGTTTCCTTTGCCTACCCAGTGGAAGGCTCAGGTAACCATCACACAATATGTTAATTTTCAGAATTATTTCTACACACCTGTGTTGATTGAACTCTTATGTGAACATTTTTTGTTCACATTTTTTTTGTTAAAGATTCCTTTTATATGTAATACAAAGTATAAATCTTTGTTAAATCTTTATCTTTGAGATGATTTTGATTTGGCCTCTGAGATATGTATATTTACAGTAAGTTCTGGCGCCTGGGAGTCAAGTACAGGTTCTTGTTTATTCTGTTGTGATGACAGTCAAAATAAAGTTACATTAAAATTATTTCACACTGATACATGTAGAATTAGCAGAATTCACATTAGAGAGATTATATAGAAGATATGGTATTTCAAGAAAATGTGGTAATAAAAGAAATTTGACATCAATAAATGTGATATTATCTAGTGTCAATAAATGTGATATTATCTGTCATCAGTTGATGTGATATTATCTGGCATCAGTTGATGTGATATTATCTGGTATCAATAAATGTGATATTATCTGTCATCAGTTGATGTGATATTATCTAGTATCAATAAATGTGATATTATCTGTCATCAGTTGATGTGATAGTATCTGGCATCAGTTGATGTGATATTATCTGGTATCAATAAATGTGATATTATAATGTGATATTATCAATAAATGTGTCGGATATTATCAGTATCAATAAATGTGATATTTAAATCGGATATTATCTGGTATCAATAAATGTGATATTATCTGTCATCAGTTGATGTGATATTATCTAGTATCAATAAATGTGATATTATCTGTCATCAGTTGATGTGATAGTATCTGGCATCAGTTGATGTGATATTATTTGCTATCAATAAATGTGATATTTAAATCGGATATTATTTGGTATCAATAAATGTGATATTTAAATCGGATATTATTTGGTATCAATAAATGTGATATTATCTGGTATCAATAAATGTGATATTATTTGGTATCAATAAATGTGGCATCAATAAATGTGATATTATCTGGATATTATTATCTGGCATAAATGTGATAATAAATGTGATATTATCTGGTATCAATAAATGTGATATTATCTGGTATCAATAAATGTGATATTATCTGCTATCAATAAATGTGATATTATCAATAAATGTGATATTATCTGGTATCAATAAATGTGATCAATAAATGTGATATTATCTGGTATCAATAAATGTGATATTATCTGGCATCAATAAATGTGATATTATTTGGTATCAATAAATGTGATATTATCTGGCATCAATAAATGTGATATTATCTGGCATCAATAAATGTGATATTTTTTTGAGATGAAAACATGTTGTGTTGACAGATGAAGAGATTGTTGTGGCCACCACGCGTATTGAGACAATGCTGGGGGACACCGGTGTAGCTGTGCATCCTGAGGATGACCGATATAAACACCTTCATGGCAAGTTTGTGACTCATCCCTTCGTTGACCGACGTATGCCCATCGTTTTAGATGACTTTGTAGACAGGAACTTTGGAACAGGTACGTTTCTTCACACACAAAATGAGAACATTGGTGGTGAAAACATTCATTTGTTGACAAATCACATTTGATTACGGATTGGAATGGCACTTTATGAGCCTCCTTAAAAAAGAAAAGTTTCAAAGTGTACATTTGATCTATTGTAATGAAATGTCTGATATCTTGATAATGTATCTGTGTGTTATATAGGCGCTGTGAAGATTACACCAGCACATGACCACAATGATTATGAGGTTGGTGTACGCCACAACCTGCCTTTTCTCACCATCATTGATGAAAAAGGCAACATGACTCCTGACTGTGGAGAATTTGCTGTAAGTTATTACTAAAAAGTCTAAACTTGTTTTAAGTCATTCATTTGAAGGTCATAACATTCTCTTGGTCATCGATTTTAAGGAAAAGGTCACTAAATTAAAAGTCAAAATTGATCTTCAGCTAGTGTTTAGATAGGGATTGGCATTGTATAAACAGATATACACTCATATCAGTCTTAGTTCGGGGCAGATTTGCTATATTATGGCTTAATTGATTTTAATAAAAGTATAAGACATATTTTTCATTTTCTCAAAATCATGCTTATTTTCAGTTAAAAAAGTGATTGAAAATCTGTGATGTAATTAACACATTTATAATAAATGTATGTAAGAGGGATGATCACTTTGAATTGATGTTTCCAGGGTATGAGGCGGTTTGAGGCAAGGAAAGCTGTCCTAGAGGCTCTCAAGAACAAAGGATTATATAAGGAGACCAAAGAAAACCCCATGGTTGTTCCTATCTGCAGGTAGAGATTTTAAATAATCAGTTTTTTGTAGACTTTTATGATTAACTGAAATAAACAAAAATATATGACATGTTTGAATGGTTTTATTTGTGAGAAAAAAATTGTGTTTCAGAATTGATGATGTTCTTTAATGAAATTTCCTCAAAATGTTTCCCTGTGTTGTCAAAGTAGTATTTGTGAAAAGAAAGCTGAAAAGTGACTTTGTTAAGAAATTATAGTAAATTCATGTAGTCTCCTTAGACTGATTATTAAGACATTGGTTAAGGAAACATTTCCAACCCATATATCTGACGTCATATTTACATAACTTTACTGTTGAGAATGTCTGTTGACGAGATATTTACCTTACTGATCTCGAACCTTGTGTTGTTGTACACTTCTTAAACAAGATTTTAAAAAGGTTTCAAAATTAAAGGTTGCTTATTGTTGTCATGTAGCAAACATGTGTCCTTGATGTTCTTTGGGTGAGTATATATGTCTTGTGTGGTAGAAGTTCATCCAATACATGTCCTGTTGCTATGATATTACAGTCGCTCCAAAGATGTGATTGAGCCCCTTTTGAAGCCCCAGTGGTATGTCAGTATGCAGTCCATGGCTGATAAGGCTGTGAAGGTAGGTAGTTCACATGGACTCGAGGATCAGGTGATCTTATGTCATAGCGTCCATCTGTCATCAACTTATCTTTTAAATGGCTACTAATCGAGAAAATGGACTATCACCTTATTATGGCATCAGTCATGCATCATTTCAGAACCTTATTGATCCTACTGATTGTATTCATGACAAATTGTTGTATTATATTGTTAGAGGTATTTTCTATGAGTTATTTGTTTCCATTTTCTTCATCCAGAGAAAATGGTATACAAACGTTCACCTCAGAATCTCGACCAAATGCATGTTTTACTTGATACCAGTTCAAAATGATCAAAGATGGCTGTTTGGTTCTCTGATTGGCTTTAACGTTTTAAGCTTTGAGGAATGATGGGTAAACTTGTGGTAATGCTTTGATGGGATTCAAACATTAGACACTCTTATTGATGTTTTAATATCAAATTCTCTCTTGTCATTGACCAACGCAGTTGTCACATTTTGCGTTTTGTACAGGCTGTGAGAGAAGGGGAGCTGAAATTGATCCCAAACACGCATGAAAAAACATGGTACAACTGGCTTGAGGATTCCAGGTAAAATGGTCACTCATACATACAGTCAAGGCCAATCCACAAGTCCTGTATCGTATATAAAAGATAAGAATTTTGGTGATATGATCAACATTGGAGAGATAATCATTTGATATCAATATTGGAGACAAGCTAATATCGCAGATTATTTTTTTAATCACGGTAATATTTCCAGATACCTAACATTTCATTTTCTTTCTTTTTAAGGGACTGGTGTATATCCAGACAGCTGTGGTGGGGACATCGTATACCAGCTTACTTTGTCACTGTTGATGATCCATCAATTCCTCCAGGGGAGGTAAGTCATTGTTATCCATAAGGGATGGCACTACTGTAAATAAGTTGTTTGAAATAATGTAAGAATTCACTTATAATTACTTTTATTAAACTGATGATAGTGCTGAAACCATCTTTATCCAGCAGTAAACTTAGGATGGAGTCAACATTTGTTGGTAATACTAGGCAGCATTATATACATATAAAATGACTGGATTTATCAGACATTGGTACGTTGTTGTATTACTATACTTTCATTTAAAGCTGTCAATCAGGTATATGAAACATTGTACTCTAAATGTAAGAATGATCTCTGCTTTATAGTTGTCTACTTCAGAGATCTGATAAATATTGTTTGTTTATGTTGGGAATAGTTCAAGGGTATTGAATTTTGCCCACTGCCACCATCAGCAGTAAACAGTGCATTCTATACCTTGATATACATGTACAAGGGTATATATGTAACATTAACTTTTTGAGATTCTGAGTATTTGTGCTGAATTTAATCACTGTAAATATAGCATAATGAAAATCCCTGTGAATATTATCAACTAGACAGTATTTTACACAGTGTTATGCCCTCGGTATTCTATGAACTTTATACGTCTATGTAACTTATGTAACTTTCCATACCTAGGACACGGATGAGAAATACTGGGTAAGTGGACGATCGGAGGAGGAAGTCAGGCAAAAAGCTGCTGAACGTTTTAAGGTCAGCGAGGACAAGATATCACTGAAACAAGGTCAGTTCACAGAAACAGGAAGTCACTGTTTCAATGTTATAAAATCAGTATGTTTCTTCAGAATAAGTCAGCCCTAACACTTAAATCTCCAACTTTAACATATTCACAGGCCAGGAGACAACATCACTATGTCACAAGTAAATGCTGTTTGTTACATTTGTAACTAACTAAAAATTCAATTAGGATTTCTGAGCCACTTTTTGTATAGTTATCATTTATCTGGTAATGGTTTGTGTTTTGTTTAGACGAGGATGTATTGGACACCTGGTTCTCGTCGGGTATTTTCCCATTCTCCATCTTTGGTTGGCCAGATCAGGTATGATATATTGATTATTTTACTAATTAGATCATAGAATGTAATGTAAGCTTGTAGCTTGTTTTCTAATACTTTTTCATATTCTGTATTTGTATTGAAAGTTGTAATGTTTGAATGCTGTAAATTTAAAATATCACAAAATTAAGTTACTGATGATCAGACATTTTTAGAGTTTTATTTGATAATTTGTATACACCCTGTCATACCTTGTGCTCTAGTGCTGTAAGAATCAACCCAATTAGTTATCAGTAAGAATCAGTATACCTCGCACTTAATAAGGAATATTTTTTTATCAATTTATCACTGGATCTGTTCAAGACAGTGGATTGTAGTTAAAAGAATGATTTGAAGTTTTATTATAAAGTCATTGTATGTGCTTTTTACATGTGACTTTTGTTTTTACAGACAAATGAACTAAAAGCGTTTTATCCAGGCACCCTGCTGGAAACTGGCCATGATATTATCTTCTTCTGGGTAGCCCGTATGGTGACTATGGGTCTGGAGTTAATGGACAAGCTTCCATTTAAAGAGGTATGGTTCAGTGAGAAAGTATGATGGCTTATTATTATTATTGTACAACATTGTAGGTTTTATGATGCAAGATCTTACACAGGACAACAGACATAATTACAAGGATCAAAAAAGAATTTATCAATAAATTATTACACGTTGATTTTATTTTTCAAAATTTACAATGTTATATATAGCTCATTCTATTTCCTAGTCCTCATCAACGACGATACTTAGTTTTTCTCTTTAAAATTGTTTTAAGTAGCTGGTTAATATTTCAAGCCGTCCGTGATAATGTTATGTTCTGACACTTCAAAATTTAACATGTCACCATTGTTTACACTCATGCTCATGAAAAAATAAAAAACATTTAAGCATTGTGGATTGTTTATCTTACAGGTATATCTTCATGCAATGGTGAGGGATGCTCATGGAAGAAAAATGTCCAAATCTCTGGGCAATGTCATTGATCCAATTGATGTCATCAACGGAATCTCCTTACAAGTAAGAACAGACCTTCATGATTTGATGATGTATATTAGAGTTGGACCAATCTGTGCTGCCATGGTGTTGTCCTTGACAATTTACTCTAATTGCTCTGGACAACATGAAATGTAGCTCCCTTAGTTTGTTCATTTAGGTTTCCAGGAGCTATTACAAGGAGACTCTGCATCAATTACCTTGGCTGTTTACAGGGTGATAAGCCCTACAAACAAGCATTAATTGGGAAGATGGAGTTAGAAATGTGATCACCTTCATGTTTCATGAAATAGTAGATTCACACTGATCAATTGTTCTCAACTTTTCATTAGGAAAATTAATGACTCCGTGGTTTCTTGCATGACACACTGTAAAAGAGAGGTGATGACAAGAAGTCATCATTGTAACATTTAATACAAATAATATTTCTGATTTCTTAAACATTTTCATAAACACTTCAGGAAGGTGTTAAATTTAGTTTCTGTTGTAATTAAAAACAAATACTCTTTCAGAGTGGAACAAATTAAGATCTAAGAAAATCTAAATACTTGGTTATAGATTTATTGTATTTTGATGCCCACATTCTCTTCAATACCAAAACAGTTATATATTTTGCAAACTTTCTGACTAATGATATGTTTCAACTTTCAAAGGAACTTCACAAGCGTCTGGAGGATGGAAACTTAGATAAAAAGGAAGTATTAAAGGCACAAGAGGGACAGGTAAGATGTTTATACTTTCAAGTTTCTGTTTTTCAAAGTCATAGCGACATAGAGATGTTTTAAATGATAATGCTATGACCATTACACTATAGCGCGCTTCATTAAATTTGCCTTTTTCCAGTTGGCATTCATAAGCCCATGAATGCCAATTAAAGCAGTTCATTGCTTAAGTGACATGGAGACCATTTGAAATCATAAGGTTATGACCCCTACATTGTCCAATTAAATCCTGCTTTAATTAGAATCTTTCACCACTTTGTTTATTTATGTTAGTCAACATTTGTTGCAACCTTGATACATTATAACTTTTTGAGAATTTGATACTTTAGTGTAGAAAAATATGAAAATTTATTTACTCTAGAGATTTTTCAATACTTCACTATATCTCACCGTGTTTTTGTTCTATAGAAAGCTGACTACCCCAATGGCATCCCAGAGTGTGGTACAGATGCTCTTAGATTTGCACTTTTAGCCTACACAGCCCAAGGTGAGTGTTAATGATAGTACCATTATCATAGTATCTGTAGCAGGTTTCAAATGTTATTTTGGTTCCAAGGAGCATTTTGCATGGTATCTGCCATAGGTATGACTATTTATCTATCAATATAGATACATAATTTATATAAAAAAAAAGGATTTATTCATTGACATTAACATGAAATAATTAGAGATTTTCTGTGCACTTTTATAAACTAAATTTAAATAAAGTAGTCATGTAGGATTATAAGTTCATGGTTATCAATGCTTTAATGTTTTAAGGCATGAAATGTGTTATTACAGGTCGGGATATAAACCTGAATGTTTCAGTCCTCAGCTGTTAAAGCTGTTAAATGTGTGTAATTACAGGTCGGGATATAAACCTGAATGTTTTAGTCCTTGGCCATGAAAGTTGTGTCAAGTTTATACTATAAGTATGATGTGTGTAATTACAGGTCGGGATATAAACCTGAATGTTTTAGTCCTCAGCTGTTAAAGCTGTATTAAGATTACACTATAAGTATGGTGTGTGGATATAAACCTGAATGTTTTAGTCCTCAGCTGTTAAAGCTGTATTAAGATTACACTATAAGTATGGTGTGTGTAATTACAGGTCGGGATATAAACCTGAATGTTTTAGTCCTCAGCTGTTAAAGCTGTATTAAGATTACACTATAAGTATGGTGTGTGTAATTACAGGTCGGGATATAAACCTGAATGTTTTAGTCCTCAGCTGTTAAAGCTGTATTAAGATTACACTATAAGTATGGTGTGTGTAATTACAGGTCGGGATATAAACCTGAATGTTTTAGTCCTCAGCTGTTAAAGCTGTATTAAGATTACACTATAAGTATGGTGTGTGTAATTACAGGTCGGGATATAAACCTGAATGTTTTAGTCCTCAGCTGTTAAAGCTGTATTAAGATTACACTATAAGTATGGTGTGTGTAATTACAGGTCGGGATATAAACCTGAATGTTTTAGTCCTCAGCTGTTAAAGCTGTATTAAGATTACACTATAAGTATGGTGTGTGTAATTACAGGTCGGGATATAAACCTGAATGTTTTAGTCCTCAGCTGTTAAAGCTGTATTAAGATTACACTAAAGTATGATGTGTGTAATTACAGGTCGGGATATAAACCTGAATGTTTTAGTCCTCAGCTGTTAAAGCTGTATTAAGATTACACTATAAGTATGGTGTGTGTAATTACAGGTCGGGATATAAACCTGAATGTTTTAGTCCTCAGCTGTTAAAGCTGTATTAAGATTACACTATAAGTATGGTGTGTGTAATTACAGGTCGGGATATAAACCTGAATGTTTTAGTCCTCAGCTGTTAAAGCTGTATTAAGATTACACTATAAGTATGGTGTGTGTAATTACAGGTCGGGATATAAACCTGAATGTTTTAGTCCTCAGCTGTTAAAGCTGTATTAAGATTACACTATAAGTATGGTGTGTGTAATTACAGGTCGGGATATAAACCTGAATGTTTTAGTCCTCAGCTGTATTAAGATTACACTAAAGTATGATGTGTGTAAAGCTGATATTAATGATTACACTATAAGATTACATGGTGTGTGTAATTACAGGTCGGGATATAAACCTGAATGTTTTAGTCCTCAGCTGTTAAAGCTGTATTAAGATTACACTATAAGTATGGTGTGTGTAATTACAGGTCGGGATATAAACCTGAATGTTTTAGTCCTCAGCTGTTAAAGCTGTATTAAGATTACACTATAAGTATGGTGTGTGTAATTACAGGTCGGGATATAAACCTGAATGTTTTAGTCCTCAGCTGTTAAAGCTGTATTAAGATTACACTATAAGTATGGTGTGTGTAATTACAGGTCGGGATATAAACCTGAATGTTTTAGTCCTCAGCTGTTAAAGCTGTATTAAGATTACACTATAAGTATGGTGTGTGTAATTACAGGTCGGGATATAAACCTGAATGTTTTAGTCCTCAGCTGTTAAAGCTGTATTAAGATTACACTATAAGTATGGTGTGTGTAATTACAGGTCGGGATATAAACCTGAATGTTTTAGTCCTCAGCTGTTAAAGCTGTATTAAGATTACACTATAAGTATGGTGTGTGTAATTACAGGTCGGGATATAAACCTGAATGTTTTAGTCCTCAGCTGTTAAAGCTGTATTAAGATTACACTATAAGTATGGTGTGTGTAATTACAGGTCGGGATATAAACCTGAATGTTTTAGTCCTCAGCTGTTAAAGCTGTATTAAGATTACACTATAAGTATGGTGTGTGTAATTACAGGTCGGGATATAAACCTGAATGTTTTAGTCCTCAGCTGTTAAAGCTGTATTAAGATTACACTATAAGTATGGTGTGTGTAATTACAGGTCGGGATATAAACCTGAATGTTTTAGTCCTCAGCTGTTAAAGCTGTATTAAGATTACACTATAAGTATGATGTGTGTAATTACAGGTCGGGATATAAACCTGAATGTTTCAGTCCTCAGCTGTTAAAGCTGTATTAAGATTACACTATAAGTATGGTGTGTGTAATTACAGGTCGGGATATAAACCTGAATGTTTTAGTCCTCAGCTGTTAAAGCTGTATTAAGATTACACTATAAGTATGGTGTGTGTAATTACAGGTCGGGATATAAACTTGGACGTTCTCCGTGTACAGGGTTACAGATTCTTCTGTAACAAGCTGTGGAATGCTACCAAGTTCGCTCTAGGAGCCCTTGGGGAGAACTTCATACCCAACCCAACTCGAAAGGTGAGAAATATTTAAGGTCTATTTTGCATGATAGATAGAAATCTCAAACCCGAAACCCATCTCACATGACATGTGTAAGGTATCTAAAACACAAATTCACATATCAGGGTAGGACAGTTACTGGTTATTGAAAACCCAACCCTACAATTTTAAACAATTTAGTGGAAATCCTGACTCCAATCTCAGTTATTTGATCAATTAAACAAATGTCAAGAACATAAAGAAGATAAAGATATTTACCAAATCATTAGTGATCTTAATATGATAATTGTTTTCAGTTGTCTGGAAAAGAGAAGGAGATGGACCTGTGGATACTAAGTCGACTTTCCTATGCCGTGGACCAGTGTAGCTCTGGATTCCGTAACTACGAATTCCCTGCTGTTACCACTTGTTGCTACAATTTCTGGTTGTATGAACTCTGTGACTGGTATTTAGTAAGTATAATCTGTTGGCTGTTTGAACATTTTAATCTTGCTATGTACTTTTTGCCAATGCTTAAAGTCCCGATTTTGAGTGCTGTTAAAGGACTGTTAAAAAGTAGCATAATTAAGTTGTATAAAGGATGACATTTGTCCCGTTCTTTAACTAACAAGGAAGACAAATTTATAGCAGGAACTACTGCTGGATTGAAAATTATTTATGATGTATTTTGGAAACCTAACAACAAATGAAGAATTTTTATTTTCTTTGATGGGCATCTACATTACAAGGTAAAAAAAAACCCTTGAAAATACTGGAATTTTTTGTATTGATATTAATTTTGTATTATAGGAAAGCTGTAAGCCTATTATCTATGGGACAGATGAGGAGGTGAAGGACTGTACTCGACAGGTGTTATACACATGTCTAGAGGCAGGTCTCCTCCTACTCCATCCACTTATGCCATTTATCTCGGAGGAGCTGTTCCAACGTCTGCCACGACGAACTCCGACAGAACCACCCAGTATATGTGTTACGTCGTATCCACTGTCAGCAAATGTAAGTCAGCTTCATAGGAACTCACTATAAATGTTACATCTTCTCTGTACAAAACAGCATTCTGATACAATATCATCATAAAATAAAGTGTTTCTGAAATTTTATTTTATTGTTAATTAAATATTTAACACAAATGCAACTTTCTCAAAAAATACTTCATATGCATATCCATCTTTTCTGCCTGAAATATCTTAAGCAATGATGGAATTTTCATTTACAGTATTGTAACAGTTCTTAAAATTCCTGCCTTCTTCAACTTTTCCGTTGATTCAGAATAACTATGATATAAGATAGAAATCTTTGTTAGAGATCATGGCTGTTACAAATTATGGCGGTCAGAAATATGGCTGTTAGAGAACGGCTGTTAGAGATCAGCTGTTAGAGATCATGGTTGTTAGAGATCATGGCTGTTAGAGATTATGGCCGTTAGAGGTCATGGCTGTTAGAGATCATGGCTGTTAGAGGTCATGGCTGTTAGAGATCATGGCTGTTAGAGATCATGGCTGTTAGAGATCATGGCTGTTAGAGGTCATGGCTGATAGAGAACGACTGTAAGAGATCATGGCTGTTAGAGATCATGGCTGTTAGAGATCATGGCTGTTACAGGTCATGGCTGTTAGAGATCATGGCTGTTAGAGATCATGGCTGTTACAGGTCATGGCTGTTAGAGATCATGGCTGTTAGAGATCATGGCTGTTAGAGAACGGCTGTTAGAGATCATGGCTGTTACAGGTCATGGCTGTTAGAGATCATGGCTGTTAGAGGTCATGGCTGTTAGAGATTATGGCTGTTAGAGGTCATGGCTGTTAGAGATCATGGCTGTTACAGGTCATGGCTGTTAGAGATCATGGCTGATAGAGATCATGGTTGTTATAGGTCATGGCTGTTAGAGATCATGACTGTTAGAGGTCATGGCTGTTAGAGGTCATGGCTGTTAGAGATCATGGCTGTTAGAGATCATGGCTGTTAGAGATCATGGTTGCTATAGGTCATGGCTGTTAGAGATCATGGCTGTTAGAGGTCATGGCTGTTACGGCTGAGAACATGGCTGTTGATCATGGTTGTTATGGCTGAAGTCATGACTGTTAGAGGTCATGGCTGTTAGAGATCATGGCTGTTAGAGATCATGGTTGTTACAGGTCATGGCTGTTAGAGATCATGGCTGTTAGAGATCATGGCTGTTAGAGAACGGCTGTTAGAGATCATGGCTGTTAGAGGTCATGGCTGTTAAGAGATCATGGCTATTAGAGATCATCGCTGTTAGGGATCCTGGCTGCATGGCTGCTAGAGAACATGGCTGCATGGTTGTTAGAAGTCACTTATGTTAGAGATCATGGCTGTTAGAGATATGACCTAGAGATTGGCTGTCAGAAATATGTCTGTCAGAAATATGTCTGTTAGAGATCATGGCTGTTAGAGGTCATGGCTGTTATAGATCATGTCTGTTAGGGATCCTGGCTGTTAGAGGTCATTGCTGTTAGAGGTCATGGCTGTTATAGATCATGTCTGTTAGGGATCCTGGCAGCATGGCTGTTACAGGTTATGGCTGTTAGAGATCCTGGCTGCATGGTTGTTACAGGTCATGGCTGTTAGAGTTCATGGCTGCTATAGGCCATGGCTGTTAGAGATTGGCTGTTAAAGATCATATCTGTTTTAAATGATAACTGTTAGAGCTCATGGCTGAAACTGTTGTCTTTCAGTACCAGGACCGCAACTCCAACTTAGAAAAGGAGGTAGACTTTGTGCAGAATGTCATCAAAAGTATCCGTTCCATGAGGTCAGACTACAACCTAACAAACAAAAACAAAGCTGATGGTATGTATATATCATTGTCCACTTTATACTATTCTTAAACGGTTCTTACTGATTTGAATTGTAACATGATGTTTCATCACATAGTAAACCCATACAGTAATACATTTGTACGATAAAAAAACAAATTATAGGCCCCAATATATTATTTACACAAACACAATGATCTTCCAGTGGGGTTGCTCACAAATAAACCACCTGTTAACTTTGGATCTGTTTTTCCACTGAGGGTAGGGGCTCATTTGACTAATATACATTTACAATCAAACCAATCTTATATTTATATTTCAATACTGACATTACAATAACCAAACTGTAACCATTTTGCCCTAAAATTTGAATTGAATATTAAATGTTTGAAATTAAAAAATATACCATTAGTGTAAGCAAAACATGTTTTCACCATGCAAGATTTTTTTCCAGTTTACTTGAAGTGCATGGAGCAGGAGGAGGCTTCATCACTGGGTCGCTTCAGTAGTCTAATCCAGACAATGACTAACTCATCCTCCATTACCATTCTGGTGGGTGATAATCCCCCAGATGGCTGTTGTGTACAAACTGTCTCTGCGAAGTGTGAAAGTCACCTGATGCTCAAGGTAGGGCTTTCATCTTAAGATTGATGTTTGTTAACTGGGTTTATTGTCCCATGAACAGCAAGGGTAATTTTGAGGCTGGGCTTCCTTGTAGGAGCTGGTGGCTACCTCAGTGAACATTAAATTGGAGGCCCATCCCATGTCGTCCTGAGCAATTAGGTTAAAATACCCAAGGACACAACAACATCAGCATAGACCAGACTGTATCTTAGCATACTGAGGAAACACAAACCATCATGGGTAGAGAGCATCAAACTGCTCATCTTGGATCTTCTACAGAAGTTACACTCAGACCAACTAAGCTATCCCAACACATTAAGATTAATGTATGTCAATAGGACACAAATCATTACCATTAAAAAATGGTAAAAAAATGTTAAAGAAATGAAGCAGACAGAATGACATTGCTTACTCAAAATTAGTGAAAACAAGGGAAAATTATGAACAGGTTTAGAATCGAACCCTTGAAAGTGAACAAGATAAAACTACCTGTTCCTGTTGATTTCCCATAGATTCCCATAGATTGGAAAAGCAAGAAATGTTGCCATGAAAAAAAAAATGATTTCACAATAGTTAACTGAAAAGATCAATTTGTCTTAAAGCTTAATGTTTAACTTTTCCTGTTGATCTTATTATAGCCATCAATGACCAACTAAGCAGCAGTAAAATCAATATAAAGATTGACAAAGTTGGTAACCTAGGCAAATCTACCTTGTAGTCAATGATACACCAGAATAGGGATTTGAGACCACAGTACCATTGAGTATCTATATGGAAGGGGAGATAACTACCATGTAGTCACTGATACACAAGAAAGGAGATTCAGGACCTCAGTAACATTAAATACCTGTATGATATACAAGAAAGGAGATTCAGGACCTCAGTGACATTAAATACCTGTATGGAAGGGGAGATATCTACCTTGTAGTCATTAATATACCAGAAAAGTGATTCGAGATCTTAGTGACATTGAGTATCTGTATGAAAGGGGATATAAATGCCATGTAATCATAAAACACTAGAAAGGAGATTCAGGACCATAGTAACTTTGAATACCTGTATGGAAGATGGGATAACTAGTTTGTAGTCAATTATATATCAGAAAGGAAATTCTAGATTGTCGTCTCCTCAATTATCCTCAGTACTTGGGTTTAGATGTAATTTACAGATACACTGTATCAGTTTGTATAATAAATCCTTCATTTCACAAAAAAAATCAAGCAAAAACATATACTTAGATTCTGTAGTAAAATGTGGTGACAGTAATTCTTTCTTAGATGGTGACATATTTTACAGATAGTAGAGGATAAGGGACAGTTGAGTGGTGTGTTCTACAGCTTCCTGTCTACACATCTCTGTGTGATTATAGACAGGGTAGGGGACAGTTGAGCAGTGTGTTCTACAGCTTCCTGTCTACACATCTCTGTGTGATTATAGACAGGGTAGGGGACAGATGATCAGTGTTATCTACAGTACAGCTTCCTGTCTACACATCTCTGTGTGATTATAGACAGGGTAGGGGACAGTTGAGCAGTGTGTTCTACAGCTTCCTGTCTACACATCTCTGTGTGATTATAGGGTAGGGGACAGATGATCAGTGTGATTATAGACAGGGTAGGGGACAGATGATCAGTGTGATTATAGACAGGGTAGTTGACAGATGATCAGTGTGATCTACAGTACAGCTTCCTGTCTACACATCTCTGTGTGATTATAGACAGGGTAGGGGACAGATGTTCAGTGTGATTATAGACAGGGTAGGGGACAGATGTTCAGTGTGATCTACAGTACAGCTTCCTGTCTACACATCTCTGTGTGATTATAGACAGGGTAGGGGACAGATGATCAGTGTCATCTATAGTACAGCTCCCTGTCTACACATCTCTGTGTGATTATAGACAGGGTAGGGGACAGATGATCAGTGTGATCTACAGTACAGCTTCCTGTCTACACATCTCTGTGTGATTATAGACAGGGTAGGGGACAGATGATCAGTGTCATCTATAGTACAGCTCCCTGTCTACACATCTCTGTGTGGTTATAGACAGTGTAGGAGACAGATGTTCAGTGTGATTATAAACAGGGTAGAGGGCAGATGATCAGTGTGATCTACAGTACAGCTTCCTGTCTACACATCTCTGTGTGATTATAGACAGGGTAGGGGACAGATGATCAGTGTGATCTACAGTACAGCTTCCTGTCTACACATCTCTGTATGATTATAGACAGGGTAGGGGACAGATGATCAGTGTGATCTACAGTACAGCTTCCTGTCTACACATCTCTGTGTGATTATAGACAGGGTAGGGGACAGATGATCAGTGTGATCTACAGTACAGCTCCCTGTCTACACATCTCTGTGTGATTATAGACAGTGTAGGAGACAGATGATCTGTGTTGTGATTATAGACAGGGTAGTTGACAGATGTTCAGTGTGATCTACAGTGCAACTTCCTGTCTACACATCTCAGTGTGATTATAGACAGGGTAGGGGACAGATGTTCAGTGTGATTATAGACAGGGTAGGGGGCACATGATCTGTGTGATCTACAGTACAACTTCCTGTCTACACATCTCTGTATGATTATATGGTGATAACCAAAGCTGTTCATTGTTCTAGTAGAAAAAATACAAAAAAAAAAAACCAAAAAATAAAAAATTTCACTTTGAATTGATTGGTGCATTTCTATTTCCACCTCATAATGGTAAAGCCATGAATTTGATGTCAGGGTCTTTGAAGTAAATCCTTCCACTGTTGGATGCCCATGTTTGCTAAACACTTACCAAAATTTTGGTTTTGGATTCTACGAAATAAGAAAATAGAATATAGTGTTTTACTGAGATGATAACTTTGCTCCTCTTATTTTTATATTTCAAGTCATTTAGAGAAAATGGAGGTGCTTCTCTGACAATGAGAGTATTGAAAGATAATTTTTTTTTTCCTTCAGGGACTCATTGACCCTAGTAAGGAGCGGAGTAGATTAGATGGAAAGAAGACCAAACTTAGTTCACAGCTTCAGAAGCTGAAAGAGACCTCCAGCATGGCAGACTACTCCAGCAAAGTGCCTGAGGAAATCAGGAACAAAAACTCTGAAAAGGTAAAGGAAAGGTTCGATGTCACAGATTAACCCAATAACATGCAGTTCTAGGGTTCATTGAATTCCAAATATTTTCATTGCAGCTGTAAGCTATGTAGACGAGGCAATTTATGTGCCTGGCAACTTATTTATTTAACAGTTTTACGTCCACTTTTACAGCCTTTCAACCTTTCAGCTGACAAGTGTGAAATACCCTTCAACATCTGTTCAGTGACTTTGTACCAGGGTAAACATTGTATAAGACTCTGTGGGTCTGATAGAGCCAGTAGTTGACATTTAATTAACACCTAGGTTACCTTGGTCAATGTCTGTCATTCCTGCCCTGTTGTGAAATAGACTGTGTCACACCTGCCATTTTAGGCAGCTGGTCAAGACCTATACCATGCTAATGAAATGGATTTTCTTTGAAGTAGAATAGTTTACACCTGTATTCATTACCTGGATTAGATTTTAGGAGATTGACCAGAGTAATTCACACTTATATACCTGTGTTTATTGAATAGAAAGTGTTCGTTCTTGTAATTATAAACATTGAACTATTAAAGGATTTTACCTGACAGCCAGGTTATATTTAAGAGATAGTATGCTTGTTTTGATGCATAAACTGGAGATAAGATAATGAATTTAAGTTTGAACACAAGAAGCAGTGGAGTGTTACGACAACATAATTCATCTCCAGTATATGCATAAAAACAAATATAATATCTCCATTCAAAATCATCACAATATCAAGAAAATTCAACATAAACCAAGACCTGCACAATTTTGTTCAAAACGGTCCCTCACATTGTCTTACCCAATTAAAATGCTCCTTTTAATCCTTAATGACATAAAGCTCCACCTACTTCCCAGTCTAGTTGTTGATAAATCTGGATCAGGATGTAGGTAGAGGTATATAAAAAGGCTTAAAATGTTTCTCTACATGGATTATCTGTTTGAATGTGTTGCTTATACTGATTCCTGGCGTACCTGATAGTTATGTCTATCTCTGAATGGTCAAGGTATTTGTTCACCAAAGTAGATCAGTAAAACAAAGGACATCATACACACAGAGGCACCAACAAGATGACGGGAGACTCATTCATAGTTGTCACTTTCTTTCAAATTGAGATTGTGATTTATGTATCATTCTGTATAGAATTATCTAGTAAAGGAAGAATACGATACCATGTGACATGATTTTATTTAGTTGTGATAGTATAATTGAAGTTGATAGAATATATTCTATGTATATATTTTAGAATATCACCTACTATAATGATTAGGCCTAGTGTGTTGTATCTATAGACATTCTGATATTACTGATGGACTCAAAAAAATGTGTCACATAGATGATCGTCATCATATACTCACTACTTCATATTTTGATGACACAAAATGGGGACTGAAAGGTGATACAGAAATAACAGAGAGGGTACCTGGTATCTCAAATTTAGAATTTAGACATAGGATCCTAAAATGACAAGCTAGTATCTCATGTTTAGAATATTTGTTAAGGATCTAGACAAAGGACCAGGTAATGTATTATTACAACATAGATATAAGACCTGAGGTTGGCATTTTTAGGGGTTCAGTTTTCACATTGTCTCAGAATTGAATGAAATTGCAAGAGAATGAAAAGATACAATAAAATTAAAGTCAATAGATAGCATGACTTTTGTGAAAAAAATTATCTGTTTTGTTTCAAATTACAGTAAAATTGCGAAAATTAGAACAATGAAAAAACAAAACAATATCTGTGAAACTGATGAATGCTCCCCAAAAACAACTGTATTGTACACAAATTTAACAGGCTCTGAATTTGGTATACTGCACATTCTCTTAGTATGACCAATGTATACACCAAGCTTCATTATCCTAGTTTTAATGCAAGCAAAGCTATGTTCATGACACAAAATTTTAACAAAGGGCATTTACTCTGTACTGAGAGGTCATACTGACTTTAATATACTGCATTGATGTATACATCACATTTAAATTTTAAATTTCAAGTTTAAAATGCAAGCATTGTCATGCCCCGGACAAGATATTTTATTGCTTAATTATTTAAGGGTAATAACTTGCCATAGTATGATCAATGTACAATATTAGATGTAAGTTATGAGACATTTTAAACAAAATGCAATTACTCTATAATTGAGGTCAAGCACTGTACTCTATGCTAGTGTGATCAATGTATCCAATAAATCCAATTATCCTAGTTTAAATGCAAGCAATGTTAAGTTTTATTCTAGACACAAAGTGTTAACAAAGGGTGTAATTAAGGGGTTGAGGGCCCTGAATAAATCCCATTATCCTAGTTTAAATGCAAGCAATGTTAAGTTTTATTCTAGACACAAAGTGTTAACAAAGGGTGTAATTAAGGGGTTGAGGGCCCTGAATTTGGTACACTGCACAGGGGTGTAATTAAGGGGTTGAGGGCCCTGAATTTGGTACACTGCACAGGGGTGGTGGTATAATTCTGTGTCAACTGAGAACAAGATAATGGGCTGTGATTTCTTGATGTACGTTGATAATCCTTATCACTATTACTTGTTTGTTGATAGTCAGTTGACATTGTATTCTAAACAATCCACTTCATTATCTATTTACATTTTCATTGATGTAAAGGCTTTTAATATCACTCTAAATGTCTGCCTCTTTTCTTATTTCAGATGACAGAGATTTCTCTGGAAATCGAGAAACTGACGAAAGCTATGGAAACACTGGGAAAGCTATGAAAAATTTTAATACAATAGACACTGGTAAATGGATTATTAGCACTAGTCAGGTGGAAGGGAACAACAAAAAAACTGGTGAAAAATTTCCAGGAAATCTGTAGGCGTCCTGACTACAGTTTACATGGATTTACAATAAAATAACTTTAAAAGGGTTTCTCTCTTGAAAACTTGATGTATACCATTAGATATTCAAACTTCACTGTTAAGTCATGTACCATGAAAGGATTGAAGTGTTTATTGGAGAAGTACTGCACTAAGGTTGTGTTGTACCCTGTTATGTTTATGTATGCGATACTGTGTGAAGTCCCTTATGTAATTTATTTCTCTAAATAAACCCACATTGCAATATTTTGAATGTTTACAGGATGATGCTAATGTCTATGTACAGTAACTTTATGTTAGTAATGATATAACGTTCAGTCTGTTAATTAGCAGGTATTCAAACCAAATTGAAATGGTTTCGGTTTTGACAATTACAAGTGCCATTTATAAGGTAATGCAATAAAGTGACTAATCTTCAATAACTGGTTGGTTGGTTAGTTACAGTTTTTCTGTCTCTGTGACTCATCCTATCTTTAGGTGTTGTCTCATGGACAATCTGCATTCCCCTCAATTTTCAATTACTTGAAGACGTACCTCTGCTAGAGGTCAAACAGTGACTAAGTCCTTTTAGTGGTAGTTGTGAGGTGGACACCCTACCACATAGTTAGTGACAGCATTCCTCTATCTGAAGTCAGAAAAAAAAGTTTCTCACTGTGTTATCCTTTATATCACTCTCCCGTCTTCGCAGTTATCAATCTCAAGCTTTCGACCCTGGGCTCTTCATCACATATTACCTGGTATATGGGGAGAGTCTTCATTACTAGTTTGTAATCAGACCTAGTTATTAAGGATCTTTAGGTGTCTCAGCCAGGGCTGTATCTGATAACTGTCCAACACTTTACACTGAACTTTATGTGTCTCAGCCAGGGCTGTATCTGATAACTGTCCAACACTTTATACTGAACTTTATGTGTCTCAGCCAGGGCATGTATCTGATAACTGTCCAACACTTTATACTGAACTTTATGTGTCTCAGCCAGGGCATGTATCTGATAACTGTCCAACACTTTATACTGAACTTTAGGTGTCTCAGCCAGGGCATGTATCTGATAACTGTCCAACACTTTATACTGAACTTTATGGAAATTTGACCAAGTAATATCATGCAATGTACTTCAACAACACTTACTGTAACTGTCATGGTTGCTCCCTGTAGAGAATTTTTTGTACCATTATCGTACCTTTGTCTGTAGTGTCAATTCTGAGATTGGTCTGAAGGTTTCCAAATGTATCAGATGATAATCCAAATAAACTAGAACATGGACAGACTTGTAGCTTTACTCAATTTCTGCCACATTTATCCTTGGTTTGACTTTATAGGTTGCCTTTTTTTATGTGTAATTTAACCTGAGATAAATTGTTTTATGAACACTGTCATGTATGGACAGATTGGAACACTGAACACTTCAAAGTTCACTGTTACTCAGAGTGGTACCTCCAGGTACATTTTATATGTTACATGTGCATGGATCTCTTTATTATATTGTACACCCACAATACATTGTTTGAAGAAATTCTGTTTCAGTGCAGTTCTACTGAAATAAATTTGATTACAGATATACATACATATTACAGGTAAACTACTGAAATAAATTTGATTACAGATATACATACATATTACAGGTAAACTACTGAAATAAATTTGATTACATATACATACATTTACAGGTAAACTACTGAAATAAATTTGATTATAGATAGACATACATAATTCAGGTGTTCTACTGAAATAAATTTGATTACAGTTATACATACACTTTAGTAAATAAAAAAAGTGTTGTATTCATCTCCCAACAAGTACAGAATGTAAAACTTGAGAAAGTAGTATCTGAAGTCTTCATCTTCAACAGAAAGATCAGGTAGTACAATGTTTATACAATATACATGTAAAACCAAACACATGTTTCTATCTGTACAAGTTTAAGATATAATAGCTGACCTAATTAAGTAAGATGGAAGTAGAAGAAAACAGGTGTTTGAAGATTTTCTCAGACTCTTCCTAAGACATATACTCCACTGTAGGATGAAAAGAAACCACACTTGAACTTGAAATTCTATTGTTTTCTGAAATACTTTAATTTGTGAATACTTTATATTTCATAGTCTATTTATCAATATCCACATTGTAGCTTGAAACACTAGAATTGTAGCTGATTACAGCAAAAAAATTAAGCAGCTTAATAAATTCTGTTTCAATCTTTGAAAATTTTATGCTTTGAGATGTTTGGGGCTATTAAAATGTCACAAAAATATATATTACAGTGTTTTTGTTCCTTCATTGTGTAAATGTGATATTATCCTTTTCTTTCCATGTATTTTGGTAATCAGTGAAAATACTAAAAAGTATATGTTTCCCCTCCATATAAAGGGAAACAATATTAATCTTTGTCAAGGATATGAACAAACTGATGAAAAGGTAACAGTTGGCTGGTCAGTATCGGAATTTATCTTCATAGTGTGCACACTTACTATAAATAGAACATCAGTTTTCTGCATAAGAACTTCATTTCCGTGGTGCTAATAAAACAAATTCCAGGCATTGCATGTTAAGAATTATGTGCTCATACAATGTATCATGATTGGTGTTTTGGGTCAAAGGTCAAAGGTAGTGTGGATATAAACTGACAATCTGTTTCTGCAAGTCACAGTAACTCGAGTTGCTTTGTGCTGCTATTCATAGAATTCAAACATTTTTCATTCACAAAAAGAGTGTAGTAGGTATAATTAGGACTAATGATCATTACCACTATAGGTCAAAGGTCAGGAACAACATTTCACATTAGAGGTGTTAAATGTGTTCTATACATTGTTACCCGCTAGTGCACTAGACGAAGGTGACCTTCATCTGAAGTCAATTTAAAAGTCAAATAATGTAAAAGGAATTAGGAATAGTTGTTTGGAGTTTATGTCCTTGTAATAACCAATGACATATGAAAACAAATATACACTGTCTAATTAGGGCAGAAATAATTTCATTTATTAAGTCTCAAGTATTGTAGCAAGTGATTTATTTTCTTTCTGTTTCCAGTTTCAATCTAGCAACAACACCAAATTTAGGCTGTAGATTGATTATATAAATAATTCTGAATTTTGTGTTTTGGTTGTGTTAAAAAATTATGAAATAGAGTGAGCTCCTTCATAGAGAAAGGGAGGCAGCAGTAATGGCACCATATTTTAGGAGTGGAGAGTTCCACAGCTAACTGCTGTATAACAGTTTTTATGACCTCACCATGAAATACAGGTCAAATTGTGCTTTCTTTAAGGTCTCTACAATGGATTTTACAGACAAAAACTTCACTTGTACATAGATCCTGCAAACAGATTCTTTACTGCATACAAACAAATCTGGAGGACTCTTTGGCTTGATAAAATGACCCATTTGTGTTAGTGACTGAAAACAACTTCCCTATGTCTGCACTGCTACATACTTTACTGAAATGGTATGTATAGTGGAGTAACAATGTTATGCCGTCTGTCTTGTTTCCATAGTTATGGCCCTTGGATATTTGAAGCAACTCGATTTACTTTAGACGTCAGCCACATTCAACCAATACATTAAAGGAACAGGAAAGTGACAAGCATACCTAATGAAAGGTCTGTTACACTGAAAACACTGGACTTCATTGTCTTTAGCTGCCGGTACAGGTCACATAATGAAAGGTCTGTTACACTGAAAACACTGGACTTCATTGTCTTTAGTTGCCGGTACGGGTCATCATTTGTGATACAATGTGTCTGTTGCCAAATCCGTGTGTAAAGGTGATGTTCATCTATTTGCGATCTCTACACCGTCAATCCAATTTCGTCAGACAGTGAGTTTTGTTTGTGAATCGTTTAATCAAAGAGGTTTGCCTTCACAGTGGTAAATGTTTTATTGGAAATCTATTTAAAAAATCCAATCTCTTCCCTCCCCTCAAAAATTGATCAAATCATTAGATTAACGAAATGATAACATTCCTTCGATCCTACTTTTCAATATTCGTCATGCAAGACATCGCCGAAAACCGTAGAAAGTCGAATGAGCTGTCAACCTTTTGTTTCTGTGTTATTATCTACTGTTCATCGTAAAGGTCCTGGTAACTTTTCTCATCGGATAACTTTTTGTAGTTTTGACTTCCTGTGTCATTGGCAATTCCTACTCAGAAGGAATTTTATCGTGTCTGTTTCATGTGTTTCTGAATATTCTGCAACGAACCAAAAAAAGTCATGTTGAGGTTCACAGGAGAAACGTGTGGACAAACTGTCCGAGTGAACTGTAAACACAGCATTGATTCGAAGATATGAACACTAGAAAATGATAACTATATGATACCACATTAGAATTTATCGAAAAGTTCAGCTAAGGTTTTGAAACAGACTAAAACATTTTCATTACTATAGGACATGAACGTGGAAAGTCTTCGGGTACAGAAAGTTTTGCTACTGGTGTTCAATCGATATGTAGTTTTCAAGTTATTTCAGTCTTAATTCGGGAGTGTATGACCACGGTACACGAGACGTTAATTCGGGAGTGTATGACTACGGTACACGAGACGTTAATCCGGGTGTGTATGACCACGGTACACGAGACGTTAATTCGGGAGTGTATGACCACGGTACATGAGACGTTAATTCGGGAGTGTATGACCACGGTACATGAGACGTTAATTCGGGAGTGTATGAGTACGGTTCATGAGACGTTAATTCGGGAGTGTATGACCACGGTACACGAGGCGTTAATTCGGGAGTGTATGACCACGGTACACGAGACGTTAATTCGGGAGTGTATGACCACGGTACACGAGACGTTAATTCGGGTGTGTATGACCACGGTTCATGAGACGTTAATTCGGGAGTGTATGAGTACGGTTCATGAGACGTTAATTCGGGAGTGTATGAGTACGGTACATGAGACGTTAATTCGGGAGTGTATGACTACGGTACACGAGTCATAATTCGGGAGTGTATGACCACGGTACACGAGACATAATTCGGGAGTGTATGACCACGGTACATGAGGCGTTAATTCGGGAGTGTATGACCACGGTACACGAGACGTTAATTCGGGAGTGTATGATTACGGTACATGAGACGTGAATTCGGGAGTGTATGACCACGGTAAACGAGATGTTAATTCGGGAGTGTATGACCACGGTACACGAGACATAATTTGGGAGTGTATGATTACGGTACATGAGACGTTAATTCGGGGGTGTATGACCACGGTACATGAGACGTTAATTCGGGAGTGTATGAGTATGGTACATGAGACGTTAATTCGTGAGTGTATGACCACGGTACATTCGGGAGTGTATGACCACTTTACACGAGTCATAATTCGGGAGTGTATGACCACGGTACTCCAGACGTTACTTCGGGAGTGTATGACCACGGTACACGAGACGTTAATTCGGGAGTGTATGAGTATGGTACATGAAACGTTAATTCGTGAGTGTATGACCACGGTACGTGGGACGTTATCTCGGGCGTGTATGACCGATGAAAAAACCCAGAGTCAGGATTACAACTCTGAGAACCTGTTGTCCTTGAATCAAGGTGACGAAGTAAATCTTGATTCTGTTGTTCCGTTTTCCCTGGTGATTGTAGCGACTTGAGTCCAGTATTTATAGCCGATCGTCTAAGCGTGACATAGACGCAGTGAAAACCTGCTGCGGACTAATCATTAACGTAGTAAGCGCCGACAGAACGTTCTGACGACTTAATGTGATCTTCTACAATGTAGCATGGGCGTACCACGATCATTACATAAGCGCAGGAAGGTCGTAGTGAGAACAATATTGACATAGCAAGAGCGAAGGGACAACGCAGCGAGTACGAAGTACAATCCTTTCCGTTTACACTTCGCTTCTACTGCGTCTTTGAAGTTCCCTTTAGGGTTTCATTACGGCATTACAGGGTCAATAAGGGCGTTACTACGTTCTTATTAGGTTCTTACTGCGTTCTCATTTAACCACGTCCTCGCTACGAAATTTTTAAACATGTTCCAAATTCGGCACGTCCTCCATACCACCATACCACTTCCTTATCGGAATCTTCTGCGTTCTTGCTACGTTCTTACCGCGCTCTCATTACACCCCCACATGTTCATGAAAGAAAATTGATCTATACTGAATCATGTGGTATAGTTATGTAACACAGCCACAAGGTTTAAACATACAACACTCGTCGAGTGTTTGCTTTTCATTGGGATCGTGGAAATACAGCTAATTTGGTATTTCAAATATATCAATATTCCAGATAACACACGTGCTCACTCTTAGATTT